TTTTTGAGTTTTTTTTTGGTTTTTTGTTGCCTAGGTATGAATAGAAACTAAAACTTAAAATCATAAAACCGAAAACAAAATTAACAAGAGTTAAAAGTCGGGTGTCATCAAAAAGGGAGGCTGAAAATGTAGCGCTCCAAATATTAAACTGGAGTTAGTTTTTTTCTTATTTCCATTTAAGACTATGAATACTCAGGATTAAAGGGTTTTCAGCTATCTTCTGTATCATTTAATGTTCAATGATATGCATTTGCAGTTGTAGACAAAGGTCCTACTACATAGTATTGTTAGAAGTATTAAAACACAGGCATTTATTCTTATTTCAGTAAAACCGCCGGGAAATTCTTAACCTTCCTTACTGAGGAACTAAATAATCCTCCTATCTTATTCAGAAAGCCGAGGTAATTTGAGATTCTTGGGGAAAAAAAGGATCAATAGGATACTTTGGTACAACTTAGATAAGTGCATGTTGCACACAAGTGGTATATACTTTCCATTTTACACTAATTTGTCTTGGTGCAAACTAGAGATGACAAAAATTTAGCGGTTTCAACATCTAACATCTATCGCTACATACAAAAGATTTCGCTGTTGTCTGGATTGAATCGGAAGGGTTAGAATCATTTATGAGCTCTGTACAGAAGTTCTAAAGGGATTTAGGTTAGTGTCATTAGGACAAAATTCCCATCAAAGCAGCTAGAACAAGAATCACGAAGCCAACAGCAACGGATAAGGATTAAGGTTGAAGGTATTTATAATTACGTTAAATATGGCCATATATAGAAACTGAAACGAAATGTCTCGATTGACAATTAAAATGTTTAGATAATACAAAATGTTTTGGTTTACTGTAAAATCACGCAGAGACCCCGAAACTTATCTAATCAGCAGTTTTATGGGCGATAAGGCTTTCCATTGTATTACTAAAAAACAATGCAGACATTTCTCCCTCAAAATGTATTTTATGAAGGCAAATAAAATATGAAAAACAAGAGAAAATAATTACAGGATATGGATACCTATCCAACAATAAAACTAGCCTAAAGCCAGCAATTTCATACAAGTTGTTAAGGGGCATTTTGCGCTTTTGTTTTGTCTATATAGAATCGCAACATCCACCTCAACATTTGTAGCAGAAACTGACAAAATGATCTCAAGATTCAACCGCAATTTTTTTTATGAGTTGGTGTATTAAAAAATGGATTCAAGCAAAAATGCTAGAGAATCAAAAACCTATTGTCGAAAGGTACAATATTCTTTGACATCTCTAATTTGCCTTTCAAGGCTATTTTATTTGTTTTTATGTAGATTAAATCCGGGTTTTATCGAAAACCGTTGTGATTTGTTTGAAAAAGTACTAGTTTTGTAGTAAATGAATGTTACTTAGTCGCAACTTGTGAAAATTAATGATCAAGACCTGTTTGTCGATTACAGAATTGAACAAGTATTTATTTGGCACTTATAGCTTTCTCTACGTAGGAGACAAATCATACAAATCCATTGGTAACAGGCTTATGCACTTTGTGGAGTTCAATCAATCAAATGAGTATGATATCAGAGAATACTAAATAAATTAAACCATATCATAGGAATCGATCCGTATTACCATTTTGTCGCCCTTTGTCATTATTTACTATATGATTTACTATTCAAATCTCGTATTTTGAGGATATTATGAATCATACTGTATGTATTTTGTTTAAACAAAAATGGAGAATATGTTTTGCCGTTTCAGTTTATTTTTAACTTAACTAGTAAGAGCTCATATATGTAATTTGTCTATGGTCTAGAACAACGTATCTACATTCTAGACACAATACCAAAGTTGAATTTTTGAACATGCCGTATCGACACTTTTTTTGAGAAAAATCATCAAAGTCCGAGAAACTTTATCACATGCAACATATAACATACTTAAGGGAAGATTTTCCTGGCTTAGTAGAGGCCGTTTCTAAAAATAAAGCGAAAAATGGAGAACCAGATTATCTCAAACCATATTTGTATTGAGGTTAGGTATCCATTTTCTTCTACCGTGCACAATAAAACTTGTTGAATAGAAGAAAAAGTAACAAACTTCATTAACCACATCTTGTTTAAATCCTTAAGATTTCGTGCTGAAAAAAACATCAGTGTAGTGTGATCAAGGTTAATAAACAGCTCTATTATTGGCATACATTCGAAAACTAAACCAGCAAGAATTCAATGATCTATAGTTAGCACTAGGCATACAATAAAAAAAACCATTTTATGCGTAATTTAGGTGTTAGTGTCAAAGACATATTATATAAGCTACAATGCGTACTTTTTGTAGTCTCACCTCAATATGTAGTTGAAAAAAAGTCCTCTAAGGTAAGTATGAAATATCACATTACCTTATTGACATTACTAAACCAAAGGTCCTAACTAAGCTTAGTCAAATAGTTGTTCTGTAAAATACTGTAATGACAAAGGCAGAGGCTGATATTTGCACTCTAAACCGGCCTAATAGACCGCATTAAACACACAAATAGATAATTATCATTATTGTTACAAGAATCTGGAATCAACTGCTGTAAATTGTTCCTCGAAAGTTAAGGATAGATAGTATAAGATACCTATATGTGTATCTTCCTAGATTAAATGTCAATCACTAATTAATTCTGATATATATTTTCACTGTTTGCCTGAAAAGTTTAACCCTCAACGTCCCTTCTACCAGATTAAAAACATTTTTATGTTAGACATACATTTCGATGTACCCCCGGACCTTATATCCGTTAGCAATTTTCATTACAAGCCTCTTACTAACATTTATAATTACAAATTGATTTGTTTGCGTAGTAAACAAATATGTATTTTAGAATATTTCTTTATGTGGCTTACTACTATAAATCCGTGTAGAAGCGCATTTGACAGCCATTATGGAAACATTTGTTATTTTTTCACAAGCCATTATGGCGGTTTCAACTGATTTAATTATTATTTAGTACATAGTATGATAACATGATAAGTACGAAATATTGCCTGATGATTTGGCTAGATCTATATCTTATTATGACTCTCAGAATTAAGAAGGCTTATGTCGTTGTCCTTCTTAAAATTTCCGCATTTATGCTTGAATCATGCAGTTTTAATTTTCGGCATATCCCGAGTTTATGACTGTTGGAATTTTGAAAATAAGTTCACAGAACAACAAAAGCACCTAACTGTTTGTTGAGGGACCGGTGTTTAATCCTAACAAAATATTTTCTGTTTTATTTAAGAATAAGCCCGACGTTAAAAAATAAGAGCTTTAATGTGTTAGTACTTGGATTGATTGTTGTGGTCAAGATTAAAATGACTAATTTCCCTCAACCCATATAATTAGTCTGTTCTATCAAGTCAGAACTCATAGCCATCAAACACTAAGGATATGTATATTGATTTTAAAGTGTGGGGCTTGCTTACGTCGTATAAGACCCTGCTTTCCACCCTCTCCTGAATTATGGATTATACGCTTTTTCATATTTAATTTTTGTATTGTGGAAACTGCGATTTTAACAACTGAAGCTGGTCTTCTGTGAAACCCAACAGTTGAGGGGATAAAGTACGCTACTCGAGAGGGTTATTTCGGTGTATTCACACAACTTGCGGCAAAAAATGTAACAGCAACGTAAATGAGATATGTACAGGTAGATAAACTAAAAGTAGAACTCTTTTCAGAATTTTGTCAATTTTGGAATTATACTGTTGACATAACAATATGGAAAGAAACATCGGTTAAGACAAATATGATCTCACTATTTCTTACCTTTTATTATACAAAATTGTATTTTGACAAAACATACTTCAAAGTCTGCAACATATGCTTTAGAATGTGATTTTATTCAATATGTCTTAATATAGTAACTTTTGTTGATTTTATTCCAACTGAACATTATTGCTCCGGTCTTCCTGTAATTGAAATCAGGACAGCAATATTAAGACATAATTATTTGTCCCATGACAATTATTTCGTCATCGTCACATCATTGCTATTAAAAACTAGGACATAGTTTATTAGAGCATGGATATATTGGTATACAAGCAATGCTTTACAGTGTACTTAAAAATCACAACTCAAATAACATCTTTTCCCACTGTTTAATTGGATTACGTATATATTATTAACATTTTGTTCACCAAAAGCAGCTCTTCATAATATGTTTTTGCACAATAACAGTACGACAGCGGCTCTTTCCCAAAATTTTAACGATATGCCAATACTAAACCATTGTTGCATACCAGTTCCATTTAAAATACCAATGCTAGATTAACCCAGAATAGTTTGTTATGAAGACTTTGTTACAGCTCAATGGAGTTATCTGATGTTCACATAATACGGGCAAACCGTCCCAACGTTCCAAATCTTGCCCTTTCGGAAGGACAGAAGCGCAGGCACACAAAAGTTGGAGGAAATGGAAAACGAAGTTGCGAAGGAAAAGCTTGTTTATGTAATCAATTTCTGCTTGTCCACACCATTTTCTTATGAGCTATCTTCAATTATCTCGGATCTCCCGCATTTCTCTGATATCAGAAAATTTAGTTTTCCTTTACCATTTCCAGACTTTTACTGCTTTGGTCTCGTGTCTCCCTTTTTTTCTACTGGGGTGGCTGTGCTATTATGAATTTCTTTTTTTCAGGGATCTTGTCAAAATGCTTGGTATAAATACACGTAGTAAGTGATATATAATTTTGGTTTGAAGTATATACTGATTGTATAGATTGCTGTGGTCACGAGATACCAACGTACCCGTTTCTGGAATTAAAAAGAATTCCTGTCTATGTGATGCCTATTTGTTCAGTATATTTTTTTTATATTTTTTTTTGTAATATTTATAATTATATATATACTTCAATTAATTAAAATCTCAGTATTTTTAGTAGCAAGTAGTTATCTACCTAATCAAAGCAACATAATAGTCTACTACGACTAATACTCAAGACAACTAATGGCTTTTCGAATTTATACGTTTTGAAGGAGAATTCAAGATAAGCTGACTTTAAGCAGACTCACCTAGTAAACCCCTCAAACGTCTAACTTCATTTTCCAGCTCATTGTTTTTCTTTAATAGTTCCTCGACTTTGGTCTCAAGCTGGTTCATTCTTTGTAACTTTCTAGCTCTTGATCTTCTGGCGGCCTCGGTATTCTTGGCACGCTTCAAAGATGCAGGGTCGTCACTTTCTGGAATGACTGGAGTCAAAGCTTGAGATCTCTTCTTGCGGTTGTAAACAACCACACCCAAGTGATCAACTTTCTCATCTTTCTTAACGGAAGATAGACAAGGAGACACAGGAGAACCAACAGTAGATTTCTTGGTGACACGGTTGGCCTTCTTAATCGATGAGTCAAGCTTGCCATCTTCAATCACGGGTGTTGGCAAGAAAGACGTCTTAGGGATGATCAGGTTGTGACCCATAGAGTTTTCTTCTTGCTTGATGGCGATGACCGGTTCAGGCTTCTGTTGCTCAAACTGAGTAATAGAAGCACCAGCGGCATCAGCGCCGAAGACATCCTCAACCTTAATCTCGACATCATCGTCAAACAAAGAAGTCCAGTTTTCTGGATTGTCAGAAGAACCTGAGACTGTATTACCAGCCAGTTGGTTATCATCGTAGTCGAACATTGGAGTTGAGTCAGTACTTGAAGAGAAAAAAGCATCGACCACAGCGGCATCAATGTCATTGTTGTCATTGGTGAAGTGCTGGTCGATAGTTGAACCAAAGAAATCAGTAGGAATAGCATTAGTAGGGTCCATTAGAGTATCACCATAGTTGTTGTTTGCGGCGTTTGAGTCATCACGCAGGATAGCTTGTTGGTCTTGGTTGAACTTTCCGAAGACCAATTCACCAACGACGACTTTCTTGTCGTTGGTGAATTCAGGCACACCTGCCTTGGTAACATTTTCATTTGATTGAGCGACGTACATTTTCATATAATTAATATTGGGCAAAATAATAAACTGATAAAATTAATATAATAAACTTCTTGTTTTAATCGATCTTTTGTAAATAATATTCGGTATTCTTTTTCTTTTAATAGGTTAAAGTTAAAAACTGGGGGAAACAGTTTGAATAATCATGGTTAACACGGCATATTAAAAAATTTGGTTTTTTAGAAGAGTGACTTTTGGGATTGTTCACTTTTTTATTCTTGTGGGGAAATAAATCTAAAGAAAATATTCTCTGTATGAGTAAAAAAAATTCTTTATAAATTCATCATTTTCTAAGGTTAAGGGGGAAAAATAATAAAATTTATCTCAACATATTTTTATAACTTGGAGTAAAAAATAATTGAAAAAAAATTATGATAATAAAGATAGAGGGGGGATATAGTATATCTTTCTTATTGACACATTTTTTTTAAGTTTTGGGTGATTTTTTTTTCTAATTGAAAAAAACTTAAAATATATCTAATCTGAAAGGGGGCTTTTAAAATTTAAACGCAAAAAAATAAATTTAGTAAGACATTGTAACTTATTGCTTTAATTACCTCGTCTACCTAAAAATCTAAAATCTAATATAACAAACACTTCTTGTAAATTCCCTCTATTGTAAAGTCTTTATTATTTGTCCCTATTGTTGGTTTCTTTTCATTATAAAAAAATAAATAACACAAGAAAGTAATAAGAAAAAAAAATAAATAGCAAGAATTGACTAAAAAAAATAGCCGCCAAAAGAAGACATTCTTTAGTTTACAGTAGAAAGGGAAGGACAAAGGTATCAAAACCTCATCACTTTTCGTTTCAGTATTTATACTTTGCACCAAAAGAGAGAGGAGTAAAAAATTTGTCACTCTAAGTACCTTCACACGTATCACACTATTTTTCCAACACTGTCTGTACTTCAACTGTACTACTGTTTCTGTGAGAAAAGGTGTGTGTGTATGATGTCTTGAAAAAAAAATGGTGGTGATGGTCCAGTTAAAAGAAAAATTCCATTTTCGGAAAGATGGGAAGTAGTGAGACAAGACTCAGAATGAGCCGGACACCGATGCATGGAACAAGGAAAAGATTGCAAGTTAGAATTGACTCATCTCTTGGTTTATTTCTTTAAACACCCAACATTAACGTACGCCTTCTATTTGTTGCAAGTCTTCTTCATTTGTAGGCCGGGAAAGGCTAACAGACAGGACCATGAGCAATTTAGCTACGTTTGCATCTGAGGTGGATTTCAAAGTTTCTCATTGGCTGTGTTGTTTGGTCTCTCTTATCTATATAAAATCAGTCTATAAGAAATAAGATAAGATTGCGAAAAGTACGTCTTCCTGCAGTGTTTTACTGCCAAATAACTCTAACAATATATACGAGTTGTGGCTAGTGTGGGAGGAAGCGAGAGAGAGGAAGAAACACTCGCAGAAAGTGGGGGTTGATACCAGATAACGGGATCCTCCTTCCTCCGATCATGGTCACATTTTATTGCAACTTTTGTTTGATTGTTTTTTGACTGTGGTACACCGGTAACGGCTTTCCGACTCACACTGCCGAAACAGGCTACCCGAATTTGTTAAGCAAATATCTCATGATACGAAAGATTCACATGTGTTGTATATAGTGATAATTGGGTGTTAGAGGACATAGTACAATATAATACACGGGAAACATATACACACGGACATTTGTGTGTGGGGTTGAATTTACAAGTGCTACAAGTCTTTTTTAGTTACTTTTCTTGTATTTTGTATGTTTGTACTTGTAAGTCTTGTCTAGGCGATAGCCGCTGTCAGTATTCCTTTGTCAATTAAAGACGTTTGTAAAACTCAAAATGGAGTTTAAGAACCCTTCGGATTAACGGAACTATTGAACCAAGATATCTCCCTCGAGAAAGAGCAATTGTGAAAGGGGGGACCAGAAGAGAATGGCTCACCTTCCAAAAAGTTGCGGGATAAAAACATACATCCGTGCCCCACACTAGCAAAAAGGGATTCCTGTATCAACCATAGCACGAGGCATTTCCTACGGACATCCCCATCCCAATACCTCACAAAAGAAAACCGGATCCAGGAAAAGGAATGGGCAAGAAAAAGAGGCATCCCAACGTAAAATATAGGAATCCCAAACAACAGAAAAGAAGCACAATCACTACGTCATTTTCTTGTTTCTATCTATAGCCTCACACTTCACCCAGTACTCCCCCCACACCAACATACTTACCATTGCTGTGGGACAATGGAAGGAGGTGGGAGGGAGCCTGGTGAACTCGTACTAACCTTTTAGAAGGGCAATTTGATCCGTTTTCTTTACACGATCATATATTCCTTTTTTGGTCTTTTTTGCTATCCTAGTACACGTATCCCACAGAAACACAAGCACAAAGCCCATCAGGTCCTGTCCCAGAAGCCCAAAATCGTCATGTTACCTTTTCTCGCCCACTAGCACAATGGAGGGGGGGGAGCCTAGAAAGACAATAGTGCTACAGAAGGGACAGTCACAATGTATCGTGTGGGAATCGACTCCTTCGCCTCTCCCCCAGGCTTCCTTTTCCATCATCCCCCCTTCCCATGCAGAACTCTTTTAGAGAAGCAGTGATTTCAAGACATCATACTACAAGTCCTCTCTCCTTTGTCTACTGAGTAAAGATGATCATTTGACCCATTAGACCAAACAAGACCAGTGATGTTATAGAAATCGATTGGATCACTGGCAATAGAATTGGGCGATTCCGATTCCTTTACCATTGAACAACATCACCAAGCTCGAGCAAGAGAGCAAGAGAGCAAGAGAAGTAGAGCCATTTTTTCTTTCTTTTTCCCTTATTCCGAAGAAGCACATTAGTCTCCTAACATTAAAAATTTTTCTTTGAACTTTTTGTAACTAATGAGTGGAAAACAGAAAGATATATATAGGGATTGAGTTTTCTATGAACTCTATTCCTGAAGCCCCAAATCACTTTATAAACTATCCTTTACAGTACTTTTTTTATTCTTGGTATATTCTCCTTTGTAATAGAAAACCAACACATAACCAAATAGATTATTATTAACAATGGGTGTCCAAGAAGTTTTGAAGAGAAAGACCGGTGTCATCGTCGGTGACGACGTTAGAGCCTTGTTCGACTACGCTAAGGAACACAAGTTCGCTATCCCAGCTATCAACGTTACTTCTTCTTCCACTGTTGTTGCTGCTTTGGAAGCTGCTAGAGACGCTAAGTCCCCAATCATCTTGCAAACCTCCAACGGTGGTGCTGCTTACTTCGCTGGTAAGGGTGTCTCCAACGACGGCCAAAACGCTTCCATCAGAGGTTCCATCGCTGCTGCTCACTACATCAGATCCATTGCTCCAGCTTACGGTATCCCAGTTGTCTTGCACTCTGACCACTGTGCTAAGAAGCTATTGCCATGGTACGATGGTATGTTGGAAGCTGACGAAGCTTACTTCAAGGAACACGGTGAACCATTGTTCTCCTCCCACATGTTGGACTTGTCCGAAGAAACCGATGACGAAAACATCGCTACTTGTGTCAAGTACTTCAAGAGAATGGCCGCTATGAACCAATGGTTGGAAATGGAAATCGGTATCACCGGTGGTGAAGAAGATGGTGTTAACAACGAACACGTTGACAAGGAATCCTTGTACACCAAGCCAGAAACCGTTTTCGCCGTCCACGAAGCTTTGGCCCCAATCTCTCCAAACTTCTCCATCGCTGCCGCTTTCGGTAACGTCCACGGTGTCTACCAAGCCGGTAACGTCGTCTTGTCCCCAGAAATCTTGGCTGACCACCAAAAGTACGCCGCTGAAAAGACCGGTGCCCCAGCTGGCTCTAAGCCATTGTACTTGGTCTTCCACGGTGGTTCTGGTTCCACCCAAGAAGAATTCAACACCGGTATCAACAACGGTGTTGTCAAGGTCAACTTGGACACTGACTGTCAATACGCTTACTTGACCGGTATCAGAGACTACGTCTTGAACAAGAAGGACTACATCATGTCCATGGTCGGTAACCCAGAAGGTGCTGACAAGCCAAACAAGAAGTTCTTCGACCCAAGAGTCTGGGTTAGAGAAGGTGAAAAGACCATGTCCAAGAGAATCTCTGAAGCTTTGGACGTCTTCCACACCAAGAACACTTTGTAAATGTAATGAGTTTTTTGAAATTTATTTATTAAGAATTTTTTTTTGAAGCACATTTTATTTACAATATGACCCCCCATACAATTTACATACACATTTTACATATCAAATAATTTTACGACTCGTATAAGATATAAGATGATACAATATTTCTAAAGAATAACATATTATATCAGACCAAAAAGTACACTATTCATCAACTATCTGTTTATATAAATCTACAGTCAATAAACTTTGAAAATCATAAATGTGTAAATATTGCAAAAGAAAAATGTAAATCTATTTATAATTAAATTAAAATTTGAAAAAGCAAATATAAAAAATTTAAGCACTTGCCGAATATGTATATTAGCTCTCCATGCTAAAAAAATGGTTAATGGTGCACCTGAGACAGTGAACAACTTTTGTATCTGAGTTACAGTTACAACAATAACACATTTAACTCTTACTTCATAACCACGCCTTTCCTGGTGGCCAAGCTTCACAGACAAGTAGATGAAAGTACAATACTTGCAAAGCCACCTGAATAAGTTTCGATTCCCAGCCTCAACTGATCCTCTATGATAACTCCGAGCTATTTTGCACGCGGCTAAACTAAATGGGGATGAGGACAATCAATCTTATCGTCCACTTTTTCTGCATTAAATGTTGAAGATGAGACATAATAGCAGAATGAGTTCATTTTTTACTCTTTCTTCCAATCTTAGATAACGGTGGTGGAATATCCCCACAGTGCGTTCTAGTAATTTTGTAGTCGATTAGACCAGCTATTACTGCAGTTACTAGACCTATGCCACTCAGAACAATACCACATATAAAATTAGAATGTAAACTATGCGTAAATCCTCCCGGAGTAGAATCGTTACCCAGTGGGGCCACATACCACATAACCATGGCTGTATAACTTGGACCAATAGAAATGGCATATGAAATAACAGTGATAATCAGTGATGCAGCTATACCTTGTGATTCTTTTCTTACAGAGTCAGAGAATAGCAAAGTAGCTGTAGGCACTGTAATATCTACTGCAAACGGAGCTATTATTGAGGAAACAAAAGGCTGTGCCCAATATGTTGTATTTGGAGTCACTGTGGCCATCAAAATATTGGGCACAAGAAAGCAAACCATTGATATGACCATCATAGTGGGTGCTTTAATATTAAGCTGCAGACACGTTACTGTAAATATTGCTGCAGGTATACTTCCTATTGCCAAAGGAACCAATTTTGCTGCAATTCTCAATGGACTATCATTATGTACAAGTTCATAGAACTGCCAAAACCAATTTGCCCATATAACGAAACTTAAAAATCCAAAATAGACACAGATTAGAATTACAACAACATCGGCTCTCAAATGCTGGAGCGGTACCAGCGGATCATCGACCCTCCAATCGACAAACATTGCAATAAGTATTAAGATTACTCCGATAATAAGAGTAATATAAGTATGTGGTGGTGACCACCCAAGTGCAGATGCTTGTGTAAATGCAACGTCAAACAAAACCAAACCTGATACACCTGTAATAGCTCCCAGATAATCGAATCTCTTGTAGAGTGGTTTTGAATTTGGTTTGTGAACAATATTATCTGGGGGAATGAATAATATGGCTCCTACGGTATACAGCACACAAACACAAGCCAACGCCCAGTAGTTCCAAGCCCATTTAGTTAATTGGGCAAAAAGACTTGAAAATGTTGTACCAATAACAAATCCTGTAGACGTCATCATACCAAAAATGGAGAATATAATAGTTTTCTTTAAACCTGGCTCGAAGTATGTTCTACCCATGATGGCTAAAGAGTTAGGCACTATAAATCCTGAGCCAATACCTTGCAAGGCTCTAGCGGTGTAATAGAAAGCCTGATTACCTCTATCATAGTAACTAAAGCCTGTTATCAAAGACCATATTGTTAGCCAAATCCAACCGAAAACTACCATCCGTTTATGCCCGTTCAAATCTCCTAATTTACCAGCAATCAAGACCATAACAGCAGAACCAAGCATGTAACTCGCATTTGCCCAACCAACAAGACCACCCTTAGCAGGCTCGATTCTGTATCTTTCTCTCAGGTAAGCCGCTATGGGAACACCCTGCACAGCTCCTATAAGTGTTACTAACTGCGACGAAATCAGGATAATAACCAGAAATATCTCTCTGATCCATGTCTTTGGTAGCCTGATACTGGTGTCTACCTCTGTAAGTTTCTCAGCTGAATACTCAGTATCCGAAGATGTACTGGTACTACTCAAATTTGACTTCGACATTGGAGAAGACATGCGTGTTGCATCTATATTTAATGCCTGATGCCTTTTCAATAGTTCTATACCAAACTAAAACTGCTACTTTAAATTAATACTAGGAAGCTTCCTGGTAATGGGTATACTTTCTAATTATTATTTGCAACCTCTGTGTTCGCAAGGCTTCAATAGGTTAATATAATATCATAGAATAATATAATAGAATATATAAGAAAGGATAAAAAATTTTTTTGCAGAGTTCAGGTTTTTGATCCTTCTACAGCATACGTAGCGAGCACATGTAATATGCTTTTTACTACCCCCCCTGCACTCATCAAAGAAACTGTAAATCTAATGTAAAACGTTACAAATCTTTAGTACCGTATTTCCCTATTGGAATGGGACAGACAGGCAATTGTGTAAGTGCTCATCTAAGTACTGAAGGGGAAATGAAAATACAGCCATCGTTCTTTTGACTTTTCCTCTTAAGAGTGCACACACAAAGCGAGTCCCTTCGCAATACCTGTTGATCTCCTTTTAGACTTGTCATTATACAAGAGACAATCCCATCAAACTTTCCCAACGTATTACACAATATTTTGTAAGTTTCTGTATTGGCGAAATACAGATGAGAGTGTAGCAGAGCTCTTTCCTGAATGAAATAGGAGGCCATACAATCAATGGGGGGAGGTCCATGGGGAGAAGGGGCGATATCTTTCGCGCAGTTGCTTTCCTTCGCAACCCGTATTGCCTTCCTATCTGTATGGGGTTGTAATTGACAGCTACTGGCGTGCAATAACACCAATACCACTGTGGAAAAGTGGTGTCAATAGATCACAGTTGTAGCAGGATGCTGATATGATTACGAACACTATCAAATTATGTAATTTCAGGTTCAATAGTACAAGAGCTCATGTGAAAATATAAGCTATTTGAATACCGGCATGGTATTCTAATAAACTGCGCGAGGCCCTGAGCTCGAAAAAAAATCCAACAATGAAAAAAATTGAAAACTAAATAAAAATATGTCAAAATGTAGTATTGATCTCATCGCTGTTTGTTATAGCTACACTAAAACATTGCTATGAATTTAGTTCTTTAAAATATAGTATTGTAATTCAGACAACTACATAACCGGCGCAGGTGTTTTTTACAGTGGTATTTAACTGATAGAGATAAGTAAAAGAGAGATGGAACAACAACCAGTGGCAAAACAGATCAAGAAGAACAATGGTCCTAGACGTAGACCCAAGAAGAGTGGAGAGGCAAAGAAGGCTAATAGAAATGATCAAAGCGATTCCGGCAAGAAGAAACCTGGAGTGAAGGACAATAACAGGAGATCTAGGAACAAGAAAAATGATAAAGGCAAGGATTTTAAGGTGATTCAAGATGATACCACTAAGCAGAATAATAAGGTGCGGGATGAACAAGTATCAGAATGCGAACACCTGTTGAACAAATCTCATGGTTTCAAGTTGTTTCGCAAAGGTGATTTTATCAACACATACAGCTTCACATTCCATGATCCATCCCGAACAAGGAGCAAAGACAGTAACATAAGGGTCAGAGTACAGGTGCCGCATGACTATCCAAGAAATGGATTGACGCTCAACATTGAGTCGAAGTCAAGAGATACTGAAGTGTTACAGACGATATGCAAAAATTTCAAAATATCTTCTAGAAATTTAACAAGGCAAGCTGTACCGATTGTATCACAGTTGAACATGCTAGTGAATTCATTTGATGAGTACACGGTATCAAATTACGCTGCATTCGAAGATATGAAGTCACAATGGTTTAAATCTTTTGAACAAAGGGATCAATTGGAAGTAGTACCAGCTCTGCCGAAAGCTGATGTATCAGTGGCATGAAATTAGTATATCATTTTGCATAGATATTAAGTAACTGAATAACAAGCATAATTTACTGTATCAAAAAGCCAAGGGGTAAATCAATACGACGCCATTATAGTTTACACATGCACAGGGGCACTTCATTTCTACCGCTTTTATCTCCCACACTGCAATTGAGTATAAGTAAAAGAGTTGCAAGTTTCCGCCATTTGATTGCCCTTTCGCACGATGTGGTATAACAATGTCGGGACGGAACCATAATTTTAAGTACCAGTTTGCATTTGCCTCGGATCCGGTTTTTCCCCCAGAGGCTCACGTATCAGCACAATCCTCTACATACACTGACAATCCCATCTTGCAACTACAATGCGGTGTTTTTTTTCACACAAGAATTTCTCAATTTTTATAGTCTCCTTATGCTCATGTGATTCTATCCGACTACTACACCAAGAAGAACCGTTACCAACGATTGCACAAGCCTTTGCACAAGCCTTTGCACAAGCCTTTAGTGCTTTTGAGTGCATTGCTCAAATCCAAAATACACTAATCTGCAATACCTTCGATGTCCAGTAGCTATTTTGACATGGTTTGCTATTTCATATGGGCCTTATCAGACAGAACTCATCTCTGCGGGGTTTTACTGTAAGTAATCTAATTCCCATCGCTTTTTTCAGAAAAAAATTTTTTTTTTTTGTGAAAAAATATTTTATTTTGATATTTGGTATTTCCAAATCCGGTTGTGCAGGAGGTTCTGTGTGTGGGGGTTATTTATGATCCAGTAAATTTATTTATTTTGTCAATTCCTCATTGAAATATTTCATGAATTTTGCAATTTAGACTTTGCAAGAGCTTGGTACATGCAAGGATTGATCCCATTGAGACTTGTTTATAAGAAGTACGGGGACTGAGGGTTTATTTTGTTGCTATTGCTGGTACTTACCTTATTATATCGTTTCGCCAGGGTGCTAAGGGTTGTGTGTGCAATTATCAGAGTAGCACATCGAGTATTTGAAATACGGATCGAATAATATAATAACCGCTATGACAGGTACAGTGTCGACAGCTGTTGGCTGTGCTGTGGGGATACCCGTTGGCGTGGGTGTTATAGTCGCGTGTCTTTTCTGGATCAGAATGCAAAGGCGACTCAAGGAGGAGGATATAATAGACCAGGAGTTGAACAGAGCTGTCTACGACGAGAGTGGGTTTGTCAGCTTCAATAATATTGATACATTAAAGGCCGAACCTAACGGACATCCTAGCTCTGAGGATACTAATGAAGTAATGCATAGCAGTGACATTGATGACAATGGAGATGATGACGATGAGGACCACAATGCAAGAAGGAACAACACATATGCAGCACAGGATAAGAATAACGGAAAATACGTGCCCGCATATAGAAGACAGATAAATAAACACAATAGCATATTACAACAGCAGCGCAAGAGTCGAAATTTAGTGAACACCATGGGACACAGTATAGAATCTTTATCAATGGATGATCACAGCCAAGCAAATGGGAAATCAAGACAAGTGAGCGTATATGACCAAATGGTTCCAGTTTTGGATGATGCTAATAGAGACTCTAGCTCTCCATTCCCTACTAATGACAAAGATACAAGTGATAAAAAATCTAACTTATTTCAATCTCATGATGTCAGTGCTAATACATCTACTTCTTTCTTTGAAACAAGAAGTAACGATAACCTCATTAAAAATTTAAATAGCCACGATTTTGGCTCATATTATCCTAGAAGGCCGTCGACATCAAACCTCAACCATTCACAGGGATCATTGCATACTAGAAACTCTTCTATGCTATCCCTTGGTAAGATAGAAAATGCAGAGAATGTTTTCGCAACGCCCAAAAGTGAAAATATACTAAAACATCCTCATCCTTTGGAACATGAGAGTTCATCGATATCGAACGAAACTAACAACGTAACAGACAACACAATCGACGGTGAAAGTGCGTCCAAATCTTCCAAAACATACCAACTAAAGAACAATTATGATATTCAGAACACCAGTGAAATCGCAGAGGAGGATCAATATGAAAATGAGTTCACGAACTACTCAGAAAACAAAAGAGCCTATATTGATGGTCTGAGACCTAAGATGTAAATTATCGAATCCAAGTAAATTTAACAAGCACCTGAAGCCACGGAAACAAGCACAACAACGGCATTTTGTGTTTCTAAATACCATAATTGTCCAGTTTATAGCATTTTTACAGATATTATTCTAATATCCATGTACTTGATATTTAATAAAAAGTATTTTAAGTAGATCTTAATGATTCATCATTTTAATCCTAGTTTAAATAATATCTTACACATCTTTCATAAATGTTCACGGGTTCATTACGCTACTTTTATCAAAACTAGTGCAATTAAAAAATGACTATTAACGACAGCTAAGAAGATCGCCCATTACTCGATGAAAGCGACACTCTACCATCTATTCGCACTAACAAACTCAAAAATGTGAGATTTAATAGATGCTAACTAATTTAGACCTAACAATAAGAGCAGTATAGTAAATGAATAAGATTCTAACTTGGGTTAAGAGGAAGAAAAAATGCCTCTCCATCTTCAGAGCCGCCCATCGATATACCTTCATCATCCTCATTCCCTAAGAAACTATCTAGGGTATTGATTTCAGCTAATCCACGTCCATGTAGGTGGTGACCAGTTTGTGATACTGCATTTAAGGTGTTGTCTTTGCCAGCAGATACGTAGGACTGAGACATATCTTGCTTTCCAGGAGATGCTGGATTATCTGCAAGGGACCTCAATGACTCCCAAAAATCTTCTTCGTCTTCTTCAAGACTATAGAAATTGTTGTAATTTGATTGGCCATTAACTGTTGTTTGTTTAGAATCATCGCTGGTTTTTTCATATTCCAATTTAATTCTTTTATTCTCCTCATCCAGTGCTCTCTCACTATCAACTTCATGCTGTCTGCTTGTTCTACGCTTACGCTTTTTATGTTTATGACCGTTCTCACCTAATAGGTACTGAAGATTAGTTGATCTAGTAGATCCCGAAGATTCTAATTGTGGTTTCATTGTAGAAGGCAAGTATGTAAAGTGTGTCATCCGGTTCGGACCACCTTCTGGTAATTCGCTGCCGGGGGTGCTGAACGAACCAGCTGAACTTGAAGTGCCTGTATGTCCATGCTCATTTGATATTTGCGAACCTCTCTGGTCTGGTGACATATTAGCTTCATTCGATGGCTTACTGTAATAATCGTTCGAAACCGGCGTGTCCGCATCTAATCCAAAGGGGTTGTAATTTGGGGAGGTTGCCATAAAGGCATTATCAGATACATTAAATACATGCCCATAATCATTTGGAGTTTCAAATACAGATAAATCGTTGGAAACTTCTAGATGCTGAGCTAATGCATCTGCTACTGGTTTCACAGACTGGCTCCTTGAAATGGAATCATTCAAATTTACCTGAGATGATTGCTTGGCAGCTGGACTACCGTAATGATTATGTATATGCTGATGAATTGAAATTTTCAAGTTATGCTTTTTAGCCTGCTCGACCAGTTCTTTAACAAGCTGGGAGTTACTGATACTTCCATTGGAAATTGAATAATCCTGACTATCCTTTAGGGTAAATTTCCATTGATGTGTTGTAATCTTAGGTTTGCTTTGATCATCTATGGTTGTTTCAGCAAATTGTTGCTCAAGGGAAGGTGTATCACATCTGGAATCTGCTAATACTGATCCTGGGGATGTTAAACTACTTGGCGATTTCATTGCTGTTTTCATGACATTACTTGTCTTCAAGTGACTTGCAACTTGTACAGGAGAAGCACTTTTGTAAGGCCTTTTTGATTGCTTCATTTCGAATAAGCTTAATGCCCTAGTTTCAAGACCTTCCCTTACATTGTCCTGTGAGCTGATAGAATTAGTATTTGATCTCTGTTTCTGGTTGAATTTGTTATCTTCATTCTTCATTTCAGTAGCCACCTCTATTCCAATATCCTTAGCATTACTACTGCTGAAATCTTGGGAAGGCGAGGTCAAACTAGCATAACTCATTGTATCGCTCGTTGTTTCCGTAAGTAAACTAATTTGAGACGTGCTATTACTAGAGTTCCCATTTTCTTTTAATTTTGACCTTCTTTTGTATTTCTTGAACTGTCCGATACCAAAATCTATATTTTTATCTTCTTTTACTGCTTTCATAATCTCTTCAGGTGCCAGGCCTCTTACCACCATAGTTATAATTCTACGCCAACGATTACGACATGTCAAACTTGGTCTACTTTCCATCTCTGAAGATATTGTTCTCCATTTTGTTCCATACTTCTTGACCTTACTTATTAAACTCAATTCTTCGTCTAATGTCCATTCACGTAGTCTTTCCTTGCTGCTCGGTCCTAAAACCTCTACGTATCTCTTAGAACATTGATCTTCTGTTCTACCTAATATTTCTGATGAGATGTCAAGCCATTTAGGTCCATGTTTTTCATAAGCGGAAATAAGCTTCTGGTCCTCTTCCGGTGTCCATTTCCCTCTTTTGATATTTGGATCCAGAGCACTAATCCATCTTTTTCGTAACAGCTTTGGGGTTCTATCTTTATCTTTAAAAGCGTGTATGAGTTTTTCCCACTTGATCTGTCTGGAATAATTCATTGAGTCATGTATGGTTTTCAGATCCTTAATACCATTCACCAAACCCATCCCTAGCAGCTCATCGTTCACTAAGTCAGCTAGTTTCTGATCTTCTTCTTTGCTCCAATAGTTTTTACTAGCTTTTCTATTAGTCTTATAACCTAAAGACTCAGTAATAGAGAGAAGATCAAAATTTTCATTCTTTTTTACAGATTCCTTATTTCCTTTAACAGAGGCTGCCATTTTCAGTCACAAGTGTGGAATAAGAAAAAATGGTCTTTGTAAGTACTCTAGTATATTACCAGAAGTGTGACAACCGTGTAACTTGTTAGCTGCGCCGAGGTTTCCAACCTAATATGTATATTTGTTTAAAAGGACGACTATCGATAATCTAAACTTCCCAATAAGTGATTTAGTAAACAATAAAAATTTGGACAAACTTCTTAGTGCAACAGTAGACAAAATATGAATCAACAGTACCGAATTGTATTCAACCTAGGTAGAAGAGCCAGTCTTATAATACCTTGACAATCAATGCCGAAAAGCCAAACACAAATTTCACTTTTCTTTGGTTAACAAAAATGAATTAGGAGCAGCTTTATCCTGGAATCTTTCGCATAACTCTATCTAAGCAAGAAATCACACTATGAATAATATAAATACAACTTCTTATTATCAGGTACGCAACCAATATCAGGGCATCGAAGATGACATAACATTCACGATTGGTAGCTCATCGGAGAATATCCGGTCATCGTACGATCATTCTGAAAAATTTAAGAAAAACATAAATCGTGAGAGGCGACAAAATTATATACACAAATATGGTCAAAGTACATGTAGCTCTTAGTTATGAACTGTTCAATTGAGATTCTAAATTCAAGTTACATATTTGCACTCCCACGATATTGAACACTGGTTCACCAAACTCTTTGATCTCGATGTCGATGTCACATCTATTCAAACACGGCAACTCTTGTAATTCTTAAATTGATTTGATGTATGCCTTTAAAAGTTCCTTTGTTGCTCTACCACCGTAATGAAGAGTGTCGCCCCTAGTAACATTTTTGTGATCTTCTCCTTCAAGCTGCCCTAATATGAAATTAATAGCAGTGATGACACTGTCTTCCATAAAACTATAGTATATAAAATCCACAATTGTATCAGGTTCCTCATCGTGTACTTGAATGCATTGAACCACGTTAGGAATATCATGATAATATTGTGATCTATGTGGAGTATCGTCCCCATCACAACCTGCATCATCAACTGTAGTAAAACCCTCACTTAATTTCGGATTAGTCACAAAAGGACACTTTTGAGAGGATGCTACCAATTTACTACCAACTCTTCCCTCAGGTGGTACTAAATGGGCGATTACAGGCCCGTTATTTAACGCTGGTTCAATCTGAATAGCTACTTTAAGTGGCAACCTAATATATTTCCAAAAGTTAGGGAAAGGCATCACGATATATTCAGTATCCTTAGTAAATGGACCTTTATATAAGTCATATCTTACTGAACCAGAGTTTATCATAATAATCCTAGAATGTGAAAATAAACCTTTTGGCGTTTCTAATAGAGGGAGAACTTTGGTTGACAATAAATTATAGATATTCTCTGATGAGTTTAATGGTCTGGCAGACATATAAAACGTATGGGGTACATACCCAATAATTTCGTTTAGTCCTAAATGCGTTCTAAGTTTTGAAATTGCCTTCGAAACGCTATCACCTAGCGTTGTGGTCAAAGACTTCACGCCTGCATGAAACTTAAATGACCTTTTACTAAAATCCAAATATCTTCTTGAGAAAGTAACATTTTGACTATCTAAATTATCAATGGATAAAAATCCAACAGTTTCTGAGAATTTTCCACTTTGTAGACATGTTGACTTATCATCCATAATCTTGAAATCTCTAATGTGGGTATGGCCGCCAAAATATTGAATGACAATATTTGGGTAGTACTTTCGGAGTTCTTTATGTATCGATAGAAGTTCATCATCAGCCTCACCCCTAGCAGGAATATGACCAAACACTAGTACCATATCTATGTCATCTTCTGTATATGATTTAACCATATCGGAGAACCAAGGTTTCTTTATTTCTTGTATTGCTGGTGTTACTATTGTTTTACGATTATATCTCTTAAAATCAAAAATAAAAGATAGCGCTAAAATTTTGGTCTTGGTATTTGTAGTTTTGAAACACAAATATTTATTACCAAATGCGTGTTTGCTACCTTTGTCATCAATGAATTCGACATTGCTCGAAACATATTTGTCCTTGAACTTACCAGAAAGAGCTGTCCCATAATACTCTAATATTGAAGCCTCTTCAGTGTACAATTCGTGGTTCCCCAATGTCAATAAGTCAAAGTCCATTTCATTAAAAATGACTGACGAGTTCATACCTACTAAAGAAGTGGCATCGCTCAAACCATTGCCATCTCGCTTATCTCCAGTATCAAGCACAATTAGATCCTGGTTCTTGCTATTTATTCTGTTCTTGCGAAACAATTCCACAAATGATATGAAGTCGCCCCAATCAGCGTTAAAATCTCTCTGCAGCAGATGAGACCCTAACCAACCATGAGTGTCTGTCGTGTGCAGAAAATTAATCTTACCTAATTTTATAGGTCTTAATTCTAGCGATGCAGCATATTCACTAGTACTAAAGAACTGTTCTGTCGGAAAGGCACCAATAACCTTCACAAACAATAAAAACACCAACCACAGCATTATATTTTGTAATTCATGTAGTGTCTCACAACTTATAGAAAGACAACAAACTAGTACAGGTAATGTGCTAATATACTACAATGCCAATGCGCTAGATCCAGATATGAAAATAAGAGCTGTCCATGATATAGAGCTCCTATATATGTATAACCCTGAAGGATCCTTTTGATTACTCATCGCCGATTTTTTTGTGTTTACACAAAAGGCCCATAATTTGTAGATCACATCGGAATCGACTGATATAGACTACAAGTAGAGATAAGTAAAGATAGGACTGCAGTATATGTCATCAGACCGCATATTCTAACATTTATATAAGTACTATAACATACATGTGCTTCCTGAAACACATCTTTATTACTGCTCACAGAACACTTTCTACATTCATTCTTATACTAGTAAATATGATTCAACAAGGAACATGACATCGGTGAGATGCATATGAACTTTACAAAATAATAGCAAATAGACACTAAAGCTATAGAAATATTTACCAGGTTATCAGGTACCCATTTTTAAGTATTGCTAACCTCGGTATTTTGTTGATTATATTGAATAATCCGATCTATTCGACCCTGACACTTTTAGGGATCGATGACGTGATAAAAGTTGGCTACCTGACAGAGGGCATCGAAAAATGCTAATGTCCCCAGTTATAAGGCGCACATAATAATAGCATGCATATCAGTTCTCGCTGAGAACATTTTTATTATTTCCATTGAAACAGATTGTATTATCATGGTAAATTGGATGTATATAAGGTATTAGGTATATGATATTAAGTTAAAGTAAATGGCTAATTTCTGGGGTACAGGATGCAGGAAGTTCTACAAATTCTTGCATATATATGATAAAACAACTGCCAACTCATTTGATTTCTTAAAAAGAGTAAGAAAATCAAATGAAGGGGACTTTATGGTTGTACACATCGAATTTTTCAAAGTGTAGATATCTGTATTGGTGACAATCCTTTTTATTCAGATGAGCTGACTATAGCATTTGAACTATAACTATAGGTGCTTCCGGAGCTATACGGTCTATCAGGCAACGAAGTAGACAGGTCTGCCGAAGGTAAAGACGAAGAACTAGAATCAGTTACACACTCAACTTGATTCTCATTGTGCAATGCGGATGAGAACGTAACTTGTTTCTTTGAAAAATCTAAAATTTCAACAAAACTTTGTCCATCCTTCTCAACAGCAGCTACCAAAATATTACCCTTGAAATTAACGGACCATATTTGATCTGCATCATTGAGTATATTAGAGTGAATCAATTTACCTGTCCTTAAGTTATAAATGTTAAATTGACCTTCAGATCCACTCACAAGTATATTGTCAGTCATGTAAAATGTTGTAATAGCACTCAGGTTATTATGATGATAAGCAAACTTACGGGAATAATCAGAAGAATCCCAACCACGCAAAGAACCATCTGCAGCTGCGCTTACCAGGAATTTGTCAGAAAGCTTTAATAATCCTACCAGAGCAGTATGTCCTTGTAGTGTCATCATTGGCCCAGTTATTTTTGTACAAGGAACAGTAGCGTTTGTAACATTTACACATTCCCCATTGTTCCAAATGTTTTGCAAGTCCCATATTTTGATGGTCGAATCCATACTTGCGGATATGCATCTATTGCGCTTATAGTCATAAATTGTAGAATAAATACGATCCGTATGCCCCATTAAAATATACAAACATTTCATCTGTATGATATCCCAAACGATCAGATTATTGTCATAGGAACCACTTATGACAATTCTTCCGTGACCAGAAACAGTTCTTACAGACGCAATATGCCCACGTAATACTCCAACAAAATATGGGTTTTCCTCTGGAGAGTGGAAAAATAATGGTCCGTTATTACTATAAACGTTTGGCATACCTTCGTCTATATTACTATCGCTCATCTGGGGTAATTTCCATATATGCAGAGTATTATCTCTAGAACCAGTAACGATGTACTTCACACCTTCATGCTCAACTATGTCCAAACATCTGACAGTTGAAGTGTGACCTTTAAAGACATGTGTACATTTCCCTAAATGAATATTCCAGATCCGGACGCTTCTATCGGTAGACCCGCTAACCAAAATTCCGTTTCCAGCATATTTTAACGCCCAGACACCACCATCATGCCCGCTTAGCTCAATGAGAAATTTCTTTGTTATGGAATCATATATTCTTATCATCTTGTCGTCGGCACCAGTAATAACATAGTTATCTTCAAACTGCAAGCATGTCACAACACTGGTCATGTGACCTTTTAGTGTAGTTCTTTGGGGTATAAAATCAGGATTATACCAGTTTTGCAATATGCTGCAATTCATCAAAAAGTCCTGGCGATATCTTGAATCGTTATCAAATGGTGGATCTAACTTGTTATTCTCAACAGGGTATTTTTTGTCAAACGAATCCTTAGAGACAAAACTTTCTGACAGTAATAGATGCTTCCATAATGCCGGTGTTCCGTTAATCAATCTGTTCCAGCTTTTTGATACTTGTAAACAATTGCTTATCGACTCAAATGGTAGTTTGTTTAATATCTTTAAGGTAATCTCCAATGGTAAAGATGTAACAAAATCTCTCTTAAGATTATCTCTCAAAAGCGTTGAAATATCAGATAATTCGCTTCTATGCATTCCGGATAGAAGACTATAAATCAAGTGGTTCATGTTAACTGCTCCTAGACTGGCTTTGATTGTTGCCAGAAGTCTCTCAGTTTCAGCTCGTTCTTTATCTTTGTATTCTTCAATGAGGTCCATAGACTTGAGTATTGGGGATGCTGAACCTGGAGTGGACGCTATTGGTGATAACGGTAGAGCCCCGTCATCTAACATTATACCACTCTCTGCAGCAGTATCCACAGCCATGGAGTTGTTAACATTACTTTCATTAGCTGAACCAGAAGTTACTAAACCTGTAGTTACTTTTGGATTCGACACCGTAGACGGTGTAGAAACTGCAACATTAGCGTTTGCACCTGTTGTATCAACACTAGTCGGTGGAATAGTTGATACAGCTGGGTTAGATGAAGTGTTACTCACAACTGCTGTTGGAGGCGCTGACAACATACTAATATTGTCACACGTCCCATCCTCAGTCGAGCACAACGACTTGTCATTAATGTCTGTCTCATTTGGAGTATTCGTAGCCCGCACCAATACCTCCAGACTACTGGGAGTACGCCCAACTCCATCCTGCATATCATCCAGACATATCTTCATCCGCTTCCGATCCGCACCCCCATCAACATCGTGCCGGCGCTTGCTATTTCCAAGAGGCCTGTTTCGCTTGGCCGCCAACTGGTACTTGAATGGAATCGGTATCTCCGCTAGCGGGAACTCCAAAGCCTTCATATTATTGCCACTGATATCCTTTCTCGTCTAGATGCTCTCTAACTACTTTAAGCTACTATTAACTACCTTCTTCTTGACTCAAAGGGACTCTTTTGTGCTTGAGATTGAGATTCCCCCAGTTCGGTTTCGGATCCCAGAGCTGAAAAATTTTGTTGATTGACAAAATACCACAAAGCGTAAAACCTGGCAGAAAAAGTGCAATGAGCAAGGTGAATCATACATAAGAGACTACAATACTGCTGCTATGACTGCCAAGTATAAACTTTAATTTGTATATTGTAGACATTATATATAGAATGCTACCGAAAGTATTGCAACTTGTTAATGCTCCGTGTGAGAACTGATTTACAAGGTATAGTAATGGCGAAGGGACGGCTGGACTTATCAGCATGATGGTTCTCTATCTGTAGCATGGATATAGTTGATATAAGTACACGTTATATGCTAATGTAAACAAGATAAATAGTCAGGAAAGGTACGGTATGTAGAACATTAATGCTGAACTACGTTCGTTCTACGAGAGGAGTATTTCCTTCAGTGGTGGTTTATGCTGAGGATTAGTGCACATATATGAAGTTCAGATGTTGTTACAACTGAGATAGTACACAATATATAGTAATTCAACCCTGTGTGGACACATCAAACTTCCTCCCAACTAAGAAGATGTCCAAGTCTCACAGGAGGAAAAACAGCCAGTTATTTCTACAAAACAAGAACTCTAGCAACTCTGTGCTACCTCAACAGCCAGCAAGTAATCAGTCTTCAGATGAAGTGGTTCGCTCAGGATCTGTGCAACCATTCTTCGATTTAGAAAGAGAGGTTGATTTATTTGGCTTTGAAGATGTTAGTGCTAGTGAATTGAATCATCCAATTCGCAATAATGGCAGCAACAGATTGAGTGAAGATTTCGAACCTTTGTCTCAGTGGAGCAATTGGTACTTAAATGGTAAATATAATTATAAGAGAAGGCCGTACTTTCTATTGGTAATTGGCGTGATAATGCTTCTGACAATGGGTACTTTGCTCTCGTATATATATTGGCATGGTCCAACAGCGACAGAAAGACAGGATCCTAGCGACTTTATACCAGATTTGGATGATCCTGGTTCAAGACGAAATATCTTTACCATAGAAGAAATATTGCATGGAGAATTTTCTATTAAGGAGGAAACCTTCCACTTTATTGATCCACCAGAATGGCTGAAAAGTCATGACCAAGATCCTGGCCTGTATTTTACAGTTGAGCAAAAGACAGGCCAAATGGAGTTCATAGCCAGGCAGCTTTTTGACAGGACTTTTGAACAAAAGATTGGGAAGGTAACATTTGAATTTGAAGGCAAGAGATACACAACTAGTTCTATTCAGATAAATTATCCCTTAACTAAGGCCATAATAGCTACAAACATGGAAAAACAATATCGACATTCTTCGAAGGCTTATTATTGGCTTTTGGATATCCATTCAGGCAAATATACTCCAATAAGACCCAAGGAAATTAAGGATAGGTTGGTTTATTTAAACTACGCCCATTTCTCTCCACATTACAACTACATTGACTTCAATTATAACAACGATCTTTATTTTTTTGGTGTCGAAAGTCCATCTACAGTTTATAGAATCACTAATGATGGCTCAAACATAATTCTTAATGGAATCACAGATTGGGTGTACGAGGAGGAAGTATTGTCTACTGATCGTTCTGTTTGGTGGGCACCAGATGATTCAAGATTTATCTTTACCAAACTTAATGATGTTAATGTATCAACATATGAAATTGATAAATATGCGTTAAAGAAGGAAAATAAAGACAAAAATTACGTCGAATATCCTGTTCCTGGCTCACCCAATCCTACCATTGAACTTTATCAGTTTGATATTTCAGCTGGTGTATTATACACTGTAACGACAGATTTGGAATTGGATCAGCCAATCCTTTACTATGCAAAGTTTGTTAGTCCAACACAATTTTTATACAAGGTTACTGATAGAACATCACGCTACTTAAAGGTCAAGGTATATGAACTTGATCAAAACAAGGTTCACCTGCTAAATGCAATGGACACAGCGGCATTTAATGGATGGGTGGAAAAGAGTAAAAATGTATTTAGTATTCCTCCCAACAAAGTTAGCAAAGACTTTGGTTTCTTGGACATTCACCCGGACCGTAATGGATTCAATCATATATTTTATTACCCTTCTATGAAGTCTTCTGATGTTAAAGCAATCCAACTAACATTTGGTGAATGGGAGGTTTCAGAACTGGTTGGCTTCGAATATGAATCATTGAAGGTTTTTTTTGCGGGCAATAGAGAGCACCCTATGTCTCAGCATCTTTATGCCATCGACCTGTCAAAGGAAAACAAACACGAATCTTTAGAATTACTCCAGGACCCCAATAAAAAGCTGGATTATTATTCATTTGAAATCTCAAAAAGTGGAAGATTTGCCAAAGCCAGATATTTGGGACCTAAACCATTAAAGGTTAAAGCAGGCTCCTTACTGGAAGTATTGGATGTAGATTCTGCTGAGAACAATAACAACAATGTACTTTCTCTATCCGATGACTCAAACTTTAACGAATCGTTGAGGACATATGACTTACCAAAAACAAGCTACAGCTCAATTTTACTAAATGATGGGACTGAAATAAACATTGTAGAAATTAAGCCCTCCTATATTGATCCTGAAAGAAAATACCCTATTTTGGTCAGTGTATATGGTGGTCCAGGTTCCAAAACATACACAACAAAATCATCTGTATTTTTTGAACAAGCTGTAGCACAAGGTCTTGATACAATTGTGTTACAGATTGAACCAAGAGGTACAGGTGGCAAAGGATGGGAGTTCAAGTCTTGGGCAAGGAAAAATATTGGCCATTGGGAACCTAAAGATATTATCGAAACAACCAAAAAATATATCGAATTAAATTCACCACATATAGACACGGATAAAGTGGCCATATGGGGCTGGTCCTATGGTGGATATACAACTCTTAAAACAATAGAACAAGATTCTGCAGACACATTTAAATATGGAATTGCTGTTGCACCAGTTACTGACTGGCTATCGTATGATTCCATATATACAGAAAGATATATGGGCTTACCAGATTTGAATGAAGAAGGATATGAAAATGCCAAAATAAAAAATATCTCGGCGTTCGAAAAATTAACCCGATTATTTGTGATACATGGTACAGCCGATGACAATGTACATATTGAAAATACCTTCTCCTTTGTGGATAAGCTAAACGAGCATAGTCTGTCAAATTATGATATGCACATCTTTCCTGGATCTGACCACTCGATTAGCCACCATAACGGATCAAGGGTCCTATTCAGAAAACTATACAATTGGATAAAGCTAGCCTTTCATCCTCGGGCGTTCCAATGAACATTATAAAATTGCATACTATGAAGACTTTTGTACTTATACTAATAATAGCTAAATACTAAACCTTTTGCTTCTTCTTTTTGGCTGCTCCTTTGGCAGGAGCTGCTCTTTTCTTGGGTCTAGCCTTTTGTTTAATTAATTTGTCTTTTTTGAGATCATTATCGTCTTGAGTATCCTCCTCAGCAGCGGGTACTGCATCATCGGCGTCGACAACGTCTTCGAAATCTGGTGTCTCCCTGGAACCTCCCGAAACAGGAACGGAAGATCCAGTCCTATAGATTGCCACAGGATGTGTCATACCATTATACTTTCTTGTAAATGCACTTTTGACAGCTGTTGGTATCTTCTTTATGATGGCGTCAGTATTGTCAGGTCCTACCATGAATTCCATTATGATATCCCAATCTTCCTTAGTTAAGTAATAATCGTCTAACAATTGGATAACGTCACTTATGGCATCAGAGCCCCGCTTGACAAGTGGGTTCAATAACCTTTTCTTCAGTAGTGGCATATACTCCATCCTAAATCCAAACTTATTTGCTGATGTGCTCAGGCGGGTATGATATTGAAGTTCTTGTAGTAATCTGTAATATTTACCCATCTTTGAGTTTTGACCCAGCCATGTTGTGAAGTTAATTCTACCAGCCATTTGCCCGGCAACCTTTGATGCTGGACGTACTGATGAAAGAACTGCATGAAGAGGTAACAATCCCCAGAGTTGTTCACTGCTCCTAATTTTCCTTTCAACAAGATCACCCTGTGAAATGCTCTCCGCAGCATCTGCCACAGCCTGTAGATGACTTTGACCTGGCTTCAAGACAGATGGTCTGGTGTGAATGTAATTTTCCTGTATCATCAATGGCGCAAAATCAAAATCATCAAAATATAACATAATTTTATCATTTAAAGAAAATCTCTGTGATCCTAGTTCGGTATAAATACTACCATCAAGGAGTCTATGAGCAATATCAAAAGGTTTCAAAGCAATATTCTTTTCCCAGGCAGCTGAGATCTCTGAGATATTTTCATGATTTATTGTCTTTGATGTCTTTGAGACTGTTGAAAGAAGATTGATAATTTGTCTAATATCACCTCTTGTAGCTTGTACAAGCTTGTCAATAACGTTTGGATCCAGTTTAAATTTCTCTCTCACTGCGATAGTCATCAATCTTGCCTTTATGCTATTGGCATCAGGTCTACGGAACTGAATATCTAGACAAACTCGATCAAATGGTCTCATTTTTGGTAGAGTCCTCTCGTTACATATCAGGATTAGTGGGGTAGATGTTTTCCTACAAAATTGTGCCAATTGGCCAACACCACCTCTATCACCACCACTCATACCGTCTACTTCATCCATAACTATGACGAATTTCGTTCCATTTGAATTGGCAGTCTTATCATTCTGTAACAGACCAACAATGGAGAAATTATCTAGAGCATTCTTGACCCCACCATTTAACAGACTTTTAGAACGAACATCTGATGCATTCTGTTCTAAAACATCATATCCTAACTCCTTGGCAACCAAATGAGCTGCTGTAGTTTTACCTATACCAGGAGGCCCATATAGCATAGCTGCTCTATATATACCAGTTCCATCACGACCCGGGGTTTTAAAACCATTAGATTTGTTCGCCTCCCAGTTACTCAGCCATGTTTTCAGTTTGTTAACGCTGGTTTTATTCCCACACACTTGTTGTAGACTAGTAGGAGCATATTTTACCGTCCAAAGTTTATCCTGCTCCCTGACTGGCTCCCTTGTCGTGGTGATACTATTAGGATTTTGCTTTTTCAATTTCGCCATCTCACGCTCTCTCGCCATTTTTTTCTGCTTCTCCTCTCTATCCATTTCCTCAGCTTGTCTAATAGCTTCACGCTCTTGCTCTTCAAGTTTTTGTTTAGCCTTCTCTGCAGCATCTCCAGAACCACCATCTGCTGGCATACCTGCGATCAACTGCTTGAATCCTTCTTCGTCAATAGCCTTGATTCCAAGGTCCTTGATCTTTTCAAGTTTCTTTGGACCTGCTTCATCCCCAAGTACCACAACGGATGTCTTCTTAGAAATTGATTTGGTGACACGGGCACCATACCGTTTCGCTAGATTCTCAGCCGCTCCTCTCTCAATACTAGGAAGTGTACCTGTGAATACAATCGTAAGTCCTAGTAGACAATTATCTTGGCCTTCCGGTATATCCACATCCATGGCCATCCCGCTGTCATTCGATTGCTGCTTGGATTGTCTAAAGTCAAAAGTTGCATTTTCCTTAACATGTACAGTATTCAAGTCTAAACTGGGTATACTATCAAGTACATCTTGAGCTGTAACTGGTTTATTGGACTTTGGAGTTGCTGGTTTCGCTATAGGTTTAGCTTCTTCCTTCGCGACAATAGCTTTCTTCTCTACTACTGGGGGTGATGTAGGCAATTGTTTCTTCTCTATAACTGGAATTTCTTTCTTAGTTTCAGCGGGCTTAGTTTCTTGCTCCTCTGGTTCATCGACAATGGCTCCCAAAATGTCATCATCGTCATCATCCAGATCGATAACTTCGGGTTTCTTCACCACTTTACGCTTCGGCGTGGCTCCCTTCTGCTTGCCAAAGAAATCAGTAATATTTACCATCCCTACCAATTGCTACAATTCTCTATTAGCCCAATTAACCAGTATGAACTCAACTCATTACACGTAAGTACTTTACTCACACATTTATTACTGATCAATTTATCCTGATCGTTTGCCAATTTCAGAATTTTTCACTTTTCGGTAGAGGAAGAGCGATGAGGTCGATTCGAGAGCCTTTAAAAGGACCAACATATCAAAAACAAATACGCGAACAGTTTCAAGACTACGAAGGACTACGAGAGCTCACTCAAGACTACTCGATACATTATTAGTAATGGCTAAGAAGAAGAATAATAAGAAGAAAGCTGCTCCTGCTGCAGCTCCTGTCGCTGAGCAGCCAGCCGAGGTAAGTGAGAAAGAAGTAGAGGTCGAAGTGCCATTGGAGAGATTAGATGGTGCACAGGACTCAGAAGATGATTCCAGATTAGAGGCGGATAAGCATGAACAAAACTCAGAGGAGGTTGGCTCTGATAAAGTAGACAATGAAGTAGAAGAAACGAGGAATGACGGTGCGGAGAATTCAAATACCGGCAATACTGACGAAAATATACGAGAGGAACTCGAGAGAGTGAAAACAGAGAGAGATCAAGTTGAGTCGCAATATCAAACTTTGCTGAGCCGTCTTTCATCTATGAAGACAATTTTTAGCAAAATGAAGGAATCCGAGGCTGAATTGGAAGTAGTTAAGGAACAACTTCAAGAATACGAGAACCAAAATCTGAACCTTAAGAATAAGGTAAGTTTGTTAACCAAGGAAAAGAAGGAGCTTGAAGAAACTGCCACAACATTAAATAAAGAGTTAGAATCGCTGGAGAGTGAACAGGAATCAAATGACGACAAGTTGAAGGAAAGTCAAACGAGAATAAAAGAACTGGAACATCAATTGGAAGCTAAGTCTGAAATATCGAAATCTGAATCTGGTAGACTAAAGAAGGAGAATGAACAACTGAATTCCCAAGTTCAAGAACTGCTGGTGGTAATAGATAATAATAAACAGGATCTCTCAGCTTCAAAAGAGGAAATTGAAGACTTGAAGCAAAATGTAGAAAACCTTGAAAATGAAAAGGTGAAATTACAAAATGCCTTTAACGATATGGAATTACAATTGGATGCCGTTGAGAAAGCAAATAAAGAACAACTCGACGAGAAAAATCTTGAAATTAACGCTTTGCGTACACAACTTGACCAAGCTATAGAAGCCAAGAACGCTGAGATTTCCAAGATGGAAGAACTAGAGAAAAAACTAGCAGCAATGAAGCAGGATGTAACATTGAAAGAGAAGTTTGAAAAAGAATCCAAAGAGCATGCTTCACAAATTGCGAAATTACGACACGAAACAATAGTGTTGAATGAACACTTGACAAAAGCACTTGCTATGCTAAAGCAATCCAGTGATTCTGAATCTGTTGATAAAGAGCTAATATCGAACTTGCTAATATCTTTTGTTTCCATCCCAAGAGCTGATCCAAGAAAGTTTGAGGTATTGGAACTACTATCCAACTTTTTGAACTGGGATGATGACCAGAAAAGACAAGCTGGTCTAATTTTTACTCCTGGTCAAGATAATAACAATGGCAGTAAAATACCTTCAAGAACCGAAAGTTTTGTTGCAATGTGGACAGACTTTCTAGAGAGAGAGAGCGAGAAGAAATAGTACCTTCAGATAATTAAACAATTCCGATTTATAAAGACAGATCCATCATCCGGAACAGGATTCGCAATTATACTGTTTGTGATTTATCAGACACATTCATCATCATGAATAATACACTATTTAACAAAAATTGTATAATGAAAACAACTATGCCATGATTGGTGCATCTTCACCCTTTGTATATACTCAAACTGTAATGACCACGGCAAGACTTTGACGATTACGTACCGTTAGTGTCATGAATAAGATTGCATCAACTGCCTAATTCATGATTACCTTTGTATGAAATTTATCTCATGTGACATCCATGATTACGTCTCTTGCCTCTAGCTCCTTATATTTTAAGTAATTTCACTTTAAAAACTGACATCCTTTTAAGGATCAATCATAGTAGCTTAATTATTTTAGACACGAACATATCTTAGCTATTATTTTGTCTATGAATAGATAAAATTGACCAGCAATACCAATTAATAAAATGCTCAGATACAGTTATACAATTGCTCCACGTTTACGTTTAGTTAGATACAACAGTACTATCTACAATAATGTCATCGGCACTTTGAAGAAAGACCTTAAGGAGGCTATGTCCACTAAAGATGCCTTGAAGAAAACTGCTATCAAGAGCATACTGTCTACAATCAAAAACAATGAAATAGATGCCAAGGACAAATCATTATTAGATGAGTATTCCTTGCATGATGCCTTTACAAAGATGGTTGCTCAACGAAATGATTCCATCAAGGAATTTATCGCCAACAAGAGAGATGATTTAGCTGAGAAGGATAAACAAGAAATTGAGGTTATAAACAAATATTTGAAGGAGTTGCCTGTCTCTTCTGCTGAGGATTTGAAAACTAAGGCCACTGAATACTTGAAACAATTACAAGAATCAGAACCAAACTTGCAGTTGAAACAGCTGTTTGGCAAGGTCGATTGGGATGCTCTAACCAAGGATTGGAAGGCTTCACAAAAGTCAATCAGAACTACCATTGTATCAGAATTTAAAAATATCTTTAAATCCTAGAATTGAAAGTTCTGTGATACCAGTGTAATGAACACTCATCTATTTATACCAATCGAAAGCGCTTCACGATCAAGAATACTTAATAAAACCTTCAAATAAATAGTTCGTAATATTATTCATGACAAGTTTTTAGCTTTATTGAGCCATCACATAGCTTTCATTTTGCTGTGATTACCCATGTAAATATATTAACCTGGAAGCTAACATGTGAAAATATATTAAAAATATATTAAAAATATTCAATAAATCAACAATTGATATTTCTTAGCATATTGTCTGCTTGATCTTTGCAAGTACATTGGTATGGATTGACTTTCAACATGAGATACATTTCCCAGTAATATTATTCAAGAAAAGTAATACTTTTAGAGATGAAACATTTGCAATGTCTACCTATAGCATCGCTGAGCATTACACATGTAAGAATATTTTCCTATTTATAGTTCCAAGCCGAACTTGAGCACTAGTAATACAGCTTGAACTTCTCACACAAACACTGCTAAATCAGGATCAACATGGACATACTATTCCAATGCAAAAATGTTACATTTGCAAATATCTCCGACATCACTGTATTTAAAAATTAAACTTATGAACACATTTATTCCGTTTTATAGAGACATGGTGCTGGTTTTGAGCTATTCTTCCCAGCGCCTGTGCTATTCATGAAATAATAAAAAATTCCCATTGGTGGAACTGCTTTAAAAAGATATCAAAAGACTGGGTTGAGCAAAATAGATTGACAAAGTCAATGTAAGATGGTCTTTATTCACATAATTGACCATATTCTCGAATATGACAGATATTTGCCAGATGCTGAGAACAACAAACTGAATCATATACACGATTGTCTTTTTATGAACGTAATATCATTGCTAGTAACTCATATTTTTAAAGAGGAACATACTAAATATCCACGAATAAGATGCACATTCCTAGTGGTGCTTACGCTAAATAATACATGTGCCATGAGAGTAGCTGAGTCAAATGGGTGCAAATCCGCTTGAATTCTGTTAGCAATTTCGATTAGCACCTTAATAGCAATCATACTATCTTAATGATCTAATAATAAATGAGAGTCTAACCTTGGCAACTCATTTACCGTATTTACTCTTCCATTTCAAATGCGCGATATCCTTGGTTGGCCGCCTAATATATATATTTCAGATTGAAGCATATCATTCTTACAATTTTATTACTTTTATGAAGTTCAAGAACGCAATGTAGTTTGATATTTATTTTAATATGTAATGACTAAAATACTCTACAATATTCGGATAGCTATCAGTATTGCATGCCCTACGTTCCTCTGTTGCCTAGTATATAACATTCAAGCAGATCAAAAGGAAAAAGTGACGGGCCGCGAAAGTTTTGATGCGATGAGCTTGCCTTGGACTAAACCAAAGAGGTCGCATCTGTTAATAAAGGTTGAAAGTCTACGATATAGTCATTGAATGATCATTATCAAGCCTTTTTTGGTACTAAACTGACAGTGAATTGTATAACAACAATTGTGGATGGCCTTTTGTACAAAGTCGATGGGTGACAATACTATCGCAATCACTCTAAGAGTGAAGACACAGCAATCAGTTCTTTTGGATCAGCAATTGGAAGAAGGTGAGCTACCATTAAGGCAATGGAGAGTTGAAGTTTCCATGCTAGATAGGAATAAAGATGAAGTAAAAGCAGATATATTATCCTCAGTTACTTACCACCTCCATCCCACGTTTGTGAAACCCAGAAGAAAGATGAAAACACCACCTTTTAGCTTAGAAGAAATAGGCTGGGGTGAATTTAGTATGACTTTGATGTGCAAATTTAGGCATAATGGCGGGGTTGTAAAAATTCAACATGAATTGGAATTTTCTGAAGATGCATACATAATAGATTACTCAGTCAATGTCCCTTATCTTAGTGAAGGTCCATTCTATTCTTTACTGGCACGACACTTTAATGTTATTCCCCAAAATTCAGTTCCAGTGGATAATAATATAAAGCAACTCCCGAAATGGGTCAAGACTTTACAATTACAAGACGAGGATACAATAAATGAACTGTTACAAAGGATACTTAGTAATGCAGCTGTTAAGAATTTTGTTAACAAAATCCCACGACATGAGGAAGTGGTATTTTGTTTAGGAGAACTCCCAGACGAGTTAATGAATTCTCTGACTGAATATATGGAATCAACTGGCGATATAAAGTAAAACTATAACGATAATCATACATACACCACATTATTGCACTATTATTAACGTGACAAGTTTATTATTGATTCGGGATTTATTAAAATGTATTATGGTAAATGATGTTATTAATAAACTGAATTCAAAAAAGGTTAGAACTCTTTGATTTTATTTTAATGTTGTCATAATTGTGAGAAATAAGATACAACAATACTATCTCATTCTTCTAACACTAATGTGTCTTTGTTTTCTCATACTGAGGGGTCCACAGTTTTAAAGTTTGATCCCAAGAACCAGTACAAATGGCCATTCCATCGGGGCTACACTTGACACCAGCCAGCCTATTGCCATGTCCTTCTAGACTGTATACAACCTCACCCTTTAAAACATCCCAAACTTGGCAACCAAGGTTGATATAACAAGAATACATAAGACGCCCAGAACCACTAAAATCAAGTGATATCACTCCTCGGTCCTCGAAATAATTTGTTGCCAAAGAAATGGGTGATTTTGGGGAACTACTGCTGCTTTGATACTCGTTAGAGTTCAAGAACACATTCTCCTTTTGAAGCGGGGAACCCCGGTCATTAATTGAATACAATGCTATTGTACAATCAGCCCTCAAATCAAATAATGATATGGTACCATCGTCATTACCCACTGCAACTGAATTTCCATCTGGAAAGAATTTCAGACAATTGGAGTCGCAACTGCCAATTGAAAATTGCTGTACCGCTGAAGGTGATCTGACATCCCAGATAAAAGTGTATCCATCAGAACCACAAGAAGCAAACATATTGTTTTTGCTCAGATTGGTAACAGGGATTGATATTGCCAGAACATCTCCTAAATGATCCGAATACTCTCTAACTCTCTTTGCTTTAGGTATATCCCACAGGGCACAGGTCATATCACCACTCGATGTAACCACACGGGACTCAGAGACAAATTCAACACCAGATATATACCCAGTATGACCTTTGAATATTGAGGTTACATTCTGCTGTACAGCACTACCTCGTGGCATTCTATAAATTGTACAATTATTGTTAAGCCCAGCACTTGCAGCAAGAGCCCCACTTGGAGATAGTGCACATGTCAACACCCATTGTGAATCCAAAGGGATTGCGCTCCTCTTGAGTCCCGTCAAGCTATCCCATACAATCATAAATCCATCCTGACTCGCGCTCAAGATAAGTTTAGAGTCCCTACTCCATCTGAAATCGGCAATTTTGTTAGTATGACCTTTCAAAATGCCAACAGGTTTTAGGTTGATTGCCCCAGGCGTGATTGCCGGCACACTAGCCGTCATTTCCAACAAATTTGTATCCTGTTTCCTAGCCTTGACTTTTTCAATTTGGTTCTGGAGATCTTTGGTTTCATTTCTGGCCTTTTCTATCTGCTCTTGTACCACTACTTTCAATTCATCACTACTGTTATTGGACGTATTCAAATACTGGGAAATGATATTACCAGTACCAATAGTATTCATGACCAAATCCAATGCAAAGAAAATAGGATACCCAACACTATTAATACTTGGATTTTTTTTTTGATAATGTTAAGTACTCTAATAACTAGTATAGCTGTATATGCAATATTTGGGAATTAACCTGGAATACATATTTATAAGTAAACATGAGAAGATCGGTAGAAACAACAGCGATGCCATTGAACATATAATTCCTCAATTAATAAGGATAACAAAGAGTCATATTCGACCATATTATCTCAACATTGTAGTTTAGTACAGTAGGGAACGAAAGGAATACAACGTCATAATATCACTCTAAGTTGAGGTAATCATTGTCTTCACAATGACAATCACCTCAATGGATTGTTTGAGGAGTAACAGACTCTACAGCATGATTATTAAAGGGTCTGAACGAATGGTGTCAACATTCAGTTGGGGCTCAATGCCATATTTTCATATGTGACTCAACTGCTACAATATACTCTTGCGGGGCATTTAGCTTAACACATGGAAATCCTTACCAAGTAAAGTATTACAAATAGTGTGACAAGGGTTAAGAGTAACGGTCTCGCGACATATTTGGCCTTATAACAGTAGTAACCAGCAAGATCAGTTAACATAAGTTAAGCATTGCAATATTAGGCTAATTCACTTCTGTATTGTAATATGCCAGTTCGCTTATCGTCACTGGGTACCTCATCTCAAATTCATCCCGCAATCGAATCAGAAGGGTAATAACAACGGCAAGGACCAAATGCTCCACTGATGATTTTATATCTTTTCTATATTATCCTTATATATTATATAATTATATTAGTATATATATTACCGGTACATAAAGTAATACGCATTCCAGCTTACTTTGAAATAATATAACATTTTGCTAAATGCTGGTACGGTCATTGGGGTCGCAAGTTGTGCGAAGACAGATGGGGTTCAGTGTGCTCGGGGGAAGACCTGTGCAACAGTTATTGCTGCGGAGACTGTTTGCTGATGCACAAACTATAGGTAGATTTGGCCCCATTCAGAGGATGGTGTTTGAGTCGATACGGTTCCATCACCCTAAATTTACGCCGTTCCTGATTTGGAACAGCAAGAGGAATATATCTATTATTCCTAAGATTGTTGGGAAAGTAGTTCGTATACCCGTTTATGTCGGTGGTGGTATGGCAGCGGCTGGTAGCTATATTGCATATAAACTTGAAGAGGCAAATACGTATACGAAGGACAAACTAGACAGGCTCAAAGATTTCTCCGATGCCGTCAAGGATAAACTTGGAGGAATATGGGGCCAAGAAGGAGATGGTAACAGTGGCAATAACAATAGTGATGGTACTCTGCCTACTGCTACCCTAATAGCTTCTTTGGTTGATGAAGATGAAGAAATGAACAAAAAGAACAGAGATGAACAGGAAGACGATGATGACGACGATGATGAATTTGATGAAGTTGATAATACTCAGGATGAGATGCTTAATCTAACAAAACAAATGATTGAAATTAGATCTATACTAAATAAAGTTGACTCTGCATCAGCTAATTTGACTTTGCCTTCAATTGTTGTAATTGGATCACAATCATCGGGTAAGTCATCAGTACTCGAGTCCATTGTGGGTAGAGAATTCTTACCAAAAGGTAGTAATATGGTTACTAGAAGACCAATAGAACTCACTTTAGTTAACACACCAAATGTTCAGGAAACCACAGCTGATTTTCCGTCTCTACGGGTCTACAATATGAAGGACTTCAGAGAAGTCAAGAGAATGCTGACGGAATTGAACCTTGCTGTGCCTGCTTCAGAAGCTGTGTCGGAGGAACCCATTCAATTGACAATTAAATCCGCACATGTTCCTGATCTGTCGTTAGTGGATTTACCAGGTTACATTCAAGTCGAAGCTGCCGATCAACCTATGGAACTAAAGTCCAAAATTCGTATGCTTTGTGATAAATATCTAGCTGAACCAAATATTATATTAGCGATCTCTGCTGCTGATGTAGACTTAGCCAATAGCTCTGCTCTCCGCGCATCAAAAGTTGCTGATCCCCAAGGTTTGAGAACAATTGGTGTTATAACAAAACTAGATTTAGTGTCTGCAGAGGAGGCAAGAAAAATCTTAACTAATAGAAAATATCCACTTACCATGGGCTATGTGGGGGTGATAACTAAATCTCCAACCGGTTCCCAATTCCCTGGACTGTTTCACGATAACGCCAATCAAGGGATTGGTGGTATGTTCGGTAAAAAGAAAGCAAATGATGATAACAACATTAATAAAACTGAACATGGAATTGGCATAAATCAGAATCTATCTAGACAATTTGAAAAAAGCTACTTTAAGGAAAACAAGAGGGTATTCACCGACTGTCAAGTTTCTACGAAAAGATTAAGGGAAAAACTGATCAAGATATTGGAAATTTCTATGTCTAATGCTTTAGAACCTACCTCTACATTAATACAACAAGAACTAGATGATACATCATATCTTTTTAAAGTCGAGTTTAATGATAGACAATTGACCCCCAAATCTTACCTATTGAACAACATCGATGTCTTGAAGTTAGCTATTAAGGAGTTTCAGGAAAATTTCCACAGAAATGAACTCAAGTCTATATTAAAGGCTAGCTTAGACCAAAAAATACTGGATTTCCTCGCCTCAAGATATTGGAAAGATGATAATTTAGTTGAGTTATCTAACACAAATGATAAAACCAATGAAAACGAAATGATGTATTGGCATAAAAAACTTGAGCTAGCATCCTCAGGTCTAACAAAGATAGGTATTGGAAGGATGTCTACTATGCTGGTTACAAATTCAATTTTGAAAGAACTTGATAATATTCTACAATCCACACAACTGAAAAATCATGAGCTTATCAAAGAGCTGGTAACTAATACAGCTATAACTGTGCTCAACTCCAAATACTATTCAACTGCTGATCAAGTTGAGAATTGTATTAAGCCATTTAAATACGAGATTGATTTAGATGAGAGGGATTGGAGTTTGGCCAAAAAACACTCAACACAGCTCATTAAAGAAGAGCTTAGACAATGTACAGAGCGTTTTGAGGCAATTAAGAATATCGTCGGTAGTAAGAAATTACAACATGTAATGTCACACCTCCAACAAGATCCCACCAAGCAGGAAACTCTCGGGATGTCTAAACTACTACTTGAACGAGGGTCGGAGGCTCTGTTTTTGGATAAGAGGGCACAGATACTGAACTTCAGACTAAAGATGTTAAAGAACAAGTGTCGTTCAACAAGCGACAAGGATAAATGTCCTGAAGTTTTCCTGAGTGCTGTCAGTGATAAACTAGCATCCACAGCTGTACTATTTTTAAATGTCGAGCTTTTGAGTGATTTTTTCTATAACTTCCCTATCGAATTGGATAAGCGGTTGAACCAGCTAGGTGAAGAACAAATAGAAATGTTTGCGAAGGAAGATCCTAAGATTTCCAGACATATTGAATTGCAAAAACGCAAAGAGCTTTTGGAGCTGGCTTTGGAGAAGATAGACTCCATTCTTGTATTTAAGAAATCCTATAAAGCAAAGAGAACATAGAGTAATCATAAATAATAGTTATGTAAATATGTTCACATGTTAGAATGTTGATGAAGAATCCCAATTTTTGTGTATTCCTTCTTTTAATTCTATAGGTATAGAGACCAATGACTTAATATATTATACAAATGAAATAAAAAATAATAATATAAAGCAAATGATACACTTGCTTCCTGGGGATGAGACAAGAACCTCTTCATCAACAAAAATTACCTAAACGCGTTATGTATACACCCGCCAATTACATCATGGCGTGAATAGTGTAATCTAGTTCCCATCTGAAAAAGACTATTTTTACCCCATCATTATCCAGCAAACGTGTCTATTAATGCTTTGAGTGTATTTTATGTGCAATTTTATTTTGGTTGTTTGGTTGTTTGGCTGTGATATTAGAATGAGAACTTTCTAGTGATTCAATCTCTCTTTTCCAATGGGTTGTATCTCAAAAACTTTTCAATCAAATCAACATGTGTTAGAATCATTCTTCTACAACAGTATCTCTTCAGACCAAGACGAGATAGAGCAGTACCTTCATCGAGCTCATCTTCTTGCAACATGTTCAAGTAACTCTCCCATTTGTCACCAACAACTTTCCCACAAGAGAAACATCTAACTGGAACAATCATCTTCGCTTTCTACCACTCAGCTAAGTTCACCTACTCAAACAACACTGAAACAATAAATAGCCAGAAACTTCGTATCCTTTTAAGCTACTATGTCCTTTTGAGCTTATGCTCATCGCTTGCATTTTTTGGGTTTTTGATTTATTTTTGACAAAAAATTTTCAATACGTAACTAGCGATGTCTCTGCCAAAGCTATGTTTGATGAGCTGCGATTTACATACTAGTAATAGTTATACAAATTCATCAAAGTAGTCTATTTTACGCTATTTAGCGGATAATAGTTTCTTGTGTATTTTCCATCTAACAGACAATATTTTATGATATATTTGTTATTATTCAATAGTTTTTCAAAAGCGTATTATTTAGTTTTTTGTAGCTGGTTGAGAATTTAAAAGCAATGGTTCTATTGTATTTGATGACAAGTTGGTGCCTAAAAATTTGTTGTTGCATTTAATGGGATTCGTTTGACGTTCCGTGGTGGGTACTTCCGGAGTGGATCCTTGACTTTGTTTTCAGCTTTTAATTTTTTTTTTTAATTTCCACATATTTATTGAATTTTAAATTAAATAGTATTTATTCTGCTTATCTAAATACTTAATAGGGTACTTGTTAATAGGCTGTTAGTTTTTTAGTGTAGGTTTATTTTCGTTATTGTTGTAAGTATTTTTTAGTTGCAGTCTTTTCTGTTATATTTCTTCCTTTATGCAGTTATTTGTTTATTCTTTGAAGTTAAGTTTAACGCAAAAATACAATAACAGCATTATACAAATACGCTCATAACCGACAAATGTCAAGCATGACTCCTGCCATTACGTCCTTATTGGACACCGACATGTACAAGATTACCATGCATGCTGCAGTTTTCACTAACTTCCCAGATGCTAGAGTAGTCTACAAGTTCACCAATAGGACTGCACAATTTCATTTCAACAAGAGAGCAGTCGATTGGATCAAAGAGCAGTTTAGGCTACTAGGCGACCTCACGTTTACACACGATGATGTTGAGTATTTAGCTCGTGAGATTCCCTTTTTGCCTGCAAAATATCTTCATTACATTGAGAATGGGTTCACTTTGAAGCCTGATGAACAAATAGAACTAGACTGCCAGGAGATAAAAGGTAAAGAAGACCAATATGACCTTCATATCCTAGTGAAAGGTCTGTGGATTGACACTATCCTTTACGAGATTCCAATACTGGCTTTATTGTCTGAGGCTTACTTCAAATTTGTTGACACTGACTGGGATTATGAGAACCAACTATCTAACGCCAAAGAAAAGGCCCTAAGATTATTCGAAAACAACCTATCCTTTAGCGAATTTGGAACTAGACGTCGTAGGTCTTTCAAGACTCAAGATTTGGTCATGGAAGGTATCATGCAAGCTGTGAAGGAAAATCCTGAGAAATACAGGCCGTTGCTTTTGGGTACCTCTAACATTTTATTCGCTAAGAAGTACGGAGTCAAACCAATTGGTACAGTCGCCCATGAATGGATCATGGGTATAGCATCCATCACTGGCGATTATCCAGAGACTAACAGAATTGCCATGGATTACTGGATTAAGACATTTGGCAAAGAGCATGCAGGCCTTGCCTTGACTGATACCTTTGGTACCGACGACTTCTTAAAAAGCTTCAAGCCTCCATATTCCGATTATTACATTGGTGTTAGACAAGATTCTGGAGATCCAATAAAATACACAGAAAAGATTGCACACCATTTCCATGATGTACTGAAACTACCAAAATTCTCTAAATTCATATGTTACTCAGACTCGCTTAATATTGACAAAGCTATCGAATATGGAAAGGTTGCAGAGGCTCATGGCATAAAGTCCACCTTTGGCATAGGTACAAATTTTACGAATGATTTCCACAAAAAGTCCGATCCTTCTGTCAAAAGTGCACCATTAAATATTGTTATTAAACTACTAGAAGTGAATGGTAACCACTCAATTAAGATTTCAGATAATGCAGGTAAAAATATGGGTGACCCAGATACTGTAAAAAAAGTAAAGGAACAACTGGGATATGTTGAACGTCAATGGGCTGGAGGTAATGAAGCCCATCGTTCTGCTGCATGATGAACACTAGAAGAAATCTTATATGTTAAACATTACTTTTTATAATACATTGTACCTATATTAGTTGCTGAAAATCCCTGTTATTGAAAATTATTTACTGTCTCATTTATTTCTGTTATTTGTTATACTGTAGTATTTTGGATTATTTCTTAACGTTAACCTTAAACAAAAAAAATACTTGGATTAGTACATTCATATCAAACTATATTTGCGATATTATAATCAAATATGCAGTTCAGATTGCCTATATTTGATGTAACACTATAGTACTCTAGTATTAAATTGAAAAAGGGCAACAAGAAATAACAAACATTAAATAAATGATCTATCTATATTCTTTATGTAAACAATTAATGCTTTCAATTAAAATGATCTGGTTTGCTCACGTTAAATACGCAGCATCACATATTTGAACATGCTAGCTTTTCGAGCGAATAATCGAATTATAGGAAAATTCATAAATAAAATAACCAATATTAGATAAACTAATATCTATAATATCATTCACATTATCGATATGTTGCATATGACAAGACCTTTGTCTGCAAAGCTAGTTACAATGCAAGCAAGATTTTAGTTTTTGATCTCTATAAGAGAAAAACTCTAGTAAAGCTTGGTAACATGTTATATACTGGGTCAAATTTTGAACCATTGAAACTCTCTGCCTTCTGAGCTCATTGACAATTATAAAAATGAGATCCTGACTAGCATTCCAAACATCAATTTTATTTGACTTATTAGTCCTCTCACACAATATGTTAAGTAGGAAATCTAAAGTAATGAAAACACCAGTTCGACCACATCCTGCCGAACAATGTACCAGAACTGGAGTACATTTCAATTTTTCCATGATTTCTTCATCAACTATGCTAACAAACTCAAAATAATGTGAGTCATCATAAGTACCTTTTCTTAATTCATCCACCAATCTGATAGGATCTATAGAGAGCATTGCCTTAATTTTATGAAGTGTTAGAATTTGCTTCATCCCTACACCACATGAGTCTAACCAACCTTTATATTGTATCTGGTAAACAGTCCATTGTTTAGTCTCTTTGTCGTTATTTTTTTTTATGTTAAAGACCCTAAGAACGCATCCATCTAAGCCACATACATTATCTATTATATCAGTAATATTAATGATGTACTTGTGACATGTTTGGCTGTTCCAATAAATATCCCATTTTTTCATATTCAATTCATCATCTGAATTCAAAGAAATAATAATTTTCACTTTAGAAGTCATCACAACTTTCCAAAAGTCATCTACAGTTGAGGGCAAGGGGGCTTGAGTAGCGATATAATGGAAATCGGGATTTATCTGAGGCAAGTTCAAGTAACTTGCATTGAAATAATCATTGAATTGTTTATTATTGTACTTCGAAGATCCTGGAATAGTTGGGCATATTGGGACTTCACTTTCAAAATATGGATTGTAATTTGTTATCAACTGTTGATCAGCGCCTTCTTGATCCATACGTTTGGGACTCAATGAAAACTCCATGGGGCTGGTTGACACTGGGGATGGTTCTAATTTGACTCTTGTATGTTCATAAGGTAGGATGTTAGAATATCTGTTTCTATGTAAGGATTGAATTCCCTTACTTATCTCATAATTGTTCGCTGGGGTATCAAGTATATCGCTATCGGTATCAAATGATGATGTGGAAGTGCACGAATGCAGAGTCGATTTCGAGGAATTGACGTCAGTCGGAATTGTTATCTTCAAGTCCTTGGCTTGCTTTTTCCTTTTTGAGTGTTTGTATTGTTTTTGCAAGTGTGAAAGGGAATATATTTTTGAAGAGCCTGCTCTTTGCGAGTTATCGCTATCTAATGATGTCGAGGAGTTATTGTTGTAATTCAAACATCTTTCCAGTCGTTTCGTTTCTAAGACTTCTAGTAATTTGAAGTTGTCGTATATTTTCGTTAAGACAGTATCTTTGTTCTTAGCATCCGAGTAGAACTTCAGCCACTGTGGTAAGCATTCCTTAGAGGCCATCTCCGGGATCCGAAACTGGAAGTAAGTCTTTAGCGAATTAGGAGTGTATAATGTCGTATCGCTGTTTTTTTTGAAGCTGCTTACAAACACGTCTTTCTTCGGTATCTCGAGTTTTAAGTTCAACCGTCTTTTCTTTGAGGTAGTCTCTACTGGGGAGAACTTAATGGAGTTAACCTCGTCGGACGGCGACAGCACGTATACCATCTCCGTACCGAGGCTGTTGTCTACATAGCTGATGAACTTCTCGATAAAGTAGTAGGTGGTCATCAGACACCGGTGAAAGCTGGACACATTATCAAAGAATACCACTGTCTTTGTATGTCGTATCAGGTCCAACAGCAGGGCCTTCCGCTCGTCATCCAGCGTTATATCTATTAGCTTGGCGAACCCATACACGGGCCTCTTCAACAGCGTGGTCGGAAGCTTCAAATTCACTTTCATGACGCTCTTGTCCTTGTTCTGCATCAGAAAACTCTGTGAATGGGAAGCCAGGTCTATCACCAACACGGGGTCCGACGATACTGCACTGAATATGCCGTCGACATACTTCAAAGTGTTCATGGGCTTCCCACTCAGATCAACAGTGGCACCAACTGCACAGGCCATACTTCAAACGCTCGTTTCCCTCCTTCTCCAGCAAGGAAAGACAACAACTGTAACAAGATGGGCTCCTTTATACCTTGATTCACTACATCCAGCATCCCAAATGAGACGACGTCATCAGTACTTCCAGTTTCACCCCCCATTGTACGTTACGTTAGACTCAGGGTTCTACAATTAGAAAGGCCCAGCCCCATAGAAAGTGATCTACACTTTTGAAAGGGGGGGGGGCACAGCAATTCACGTGATAAACTTACAATACCCACCAGTGCCCGGTATACATGGATATATATTTATAATCATGTGTATATATGTTGTGTATGTGTATGTGTATGCGTATAGCTGTATGTAGGTGCATTCTCTGGGAAGGGAGGCTTTGGTATATGGTGGACTGCAACTAAGTTTGTATTATTATGCAATCCTAGACGTTTCTGAGTTATTTTTTTGCACTGAGACGCCCCTCCTTCCCCCCAAGCCTCGAGGGGCACAGATATGGCATAGCTGACAGGGGTAGTATGTCTCTCATACGTATATGGTACATTGGCGTTACTGAATGGTACTTTGCTATGACTACACTCTCTGTGCTGCAATGTCCGAAAGTAGATTAAATTAAGATTCCGTTTTCGGACATCACTCCCGTTTTCGGAAATTAGATTTTAATTTACCTTCCGTATTGGGACATATCCTAATTAATCGCTGTATCAACAAGAAGGTGAAAGCTAGCAGCGGCTCCCCAAATTTTTAAGGTCGATGCTTTGCAGATATAACTACCCAAGTCTTAACTGTATTCACAGCTGTTTTCTGCCGGAAACTGTGGTGAATCAGCCGAAAGTGTTCATTCCTAGGGGGTTTCGGTAAAGCATGTAGATATTCATACAGCAGTTCCCTCAGCTAGGCTAAGCAGTATGTGCAACACAATATTCTTTATTTAGCTATAATTGCGACTGTGTATTCCAACTATGCTTTGCAAACATCAGTGGCATATGGCGACCCCATGTCTAGTTTGTATAACAACTCTGCTAATTCGGGTGTGGTGTGTGGGTGTACCTCATCGCATTGACCAAAAAAACTGAAAAATTTCTGAAAAATTTTTGATCCGATGAGGGCAAAATGGCAAAGAGCACGCTGGAAAGCTTGCGATGAGGCATAATAAAAGGTGTTGTATAGAGTATAAAGGTGTCATTTGCTTGCGGGGAATTGGTTTACCTAGTAGACAGACGGTAAGCTGAAAAAAAAAGTATATTAAATTGTGGGGTAGATGTTGCACTCTAAGGATGAGGCTTTTGAAGATCTGCTGAAGCCGGTGTACAAGGGCAAGAAGCTGACCGATGAGGTGAACACTGCTGATGACAAGTGGAACTTGCTTCCTGCGTTTTTGAAAGTGAAGGGTCTTGTGAAGCAGCACCTGGACTCCTTCAATTACTTTGTGGACGTTGACCTGAAGAAGATTATAAAGGCGAACCAGCTGATTTTGAGTGATGTCGATCCAGAGTTTTACCTCAAGTACGTGGACATCAGGGTCGGACAACGGTCCGGTAGTCCCCACAAGGACCAGCTGGTGCCGCCTCATGAGTGTCGGCTGAGAGACATGACATACTCCGCGCCTATCTATGTTGATATCGAATACACGAGGGGACGCAACATTATCATGCACAAGAACGTCGAGATAGGTAGAATGCCTATCATGTTGAGGTCTAACAAGTGTATCCTACATGGAGCTGATGAAAAGATGATGGCTAGGCTGAGCGAGTGTCCCTTGGATCCAGGTGGCTATTTCATCGTGAACGGTACAGAAAAAGTTATTCTTGTCCAGGAACAACTTTCAAAGAATAGAATTATTGTCGAAGCTGATGAAAAGAAAGATATTGTACAAGCATCGGTGACCTCCTCAACACACGAAAGAAAGTCCAAGACCTATGTTGTCACTAAGAATGGTAAAATCTATCTGAAACATAACTCTATTGCTGAGGAAGTGCCCATCGTTATTGTATTGAAAGCCGCAGGTATCATTTCCGACTTGGAAATTATGCAGTTGGTTTGTGGTAATGATAGTAGTTATCAAGATATATTTTCTGTTAACCTAGAAGAAGCTGCCAAATTGAACATATGCACTCAGCAGCAAGCATTAGAATACATCGGTGCTAAGGTAAAGACAATGAGAAGACAGAAACTGACTATTCTACAAGAAGGTATTGAAGCCATTGCAACCACAATCATTGCTCATTTAACTGTTGAAGCCCTTGACTTTAGAGAAAAAGCTTTGTACATTGCTACAATGACTAGAAGAGTTGTGATGGCCATGCATAATCCAAAAATGGTCGATGATAGAGACTACGTTGGTAACAAGAGATTGGAATTAGCAGGGCAATTAATCTCCCTTTTGTTTGAAGATTTGTTTAAAAAATTTAACAACGATTTCAAGCTAAGTATCGATAAAGTCTTGAAAAAGCCTAATAGAGCCATGGAGTACGATGCATTATTGTCCATCAATGTCCATTCAAACAATATCACAAGCGGTTTAAATAGAGCTATTTCTACTGGTAACTGGTCCTTGAAGAGATTTAAGATGGAAAGGGCTGGTGTCACACATGTTTTATCGAGACTGTCCTATATTTCTGCTTTAGGTATGATGACCAGAATTTCTTCCCAGTTTGAAAAGTCAAGAAAGGTTTCTGGTCCAAGAGCTTTGCAGCCTTCTCAATTTGGTATGCTATGTACTGCTGATACTCCAGAAGGTGAAGCGTGTGGTCTAGTTAAGAACTTGGCACTTATGACACATATTACCACTGATGATGAAGAAGAACCGATTAGAAAATTATGTTACGTTTTAGGTGTTGAACCGATAAGTTTATTGGACAGTGCCTCTCTTCATTTAAATTACGGTGTGTACCTAAATGGTACACTGATTGGTACTACCAAATTTCCCTCAAATTTTGTTTCTAGATTTCGTTTCTTAAGAAGAACAGGTAAGGTTTCTGAGTTTATTTCTATATATACAAATGATCATCACAATGCCGTCCATATTGCAACTGATGGTGGTAGAATTTGTAGACCATTGATTATTGTTAAGGATGGAAAATCGATGGTTGAAGCAGAACACTTAAAGAGATTACTTTCCGGTGAACTTGTTTTTGATGATTTCTTGAAATTGGGTTTGGTTGAATACCTTGATGTTAATGAAGAGAATGATTCTTATATTGCACTTTATGAAAAGGATATTACGCATGACATTACACATTTGGAAATTGAACCATTTACAGTTTTAGGTGCGGTTGCAGGTTTAATTCCATATCCTCATCATAACCAATCTCCAAGAAATACATACCAATGTGCGATGGGTAAGCAAGCCATTGGTGCTATTGCATACAATCAATTTAAAAGAATTGATACATTATTGTACTTGATGATATATCCTCAACAGCCTATGGTGAAGACTAAAACTATTGAGTTAATCGATTATGATAAATTGCCCGCTGGACAAAATGCAACTGTTGCTGTCATGTCTTATTCCGGTTACGATATTGAAGATGCCTTGGTTTTGAACAAATCATCGATAGATAGAGGTTTTGGTCGTTGTGAAACGAGGCGTAAAACAACAACTGTGCTAAAGAAATATCCAAACCATACTAAAGATGCATTGTGCGGTATGAGAGTTGACGAAAATGGAGAAGCAATTTGGCAACATGAATCTTTAGGTCCTGATGGTCTAGGTGAAGTCGGATTGAAAATACGAAGTGGTCAAATTTACATTAACAAGTCTGTTCCAGTACAATCCTCTGATGCCATGGCTGTGAATCAAGCTCAGTATCGTGAGACACCTGTTATATACCGTGCTCCGGAACTATCTATTATAGACCAAGTAATGATGTCAACTTCTGATAATGACCAAGACTTGATCAAGGTTTTATTAAGACAAAACAGAAGACCGGAGTTGGGTGATAAATTCTCATCTCGTCATGGTCAGAAAGGTGTTTGTGGTATTATTGTACAACAAGAAGATATGCCATTCAATGATCAAGGTATTTGTCCAGATATTATTATGAATCCACACGGTTTTCCTTCTCGTATGACTGTTGGTAAAATGATTGAATTAATTTCTGGTAAAGCAGGTGTTTTGAATGGATCCTTAGAATACGGTACATGTTTCGGTGGGTCCAAGCTGGAAGATATGTCTAAAATATTAGTAGATCAAGGTTTCAATTATTCTGGTAAAGACATGTTATATTCTGGTATTACCGGTGAATGTTTGCAAGCTTATATTTTCTTTGGTCCGATTTACTATCAAAAATTGAAACATATGGTGCTGGATAAAATGCACGCGAGAGCAAGAGGTCCAAGAGCAGTGCTAACTCGTCAACCAACTGAAGGTAGATCTCGTGATGGTGGTCTAAGATTGGGTGAAATGGAAAGAGACTGTGTTATTGCATATGGTGCTTCACAGCTTCTTTTGGAGAGATTGATGATTAGTTCAGATGCTTTTGAGGTTGATGTTTGTAGTAATTGTGGTTTGATGGGTTACAGTGGCTGGTGCTCAACATGTAAGAGTGCAGAACATATTATCAAGATGACTATTCCATATGCAGCTAAGCTACTATTCCAAGAATTACTTGCCATGAACATTGCACCCAGACTGAGACTGGAAGACATTTTCCAAGAGTGATCTCATAGGAACTAGTTTGGTCAATAGCATTCAAATCATCGGTAGTTAGTTCATATTGCATTTTAGAAAAGGGTAAAAAAAAAGTTAAATAAGTAGTAATTTCAAATTTTAAATGTATTAAAATTCAGATGCATTGCATTTCCTGTCATAAAAAATAACAGCAATATTATACAGATTTTTATATTTATAAAAGAGTGAACATCTATTCAGACATTTCCTCGTCTTCGCTGTCTTCATCGTCTAAGTTCTTTTCGATAACATTTTCATCGTCATCGCTTTTATCATCCTCACTTTCTTCTAAACTTTCTCTCAAGAGTTTGTTCTTTTCTTCTCTAACTTCTCTTTGGACAACAACATAAGCACCTAATGGGGTCTTTTCCCAAGGCAATTCATTCAAAAACCTTGCAACTTCTGTCTTATTGTTTGGACCAAAATCAATCTTGGATCTCTTGTCTTCAATTAATCTAATATTTTGATTCAACTTCTCAACTATATTTAGTAATTGCTTGTTGAATTTGATGTTTTTAGAAGTCTTGGCATAACGACGTAGAGAAATAACGACTGGTGTTGCTAGTTCAGGGAAAGCTACACTTTTTGAGTACAGAACCAAATATTCACCTACCAAGTCGATAAATTGTTCACATAGGCCCTCTTGATATGTTCTTGTACCTAAATAAGCAGCAGTACATTTGATATTGTGATCAAAATCGAATGCTACAAGATTCTGGCTTTTCTTGGGATTTCTGGTGAATGCTGTGGAGCTTAATATTTCTGAAAGTAGAGGGTAGATGGGTATAAATACAGCAGTGTTTTGAGACATTCTAATCATTGATCTAATCAAATAAAATCTAAGCGGAAAGAATTGTGGGGTAGGAATCAATCTAGCTGCACCAAGGGTAACTTGTACAAGTGGATAAATTAATTGCCTTAATGGAGATTCATGATTACCTTCTTTCTCCGGGTTGCAGGAGAATGAAAGAACACGGGACCAAAAATCCAATGAATGGCAGAATTGCCAATTATAGACAATTTTGTACGCTTCAGCTGGGTTTCCTTTACTGGTTTTTTTTGTGGTTGAGTTAATAGTGTTTCTCAAATGAATAGCCAACTGTCTGATATATTCAAAACCAACTTGGTAGCTGACGACCTCATCTATACCAAAAAGCTCGGCTGCAGAGTTTTTTTGAAAGTTAATTAAAGGCATAGTACGAATGTTAGTTCTACGACAGCTCTTAATGAATGTTGAATAAGTGGTTTTCAAAACTAATTCTAATATAGCTTTCTTGAATTCCTTAGATGCACTATGTAAGAAGGCAAATGTAGCAATCTGAGTTTCAACATCCTTGGTCGTGGACCACACTTCAACGATGTTCTTTATTAGTTCTTTTAAGATTCTTCTGTAAGAGATGAAATAAGGCATTAGACTGTTCACTGAATGTAAAGCTAGAGCTGCAGATTCGGTGTTTGTGATATCTGCGATAAAAGTAAGTAGGGCAGCAGCATGAGACTTAATTATGGATGATAATTTGGTGACAGTTTTGTTGCTTGGCAAAGTCCTAGTACCTTTAGTTTCCTTGTATGGAACTAGCTTTTGAACAGCGGCAGGAAGATCTTTTAGTGCAATGAACATCAGTTCTTGGAATGCCTTTTCATCAGTAACTGCGTATTTGTACTCTTCTGTATCCTCATCTCTGTTCAAGTTGATAGCCATCTTAAAAGCGCTAACCACATTTCTTATCAGTTTCAAACTTGGTGATTCGCGAAGCTGAGTCTTCCATTGTTTTACCAACTTATGAGTCAATTCTATTTGGTTGGCCTTCCTTTCTTCTTCTTTGCCTTCAATGTCAGAGTCTGAATCAATCTGTTGTTCCTCATTGTCATCCTCTTCTTCCTCATTATCATCAACACCATCTAGAGGGTTTGATCCAGCAAAGTCAAGCAAATCCTTGTCATTCTCTTCTAGATATTTGAAAAACTCCGGATCATTCTTGGATAGCTCATCCATGTTAATGTCACCTTCTTCATCGGAAGAAGACTCATCAGAGCTGTCGCCCTTGGATTCAGCTTGCTTTTTCTTCAGTTTCTTGTTCTCCTTTGGTAATTCAATACCTTTCTCAAAAAATTCATCGACAGGCATGTCTCTAAACACTTCATCCTTAGAGGACTTTTTCATTTTCTGTTCTTCCTTGGTCAATGCCTTGGCTTTCTTTTCTTCTTCAGTTTTGTTACCACGACGACCCTCTCTACGCTTCTTTTCAATCTTATTCTTCTTTCTTTGCTCTAAAGCATCTTTCAAATGCTTCGATTGAAACTTCTTTGTGGCCTTTGATACTTTACCCATCTTGAATAAGTTTCTAATTTGATATCCCAGATGTGCCTGTCAGTTACTTAAACCTTTTTAACACTAATCTAATATGTTTAATGGGATACCGCAATATCTAAATTCCAAATAGCTACCTTTAAAACTATACTGAAGAGAATATAATTAATGTGATGCATTTAACACTATGAAGCCATTTTTATGCGATGAGATGAGCTCATCGCAGCTTTTTTTTCAAAATTTGAAAAATTTTCAGAAATCCGTCAAATGTGCCGATGAGCTTGCCGAGAAATATGAGCATATAAGCTAAAACATAGCATCTATCGGTAGTTATTGGCTAACAGCGTTAGACAACCAAATATTGTTAGCTGTCACTACAAATAGAGGAACTCACTATAATATTGTGATGAGGTTTCGACGTTATTTTTCCAGTACTTTCAAGCGATTAATTGACTGTAACAGCTGTGGTGTCAAACTTCAAAACAAGCAACCCGGTGCTCTAGGATATTATACTAAGAAAGATGATAATCTGGTTAAGAAAATTACTCTCGAAGATGTTAAGTATTTAATATTTGGTCAGGATATCCAGCGAATAAAGGAAATGACTGTTGATACAGAAAATTATGATATAAAGTTAGAAAAGCCATTGATTTGTAAAAGATGTAGTGAAGCCCTACACAATAACAAGTATAACGCTACTGAATTTAAGGATATTCCATTTGAAGAAGTTGAGAAGCAGATTCCTCTCCACTCAAATGTTGTTCATACAGCTCCTATTTTGGAGTTTCCATTTCATATCAATTCTCAATTACTGAAGAATAGAACCTTCAACACCACGATGGTTTTTACGAAAGCTGATAGAGTATTCAAGAATAAGAAACAAGTGCAGAAACAGATACCTATTTTTCTTGATGCGTTTTTTGAGACCTATTTGAATTCAAAAGCTACTAGAAACATCGTGACTTCCACATTGAATAGGTGGAATCTGGATACACTGTTTTCGTTCTTGCATGGCACAAACTATTTTGTGGGTGAACCCAACTCTGGTAAATCCACCTTGATAAATGCATTGTTGAGGAGGTTGTTTGGGGTGAAGATTCGCGGTAATGATGTTAAAAACTTTGAGTTAGATAAGCAAGCCGAAGAAGAGCTCGCTGTTAGTAAAAAATTCTTTCTTGAGAAACAGTTAGCTGGAGTTTCACATATACCTAATCTAACAAGAACACTCCAAGCTTATAAAATCAAACAAAAGATAATATACGATCTTCCTGGCTATAGTAATTACAATTCTTATCGGATTGATGAGTTTATTGATCCAAAATGGTTGCAAAGATTCCGCAAAACTAGTATTTTTAGTGAAAAGAGGGTGAAAAAGAAGCGCTATGATTCAATTGTTGGGAATGAAAACGGCAAATGCCTAACATTGGGAGGAATCTTCTATTTGGTACCACCTCCGACGACTATTAACCAAATAGTATGTTATATACCAGGGGAATTGAGACAATTTCATAATACTGATAGAGGAATTGAAGTTTTAGGTAAAAGTGGGTCAAAGGAGCATCCACTAAATAAATACTGTGGTATCAAGCCAGGTATAGGCAAAGAAAAATATATTAGGCATATAATTCCTCCGTTTCAGGGTCCTATTGAAGTAGTTCTAAAAGACATCGGTTATTTCTCTTTGACTCCCACTGGAAAGTATGAATACAAAGGATTGTATGAGCTTTGGGTGTTAGATGGTATTGATGTCTGTATCAGAAAGCCACTGGAGAGGGTTGCAGAAGATAGTTATGACAAATCTCAAGAAGGAAAATACTATATTAAGGAACCAGTTGTAAGTCATACTTATGTTGTTGCCCATAATGACCCTAATCCTTTGCAAACAGTTAAAGAAAGCTATGAAAAGGTAAAAGAAAGAACAGATGAGATTCTGAATAAATATAACCTAGAAAAGTTCGGAAACAATATGTGGCATTTCAAGTGGTAAAAGCAATGTAAATACAACAATAGTCACATGAATTACTGTATATATAAAATATGACCATAAATAGATATAGCATGTACTAGTTGCTGGTTTGGCTAGTAGGAAAAAACTTTATTATGACATTTTTAAAATATAATATCATAGATCAAAATAATAAAAGCCAATGTATAGTATTCTATCTACATAATTAATTAAATAAAACTGTAAAAAAATAGTAGTAACATATAAAATACACTAATATTAGGGATTAACATGTCTGCCAACCTGAAAAACAAAAGAAAAACAGAAAGAAATAAAGATAATAAAATACAGTGAAATGGAGAAAATGAAATTAAAATTTTGAAAGAAACCCCATGAAAATAAATGAGTTCCTAATCAACTCTGTAAAAGTTATGCAAATAACTTTTATCACAAAAATGAAATAAAATGCATCAAATGGAATAAGAATAAAAAAAATTGGAAAAACAAAAACAAATTAACAAAACAGTGCTAACATGACGGTTCTTTATTCTTATTCTGCTTTTAATTATCAAATAAGTAGGTAAAATATCCAGCCTCTCCAGCATTATCTTCCTCATATTGGTAAAACAAAAAAAAATGATCTCTCTATTTATTCTCTATAATCTTCATCATTAAACTCTCCTTGGGTATTTTATATCAAATAGTATCCAAACATTTGATAACAAAATAGATCAGAAGAACAAAAGGAGAATATTAAGAAGCAGCATAAACTCAAAATCAGACAAAATAACATACATTGTAGCTTTTTGTAACTTTTAAGCATTTAGAGTAATAAAAAAATAGCAGCAATTTTTGTTGCTAACAGTTAGCAATTCATAAAAAGAACCTCTGAAAAGAATAAAAAAGTATCAGAGGGTCAACTGATATTGAAGTGAAAAAAATAGTATTGTACACAGATAGTGAACAGAAAAATTACCACCAAGAGGAGGTCTTAGTGTTGGAAGCACCCCAGCCGCCAGCGGAACCACCAGCTCTGTCGTTACCCCAGCCACCAGTGGAACCACCGAAACCACCACCTCTGGCAGAACCCCAAGAACTGTTTCTGGAGTTTTGACCGAAGGAACCATTACCACCGTGTTTACGGTAATCTCTGGTGTTGCTGCTTCTGTTACCTCTGGTACTTCTGTTGCTACCACTTCTGCTGAAGGAGACTTCTCTTAGACAGTCTTCTAAGAATGGAGGAATTTCTTGGTTAGCTTCTTCCAAGATTTCGTATAGACCCTTAACGATGTTGTTGTTGTCTCTGTTGAAGAAGGCGGTAGCAACACCGGTGTTACCGGCACGACCAGTTCTACCGATTCTGTGAACATAGTCATCAACATCACTTGGCAAATCGTAGTTGATAACGTGGGTAACATTTGGAATATCCAAACCTCTAGCGGCAACAGCAGTAGCAACTAGAATGTTGGCTCTACCAGATCTGAAGGCAGCCAAAGCACGTTCACGTTCAGCTTGAGAACGGTCACCGTGGATGGCAGTGGCGCTGAAGTTTTGCATGATCAAGAAATCGGTCAGTTGGTCAGCCATTCTCTTGGTCTCAACGAAAATCAAAGTCAAGTTATCGTTAGAAGCAGCCAATAGATCTAGCAAAGCAGAGTTCTTGTCTCTGTTTTCAACGTATAAGATTCTTTGAGTAATGTTTTCGGAAGTGGAACCGACTCTACCGACAGACAAGAAGATGTAGTCGTGTAGGAAATCTCTGGCCAAATGTTGAATGTCGTGAGGGAAAGTGGCAGAGAACATCAGAGTTTGTCTTTCACCGGTTGGAGGCATGTCACAGTCTTCAACAATGTGTCTGATTTGAGGTTCGAAACCCATATCCAACATTCTGTCGGCTTCATCCAAGACCAGGTACTTGACATTGGATAGAGAAACCTTACCTCTTTCCAAAAGATCGTTTAGACGACCTGGGGTGGCAACTAGCAAGTCACAACCGTGGTCCATTTCTCTCATTTGGTTACCGATTGGAGCACCACCGTAGACGACACATGGCTTAACCCAAGATCTGTAACAGAACTTCTTGGCTTCGTCGAAAATTTGTGTAGCCAATTCTCTGGTTGGGGCCATGACAACAGCAGTTGGGAAGGCCTTTCTTTGGTAAGAGTAACCATCGTTAGCGGCCTTCTCAGCTGGGCCGGTCAAGAAAGATTCGGACAAGACTGGGAACAAGAAACCACCAGTCTTACCGGAACCAGTTTGGGCACAGGCCATCAAATCTCTACCCTTGGAGACGATTGGTACGGAGTACTTTTGAACTGGAGTTGGCTTTGTGAATCTGGCCAACTTGATGTTTTCCAACAACAAGCTGTCCAAAGGTGGGGAAGTGAACTCGGTGATAGCTTCTGGTACATCTTCACCAGAGGCTTCCACTGGAATATCGTCGTAGTTGTCGAAGTTAATACCAGAGGATTGGAAGCTTGGGTCTTCTGGAGCACCGAACAGTTCAAGTTCGATTCTCTCATTTCTTTGGCCTGGAACGTGCTTGCCGTCAACCCATCTACCTCTCATACCACCACCGAAACCACCACGGTTACCGCCGAAGCCACCACGGTTACCACCGAAGCCACCACCGCGGCCGCCAAAGCCGAATCCACCACGGTCACCGTTGTTTCTGAAGAAACCACCACGGCCGCCACCGTTGTTGAAACCACCACGAGGAGCAGAATCGCCTCTTCTGCCACCACCGTTACGGATGTGAGGTGGAACGTAACCACCACGTCTTTGTTGCCCTTCAGGCATGGAAACTTGCTCTGCTAACTCAGTCATATTGGATATATGTATTACTTTCTTTATTTTTTGTAGTTTAGTCTTCTATTTCTTTTATAGTTTGGTATCTTTTTGCAAAAAATTTACCTCTATATCGTGTTCGTGCGTATTTCTTCCTCTATAATATGAAAAGAAAGGCAGTAGTCTTGGTTTTCTATTATTCCAAATATTACAAGAATACCCAGAACCACAAGAAGCAGAAGAAACTAACTGCTTTATATACTTAATTTCCCGCCACAAGCTCATCGCCCAGAAGTTTTTTTCAGTTTTTCACCTGACAATCTGGCAGCTCGCTGAAAAATTTTCACCTGGGGTCGCCTGCTACGTAGAGTGATCACGTTTATGAATAGCACATTATATAGTGGCCCAGACGGTCTGATGGTAGTTCATGTAGTTAAGAATAAATACTCTGTTTGTGTGATTTCTATGTGTACGTTATCTATATAAATATTGTTGATGGTGGTAGCTGTGGGCTGTGTTCTATGCTAGGACACCCTTAGTGGATGGAACGTCATCGCGACCCGTAGGTGTTCTTGCCTCTCTGATGGCGATGGCGAGCGCCTTGAAAGCTGATTCGGAGCGGTGGTGGTCGTTGGTGCCCCGCAGACAGTCCACATGCATGGTGATACGCGCCTCAGTGGCGAAACTCTCCAAGAAGTGCGGGATCATCTCTGTGGATAGCTGGCCTATGCGTTCTCGCTTCAGGCCCAGCTCCACCACGGCGAAAGGCCTATTGGAGAAGTCAACCACAGCGCGGCTCAGCGCCTCGTCCAGTGGTGCAAACCCATGCCCGAACCTCTTGATACCACGCACGGAGCCAAGCGCCTCCTTGAACGCTTGGCCCAGCGCAATCCCACAGTCCTCAACAGTGTGGTGGTCATCGATGTGCAAGTCCCCTATACACTCCAGGATCAGAGACCACCCGCCATGCTTCGCCAGCGCAGTCAACATGTGGTCCAAAAACCCAACTCCAGTGTGCACATGGATGGTCTGCCCATCACCACTAGCATATTCCTTGCCCAGTATGCTCTCCCGTACAGAAACAGACCCACCGTCAAGATCCAGCGCCAGCTGTATATTCGTCTCCTGCGTAACCCTCTTAACAAACGCCATCCTTTGCTCGATGCTTCTCTTTGCTTCAATTATCTCAACTTTAAGTAAACCTGAAGTAAACTAGAACTAGATTAAATCAGAAGGCATCCGCAGCTTTATATACATATAGAGCTGGGTGACTCGGGCCAGAATTCCGCCGCCTTTCGCTGCCCGATGTGTCATCATGCAGGGTCTACGGTCTTTTCTGAGGAATTTCAACTTTCTGAGTCATTTTCCTCGCCATTTTCGGGCGATTTGATTGTTACGTTACTAGTGATAGAACATGTGTACTATACCACTGTACGTTGATCGGTGTTATGTGTTCCTCCGCCCCTCCTGGTTCATGGATTCTTTCTTTCTTTTTTCCAAGTATCTGATTTACGATCTTGCGTGCATTGTTTGACAGTTTTGTACCTTAGTTTCTGTGCATCTGATCGGTGTTATAGAGTTACGTATAAATTTTTAACACAGAGGTCATTGGTCCATACCTCTTGACTGTGGTACATGGGGGAATCGAGCTCTTGCGTCTGTTCTCCTATAGAGGTTACTAGTGGTGTGTATCACTGTTGAACAAGGAGTTACTGAAATTATATGTTTGTCTTTTGTTTAATCGTGTGGGTAACAACGTATATGTGTGTGTCTCTGTGTGTGTCTGTGAAAACAGCTAAGTCAACACATGATAGACGGTGGGACGGTGAATTCCCACCCCGTGTGAGACCGTGGTGATAAACAATGCAGCAAAAATCTTGGCAGAACTGCACCGCTAGTGATGTGCATTGTGGTCAGTCTAAGTCCAGACGCATAACCTTTATTGTTGGCTGCTATCGACCTAACAGTGTTGAAGATAGCGTAACTTAAACAGCCAATACTGCAAGAAAAACATTTTTACATTCTTGGGATACGTGTATCAAATAGAAAAGCTGATGGGAGTTGCAGCATGCACCAAGGGTGATGAGGCCGGTGCGACAGCGCCGTTATCACCTAGGGATAAGCGATTTGATGTGATAGATAAGAAGGCCAACCCAGTAATAAAAACCAATAACATTAGGGCGTATGTGCGGTTTGTGGAGAATAACGTGTTTTTGCAGGGCTTCAAGAACGGCCAAGATCAGTTGAACCAGAAGCCTCCAGTATTGCTGCGAGGATGCCTGATTTTGGAAGTACTGAGACCTTGCAAGCTTAGTCGCATAATGCTTACATTTCAAGGTGACTTAGAACTTCGATGGCCGCCCGACATGAAACAAAATATAGACGCTTATCATGAGAAGAAGAGCCTGATGACCCACCATTGGGTTTACTTTGATGGTGAAAACTCGAATAACACTCCAGTAGAGAACAACGAAAAGGATGACATCCTGGGAAGAAGTGGTGCAGCAATTTATAGAGCACCTGATGATACAGCATCCTCTAAGGAAAGTGGAGACTCCATTGATCCAGAATTAACAGACTCACAAGGGCCGTTCGTTTTCCAAAAAGGTGAATATGTGTATACGTTTGAGCACCCTATACCGCATTTCTACCCAGAAACTATGCATATGCCTCATGCTTCTGTTAAATATTACATGCAGTTGCGGGTTGAGAAAATCGTTGGTCATGTAATTAAAACAAAAAAGATTATGATCGGTAGTAGGTTCATAAATCTTTATCGTATTCCACCATCTGACCAGGTAGAGCTTGGAGAGCCTATCGTTGTCGATAAAGTATGGAACGACAAACTTAAATATAACCTTATCATACCTAGAAAGGAGCTAGTATTAAACGCATTTTTGCCTATTCATTTTGAATTTCTTCCTTTGGACAAACTAATAATACACAGAATACGGATTTATTTATCTGAAACAATCACTTATACTGCTACAGATAAGAGTATTACAAGAATTGATAGTGAAAAAAACTACCTTTTATCAGAACTAAATGGTCCTGTTCAGGAAGGAACAGGGTCTTCAGGTAAAAAGCCAGGAGTCAAAAACTTGGGTAATTTATTAGAAGATCCCAACACTGGTGATATTACAAACAAAGCATTTCAATTCAACATATTTGTACCATCATCATTCACAAGTCCTAAGGCTGACTCGACGTCACTAAAACAGGTCCTCCATCCTGATACAACTTTTGAACCGATCGTCTGTAAACATTGGTTAAAAGTAGCATTAAGAATTACAGTTGGACCTAAGCATTACGAGGTGGTAATTGACTCACCCATTCATGTACTTAATCCATACTGCGCTCATGCCAATACGCTTCTACCAAAATATGATGACTTAGTGTCTAGTTCATTACCGGTAGATATGACAAATGGGTCAGACAGTCACGATTCAAATATCTTCTATCCTAAAGAGATTATACATTCTCCTATATTAGGTTCTGAAACTGACGATGTGACGTCAAATAATGAAAATAAGGAAAAAAGGAAAAAAGTCTTCAATTCGCCTACTTTAAAATCCAATATATATAGACCAGAATTTATTAAGACGGAAATGACATCACCTCAAGCTCTACCTATGTTATCACTTGAGCCAGACTTGGGAAGCAAGCCGCCTAAATATTCTGTTAGCAATGAAGATATGCCGGCATATCCTCCAAGCTACGAGCAGGCACAGGTTCCTAGAGTATCTGTTGGTGAAATACCTCATTTGAACCTGGATGATGAAAGCATTAACAATAGCATTAGTAGCAGAGAAGAAGATATCACCTCAAACACATTTCAACCTTCCATACAATTCAGAGTTCCGGATGAGGAATCTAATTGTTTTCTAAATGGAAGACTGTCAAGAAGAGCAAGTATGCCGAACTCATACAACCAAAAGGATGCGCATTATCTGTTCAGAAGAAGGAAACTATCTTTTGATCACGTTACTGAGCATAGTCGTCCGAGAAATATGGAGGAAATTCTAGCCGCGCACGCGGAAGATGCCTCAGACTACGAAGAAGCACTTGAATCTCCTAAGGTGCTCCCGACGGATAGTTCTGTAGATATAGCTTCATTGCTGAAAGATCAGCACAAATAATGTCACATTATATATCATTGCTGAGTAGATATTGATTTTATTAGCATATTGATATCATTTTCTAAGTTATTCCTCTCGTTATTAAGTCTTTCAAGTTGCAAAGTTAAAAACTTTTGGCTTCTTGACAACGCGGAAATGTGCTCACCTATTGGATCATCCAGATCAGATATAGTCAATTCTGGCATTTCAATATCCGCTTGATCCTGAATTCCGATATTTTGACTTAATATTTTCTTCTCCCAGTCGGTAATTCGATTGTCTAGCCTGGCTAACCCGCTTTCTATCTCGTTTTTTCTTGTTAGTTCTTCTACTCTCTTCTCCTTATCAGTTAATGCTAATCTTGTATCTTCCAAGTTAGTACTATCGACCTCAGTAACTGGCATATTAATATCATCAATTGTTATGTCCTCAACTGCATTAGAATCATCATCATCATTATCATCAGTTATAGCTTTTATTTTGGTACCACTATCTTTGTTGTAATTTGAGTTTGCTAACTTCATATTTTCTATCAAGTTATCGTATTCGCTGTCAGAATTACTCTTATTGTCATTACTATCGGTAAAGTCATTATCCCGAAACTCAAGTCGATTTACCCTCAGCGGTTGTAGTTCGTTGCTTTCTATATCTTCATCTTCGTATCCCACATTGATATTCAGTTCAGGTGTAGCCTGCTTAGTATTTGTCCCTCCTAATCTCTTCCTCTTCTTAAACACACTCATATTTATAGCTTCCAAGATATCGTTTTGGGAGGCTCACAAGTTTAAGTCCAGCTTTAAGTTCTAACACAACAATATTTGTAGTTGCAAGAAAATTGAAAAGTCCAAATGTGATCCTTTTGTAACATCCTAAAGACTAATGACTACAATATTAGTGTAAAACTGATTTATTATGGGAGCTCATCGCAAATTTCTATAGATTTTATCACTTGCGAAATGAAAAAGTACAAAAAAGCTGAAAAATTCATCGATGAGCAGTGAAGAATACATTTTAGAAGTATAAATACAGAGCAGAAAATACCATTGATTCTGTAGTTGTACGGTTTACAGATAAGCGCAAATATTTAGCATTAAAAAGATTATAGACATGCCCGATTTTAGTATTACGGATGCGTATTTGAAGTTTTTGGAGGAAGATCCGGAGATGACCATGCCTATCGGTGCCATCGAGGCACTGGTTCAGCTGTTAAAGGTCAAGAACCCTGAGACAGCAGCTGAGATGATCAATAGAATTAAGTGTGCAGCAGAAGAATTGATTCAGAGTATTCCAAATTCGATTTCTTTGAGAGCAGGTTGTGATATATTCATGAGATTTGTGTTGAGGAATCTACATCTATATGGTGACTGGGAAAGTTGTAAGCAGCACTTGATTGAAAATGGTCAGTTGTTTGTTTCAAGAGCTAAGATGTCGAGAGACAAAATTGCTGAAATTGGTGTTGATTTCATTAGTGATGACGATATAATTTTGGTACATGGGTTTTCCAGAGCAGTTATGTCTTTGCTTACACATGCAGCAAACAATTTCATTAGATTCAGATGTGTAGTGACAGAATCAAGACCCACCGAACAAGGTCGTCAACTATATAACCTTTTGGTGGAAAAGGGAATTTCTGTAACACTTGTTCCAGATAGTGCTGTGGGAACTGTCATTCATAAAGTGGACAAGGTGTTTGTTGGTGCTGAAGGTGTTGCGGAATCGGGTGGTATTATTAATATTGTGGGTACATATTCTGTTGGTGTACTTGCGCAAAATGCCAGAAAACCATTTTATGTGGTTACAGAGAGTCACAAATTTGTACGTATGTTCCCGCTATCGTCTGATGACCTTCCTCTTGATGGTGAGTACTTGGACTTCAGTCCACGTAACAGTGAAAATGAAGACGCCCTACGGGGTCCATTAATTGATTATACAGGACACGAATATATCACAGCTCTAATAACAGACTTGGGTGTTTTAACACCAAGTGCTGTCTCCGAAGAATTGATTAAAATGTGGTACGACTAAAAGGTTAAAAATGCATACCGCAGTCATGACAATATATTGTATATTAAACTTCAATGATATATAGAGTATGTACTCAAGTTTAAAAGTTTTTCATCAAGAATAACTTTTGACTAAAAAATTAAACATGCATAATTCAATTATGATGAAAGCATTATATTTTCATACTAAAGAAGAAATGTAGCTTTCTGTACTTTGCTGTGGTTCGAGAATATTCTTTTGTGATTCTTCTATAACTGCGTTCTTAAATTGTTCAAACTGATCAATAGTCCATTCGTACTCTTCGTAGTCGTCTTCATCAGCGATTTTATGTGCAAGTAATGAGCCAGTAAGACGATTTTGTGATTGATCACTAACACTTTTTACAGACATGGTGACCACTTGTGATCGTTGACTTGCCGCTGTCATATTGTTCTTATTTTCTTCTTGTTTTTTCTTCTGTGCAATGCTATCAAGATACTTGAAAGTCGGTCTCATTTGAGCCACATCAGATATTTTGCTCAGATATAACTCTCCATCAACGCAAATGGCAGCATACTGGCCCTCATTCGGAACACCCACGCCTCTCAGTGTCTGTAAATTTGCAGCCTCCCACTCGTTCTCGGTCTTATTCTTGTTGAAGAAGGCTTGTTCATCTAGCGGAATATCCAATTCCCACAGGGCGGACTTCTTCTTATATCTACTAGCCAGTACAAAAGGATGTTCAACTGGCTTTCTCCCAAGTAACCGTGGTTTATTAACATACTGCAGCAAATGAAGATCAAGCTCCTTACTCAACAGATTCAATGGGATCTCTTTAACTACTGGATCATCCTCAGCATCTGATGTTTCACTCATGTCAACATCAACATCCATGTCCTCGTCAACAAACAACGACTCTTTGCTCATTTTATGGATCGTCTCTTTAAAAAAACTCAGTACTTACTCTTGTGTTGCCTTTCTTTATTTGCAAGGCGGAATTTAGCTGGTAAGTCTCAAATTTGGAATGATAATTGTAATCAACATGGTCTATTTGATTTAGTTTAGAGCAGCTCATCGCACCAAAATTGAACTTTTTTCAAAATTTTCCAGAATCTGTTCTCTACGGGGGATTCTTCACGAAGATTGGAAAATTTTGCGATGAGCTATATGAAATTGCGATGAGCTTAGTTATTGGGACACTATATTATTATTTCATATTTTAAACATTTATAGCTTTATTCCCAGATACCAAATAAATAATCATATTAACCAAATACCCTGAGCAATGAGTGACGATGAATCTATGGTGCTGAATTTTAGCACAGATACTGCAGGTATCCAAAGAGCAGATAAGGTTACTGGTGGTAGATGGAAAGATAGACGGAAGTTACAACAAAGACTAGGTGGTAGAGAGCCAGTGAAGCGTAGAGCTGAAGGTGGCGATAAAGAGCGTGGCGATAAAAGAGCTAAAGTAGATACTGGGAATGCTCAGGAAAAGAAGAATATTCCAAAGCCTGTTTCTAAGGCTGATGTTAATATCAATTCGCAAATTGTCTCCTCTTTGTTTACTTCTAACAGAGCCAAGCAGACATCAGAAAATAAGAATAAGCACAACTCAGATGATAAAGTTGTTCCCTCGAATGCTCCTCTTACAGACGATTCGTTCGAAGGATTGGGTGTTGGTTCGCTTGTGGTTTCTCACTTAGAGAACAAGATGCGTATTCAAAAGTCTACAAGCATTCAAAAGGTAGTTATTCCTCAAATTTTGCAAAACGCTGATAAGACAGATTTCTTCATTCATGCTCAGACGGGGTCTGGTAAGACACTGGCATATTTGCTACCTATATTTTCGGCTATTCTTGGTATGGGCGATCACATCGACAGAAAATCTGGATGTTTTGCGTTGATTATAGCACCAACAAGAGAATTGGCCAGTCAAATATACCATGTGACAACTATGTTGGCAAATTGTTGTCATTATTTGGTACCTTGTTTACTGATCGGTGGTGAAAGAAAGAAATCAGAAAAGGCAAGACTAAGAAAGGGTTGTAACTTCATTATTGGTACACCCGGCAGAATTCTTGACCATTTCCAAAATACTAAGGTTATTAAAGAACAAATGCAGTCATCGCTGAGATATGTTGTTCTTGATGAAGGTGACAAACTAATGGAGCTCGGTTTTGAAGAGACTATCAACCAAATAATGGAGATCGTTAATTCAATGGACGTGATTACTAGGAAATATCCAAAATTACCAAACAGAATTGTACATTTGCTATGTAGTGCAACTAAGAATAATGAAGTTGCCAAATTGAGCAAGAGATCGCTTGACAACTATAAAGTTATAAGCATTGGTGGGAAAAAAGACACTATGATGGATAATACATCTGTTCCTGACCAACTATTACAAAAGGTTGTTATTGCGCCACCTAAATTGAGGCTTATTACTTTGGCTGGTGTGCTGGATGGTATTCAAAAGAAGCCTTTAGACGCTGGTTCTGTTGCAAAGAGAACAATAGTTTTTTTGTCCTGTGCTGATAGTGTTGATTATCATTTTGAAGTATTTTCTGGTAATGATGGCTTATATAAGAATTTGGTGGGTGATTCTGTTAGGGTATTATCAAAAGGAAATAAGATATTGCCTAGCATTAAGGATGAGGAGTTACCTGGTATAATATGTTATAAGCTCCATGGTTCTTTAAGTCAGCAAATGAGAACAATGACATTGAAACATTTTGCAACAGATAGCGAACAGACCAAGGGTAAACATCTAATATTATTCTGTACAGATGTCGCCAGTAGAGGTTTAGATTTGCCTGATGTGAGTACCGTTATTGAGTTTGACCCTCCATTTGCTGTTGAAGATCATTTGCATAGAATTGGTCGTACTGCCAGAGCGGGCAGAAGTGGTGAGGCTTTGTTATTCTTACTTCCAGGCGAAGAAGAAGGATATCTAGATTACATTCAAAAATATCATCCCAAAGGCTGGGATTTATTAGATGCTGAAAAGGATGTCTTAATTAAAGCCTTCAATGACATTGACGTTGCAAGAAATGACAAAGAAATCAAATCTACTGGAAAAACATTTGAATGGGATACTAATGCTACCACATGGCATTTGAACGTCGAGAGACGTATTCTTGAGAATGAGCAGTTCAAGGAACAAGCGACCAAGGGTTATATCAGTCATGTTAGGGCTTATGCAACTCATATATCTGCTGAAAAGCAATACTTCAATCTGAAAGGCGTACATCTTGGTCACTTAGCCAAGTCTTTCGGTTTGAGAGATAGGCCTAAGGCTATGGGTATGAATAGCAGCAAAGACGCCAATGGTAATGAAAGAAGTAAGCCAAAAAAAGAAAACGCTAAAAATAAAATGTTTAGAATGGCACGTATGGCTGCTAAACAAAGTGCAGATGAATTTAATTACTAGTCTATCAATACTTAATGATGTTTATCTTAAAAATCTTATATACTTTAGCATCCTTTTCAATATATTGCATTTTTATCATTAGTCGTAACAAAACTTGAGAAAACAAACTAAATAATAGCTAGGATATTTTGCTCTAATGAGCCAGCTTCGGTCTGCTCAAATTGTACTCTATTTTTCCAATTATTGGAAACTTGATTATCGTTATTGGCTTCATCTTGCATTAATTTAGTGTCAGCCTGGGTTTCATTCTTGCTATTTTCAGATCTGTAATAGACAGGCACAGTGAATTTTTTTTGATCTTTTTCGAAATCCCATTCACTGTTATAAGCTGCTTCTTCATTTAGTGATTTTTCTTTATTTATATCGCTCTTTAGTTGCTTAATATTTAGAAGGTCTTCACGGTCCTCATCATCACTTATTTCATCAAGGTCATCGTCAGAATGAGCGTTAATAGTTTGATCAGATTTCAATACCTCTGACATGGTGACCTTACCATCAGAATTAATATTCATACTGACCACATATTTATCTCTTTTACCGTTTCTTTCCTTTTCTAGTTGCTCCCATTTTTTCATATTTCTTTGTTGCTTCTTTAACAATAAGGCGCGCTCTTTTGCACTACCCCATATGCTTGTCTCGTTACTCATACTAAAATCACTGGCATTATCAATAATTTTTGTTCTTTCGGCAGATGTATCTTGATAATGTAATAGTTTTTGCAATCTGTCTTGAGCGGCTTGAAGTTCTTCGTCAACATCATCTCTATTTGTCGCATGTGTCGGCGTATCATTCTCAGCTTCATTACTATTTAAAACTTCCCTTCTTTTCTTTTCACGTTCTTGTTGCTTCTCTATAAAGTTCATTAGTTTATCATGTTCTTCAAACATATTTTTACCCATACCAGTTGAGATTTTATAACTATTTTCTGGTTTTTTCTTTCTAGATACTGGTGCCTCTACAATCTTTCGATTTATGATTTCGTCCTTCTCTTTGTTCAGATAATCCATTATTTCTAGTCGTTCATTTATAGGTATTAATTCTTCTCCGCAAAAGCTGCAGTTATTTAAATGTAGACCTTCCTTGATACAGATTATTTTGCCACATGACAAACAATTTGGGACTAGTTCGAATAAAGGGTGTCTTCTAGCTTGACAGTTACAAGCATAATCATCTGAATTTTTATTCTCCCTCTCAACTTCTAGAATCTTAACAATTTCATCAATTTCTTGCAACGATTGGACCTTTCGATTCTTCTTCTGTGTAGTGTTTAACTGTTTTTCCGGTTTACTTACTACCTGGTCTAATTTGCTTGAAACCAACGATCCACTTTCTATTGGCTTACTTTTGACAGTTGCTGGTTTGGTTGGTTTGATTTCTTGTGATTTCTTTATATTAGACTCTAGGGCTTTACTTTCTGATGTTTTGATGCGTACTGGTGTTGCTTCATTACTTGGCTCATTTGGATTGCTAGGTGTTTCCTTTCTCACAGAAACTTCTTCATTATATAGTTCATTAAATCTAATAACAAAGTCAAAAACCAATTCTTCTTGTCCCAAAATACCCATAAACCCTTCTGCTATTTGTTCAGGTGATCCATTGCATGATTTTATTATTTGATCACATAATGTCCTGATCTCATCTGCTTCTAATGGTAAAATATCAGGGATCGTGGCTATCGCATAATCAATTGCTTTTTGTTGAGTCATTGTGTGCACTCTTGTGGTTTGTATTGATTACCTTTCCATAGCTAATTACAGGGTCGAAATTACTACTCTTAACATGATTAGTATCATAATTGGATTTTTTTCACATTAAGGCCGATGAGCCATAAGAAAGCACAAATGGGTTTTACGAAGAATTCAAATGAGAGAATAACAATTAACAAAACATCAAAAAGAGCAATATATTATCGTGTAAACTATACATAGACTATCAATAAGAATAAATAACACATTCGAGACAATATTACTTGGCAACGCAGAGCCTTTTCAAATCACAGAGGTGAGAATAAATAAATTAGGATTGTACAAGGAATATGACAATCAATAAAAAAGGCATCTACTTTTGCAGTTTTTTCCTATAATCAGCAAAACTTAACTTCTTTTTCAAATTCGAGGAATTAGCAACAGTAGAGGACTCAGTCGTAGAGTAGTCGTGTTTGATTTCTTTAGGAGCATTATCTGATTCTCTTGCATCTAAAGAGACCTCTGATGTGGTAGTGCTGTTTGATTTATTTTCATGAAGAACAGGCTTATTATGTGGATCAGTAACCATTTCTGTGGCTTTCTCTACTTTAGCTATTGGGATTTGTACTGGAATTGGTAAGTCGGTGATATTATTAACTTTAGATTCATCATAGTCAGTGATCTTTGTGATTAATACAATTGCTTCCTCAGCAGAGGTGTTCTTTATGAAGTCTGAAGGACCGTGTGATTGGGCAAGAGGACTTGGCATTTTAGTTGTAGCCACGTCAATTTGACCTTTGACTAGATTATATTTATACGGTTTTAGTGACACCACTGAATTGATACTTTGATTAATAGTGGCGATGGATTTTTGGATTAGGGCTGCCTTTTCTGGTGAAATAACAGATTTGCTTCCAGAATTTGATTTCAAAAGCTGCTGAAGTTTTTTCTCCTCGTGATAAGAATCTAAGATTAGAGGAGCTTTGTATTTCTGCCTTATAGCATCATCTATTAATCTTGTAGTGATAGGCATCTGTCTTCTTTTTTTACCCTGGTATTGGTTCAAAATCTGGTTTAATTTGTAACGATTATTCATTTTGATCTTTGATTTAACAGACTTGTACAATCCTTGTGAGTATCTTTTTACTTTTAAAAGATAACATTCTTTACTATTTGTGCCACAGCCACAGTCACAAGCACTCATAATTGTTTCGACTGAATGTATTATTGAGTACTTGTCTGTGTCATTCATAGAATCTAAGGTTGTTGCACCACTAATAAAATTTCTTATTGGGTGACGTAAATCCCACTTCCAGTCAATTAAGAGCTCCTCACCCTCATCAATGTCCCTAGTAGCTCTTAAAATAAATTTAATATCCTTCTCCTCGCCAGCGGATGGAAGGCAAACTGTTACCAGTTCTACATTTGGTTTGCAGCCTCTTCTTAGAAACCTCGTCAAGTTGCCCTTACTACGGGCATCGATATAAAGAGGCCAGTGAGGATGGAAAATAACACGATTTTTTGCTGTGCCCCATATCCTATAATGGTTCTTGGTGTCATCCAGGTATGTCTTGAGAAAGTCAACTTGCCCTGTGAACTCTTCGATAAGATCTCCATTGTTGCAATATTCCTTTGTGAATACCCCTAGTTTAGTATGTGCAGGAAATGTTCTTGCATATGATGATTCGGAATATGATTTGACTTCGATTGGAACGGTCTTCAATGTCTTTTTGTTATACTGAATGACCCAATCGTCATCACAGTGCTTGTCAATAAATAACTTCACATATTTATCCTTGTATTCATTTTCATCTGAGTGTACATATGTTGCAGAATAAGCGTCCTTTGGTGTTAACAAAAATTCTTTCTTAAATTGGACATCATTGGGGGGCACGTAGGGTGCAGGTTCTATGGCAGTTTCAGATTTACCTCCGGTCACGGTCTCTTGTTTACTGTCGTTGCGCCTTTTTTTATCTTTGTTTATGTCATTGGACTTGCTATCCTCCCTTGATGTCGTACTCTCTAGCTCATCGAAGGTTTCCTGCGAAGCTGAGTTCCTCTTCTTACCACTGTCCCGTCTATTTGAAGGTTTAGCGGATTCCTTTTTTTTCTCAAGTAGTCCTCTCTGTTGTTTCTGCCGTATATTTGCGGCCTCTACGTCTATCTCTCGAGGATCACACTTGTCACACAAGAAATCATCTGGCGCATTCTCTATGTTGTCGATGCCGAAGCATGAGGCGTGCTGCCATCTGTTACAATGATCACACTGGATTGTAAACCCGTCGTCATCATCAAAATCGCACACACACGTTATGATGCCAGCATCGATATCAACAATGTACGACTCTGAAACCGGCCACTGATCTGGTTTCCTTTTCGTAGTACCTTCTGGCTGCTCCACAGGTTTTTCCAAGCTTTCGCTCGCAGGGCCTTGCTCTAGTTTTGGTTTCTTAACCTCGCCAGACACTTCTTTGTCGGACTCAGAAGACCTCCTGGACGTGCTGCCGTCATGGCTATTAGTACGCGTCCTCTTCAACGGCAAAGGAATAGTAGCGGCAGCCGCCAACGCCGCCGCAGCCGCGTTCGCCGCCTCCAGGTTCTTGGGGCTCCGCAACACATCCTCCCTGTGCTTATCGCTAGCTCCAGTGCCGTCTTTCTCATTCTTGCCCTTGGAAAACATCAGCAACGTAGACGCATCATCCAGCAACGAGTTAGAACTCATGGTCGTCGTCTTCTGCCACTCAGTAGTCCTCTAATTGCAATAAAAACCTATGTACTTTTTATAGTTAAATTTATGGCCTAGTTCGTCCCTGTTTCTTTTTTTTTTTTTTCCTTTTGGTGTCGTGTTGAGATTTATAGGATCTACCCTCGTTGTCAATTAGTTAGAGTTCGATCACAACGAATTCACCATTGTTTCCTACAACCCGTATAGCTTTCTGAAGTGAACCCCACAGAATTAACGACAGATTGGGAAACTGCCAGGTAGACGGTATTTATACGAATCCTAGGAAAAACCAGAATAGCTTTTTCGCCCATTTTTTTCTTAGAGGGCGATAACCCTACAGAGCACAATAGAACCACAGAACCACAGAAACGGCCGCACCTCGACTGCGTTCTCTGCCAACAAAAAAAACTTGGAGACGATGCAGCCCTAAAACGGTTACACCCACGCCAATTTTCAGGTGAACCCTAAATGAAGCACCCGCCCTGATAAACGTCCAAACATTGTGTACTAGTGCGTTGTGCGCTTGGTTCTGCGGTGTTTTTGTTGATCTTTGTGTGGCGTCCTTGATGGTACGTCTGTTCTTGTCATTAGGGCTTTTTGGGCTCCCTTTTAGGGTTTCATTTTCCAGGAAAGAAATGATCCGCTCTGCTTATACGAACTGCACATGAACGAGTAGTAGCGTACGACCTGCGAACGTATACACACACACACTAACACACACACTAACACACACCCACACCGGAGCCTGAACCCCACTGCTCAATGATATTACATATCTCGTAGCTACAATCCGTAACTACATTGTAGACTGGTAATACGTGAACGAGGTTTTGCAGACACACTCGTCTGCATACACCCTGGGGCAGCACTAGCAAGAACTGTTGTACGTACAAGTGGTGTGATATGTTCGTGGTTGATTATGTTGTACAACAGCCATATAGGTTTCTTGTTTGATATTATTTGCATCTATAAATCATAATGCTATAGACCAGCATGCCATGCACAGTGGTTATTGTCAAATTTGACATAAAGTAATTTTTTTTTTATTCTAGTTTAACATCTTCGATCATTACTCAAAAGTTGTTCTATGCCAACAAAACATGAAATTGCAGTAAATATAGAAATGTCAATATTTTAAGTACCGATCGCTATATAGCAATACGTATAAAGCAAAAGAGGTGTGCTTTTACGCATTCAATTACATCTGCTAAACCTTAGTCGAACCCTGTTGATCTCCGCCCCGACTTCTCAAGGTTGCACATTTCAAATTTACATAAAGTGCTACAATTATTATTATCACCAACAACTAAGGTTTGAAACTTAATACAAAACATATGAAATTGATGAACAACTTTATGAAACATAGTACATAAAACAAAGCATAGCCATTTCAATATAACTACACAATTGGTTCCAGCCCTTCAAAATACACATGTCTGTACTGCCAACCTCTAATGCGGGCCATAAGGATGGCCTTGGAGAACGAGCCTACAAGCTGAATATACACGACAGAACATTACCTCCTGTGCTGGGCTCACTGTTCAAAGCACCAGGAAACCTCGATTTCGAAACAGCAATGTGGGAAATGGTCAACCTGATCCTGAAGCCCAGAAAGACTTTCCGAGCCATATACTACCAAAGACAGACGAAGAACCAGTGGGCACGCGATGACCCATCATTTTTCATACTCGAAATACTGCTAATATCCATAAGCTCCGTGTTTTGGTCATTATTCTACTACAACCACTCTCTATGGAAGTGCCTACAATCCATCTTCAACCTTATATTTGTTCATTTCTTCCTCTTTGGTTTTGCTACAGCTACTTTCTTCTGGATAACGCTAAACCAACCTAGATTTAAATTCAAATCAGCCTCCAGTTCTAATATAGAATGGGCTTACTGTTTTGACGTGCATTGCAACGCATTCTTAGTCATTCTAGTGGCCTTGTATTATTTGCGTTTCCTACTACTGCCGCTCAAATTCCTTGGAGTTCTAGTCCCAAATACATTATTTTGTGCTAGTACAATACATTATTTCATTTTAACTTTTTACGGTTACAGTCAATTGCCCTTCTTGAAGAACATTAGCTTTATCCTGTTCCCAACAATTGTGCTGTGCATATTGTTTGTCGTGGGATTGTTTGGCGTGGACATCGCCGCCTTGTTTGGATTCGGAAGTTACACCTAATTTAATGAACAGCATGAAATAAACCACCAATTGGCAAATAATGCGTCTAATTACGATTAGGCAAAGAGTTTTGGTAAATCTGAAAATTCACTTAAAAACTTCAGGTCCAATGTGCTATAATTCTAATAATTGCATAGTTTTTAATTACTTTTGCATCAATTCATTCATATTGTATACATAGTATAAAAACAAACCAAAAAACGCACTCATGATACTTAATTTATGCAATGTTCAATACGGAAATGCAGGAGTCTATAATGCTAAATAATGATATTTGAAAAGTAAATAATACTGGACTTCTCTGATAATCACATGAAATTATACTTGCTACCAACAGATTTATTTCAGTCATAGATATCAATAGGAGGTAACCTGTCCGCATGATAGAACCAATTCTTGGACTCAACTTCCCTACATAGCCACTCAGTTGGAAATAAAACTAAATGACCACGTATTCTCTCGAGGATTCTTCTAGCTGTCACCTTATCGAATATCCTTTGGTTCGAGCCATTAACTGAGCTAGCATACATCTTCATCTTTAATGTCATTCTATTGCCCTTACTGTTCAAAGTTTGCTTCTCCATTAATTTTCTACCGAATTTCTCTTCTGCATTCTCTGCTAAATCGTTGATGGACTCAGGAAAGTCTATATCTCCGAGCTTTTCACCCTTCTTGACGGTCACACTCATGGTTCGCTGTAATGCTAATTCTGGAGGAATAGTTTCTTCTCTATCAACCATCTCTTCTTCTGCACCTTCAAGTCCAGCCTGATCAGATACATATTTGCCTTGCTTGTTATCAAAATCAATATACAGCTTCGCAAATTCTTTGTAATCTCGCCATGTTTGCACAGCATTATCTGGCTGACAATGAAAAACTAATCTGAAAAGTAGAGTGTTCCTCAAGGCAACTGCCAGCCATAGTTCATCATAAAATTGAGATGATAGTGGGTCTTCGAATGAATAAGGGTCTATGAATTTGTAATCCAGAACGTTTTTGAAAGATTCACACTTCTCAGAATTACCAAAGTCTGGTAATATTTGATACAACAAAATATCTAAGGACTCGTCGTCTAGTTCTTCATCTTCAAAGCTTGTGCTGTTGTTTGTGGCTTTACTATCTTTAGATGATGGCCTAGAGTTTTTCTTTATAAAATTTTCTCTTTCCTTCTCACTTTTGCTTTCTTTATAAGAAACGTGCTGCAGATAATAGATACGCTTCAACATATCAAATTTTGAAGCACAATCAATCTTAGGATCGGATAGATAAATTTCCACAGTTTGTCTATCTGGTAATTGTTGCATCCTCTTAACTTTTTTCTTATTATCAATAATCTTAGTCTCAATAGCCCTCTTCGACCACTCATGTAATTGCTCAGTCACAGAGAGCTTGTGATCAATAAAATCTTTTGTACGCCATTTATCAGCTCCATACCCTTCAACATCAGCCTTATGTTCAGAATTATTTACAATTCTTGGATCTGTGCTAATAGCCTTACGATCTCTGATACCTTTATTGTCCTCACCCGCTCTGTGATTAAATGAATGATACTTGTTTAGCTTCGAGAATTTTGTGGTGGCTGAATTTAGTCCTAAACTTTCTTTACCAATATCACTGAATTCAAACGATTGATAAAGTTCAGAATCAAAAGCAGCATCCTCCTCTTCATTAATTTGGCTCATCAAACCATAGTTAGTAACAATCTTCTCTTCACTAGTTTTGTACTTGTCAAACCACAGAGGGCTACAATCAGCCTCAAATATTTCTCTATATGCTAATTCAATCATGGCAGAGCTTAACTTTTCACTCCTTTTATATTTTTTCCCCTCATTTAAGGTATGTAAGGTATCGAAGTTTTTTTGCGCTAAATGTTCCAATCTGTTAAACTTTCTCTCAACAATTTCAACTAGATCAACATCACAGCCAAGGTGTTCACGCATCAACCTCTGTCTCAACTCCCATGCAAATCTGCCAGCATAGTATTCCTTATCATTCATTTTTGTTTTCACCAAATCTGTATCTCTAACTACCATTGCAACCTCACTATCTCTGCTACCTAGTTGAGACCTTTCATTGATATTTGCACTACCAATTATAACATTTCTATCATCGGTTATTAAAAGCTTAGCATGGACATATAATTGTTCGGTGACTAGTTTGTCATTCTCTCCATTAGTAGACCATTTACGTAATGAGAAGAATTGAATGTAATCAAACGGTTCAATGTTCAGTTTCCTCAATCTTGAAAAAATTGAGGTTTGGCCTCTCGAAATGGATTGATACTGGCATTGCATTATTAATCTCAAACTAGAGGCCTCTGGTTCATCTATTGGAGAGTCAAAACCTGGCATTAATGGAATCACAATCATTGCTTTCCAAGGCTTACCTTCTGTGTTAGCCCTTATAATTCTATCAACTATAGCATCACCGATCTTATTTTCAATCACAACACCATCCCAAGAAGATGATGTTATAAAGAACTGGTTCTCAATGTAGATGAAGTGTTCACTTGTCTCAATCAATTTTAAATAAGCATTTTGAATGGAGTGCTCAGTTTGTTTCAGTCCTAAAGACCAGCTTCCGGCACTTCTCAAAACTTGAACTTCACAAGTGGACCTATCCTTAAGGTACTGGAACAATGGCAGCCCTTCAAGTTCTCCTTTGGAAAAATCACCAGCAGGAGTTAACAAGGGCGTTGCTCTACTTGGCCGTTTCTCTCTTAATAAATAATTCCATCTTTGAACAAAATGCCTTGCTAAATCTCTAGCAGGCTCACCACAAGTCAGCATATGAACATCATGCCAAGGCATTCTAGGGACATCTTTCCGGTCATACATGTTTTCGAATGGCTTCTCTAAATCATAGAAATCACGCACACGAGCATTAGAATAGTCTTTACCTGGAAATATTTGATTGATAAGTTCGGGATCATCATCTCTCAAAACATGTTCTGGTGTATCATACCTACCGAAGCACAAATCAATTCCTCCCATAAACGCTACCGCATTATCAATTACAACAAATTTTTCATGATGAGCCCAGAAATATGTATTCTGAAGCCATTGATTTGGTGATCTGATCAAGTGAATATTTGGGTGCAGGTTTAACATGGAATGCTTGGTCCATGAACTGTCTGTACCGACTGTTGTCCCGACATTTCTATAAACTACAATAAAAATCTTCACCCCATATTCAGCTCTCTCCTTCAATAATCTATCAATACGATACTCTTGATTTCCCTTTATCGGTCTCCGTAAGTAAAGTTCAGGTGACAGCCACCAATCATGTATATAGATCACATCTTCAGCCATTCTCAAAGCGTCACTCAAGGCCCAAAAATAATCTCTTCCGTCTATCAAAAACTTACAGTAGGCATTCTTTCTAACGGGTGCAAAACTGTCAAATCTATGTGGTTGCGACCAAACTGTAGATTTTGCCATGTGAGAGATAGAATGAACCCACTGTTTAAAGCCTGACTCTGATTTACATATCATCTTCAGTTTTCTTTCACTATTTTCAAGCGTAATAAGCATTAACTTTGAGCTAATATCATCCTTTAACGTTCTCTTCTCTTTACGGGACCCAGGCCTATACTTAATTTCATCTTCAACATCATCAATTATATTATTTTTGTTTCCTGCTATCATCAATTTAAATTTAGAGTCTACCAGAAAGACATCTAAAGGAGTAGTAGAACCCAAATCAGAAACATATGTGATATATGAATGTCTTACTAAAAACCATTTTGCAGTGTGTCTTTCTATCATTTCCTTAAAGTCGTGTGGATTGAAATGGGAAACTCTCCAACCTTGAGACTTTGCTGTCGACCTGATAACTAAAAAACCTTGCTTTCCAGCATAACCGTTCTCATAGCCCAGCAAATTACCAATAGGCGAGCATTCATAAAATTGAAATAATCTATTTGACTGCGGTCTCAAACATAGTGCTATATTCAGCAAGTATAAGTATCTTTCAATTCTTTTATGATGCTCCTGAGACTCATCATCGCCTTCTTCCATTAACTCTTTCAAGTGTTTCATTTTCACCTTGTTGACGTCAAAGCTCATTGAGGACCTAAGGGAATCGAGTATGGATCTGTTATCATCAAATAAAGAACTAGCAGGTGACAGCGACAGATCTCTATCAGCCAACTCCCGTTTTTTACCGTGCTTATAGGAATGCTTGATATCATGCTTTATTTGGTTCTTCTCGTTATACTTTAAATGTGGGAAGTTTGGAATTCTGAACTTATGGTAACGGTTCTGATCTATATATATCTTGTTTATTGTGTTTTGTTGGAACGCTAGCAGTTTTAGTTTGTGATGAAGTTGAAGAAGTTCCTTGTAGCTCTTATAAATTGTCCATTTTAGTCTGTTCTCACCCACACCGTATTCAAGCTCTATCTTGAACACAGTGAGGTCGTTCTTCTCGTAGAAGTTCTCTGCAAAAGAGCTGTTAGAACTAGAGCTCAAAGAAGCCATGGTGCTTGTAGTCATACCGTTCTTAAAGGCATTGATACTGCTATCGTTGACAGGAAGCACACGGACATTCAACATAGCGAGAAGCAATGACGCCCGCCTCTTCCCGTGCTCGTCTCTGAGGAACTGGGAGGACGCAAATAAGGCTGCCGGACAACCTGCCAGCAGACTATCCAACAGATCCGAAGCCAGACTCTGGGTGATTTTGTTGCTTTCGTCATCTGCGTCATCGTTATTGCCCTGTTGTACAGCAGACTGCCGCCTCGAGAACGCCGGCGGTGTCCTGAACCCATTGAAGCTCCGCACTTTCAACTTCGAGATCACCGATATCCGCTTGAATGTGCTGTTGAACTCCTGTCTCCAGCCGTTAAACTGCCTGTCTCTGCTGGCACCAGTCTTGTCCGTGTCGAAACCGGCCATTGGCGTGGGCCTATGCCCGTGCTGATGCGCTGGCTCGCTGTGATCCATGGACGCCGGCGTGACGTCTCTGCCCTGGTGCATCCGCTTTATAGAATTGGGAATCCCTTGAAATGCCAGATTCTTGGCTCTGGCCTCGGGATCAGAGACCACGGACGAGCCCACACTTCGCACATCGTATAGTCCATCTTCACCAGTTCTAGTTCCAGGACCAGCAGGGGTGTGCATCACACCCATATCCGTATGCCTTCTATCGATTACACCGGGCACTACTTCCTGCATTCTCGTGAATACTTTAGCCCAGATATAATCTCGATTATTATGAAATTGAATCTCTCGATTGACACTGGGCGGCTAAGAAAAAAGCTCCCTTTCGAAGAGATAGGGATCCTAATATTAATATAATTAGCGATGACCCACCGTGCAAAGGGTGCAATAACACCAACATCCGGATAAACAATGAACGCACACAATAACACCCAGACGGCCCCGGAGCCGAGAATCCAGATCCGTTTCTAGGCTCACAGGCTTAAAACAGGCTTAAACAGGACCAAAAACCCACACATCACATATACCACTTACTATACAAAAAGGGGCAAAAGAGTAGCAGTGCATAGTGTTACCCGGAGCTACGAATAGATCCTCGTTTCCATCTGCAAAGTTTCCGGGTAACATTTAAAAAGACACTGGATCATGTGACCTGTGAAGTTATGGTTTTGATTCCCACAACACGGCAGGGGGGGAAAAGCAGTACATCCGGGTAACTGCCATTTTACGTTGTACTTACCCGATGAGGGAAGTGATTAGAGTGAACTCGGGGGCTCTAGAGTCTGCGAAGTACCTCTGTGTGCGATGTATTCTCTTAAAGTTCTGTGAATTCTGTGAATTCTGTGTATTCTGTGAATGCGATGAGAGTCAATGCGGACCCTTTAGTACTGTGTTGCATAGCTGCAAAACACAATAGATAAGATAAGGACCTGGCGTTATCAGTGATCGAGATAAGGGTCTGTTAATAAGTGACAAGAGAAGCAACCAACGAAAGCTCATATGAAGTAAGATACCATTGTGAGTGAGAAAGAGAGAGATACACACGATGTGTTTTATCGCTACGGAATGCTTTCTTGTTGACACATAAGTCGGTGGCTCTTGATTTATCTTGAGTTTATCTTACGTTTATCTTGGATATACCATATCTGTGGGAGCCATTTGCAATCAGAAAAGATATATAAAAGATATATAAAAGATATAGGCTAATCTGCGTTTGAAATTGCATCATGAGAATGAAAAAAGTTACCTAGAGTCACATTAGTGATACACATAAACTCTTTAGATGATAATCAGTGATAAACTTGAGGATACGGACACCGAGGTGTCGTGTCGCTCCACACCCACGCCGATACCGCAGTGTAAGAATTGTCTAACTTCGCATACGCCTTTGTGGAGGCGGGACAAAGATGGGTCGATGCTGTGCAATGCGTGTGGGCTGTTTCAGAAGATGCACGGCAGAGCGCGACCCATCAGCCTGAAGACAGACCAGATACGCCATCGCAACCGGAAGAAGAAAGCGATAAGCGTGATGAAGATCAGGCCGGAGCCCTTGCTTCCGCACGGACAGCTGATCTCGCTGTCTAGCGACATCAATTGCAGCACAACGACAACGATACCGGTGTCGGATATACCCTGGATATCGAAGGGCGCCCCGATCAGAAACCCATCACCGAGACAACGACCACATCACAACAACCTGCAGGACGAAGAGTTCGTGATTAAGCTAAAGACCAGAGTTAACGAGCTGGAATCAATTACTCGACTATACAAGAACCATATCACTAGACTCGAACAAAGATGTCAGATCCTGGAGTCCAAGCTGTACGAATTGGTATACCATTGATTGGATATACGAAGTACACAGAACCGCTTCCTGGTATTTTATATCGGACAAAAAAAAGACTATTATCACTAATACATTTAAATATTATAGAATTCATACACAAAAACTACATATTCCAAAACCATATCAGTATAAACACATTTAAAGTTTAGATATCAAGGACTAATCCATATACCTTAGGAGAATGTATAAAATAATCCCAGCACGTGACTTTTATTATATTGCAGATGACTTCTTGCCCCATTCCAACTGACAAGCCCTTGCGTCTGGAGCTAATCCTCGGAAGCTAGAGTTCGACTCATCAGGGTCATGAACTCCCTAACAAGGCTTCAACAATCATCAACAGGTTTTAACTATGGACATCAGTCATTGTTATAACTATTGAGGCGTTTTTGAAGGGTCAAATAAGTGAGTAAAGATAGGATTGGTGTCAGACTGACTAACATAGTAATAAATAGGGATTTCGAATCATGTCAAGAAACCCAGCCGCTGGATTGGAGAATACGTTATTTCAATTGAAGTTTACCTCAAAGCAGCTGCAGAAGCAGGCTGCGAAGGCTTCCAAGGAAGAGAAGCAAGAAACCAACAAATTGAAGAAGGCACTGAATGAGAATGAAGAGATAGCTAGAATATATGCATCCAATGCCATACGGAAGAAAAACGAAAGGTTACAGCTCCTGAAACTAGCCTCAAGAGTTGATTCAGTTGCATCTAGAGTACAAACTGCCGTTACCATGAGACAAGTCTCGAGTTCTATGGCACAGGTATGTAAAGGTATGGATAAAGCGCTTCAAAACATGAACTTGCAACAAATAACCATGATCATGGAAAAATTCGAACAGCAGTTCGAGGATCTCGATACAAGCGTCAATGTATATGAAGATATGGGTGTTGCATCAGACGCTGTGTTGGTAGACAACGATAAAGTGGATGAGCTCATGGGTAAGGTTGCTGATGAGAACGGCATGGAGTTGAAACAAAGTGCAAGGCTGGAAAATATACCTGATATTAAGCAAAAAGAGACTGTTGATGATGAAAAGGAGGACAAACTGGCCGAAAGATTAAGAGCACTAAGGGGGTAAACGATATCTTTTATGGCTTCAAAAATACACCCTGTAAATTAAGGCTCAATATCCTTAAGATAAGTTTAGTTTCATATATCTGAATAATGTACACTATTTCATAATGCATACAATTAAACATCTTATTTTCTATACATAATATACCTTTACAATGACCACCATGTTATATCACCATGATCATTTCCTAGAGCAAGTAAGCTTTCATATACAACCAATGTAGTGGTGTTAAAAGAGTCCGGTAAACTATTGTACTGTCTCTCACCCCTGTCATAAATTTTTACAGGTTCGCCTTCTAGAGCATTTATTAACTGAGTTTGGGATTCTTCCACAGACACTACTTCCTTTTCAAATGAAAGCAACTCTGCAACGGATCCCATACGTAGATCCCATATTCTAGTTGATTTATCCATAGAGCCAGTTATTAATTCACTCCCCATATATTTTAGGGATGTTATAGGACCTCTATGGCCCTCTAAGCTTCCAACTACTCTGCCAATTCTCAAGTCCCATAAGTAAACAATCCCATCCTTAGTTCCGGTCACTAAGGCATTATCAATACAATCAGCACCACCTATCAAAGGCGTGTTAAAGGAAGGTGTTATGTCTAGTTTTGATACAGATTGAGGAACCATTTTTAGTGCTATTGTCAAATCGATAGATTGAATACATTTACCAGAGCCCAGATCCCAATGTCTTAAAGTCTTGTCGTTTGATCCACTAACTATAGCGTTGCCTGTAGTTGCCAATGCTGTTACAGAATCTTTGTGCCCATCGAATGTTGCTAGACATAAATTGTCATTTGCATTACCATCTTTGTCTACAATGTTATCTACATCCCAAACTTTTACCGAAGCATCCTTTCCTGCACTAGCCAACAATCTAGTATCATCAATGAATCTAGTTGTATTGACTGTAGCTCGATGACCGGATAATACTCCTAAACATTGAGTTGTTGATATGTCCCAAAGCTTAATCTCGTTATCCAAATTTGCAGTGCTTGAGAGAACACCTAGTTGTGCATTAATAGCAAGAGAATTGATGTAATCATCATGGCACTTTAATGTTTTACCTAATTGGCCTTTTGTACCGATGATATTCTCAAAGTCCTCGATATCAAAGCCACTTGATTTCTTTTTGAGTTTCATTGCTTCAAAATATCTCTGAAGCTTATTACCAATTTGTGCGTTATCAGGTTCTAAAGTAAGCAGAGATACCTTATCATCAGTATTGTTTTCACTAGTTATGATAGTATGCTCATGGTTCGTTTGTTTCAGGACAGATGATGTGTTGCCTATATGCACTTCATCTTCCGTAGAACCATCAGTTTTGCTTTTATTCTCTTTATGGTCGACAATTCTACTTATTATTACATCTAATTTCTTTGCAACCACGTTCCTTCGCAGCTTAATTCTTTTTATCTCATCATCCATCTCATTAATCTGCATTTCTAATACGTTCTTCATAATCTGCATTTTCATCGTGTAATCATTTCCATCTTTACCTGATCCATCATACAAACCTTGACTTTCATGAGACGATTGTACTATGTAACCATCGTAAAGAGTCGAATACGAGTCTAATCCTTGACATTTGTCAAGAGGTAATGGTGGTATACTCTTTAGATCATGCTCATTTAGAAATGTCAATAATCTAAACGATGTAGCTGTATCCGTAAAAAGATTGCTGAAATAGTTCTTGCCATTGAAAAATGTGCTATCATAGACGCACTTAAAATATAATAGCAGCTCCTTTCTTGGCCCTATTATATAATCGAATATAGAACCATGTAGTATTCTATAGAGAAAGTCCCAACTTTTGTAACGTATACTCACGAGAGATAAACTAATGAGGCTCAATCTGTTTTGTTTCTCGACAATATTTACCATTTCATATCCAACTGATTTCTGACAACCGCTATTCTATATCCATGCATTCTTTATGATTACATTATTAACATTGTCACTATTGCTTGTTTTTATTTTTGACACAATCTACCTTAACCGTTAATTTTTATGATTTCTATTGAATGATGATATTGTTTTATTTTCAAATATTCAGCCAGTATGGATACGTTTATTGTTACAGACTCATATACTTATGACATCGAGATCAAGACATATTATCTAGATTTACTAATTAGAAATACGTAGCTGAGACTCCAGCTCAGCTATCTTTTGTCTTTCCTTTTCGATTAACTTTTGTACACCAGTAGTGCTATCCTTTGATGATTCAATCTTTAGACGGCCCTCAATCTCATCTTTTTGTAGTTGTATTTCAGCCAATAGTTTTTCTGATTCTTCGTTAAGCTCTTGAAACACATCATGATACTGTTCAGCAGCTTTCTTATATTCTTCTGTTGGAAACATTTCTAAGACCGCATCAAGTAGCTTCAAAATAGATTCAGTTGAAAAGTCCTCTACAAATAAAGTCCTTCTCCGGTTGTTTGTAGATATACCTTCCTTCTCATCTAGTATAACACTGCCTTTTTGTAGTGCCATCAAAAGATTTTTAATTTCATCATTTTCCTTAAATTTCTTCCTCATCGTAGCCATTAACCCTACATCATCATTAAATAATTCTGTTATAAGGGCAGTCGTTGTATTATTTGTGTTATTACTGTCTATATCATTACCATGCCCTGCAGCTTTGAATCGCTTAGTTCTTTGTGAATCGCGTAATAATTCTTCGTCATGCTCTCTGATGTAAAACTCGTTGGGGACATGAATCACCGGCTTCTCATCTTTATGGCCCAGTCGTCTATTCCTCTTCATATTCAAATCTCTCTTGTCCAAATAATCAAATAGTGCCTGCCTACCATCCTTTCTTCGAAGTGATTTCGTGACAGGATCAAGTTGGAATAATGTGGTTTCTTCCTTTGGATCACAACCCTTTATGAGATTTTTAATCTTGTCATTCAATGTATGAGTTTCTTTACCATCTTTTGATATTCTAATCATGGCATTGTGGAATATACCTGGTGGTTTAAAGTAAAGAGATGTAATTGAGTCCAGACATCCATTGATCTCTTCTAAACAACTGTTCATTGATTCTCCCATCGTTTTTTCCACTAATATATCAAATACCTATTATCAGTCCTCGAGATTATAGCAGTGAAAAATTATATTTATGGACGTTGTTTTATTTATCCTGATTCAAATAAGTATTTGTCTTCTAGCTCTTCAATGTTAAATATCTTAGCTTTACCTCCAGGCGTATTATTGTTTATCAATTATACCACTTATGGTCACTTGAAACGACACAATAAAAATAATGATTCAACCATGGCCAAAATGAGGCATAGTAGATGATGTTTTACTTATAAATAGTCAAATCTATATATATTTATGAGTTATCTAGTCCCTCCAAGATACCAAGACTTCATCAGTTCTGAACTTTTGTGTTACAACAGTTTCTTTGAAGTCCTTAACGTAGTCTCCCATTCTATACTGCAACAAACCTGCCTGAGCAATCATGACACCATTGTCTATACAGAATCTCTCGTCCGTTGCGTATACATGACCGTTGGCTCTATCCATGCACATCTGCTCCATCATCTCTTGTAATCTCAAGTTACAACCAACACCACCTACTATCAATACATGTGCAGAATTGACGTGGGCCATTGCACGTTCTGTAATTTCGACTAGCATCGAGAACAACGTTTCCTGCAGCGCGTAGCAAAGGTCCTCAACCGTGACTAGCTGTTCATGGGTTTTCTTGTCAAACAGGAGTTTGTTGCTATAGTTTTTCCTAAACAGATCCTTGGCTAAAGAATCAATGTATGCCAGTATACCACTTAGTGACAAATCCATACCTTTCACAGTGTACGGAAGTTCCACCAATCTTTCTTTATTCTTACACTTGAGAGCCATTTGTTCTATGTTGTAACCTGGGGATGGGTCATTCGGTATCTTCAAGGTACGGGCAAACCTATCCAAACAGTTTCCTATGGCGATATCCAAGGTTTCACCAAATATTCTGTATTTCTGATTACTGTACGCAATAACCTGAGTATTACCACCACTCACGTATAACACCACCGGGTTCTGGGCGCCTGTGATCTCTCTACCCATCTCTATGTGCCCGATACAATGGTTTACTGGCACCAATGGCACATCCCACAGCAAGGACACGGTCCTGGCCACGATAACCACGGAGTGCAGCGGTGCACCCATACCTGGGCCTTTAGTGAAGCATATAGCATCCAGTTGTCCGGGAGTGACACCTGCCTCTGCCAGCGCCCTCTTCACTAACCGCACGCACCAGTTCTTGTGGTGTCTAGCGGTGTCACGGGGCAAGAACCCTTCTCCTGGCGGCGTGATGTATGTGTCTCTGATGTTAGACACTATTTCAGTGGGAGAGCCATCGACGAACTGCTTGATGACACCAACACCTAGCTTGTTAGCAGAGCCCTCGAGACCCAATGCAACATAATAGCCTTTGTTCTTGGGAGAAATACCGTTCAAATCGACCATAGTTCGTTTCAAGGATGTAAAGTATGTATGCCTGGTATTTCACAAGAGGGTCAATACTTGATTTGTCCTTTAAATTACTTCAAAAAAGGATGACTACCTGGTATGTGGGCATCGCAAAACCACTACCATGCTATCACTATATGTGAAGCCATCACTGACGAGAAGAAACCTCAGCAATGGGTGGGGGAGAGTGAAAAAATCCATGCGGGTAACCTAGATCAAATTATTCGAACGAAATTGCCAGTAATCAATACAACAATCATAAGTGACGAGACATCTTCGAGAACATAGCTTCCAAATAACTGATTACGAAAATGCTGATTAGATTGGCCGATAAGGCGGGTAGGGCTGTTTCAAAAGAAGATAAGCCGTAATCAGTTACTGATAGAGGTGATTAAAGATTAGCACGCGATCGCATTGATGATCTTTCAAGGTTGTCGGGGATAAGGGGAGGCTTGGTGCAAAAGGGCAGATGGTGAGCGTCAGATAAGATGCGATACAGTGGTTTCTATGTGTTATGTTGTTGAAGTGTGGAGATAACATGGGGAGGGGAGAACAGCGAGGTATGTATTTTGTATTTCTGTTGGAGAAAGTTTCTGCTGACACTACCTGTACGTGTGGTTGTTAGTGCTGTTTGTTATATGGTTTATAGGGCAGTGAGGAACAGATAGTCATATCTTGCAGTGATAAGATATGAGGGAGAGGAATGAGATATGACTACTTTCTACAGAAGAAGGGCAAGTTGTCATCTTCTTATGTTGCTGCGGAGTAATCTCAGCAAATCGATCATCTTTTGCAATAGAAGATGAGTAGACAAGACTGTTACAGATAGAGGGGAAGGGAAGGTGGCTTTAATTGGGTGGAGATTAGAAGTGGAGTCGAGGGAAGGATCTGCGAAGGAATGGTCTTTGTGCTGAGATGTTGTAAGAGTTGTGTCCGAGAAAGCGCGTAGCACAAGAACCCAATTCTCGATATTTTTAGGCAACACCGGCAAAGAACAAGTTCGGTGCATTACTGATATAACTGTACGTGCTCGTCTGTGGTCCCTTTATAAAAATATATAGCGTCGCGCATATACAATAAGACAAAATATGAGCGAGGGACCCCTTCCTGCAACGATAATCACAGATGCGAGGATGTGATTCACAGTTACTGTGGGTATACAAGATATAGAAGACCCGAGCTGGCAAGAGCAGTGATTATCAGTGACTTACATTACAATCTTGCAGAAGATAGTGGATAAGTACTCTTGTATACCATTAAACCACTAATCTAGCCGGAGTTATTCACCCGCAATCTTATCTGTGCCAAGATACCATGATGTGTAGGATGGTTCTTTGACAATGAACTGGGAAAAGAAGAAATGAGTTGTGAGACCAGTTACAGAACAATGATATCATATCAAAATTAGAGTTCAATACCAACAGTGCCAAATAAGAACTAGACAAATGGAAGGAATAGGCAAAAAAAAAAAACATATATAAAGGACATGTTGTTTCCTGTTGGAGACTCAGTTATTCTTGATAAATTGTTACTGTATTGAATAACCAGACATCAATAAAAACTAACAACCAAGTTTTGAAAAAGAAGGGGAATTATAATAGCCCTCTTTTTTTAACATAATTAATACAATAAAAATAATAAGAGTACGATCTTAAAAGAAATGAGTTCCTTGGAAAAGACTGACTTGCCGAAGAACGAGTTGCAAATCGACTCGGAGTTCCTAAGGGAAGAACCCCTGGAGATAAGTAACTTCGAAGAGTCTTCCTCTTCACAAGGCCCACAGCCAAGTGGTTCACGTTGGAGGAAGTTTAAAGATTCTTTCAAACCCTTGGATGAAGCCGTTGTCACTGACGACATGAGCGATATCGAAAAGATTGCTCACAGAACCGCGCATGCACCACTGAAGCATCATTTAAAGAACAGACACTTGCAGATGATCGCCATCGGTGGTGCCATTGGTACTGGTCTGTTTGTCGGTTCCGGTACCGCGCTAAGAACAGCTGGCCCAGCTGGTATTCTAATTGGTTGGGGTCTAACGGGTACCATGATTTACTGTATGGTTATGGCCATGGGTGAACTATCTGTGGTCTTCCCAATCTCAGGTGGTTTCACTACCTATGCCACGAGATTCATTGACGAATCGTTTGGTTTTGCCAACAACTTCAACTATATGTTGCAATGGCTATGTGTTCTACCGTTGGAAATCGTTGCTGCTTCCATTACAGTCAACTATTGGGGTACGGATCCTAAATACAGAGATGGTTTTGTTGCATTATTCTGGGTGGTCATTGTCATTATCAACTTGTTCGGTGTGAAAGGTTACGGTGAAGCCGAGTTTGTATTTTCAATCATTAAAGTTTTAACAGTCATTGGTTTCATCATCATGGGTATTGTGCTAAACTGTGGTGGTGGCCCAGAAGGTGGCTACATCGGTGGTAAGTACTTCCACGACCCCGGTGCTTTTGTAGGTGACACTGCAGGTGCGAGATTCCAAGGTGTTTGTTCCGTTTTCGTCACTGCTGCATTCTCATTTGCTGGTAGTGAATTGATTGGTATTGCCGCTGCTGAATCTGCTGAGCCAAGAAAGTCTGTTCCAAAGGCCGCAAAGCAAGTTTTCTGGAGAATTACTCTATTTTACATGCTGTCATTGCTAATGGTTGGTCTTTTGGTTCCATACACTGATGAAAGACTGATTGGTGCTTCCTCTGTTGACGCTGCTGCATCACCTTTCGTCATTGCTATCACCTCTCATGGTATTAGAGGTTTGCCAAGTGTTGTTAATGTTGTTATTCTAATTGCCGTCTTATCTGTCGGAAACTCAGCTGTCTACGGTTGTTCCAGAACGCTATGTGCTTTGGCCCAACAAAACTTCCTTCCAAAGATTTTCGGTTACATTGACAGATCAGGTAGACCTCTATTCGGTATTGCTTTCACATCCGCATTTGGTCTAGTCGCATTTGTCGCTCAAAGTAAGAAAGAAGGTGAAGTGTTTGCTTGGTTGTTAGCGTTGTCTGGTCTATCCTCTTTGTTCACATGGGGTGGTATCTGTTTCTGTCACATCCGTTTCCGTGCAGCATTGACTGCTCAAGGCAGGTCCACGGATGAACTTCCATTCAAAGCACCAGCTGGTATCTACGGTTCCATGTGGGGCTTGTTCATGATTGTCCTAATGTTCATGGCACAGTTCTACGTCGCACTGTTCCCACCTGGAGGCAAGCCGAGCGCCGAGGTGTTCTTCCAGTCGTACTTGTCATTCCCAGTTGTCCTGGCGTTCTACTTCGGTCACAAACTGTACGCTAGAAACTGGAAGTTGTTGATCCCATTGTCGAAGCTGGACATCGACACTGGCCGCAGAGAGATGGACCTGGATGTCCTACGCCAAGAGATTGCGGAAGAAAAACAGATGATGTCTACAAGGCCATGGTGGTACCGTTGGTACAGCTTCTGGTGCTAAGAGCCAAAAGACCGGTTTCCAAACTTTACGCAAAAACATTACTTTCTGTACTATATTTCATACATTTTTCTTAGCCTTTTTTACGTTTTACACACATCGTTATAGTGATCTTTACGTTAATAACATAATCTTATACTTGGATTCTTATACCACTTCTGCATTTTTACCTGATTAAGTAAAAAAAGGTTATATAAGTAATGGCTAACACGGCTATAGCAGGGAAATAGCAGCATAAATCCCGACGATTAGAGCGATGAGGGCGATGAGGCCCATGACATCACATTTCCGATGAGCATCGCATTTGCAATTTCATATGTGTGTGGAGGATGCATGCGATGTGGTGTTTAGGTGTTGGAATTTAACTTGCGCCACCTCTATAACTTCTCCGTAGTTTCCCAGTTGCCCACTGGATCCCGTCTCGAGGCATTGTTGAGGCTACCCGCCGCGAGCATTGCCTGGGGGGGGGGGAGTCGAGAAGTTCCATATTAAAAACGCCCAATACAGAGAAAAAGAAAGAAAGAAATAATCCGGATACTGGAATCCGATAACGCAGAAAGAATGAGATCTGGGCTTACCAAGAGTGATTTGCAGGGCTGTCTCTGTCTAGTTCGGGATTCGGTCTCCATCTAGCAGTACCATATCGAAAAATCCATGCAATTTCATAACTTTACCCAATTAGGAAAAGTAAGTAACTTCCTAAAACTCAATTTGTGATTTCAGTATTTAAGCGTATTTCTTTCTTTTTTTCTTCATCTTTTGTTTCAAAACGGTGTGTCGTTGCACAGTACTAAGAGCTCGGGTTTCACCATCTATGGTGTTTGAGAGCGTGAGTAATTGAGGAAAGTGTAGCTTGACGTATGACAGTATGCACATGCAAGGACTCCCTGTACCTGTTTCTGTGAGTCGTAGATACTTATGTATCCAGATTAGGAAAACATAGTGTTTACAAAATGTCCAAATCGAGTAATATTGAAACTGAGGGATGGGTAAAAGCATGACCTCACTGCAAAACTCTAGGAGAGAGCAAAAACAGTTGTACTGAGGTTTCTTTGTCAAACATCCAAATTAAGACGATTCCTAAAACAGTAAGAGGTGTATTTTCCACACAGCAGTTGGTGGTACGTTATCACAGAGCAAAAATTTAAATTTTTCATATAATCACAGAAGAGACTGTGGAGCTACAGCACAAATCTGCTCAATGTTCACAGTGAGATCCCATTTCCATCCTCCCCCTAAGAAAGCATCCTGCAGATTCCTCAACAATCACATCTCTTAGATAAGAAAATTGGTTCCGTACGTACCACTCTAAGTAACTCCTTTCCAATATGCACTATATGACCTAACCCCAAAACGAAGCAGAACTCGAGGCAAATTCAAAAAAGCGCCAATCACTCACATCTTGCCGCAGCAAAGCAAACCCCATACCCTTTCTTGTCCTTTCTTTTTTTTCCAGTCTCTTTGTCTGTCTCGCCACCCAACTCCCAAATTCCACTTACTCTACCAGAACCGGTAAAAGCATCCACTGCGCAGAGACACAGAGAACTCCAAAGGGGATTACTTCAGATACACTCTCTCAAGCATCGAAGGGCTGCGAGCCCACAAGAAACCCAAACAAAAACAATTAGAAGTCCAAATCCGGTAATGCGCACAGAAAGAAGCGAAGGAGGCCCATCTCGCGTGAGAATGAATTGGAAGAAAAAAAAAATCGAAAAAGAAGATATTGAGCAGTAGCGAGATATTGTAGCACAGACAACTGCGTAGAAGGGACAATCCATCGAGAGGAGGGGCAAGGAAATCAAAAAACAAAAAATGCTGTTCCTCGGAAGGGGGAGTTTCTAAAAAAAAAAGTTGAAAATTGATAAACTTAAAGGAAAAGCACAGAAACAAAGGGAGGAAAAGACGTCATTTAGTGCTAAAAGTGGAATTATGGATCTTTTCCCATATATAAGTAGCGATGGATTCACAAATTGATATTTCTTTTCCTTTCAAGACGTCTTTTGGGCGGGATTTAAAAGAACTAAAACGCTTTTTTTCTATACAACTCAAACTAAAGTTTAACTACAAAGTCTTTCCAACTAATAATCTAGATTTCCCTTCCTTTTATAAATCTATTTTATTACTTTCCTTCCTTTTATTGAAATATCTAAATCAGTTTTTTAAGAAAACTATTTCCAACTTTTTACATTCCTTTTATTGTTGAATTTAGAAAAAAAACTAAAAACCAATCCATTCCTTTTACTAAATTATTAAAAATGAAGTTTGTTTCCGCTATTTTGATGGCCTCCGCTGTTTTGGCCGCCCCAGCTGTCCAACACCAGGACAAGCATGCTCATGAAAAGAGAGATCTTGTTGTTGTCACCGAATACGTTGACCAAGACGGTAACATTTTCACTCCAACTGAAGTCGTCAATGATGCTCCAGCTGCCACTCCTACTCCTGCTCCAGCCGCTGCTCCATCTTCTGCTGCTCCAGCTGCTCCAGCTGCCTCCCCAGCTAAGGACACTACTACTTTGGCTCCATCTTCTTCTAAGCAACAAGCCTCTCAACCAACTACTGGCTCCTCCTTCACTGGTGGTGCTTTCCAAGATGGTACCATTCCATGTTCTCAATTCCCATCCGGTAACGGTGTTGTTGCCTTGGACTGGTTGAACATGGGTGGTTGGGCCTCTATCATGGACTTGAACGGTAACACTGCTTCTTCTTGTCAAGAAGGTTTCTACTGTTCTTACGCCTGTGAATCTGGTATGTCCAAGACTCAATGGCCATCCAACCAACCTGCCGATGGTAGATCTGTTGGTGGTCTATACTGTAAGGGCGGTTTCCTATACCGTGCTAACACTAACGCCAACACCTTGTGTGAACAAGATGCTGGTACCGCTTTCGCCGAAAACCAAGTTGGTCAATCCATTGCTATCTGTAGAACCGATTACCCAGGTTCTGAGAACATGGTTATCCCAACTGTTGTCGGTGCTGGCTCTACTCAACCTATCTCCGTTGTCAAGGAAGACTCTTACTACCAATGGAAGGGTATGAAGACCTCTGCTCAATTCTATGTTAACAACGCAGGTGTCTCTGTTGAAAACGGTTGTATCTGGGGTAACGAAGGTTCCGGTGTCGGTAACTGGGCCCCAGTCGTTTTGGGTGCTGGTGAAACCAACGGTATCACTTACCTATCTATCATTCCAAACCCAAACAACAGAACCCCACCAAACTTCAACGTCAAGATTGTTGCCACTGATGGCTCTTCTGTTAACGGTGCTTGTAAGTACGAAAACGGTGTCTACTCCGGTTCTGGCTCTGACGGTTGTACCGTCTCTGTCACTTCTGGTTCTGCCAAGTTCGTTTTCTACTAAACACTTTAGCTTAACTTTAGCCCACTCCATTTATTGTATGTCGCTCGACTCGGCATTACAAAACCACAATAGGTGTGGATAATGTTACTCTAGCGCTTGCTACAAATTATCTCTTTCTTGATTCCATTAAAAAATATTCGTTCACCGCGGTAAGGGCCAACATCGCTTGACCCAATGATTCCGCTATATTTTTGTTCTTTTTCATTTATGAAAACTGGAGTTCTACAATTTTTTTGTGGAGTCCTTTTTTCTAAATTGTACTAAACAATATGTTTTATTCTTTAAAACATCATACATTTTTCAACCGTTATATTACATTATTTTATGTTTACATTTCATTTTCTTTGTTACTGTTTTTTTTATCAGTTCTTTTCAATTGTTTTGACCCAATTCGAAAAGCTCAATGAAATACCCGAAACCAATATCCAATGAGTTTTGGTTTCTTTACCTAAAAGTTTAGATGAACTATGAATCTGTTGTCATCAAATTGGCGTCGTGCTTTCATATGTTCCAGTATAGATACCATTATACAAATATTTTTTAAAGTTCAATTTAAAAAAATTTACTACTTTGTACTATATTAGCAACATCCTACATAATAAGCTTAATGATCTATCAATAATCATTATTGCCAGCGGATGCATCTTGTTACCTATTGTTTTCGTTACGAGCTGATTTTTTTTATTATTGTATCATATCTATATATTAATCTGTCATTAAATAACCATTACACATAAATCAGTAATTCTTGTTTGGAACTGGAGCGTGTTGGGACTCTTCCTCTGGTGGGGAAATGAACGCACCAGCTAGGTCCAAGGCGGGTTCATCAATGCTGTGGTGGGCATAAGACAATACACCGATACCACCAGCGTCAAGTAAGAAGAATGGGTTGTCCACCAAGTGTCTGAACTTGGTAATCTCAACGTATGGGACCACAGACTCATCCTCCTCATAGGACTTAACCTTCTGCTTAGAGAAAGCAGTGATACACTCTTTCTCTTCACCTAGACGTAGCCAGATGGCCGCAAAGTAACGCAAAGCATGTCCATGAGCAAACACCATGATATCAGATGGTATGCCTTGTTCCTGGTGCTTCTTGTGCAGGTTTTGGATACGTGCGATGACTCTAGACAATCTCAAACCGACTTCTTCAGTAGTTTCACCGTTCTCACAGCCATCTCTCCAGATATTCCATGGGCGAGCTTTGTCCAAACCACGGGACTTACGCAGCTCGACAATCTCCTTGGTCAATAGCCCTTCATAGTCACCGTACTCCCATTCTCTCAAGTCATTGTCAACAATAACCTTGATCTTAGACCTTTGCTCCTCGCTCAATGGCTTCAAAACCAACTCAATGGTCTGCTTGGCCCTGGTTCTTGGAGAAGTGAAGATATATGTGATGTGGTCAGGGTTGATGAAACGGTTGTTGGAGAAGATAGACTCACCGGTCCTCAGCATTTGGCCAACACCATAGTCAGTCAATGGCAAGTCAGTCAAACCGGTGTACTGACCGGACTTAGACCACTCGGTCTGGCCATGTCTGACAATAATACATCTAGGAGTTGGACTGTGACCCATTACTAAAAATCTTGCAATATCGAATTCGTGCTTGCCGTTACTTGGATCCAATTGAACTGCACAATACACACTATTAGCTCCTATTTGAAGTCCAAAAATTTTTTTTTCAGCGGATTTCCTCTGAATTCAATAAATTCAAGATAAATTAATGGGACCCTCGAGAATCGAACGCCTGTAGTGAATTTTTCCAGTTTCCCACATTTTGGCGTACAGAATTTCGATTTTTGATTTGCGCTGCCAATATGAAATTTGGTGATTTCGTGTTCATACCTGCAATAGGGCATCGAGCAGTGATGAGCCCACTGTATTTGCTTCTATAATCTATAAGATATAAATACTTGCTAGGTCGAGAGGTTAAAAAGGTGGGAGCTTGGAGCGGTAGCGAGAGAGGCCGAGCTGATATATTATAGATGATCGCTGGTGGGAAGAGTAATGTGCTCGTGGTGGTGCTGATATGCGTGCTGTTTGGTACTTTCCAGCTTTTGATGGGCACTGGTGAACTGCACAGTGGTGGTATGGGGTCGGTAGTGCGACCTGAGCCCGAGAATCACAGAAGTAATGACAGAGTACGAGTAAAGAAAGTGTTCAACCCTGATGCAAGCTTGTCTGTGCCTTTTCTCGACAAGATCAATAAGTATTGGCACATAGGTGGCACTGCTGAAGTGAGAAATATGAAGTCTATCATGCTGACCTCTGCAGGACAGTCAGGCAAGCATGGTGTTGTGCTCTCGAATGGTATCGGTGACAACACGATTACTGATTTTGAGATAGTGGTGGATTTTAGGATATATGGGCGTGAACAAAGACAGAGTTCACATATAGGCGATGGCATGGCAATTGTCATTACCCCCGAGAATGGATTTCTGGTCCGGGACTTGGTCTCATCGTTTTCCCGCAAGCAGTATGAAATTAACTCTGGAGGTGTCCATGCCAAGAATGTAGATTTGATGGGTCTGCCCAATAACCTTCCGGGCTTGGCATTAGTCTTTGATACTTACAAGAATAACTACAGAACAGATGTTGAAATCCCGTACCTGGATCTTATCCTCAATACAGACCCACAAAAGGATATGTACTCGGTCAACACTGACAACCTTGAGTCCACATCAAAGAAGTTAACACCAAAGCATATTAAACTCCACCCATCAACTATCAAAGGGGATATCACAAAGCTTAGAATTATATATTCTGAGACCATAGGATTCTTGAAAGTGGATATCCAATACCAAAAGGAAGGAGACTATTGGATTGAACTATATCAAAGTAATGAAAAAATATACCTACCAAAAAATAAGTCCAGCGGGCAACGTTTTATCGGTATATCAGCACTTACTGGTGATGCAACAGAAAATGTTGAGATTCTAGGAGTATCTACCAATGAATACCACTGGAATAGTAATGAAAGGGAAATTCAGGATTCAACAACAAATGATAATTTACCACGCTCTTATGAATACGCACAAGCGCTAAAAAACTATCTCTTAAATGAATTTGGCCATCGTATAGCCTTGGAAAAAGATGACTATACAAGGTGGAAGATGAAAATGGCTCAACCAAACTATGAAAATGATTTGAATGACAGAGTAGAAAATCAACATGTAAATAATAACAAACATCAAAGTAAATCTTCTTCAAGGTATATTATATTACTGTTGTTTTTGGTTTTGATATACATTAGCTCAGTGTATATAAGAGTTACCAAAAAGCATTTGAGAAGATTAAAACGGAGAAGAGCCACATCACAAACCTTACTGCCTACGTAGGCATAGCATAAATAACGCAGTCAATAGACATTACGAATTAACTTTTATTTATAGAAAAATACCATTACACTATTTCGGATCTAGCATATTATGAATATTCAAACTTTATTTCAAGAACAATACATAAACAGTCTATAGATGACTTATACTTATAGGATAATGCTTTTAGTAAAGAAATACATAATCCCAACTTGAATGTGTATAGCAGATAAATTAGACAACAACAAAATCTCAAATGAGCCAGCCTAATTTGATTTTATTGTCAAAATGGAATTTAATGTGTGGCCACTATCTCTTCGCGCTAGTAGCCTTTGAGGAGGTCTAGTATTACCACTAGCAACTGTAGAGACAGTATTTACGCCAGTGTTCATTGTAAGAGTGGATTGCCTTGCTCTGTCCAAAATGCTAGCTGGTGGAATGGCCATTGTGCTAGAATTGGTCTCTTGTGTCCTTGAAGAAAATACCGTCGGCCTTGTTGATTGGATAGAGTGTATATCTGAAAAGGTTGAAGATTTAACTGATGATGAACAAACAGAAACTAAAGGAGCCATACTAGATAAGTCCATTTCATGGTCTGATACAATCGACTCTGCGTGTTGCTCCTTGGATAGTAAACTGTACTTACTTCTGGGCCGCGGACTACGACATGTACTATCGTTATCAGAATCAGAATCATTTGCAAACAGCGGCATCAGTGAGGAACTTATTGTTACCCTATCAGAATCACACGAAAGTGATGGTGAGAGTGGCATTAAATAATTGGAAAGTGATCTTGATGCTGGTAATGACTCAGGAGCTGAATCAGCTCTTGATCTAACTATCCGACTCTTTGATGATGATTTCTTAGCACTTCGATGAAAACTAGCATTCTTTTGGTATAAACTAGCGTTATATTCATCTGTGGGATCGTAGACCTTCCGCTGCCTTTCTTTTAAACGTTTTTCTGATTTTGTAAGATCAATACCAATATGCTTATCGCCCTTCAGCATGTGCTGTGACTGCTGATTTGTATTTGTATTGGGATTGCTGTTGCTTCTATGGTTGGTCACCGGTAGTTGCAGTGTAGTGTTATTAGCTACTGGGTTAGATTCACGTCCGGGTTGTATTATTCTTTTGACCCATCCTGATATCTTCCTAGTTTTCCCTTGGAAAGAATGATCATTCCCACCTATACTCTGGTTACGATGCGACATCTGCGGTCTGGAACTACTGTTGTTATATAATTAAGTCTTGTTTAGCAGATTATAACGCTACCTCAATACTATAACTGATCAAGATGCCATCCTGTCCTATTTAAGGTTCCAATTCATCCAGTGATATTCGTATATTTTGCAGAGTCAGGTGGACCTTAATAAGCATCACGCTAAAATACGAATAAAGCCGAATAGAGGTCAATCAAGCTTTTGGGACGTATCGATGGCAAGAATTTCATAACATCTAGCATTTTGATAAGATTAGCGAGTACTGTCATACCTATGAATGACTCAAATGTTATTCCTGGGCACATAGCAATAAACTTGCCCCATGATACTTCAAGAAAATGCAATTAATAAATTAGAACTAATAAGAATATGTAAAATATGTAAGGTAGAGTTCCTATTTCCAGTTGAGTGTTTCTGCATTGATGCCAATAAAGTATCCAACCATTTGTATACTGTTATAATTTGTCTGGAGACGCGCCAGCTTCGATGAACGTGCTTGTAAGGGATGAAGTTGAGGCCAGTTTTTTGCTTTGTTCAAGCAAGTTGATATCAGAGTTTGGCTTACTTAACCGATCGTCGACAGAGAGCGGCTTGTCGTTTCCTTGTGGAGTAGTGTTTAATAAAAACATATTTAAGAATGTCCTTGGAGTTTCCAAAAGCTTTTTGGAGCTCGTATTGCTGTTACTGTTGATCCTTGTCAATACAGTAGAGTTTGACTGAGAAGGAACCATTGATAGATCATTGTTGCTACTTCTAACCATATCTGTAATTTGATTTAAGTATGTTTTTGGCTCATTTGGCTCCATACCCTGGGGGTTGCTGTAGTATGATATTGGAGGTAATACGGTCTGGGATGAATTACCTGATTTATCATAGCCATCCGTCAATAGACGAGATGGACTGATTAGTGGCTTTTGGGTGTTATTGCTATCAGGGAAAGTTGCTTTTCTGTCAGTTTCATTTATCCTGTTTTGTCTTTTAGTATTCTTTTCTAAAGAATTCTCATCTAATATAATATGGTCAATCTTTCTTTTATTTCCAGCAGGTACACTTTTAAACGTTGATGAAGGGTTCCCGTTGGCAAACGAAACTTGCTTTGTTTTATCGATTTCTTGCCTGTATTTGTTGAATACTGGGGGCTGATTATGCTTTTGTTGAAACAAGGAAGGCCGTCTTCTGGTTTTGAACTCTAATGGTGCATTATTTCCTTCTTCATCGTCGTCATCATCATCTTCTGCATAACCGTCATCGGTATCATCTTGTTCTTCAGCTGCTTGATTTTTATTCCTTTGTAGGTTAATGCTACCCATGGGGTTCTGAAACCCTAGATTCAAGAAGTTACTAGAATTTAGGTCAGTGGCATTTATAGCAAGTCCAAGATCCTCCCCAACACCTTGAGTGTTGACATTAGAAAAGCTCTTAGATTCTTGTAAAAGCGGTAATCTGATACTGCTATTTAAGAGTGGAGACATTAGTCTTGAATCCGTATTAATGTTCTCGAACAAATTAAATTGATCCATATTTGCGTTGGAATTAGATCTGACCAGATTAGTTCTCGTGATTGCATTAAAGTTGACAACTTCTGTGAAGTACTTAATTTTTTGTAAACTGAAATTGGAATCATTAAAATCTCCTGGTTTCTGTAGCTTTATCTTGAAACTTACCAGTATTTTCTTGAGAAGGGAATCTTGGCTTTCATCTATATACCATAGTTGACACCACTGTGAAAGTAGAGTTTTATATTTGTTAAATTTCCAATTACTTTGTTCACTTGTCTCGTTAGGGTGTTGAGGAGAGACAGACCATTGATGAAGGTTATTTAAACATAATTTGATTAAATCTAGTGAATCACAAGGTAAAATATGCAATACATTGAATTGCTGCGGTTGTTCTATGATATCCTTGTTCAACAATAGTAGAAAATATAGCGATAAAATCTCATATGAAATTTCTTCAGTTGGATAAGATTCAATGAAGTTAAAGTCTTTTTTATTGTCGGATGCAATATCAGAAGTAAATGTCTGGGCATATTCAAACTGATCACTTTCTTTTCTTGTAATCATTCTTGTATCTGAGAATAAAGCAAGAATCAAATAATATAGCGTTAACTGAATTTCAACAATGTCGGATTTAGTCAAGAATATGTCCAGATTAGAATAGTGGTCAGCTTGCATTAGTTGAGATTCGTGAAGCTCTTCGTGATCTTTAATGCTGTGATAGAGTTTCCACTTATCTAATATATTCCTAAATGCTCCGGTAGTTTCGGCCAACTTTAGGCGCCCTCCATTTGATAATGTATGTAATAGATTGCAACCGTCAAATGCAAGAACAAACTCCAAAATCAATGAGAAGACTTTCAGTTCTGGTTTCTTCAATGATTTTACATCCTTCGGATGAAATTCGTTCATCAGGAAGTTTGATTTCGGCAATCCTTGCATTAGTGACCACCATGAATCAAGGAATTGAAAACACCAAAAAGCTACAACAATTTTGTCAGTGTAGTCCTCGATATCGGCTATATCAAATAGTTGTGATGTTGCTGTTTGGTTACCCCTTTGTTTTGTCGGTAGCAATCTATTGTCAAAACAGAGTGGGATCAAGTTGGTGTAATTAATAAATAAGCCCATATCAAGGGCAAAAGTGTATGAAAGATGTAAGAGCTCAGTAGCCCACAAGTTGGAACTGAGTTTCAAATTTTTCTTGTTAGAATTTGCTGATTTGCCTTTCCTCTTCTCCTCTGTAGTTTTCTCATGCATAACCTCTTGATACCAATTTTGCTTCATGTCGCAGCTTCCCATGAAATAGAAAGTTGCAACTAAAAGGGACTGAAATGTTGTCAGATTTTTAGGACTAGTAGAAAAAATCAGCTTCGATAGTTGATACAATTTGTAGTCATCTATGCATGACCAATTAGTCTGTATTATGTATATCAATGTGAGAAGAATAATGGGGTTGTTATCTACCAAACCAATTTTCTTCTCTAAGACGGGAGAAGCCATTGGATTGGTAGACAATGTGTTGGTATAGCCAGTCGATAGATTTGATATACTTAGAATTACCTGTTGTGTAAGTTTCTCTTTCCAAATGGCTTGAGGGTACAATAAGGGTATCAGAGAACTCTGTGATTTAAAGAACTGCTCGATTGCCAACACCAGAAGCTCTTTAATTTGATTCATATTATACTTGTATTTGACTAGCAAAAACTGTGGCAATAAATACTGGGAATTTAGTTGCAGTATTTCCACCATGGTATCTATTTGGAACTCTCTCAGCCAAGTGCTATCGTGAATAAAAGAGGTATCTATTAGTTTATTGTTATCTTGTTTTTTCTTGGTATCCTTTCCTGTTGGGTGTATATTACCATTCAATAAATGCCATGTGCCGTGTCCAAGGTAGTTATTCGACAAATTGTTAGAGAAGGTGTCTTGTGTTGGCGTAATATAGAAAAAATTCTTATAGTAATAGAAAGTGTCATTAATGAATGCCAACTGGCCAATCTCATCGCGACCTTGTGTGAGCTCCGTACCTGCCGAGCTACTGTCATTATTATGGCCTTGGGGGCTCGTACTGCCCTCGTTGCTGTTCTTACCCATGGAAAATGAATTCTCCTTTGTTGAATGGTCTTCTAACACCGCCAACTCGCCAAATTCCCTCTGTGAACCATCCCCATAGTTTTCAACTTTGCCGTTCCCATCACCATCGCCATCGCCATCGCCATCGCCGTCACTTTCTTCCGCCAGTAGATGCTTCACTTTATCCAGGTAGTCATTCGTCTTCAATATACTCTTGAACTCGTTCCTGTCCAGCGTCTCATACCCAGCTATCTCATTCACAATTTTCTGTAGTTTAACCACTTCGCACTCAAGCAAGTCGGTATACCCCTTCGGAAGACCCCTACGAGACAGCTTGTCCGAGGTCACACAGTTGTACCCGATCTTCGCACAGTTAGAGCACGGCTGCAACCCATCACACTTGATCTTCTTCGACCGACACCTATCACACGCCTGCGAATGCCGCTTCTTCGTCCGCGTCAGCACTAGCTCCCCGGGCGGCTGCGGCTTCCCATACTTCCGCTTAGACTCCATTATATAGCTATTGCTTGTCCCTATCCCACTGCTTTCAGCGGTTAAAACATTTTTTTCCGTTTTCCAACCCCGGGTATTTATACTCCCCCCTTCCAGCCCCCCCTTGAGTCCACCAAATTCTCGAGAAAAGATCCGCAAGGGGATTCGTAATAGCCGCTGACACTCCTTCCTACGCCTGTATAGTGTGCCGCGGAACTGCACTGCCGACAGCAAAGGAAATGTACGGCGTGTTCTCTGTGCGTGTGCGTGGCACTAACTCTAACACCTTAAACATGAGCACATCGAGGAACCCGCAAGACTATCGAAACACGGGCAGGCTCAGAAATACCTGCAGGTCGAGCCCTCTTCTCTTGGAAAAGTCCGATATTTCGGTAACTTGCCCCGTCTACCTGTTTCTTCTTATGTTGAGCACGCCTCCCGTCAGAAACTGGCGCAGGTGTCCACCTCTTAGGGCGGGAAGTCATGTCCCTTTGCTCGGGTTTCGCGATGTTTCTCCCAGAGCCCCCGGGCGAATGGAAACGGTTTGCTATGAGACGGTGATATTCCCCGTGTGGGCTGCGAGTTTTGTAAGTGGCAGAGAACCCCCCACGCACAATCCACAAGCAATCGAGAATGAAACGGGAATCATGGCCCACCCCCCTTCAACACCGTGCTACAGCCGCGTCATGACTTGTGTAGTGCATTGTATACGCTGGTATCACATGTTATACATGTGTTCGTTTCATATGTTTCATCATATGACTTCCCGTTTACATGTACCTCATCGCGTCCTGTCCTTTGGTGTTTTCCATAGTATAGTAAATATATTACACCATGATTATGCACCATCTTGAAAGAGTAACATTTGATGGAAGCTCGGCAAGGACCTCTAAAGTAATTGACCAGGGAGCTACTGCCGAAGCGTGTGTTGGATAGTAAGAGCTGGATGAGGCCGTTTGCTCGGATAACGTTTTGTTGTACAGGTTTGGATGAGCAGTTGTTCAAGTCTATAAGCAAGAAAGTATTGAAGCTAGGTGGTTTGCTGAGCTATGATCTAACTTCGCAGGTGAACGTGCTGATTGTTGGGGACCTGCACCGCCGGACAGACAAGTACGAGTTTGCGGTGCGAAATAGACCCGATATCGTGTTCTTGGATTGCAATGCGATACTAGAGTTATATCATCTGTGGCTGGCCGGAGAGGATGTTGCTCACTCGAACGATAGTGGGATGGCGCATGTTGATCAGAGCGTTAGGATGCTGGATATTCTAGCGAAACGATACACGCTGGGTCCGTTGACAGACTACGTGATTTTCATTGGTAGGATACGAAATGACACTCTGACCAATGTCCCACAGTTAGAGGAATTCTGCTCCGCAATGAACTGCTGTAAATGTATCTCCAAGCATTTCATGTCTGATTCGAAGAGGAAGTTTGCCGGGAAACAAGTGGTGTTCATCACTGATGAGCCAAATGGTGTGCGTGTAGATGCCGCTAGGAAAGAGAATATTCCAGTCATACATTATAAGTGGATATTGGACTGTTACAAAAGAAACGCCACTCTGCAATACGATCCATACTATTTGTTGGAATTTGCCATGCATATCGAAGATATTAAAGAGATTGGAAGAGATTCATGTGATTGTTGGGATGACCTGGATGATCCAGCACAAAATCGGCTTGTTTACGAGGATGAAGAAGACCGTATGACACAGAGGAAATCTATCTCAAAGAGACTAAAACCTCATGGTGATAAGTTATGGCAAAAAGTGATGTCATCTAAGGACAGTAAAGATCAAGAAATATCGTCAATCAATGAGAATGAACCGAATAGCGCGCCTCTCCATAATTTAGAAGCAGACATTTCCCAGTCAGACGTTAAGGATGGCGGTATTTTCCATGGATTAGCTTTTATTATCAACGACGCCTTTAAGATAGATCACAGAAAAATATTGGAAAAAGTAATAACTCAGCATGGAGGAAATATAACCTACGATATTCAGGACGAAGGTGCTTATAGATATCTAGAGCTGGTTCCTAGCCATATCCCAATTGAGGACATTATAATCAATAAGAATATTGGTATTGACTCCACAGTGACAGAATTCTTCATTGAACGATGTCTCCATTACAAAAAGCAGCTTCTTCCAATCGATTCTTGGTCTTCTCCGTACCTATATTCGACTAAATTCAAGATTCTTGCATCCAATAGATCAAACAAAGAATTCGTCATCTCTATAACTGGTTTTAGTGGTGTTGAACTTCTTCATTTAGTAAAAATGTTAAAGGCACTGGGAAACTTCGGAATTAAATATTCTGAGTATCTGGATAAGAAAACTGATCTACTATTGGTTAACCTAGCTGTTCTCACAAGCATTACGAAAGATCACTCACTTTGGAACAATCAATACCATGATTTATTTCTACAAAACTCAGAGTCAATCACTCAAATCAATCAGATATTTAGAAACTCCTTAAAGCGTAAAATTCAATTTATTAAGGAAGAGCATTGTATACCTATGGCTACCCCAGCATTCATTATCGATATATTCAGGAAAGCTAAAGATTTGTACTATAATCCGACTACTATAGATCATACCATCCATCTGAATAATATCCAGTGGCTGGTTTTATCACGGAAGGGGAAGAAAACTGAGTTCGAATTCAAGGTTGTGAGAAGTTCCATTCCCATCGATCAGAGGAAAGCACTGGTTGATAAATCAGTACTGAGTTCCGTGGAGCAAGCAGAGAAATCCAGTGATATAAATCAGAGACTATTAAAGAGATCAGCATCAGAACTGTTACAAAAATTCAAAGAAAAGCCTGAACTTTCCCCTTCAAAATCCGATTTCACTCACAAAAGAGTGAGGCTTAATGTGATCCCGCCTGAAATTGAGCAAAGGAAATCCAGTCTTGGTGATAAGATTCCTAACTTAAAGAAAGTTGATATACAGCCCGTGATTAGGACAACCAGCTGGGGTAGTATATTGGCAGAAGGCCATGATATGCAGCGAAAAGAGTTAACAGAGCTGCCTAGCGATGACATGAACAGGAATAATAACCGTAATCCGATCGATCAAACTCAGGTGACCTATGGGTCAGTATCTGCAACTTCTTCAACCAACACTACATCACATAAATAATATATAAATTATTAGCTGCATGATATATGTGTATCGTTAACATTAGCAATGTCGGTTTAATCATTACTAAATAACGATTAAACAGAGTTTTTAAATCATCTTTTAATGTTTTGGCGTTGCCCCGGAGATCAAAAATAAAATTTAAGAACGGGACACGAGAAATACAGCATCTATAGAAGCTCACATTGAAATGAAGGTCGGAAAACTCATATCATCCAATCCAAGTATAAACCACTTAACACTAACATATACTTTGTGCAAATAGAAATCATACATTAGGAATATACTGGGCTCTTGTCTCTATTTGCTATTTGGAAACTGAGGTTGCAGTTGGTAAAAAGGAAATAGGCACGTATACTATTTTGGCTAACAGATTACTGATGTCAAGTCTCAAAGAGAGAAAGGAAGCCTTTGTATCTGGCTTAGAAGGTGGCTCTATATTGGAGATTAATGTCGTAACATCAATTGCGTTGACAAGTTATCTATGCGCCAATTTGATCAGTTACAATGATACACAAAACATTCCATTGGGGATCGATTTCGTCCTTAACTGGGTTGCTATGCTTCTATCATTTACATTATATTCACAAGATATCTATTTATTGACCACATTATGCTTAATCCCATCGATTGGGTGGTTTCTTCTCAACTATAAGAGGAATTTAAAACAAAGTAAAAACACAGTGAAACATACCACTAAAGAGGCAGTTCAAAAATTCGAGCTTACCAAAAAACCATTCCTCACAGCTTATAGAAGTGGTATGCTGATTTTAACATGCTTAGCCATCTTAGCTGTTGATTTTCAAATATTCCCCAGAAGATTTGCAAAGGTTGAAACTTGGGGAACATCTTTAATGGATCTGGGTGTTGGATCATTTGTGTTCAGTAATGGTATTGTTTCATCGAGAGGTTTATTCAGAGAGAAAATGAAAGACAAAAAAGATAAGGCCTCATCTATCAAAAAGATCTTTGCTGCCACCAGATCAGGTACTACACTTCTCATTTTAGGGTTGTCTAGGCTATTTTTTGTTAAGAATCTAGAATACCAAGAGCATGTTACTGAGTATGGTGTTCATTGGAATTTTTTCATTACATTGTCTCTACTTCCACCTGTTCTAGTGCTTATCGACCCAATTACTTCTTATATACCCCAGTGCATACTTGCTATGCTTTTTTCAACAGTCTATCAATTATTTTTGATTAAGGATGATAGTCTATTAACCTACTTGGTCTTATCAGATAGGAACACCTTTATCAATGCTAATAGAGAAGGTCTGATATCTTTTGTTGGATATTGCTCAATATTTTTATGGGGACAAACCATTGGATTTTTTATCTTGGGTAATAAAAAGACTACTAACAACCTTTATAAGTGTTCAGTCACTGTATCAAGAGATAAGAAAAACAGAACTCTTTGGGATAGGCTAACAACTGTAGGCCCATCTTTGGGATTACTTATTTGGTTCATAATCACTTATGCCCTCTCAGAAGGGTTGTATTTGATACACCCACAAACCGTGTCAAGAAGATTTGCAAATATGCCTTATGTGTTGTGGGTTGTGTGCTACAATACAGCCTTTTTGCTGTGCTATTCTTTAGTGGACAAACTATTTGGAAATAGCTCCAACTTTTACCGGATATCTACCCTTTTAGAAGCAATGAATTGCAATGGTTTAGCCATGTTTTTAATATCCAACGTATCAACAGGACTAGTAAATATGTGCATTCCAACCATAGACCAAAATGATAAAGTGTCAATAGTAATACTACTGATTTACGCAGCCTTCTTGGCAATGGTTTCATTTAGTCTCTACAAACACAAAATATTTATTAAATTATGAGTATACTTCTCTGAAGAAATTGAACTTGATTGCGGAAGAGTGTGTATTAAACATAAGTTATAGAAATAAAATATACATACTAATCAATGACTATAATGTCAGAGTCATTCAGTTTGGCTTTCTTTTTTGCCCTATTTAGTTGTGAGAAAATATCATCTTGTAGAATTGGCATCTCCTTCTTGACTCCAATTCCTTCCTGCTTAACTGGCAGTTTCGAGCTTTTTCTAGCAGCATCTGCGAGTATTTTAGCAGATGCTATAATTGGACGATTATCAATCTTTAGTTCTGAAGGGTTATGTAGTAATTCAGATGCAGTTTTATTTGTAACTTCGTCACCTTTGTAATCATTATCTTCAAGTTTGATCACTTCTGTGTATTTACTTTCCTTTGAAACAATATCTATGGGCTCGCTTTTTATCAGTCTTTTACGAACAACTTCTCTGGATCTTTTAAGACATGTTGTTTGATTAGATGGGATGACACGCGCAGCATTATCATGAATACTGGTGACACCAGAATTGCGGCTATCCTGCTCTTCAACCTTTACGTGATGGTTATTAGAGGTTGTTTTTCCATAGCCCCTCTCCGTCCTGATATTTGAATTCAAACTCAAAGAGTGGTCAATTGCTGTATTCTGAACAGTTTCAGCGTCCAGGCTATTTGAACTTATATCATCCGCTTTCTTAATTTGTTTCATTTTTGACATTATATCAGTTTTGGTCTTTTTTTTTGCATCATTATTCACCATTTTGTTAACATGCTTATCCCATTCACCAGTTGCTTTTAAATGCTCTGATGCAGTAGTGAACTCGTTCCTTAGTGAGGTCATGTCATGGACATTTTTAGCTAGATCGAGGTTCATTCCTAATCTGAATATATTTCCACCCCAGTAGAACTTTTCTCTTCGAGCGTCAATATAAGCCTTATAGTCTTTTATTAACTGACTCAATGAGAAATTTTTGGTATTAGTAGGAAATTGAACACCAACCAGATTATATAGCTTTTTAAGACCCGAAAAGTCAACCAAAGCCTTTTGAAATGGCGCTGTAGTCTTGAGCAGCTCTTGCGTTAAAAATCTACTGGGTACTCGAGGAACAGCGGCATCCATATCCGTGACGGAAGATAAATATAGCAGATATTTTGCCCTTGTTTGGGCAACGAAAAACATTCTCCTTTCCTCATCAATCGATTCCTCTACATTATTGTTCTGTGATTTCTTATTTGTTAACTCCTCTTTGTTATCACCATCACCTTCCTCTTCGTTATCTGATGTATTGTCCTTGTCATCTGAAAATATTGCTGGTATATTATTATCTTCACAACCAGGTATAAAGACAACAGGCCATTCCAAACCTTTAGAACCATGAATTGTACAAACAGTAACTGTCCCGAGCGTTCCTTTATTACCATCGTCCGTAGTAGCTACAGTCTTTTCGCCTGCGAAAAGGGATAATGAGTTTAAAAATTGTAATATGTAGTCTGCTAGGGAAATACCATGGGATTTAGTCGTATTAATGCTCGAAAGAGCAGTGTTTTCTTGATTAATCATGCTGTCATCTTGATTCTCTTCTGTATCAACAAAATAGGATCTTAACAACTGTATGTTTTTATGACGCGGATTCTCGAGGTTCGGATCACCATCTATGTCAATCTCACCCTTTTTCTTGCCGTCCTTGAATAAAAATTCATGTTTCAAACCTGACTTTTCATATATTAAATCAAACACCTTTACTAACCGTACAGATAGTTCTTGACCATTCTCTTTATTACACTCTTCAACCAATTTACAGAGGCCCGAAACAACTCCTCTAGCAGACTTCGGTATATCAACATATACGCGACCAATTGCAATTAGGTTCAATATCTCTAACTTGGTTTTATCTGTATATTTGGCAAATATTTCTCTTAATCTTTCAGCAGATGTATCTCCGAAACCTCTGCTTGGGTATGATAATGATGAAATAATAGCTTCCTCATCATTTTCCGATACCATAATTCTAAATATATTAAGCATAGCCATTATTTCCTTCAATTCCCAAAACGCTCGCCCTCTAAGTATTTGATATGGGATTCGGTACTCTATTAAACTTTTTTCTATCATCCTGATTTGTCTTCTCTTTCTTACTAGTATAGCAAAAGAGTCATAGCTAAAAAGGTTAGGGAGTGATTTTAAGTATAGGATCTCCCTGGCAATCGATGGCGCCTCTAAAAAATACGCCGGAAAATTCATATATACAGGCAAAATATGGGAAGTAAACTGAGCCTTTAGCGGTAATCTTTGTTCTCTACCCTTTTGCTGCTGCTTAATTAATGTCTCGCTAGTATCTAGAATCTTTTGTGAGGAACGATAGTTTTCAACAAGTATTACCCGTGAGCACTCCAATGGACATTTATTTGACATCTCTTGGAAATTGTGTGCTAGTGCATATCTAAATGCATAAATACTTTGATCAGGATCCCCAACTACAGTAATACCTCTAGAAATGTGGTGGTTCCCCCGTGCCAGTAGAAACATTAGATCAATCTGAATACTATTTGTATCTTGGAATTCATCAACGAAAACATGCTGTACAAAAGGCAGACATCTTTCTGCAGTTAACAATCGAAACGTAAACATCAGTAAATCATCAAAATCTAATGCATTTAACTTGAACAATTCGTCTTGATACAACTCATAAAAATGAGAGAGTGCCGAATCATGTGCTGAGTCGTCCTTGTATTCCTGTGGCAGTATAGCACTAGATTTGAGCCTGGAAATATGCTTTTTTATGAGTTTCTGATGGACATCCCAGTCAGGACTATCATTAGGCCCTGACGACTTATTCTTAGAATCTGATTTACTATCTCTTTTTGGCAGGCACAGATTCACTTTTCTCGTAGTCGAGTGAGCGTAATCTCTAATTTGATCAGGCATATTTTCTATCATCTTAGTCATAATTACTTCAATCTCTTTTTCATCTACTATCCTCCAGCCTTCTTGCAGTCCCACTCGCGAACCAAACCTCGCTAAGATCTTTAAACAAATGCTATGAAATGTTCCTATCATTATATCAGATGACCTAAATTCTGTATTCTCAAGCAGTACAGCCAATCGATCTTTCATTTCCTTCGCAGCCTTATTGGTGAAAGTAGTAACTATTATATCTCTAGGATCAATCCTGTAGTGTAGTATCAGATATGCTACTCTTGACGTCAAAACCTTTGTCTTACCTGTCCCTGGACCAGCAATGACCTGTAACGCCTTAGTTGGATCGAAAGTAACTGCAGCCCTCTGCTGCTGATTCAGACCACCCAAAATATCTCGCACCCGATGTGACTTGTAATCTCTGTCCAATGAATCGTTCATATTCTCTTTATTATACAAAATATTACTGTTGTATGTGGGACGATCAGGCCATAATATCAATCTTCACAATATAAAAATCCCTGGCAGAAGAACAAACACTGTTAATATTAAGTGAGTAGATTTTAATGACCAAATACCACAATATGACAACAAGAATTAGATAAAGAATTGAGCTCATCGACTTATTGCTAATCGCAGATGTTTAAATCAAAACAAAAGCTCATCGCTGACGTTTTCGCGCAATTTCTCTTTCAAGCAACTTTTTGATCATAATAGCGAGACTCACAATGGAAATCTGGATTGATGCCAGTATTAGTTATAGTCACGTCTGCCGTTGACTTAGCTAAACGGCTCAGTAGCATCTTAGTGTTGATGAAAGTCAGTGGTGGAGTTGGCTCTAATAGATATTAACCTAACGTTACTTGAGGAACTTTCTTAGGATCTGATTGCGATAAGCCAACAATAATGTACTATGGCTCGACATGGTATTGAAAGAGAGGACTCTGTGACGTCTGAATTAGCCAGATTGGAGAGGATATTCTCGCATCATAGGATCAACCATGATACAGTGCTGAAAGATGCACTTCAGTTTAGCAATGAACGAGTCACTATCATTAATGCGAACCCAGCATCTAAGGAATTTGGTTTTTGGTTCATTGTTTCTTGCTATTTCCCAGTCATTACTGCATGTCTTGGTCCAGTTGCAAATACGATTTCAATTGCGTGCGCGGTCGATAAATGGAGAGTGAACTACTTTTACGTTGAAGGTGGGGGTGATAAAGTTTTCACCCATATCGATGATCCCAGAGGTGTCTTTGCTGTTAATATAATTTCATTAGTCATTGGATGCTGCTCCAATGCGGTATTGTTTCTACATTTTGCCCGGAAACTTAGCTACCTTAAATCTCAAATTATAAATATAGTAGGGTGGACTCTGGCTGGAGGAATGTTAATGATTGACGTGATAGTGCTAAGCACTCATAATATTGATGAAACATATCAAGAGAAAACCATAGGATTTTGGTACGCTGCAATTACATCTGGATTGTATCTGTGTTGTACTTTAACTTTGTCAATCCATTTTGTGGGACATAAGCTACAAAAATATCCTGCTCAATTTAATTTACTACCCAATGAAAGAAGTATTATGGTTTTTACTGTTATTTTATCAATATGGCTTATATGGGGTGCTGGTATGTTTTCAAGACTACTACATATCTCTTACGGCAACGCACTATACTTCTGTACCGTTTCTTTGCTAACTATTGGTCTCGGTGATATTTTACCAAAGTCAACTGCGGCGAAATGTATGGCGCTGGTATTTTCCATGACAGGTGTGCTGATATTAGGTATTATTGTCTTTATGACTAGATCTATTCTACAGACCTCCGCAGGTCCTATATTCTTCTTCCACAGAGTTGAACATAGGCGTGTAAAAGCTTGGGAAAAATTGACTAGAGGTGATTGTACACTTACTGACAAAGAGTGTTTTGAATTGATGATGAGTATACGACGCACTTCAAAGATGAAAGGTCATATATATTCATTAATGATCACGATCATTATTTTCATACTTTTCTGGATATTGGGTGCCACTGTTTTTTACTTTGCTGAGGGATGGACTTACTTCAATGCTGTGTATTTTTGCTTTCTGTGCTTATTGACTATTGGCTATGGTGACTATGCTCCTGAAACTGGTGCAGGAAGAGCATTCTTTGTTCTTTGGTCAATCGGAGCCGTCCCCTTAATGGGTGCCATACTATCTACCGCTGGTGATTTATTATATGCCAGTTCCGAGTCGCTTGATGTCAAATTAGGTAAATGGTTAAAAAATAGCGTTAAAACAGTGCTGATAGGTCCCAATTTAACCAAAAAACAATCATATACTTCTTCCTCTCCCTTAGAGGAACAAGCAGAGGTTAATGAGTTCAACTTTGGAAACGATGATGGAATTGGAATCATAGATTCCACTTTCAATAATGACGAAGACAGTCAGTCGACAGTTTCAGACAACATTGGGGATCCAATAAATATCAGAATGGCCAGCTCTAATAATAATAATAATGTAGATGGCTTGCATACTCTTGCGGCTGCTATATCACGTTCATCAAGTTATCGCAGGAAAGGAGCTTCAAGTGGCAGTAATAGAAGGAGAAATAACTCTATAAAAGACGAAGTGGAGAAATGCAATAGAGAGGATGAAGTGTTTGAAGGAACAGATCTCTTTGGAGATATAAGAACAGAAAGAGAGAAGATAACAAGGCTAAATCAGCTAGTGAAAGTTCTTAAGAGACTGCATGAAATGTCTCTTAATGATAAAGACAAGAAACTCAATTACAATGACTGGAGTAAAATACATCACCTGGCTTTAAAAAACTTAAATAATGATGGCATCGACCCCAACCCTACCTATTGGCTTTCCGAATACTCTCCTCTAAAATTCCCTTTAAACCAACCTCATTATGCTTTCATGAAAATCATGGGATTGATGGATAGAACATTGAGAAACTTGGCTATTGATGAATCTATGAGAGGTCAAAGCCATTTCAGGGAGGATGCCGCAAATTTTATGATTAACCCATTCAATCGTTTGCCAGTGATTACTCATTCAGAGGAACAAACTCTTTCGTCGTCCCCTTTTAGTCATACAAGCAGTGCAGCGTCGTTGACTAGCTCATTTGACTCCAGCAACAATTCAGTGGCCTTCTCTCAAGATGATGCACACGCATTTACATCCTTGGAAAACTCTGAAAGTCTTCATAATAGCGAAAACTCTAGTGAACTACAACATGAAGCATCCACTACTTCTGACTCCAATACAAATACTTTTGATAAAGGATCAAGGTCTACTGAACACGATTAAAGCATGTCTAACGCAGGCTTCAGATGATTATTTACTCAGTATTTACGAATCAACTCCTAACTTACTATTCCAATCACAGATATACTAATGATATGAATGATACTGAGAGAATTAGAACCAACAGAATGTGTATATTCGGAATACACTTTAAATATAATAAATAAACTAATTTTAATAATTTAATGCACTTCACATGTTTAATATGACAATCTGAACTCTCTGATCGCATACTACTAATCCTCTTCCCTTACGACTTTAGATGCTTTATTGTCTACCCCAAAGTCTAATTTCAACAATATTGCACCTAGAATACTGGTAAAGATGAGAAATAGTAGAATTTAAAAAATCCAATATAGTCTTCTCTGTAGCAACGATTACCTAGCAAAGTAGACTGAATATGGTATTAGATATCAAGTTAGAAAAATAGCACATAGGAATTTATTGACTAAGATAATCTGGAAAATATCTGCTTTTACAATAGTCTATCAATACAGAAAGTATCAATCATTTTATCTACAAGTGCTATTTTAAGTATAATCTATAAGAGCTTGTGGATTATTGGAAAGACCCTACTATTTTTTAACCTTATAAGAGAGCGTCGGTACTATTGGCAAACGTAAAGACGAAGATAGAGACGTTGCAATTTGAAAAAGAGCAGTCATGGCTGAAATCGGCGGTGTTTTGTCTGGAGTAAACCCATTTCATTATAACCCAGGGTCACCGATAACACTGTTTTTATTTCAAGTATGTCTCATATTAGCTACGTGCAACTTGGTACATATACCGTTTTCAAAGCTGAGGCAGCCGAAGGTGATATCAGAAGTTACAGCAGGTGTAATATTGGGCCCAACTGTTTTTGGACAAATACCAAATTACACAGAAACTGTCTTCCCCCAATCTTCTATTCCAGGCTTAAACTTGACGGCCAATCTCGGAATTATTTTATTTATGTTTTTTTTGGGACTGGAGGTTGATATTGCATTTATAAGAAAGCATTTAAAGTCTGCAATTTCCATTGGCCTTGTAACATTAGCAGTTCCATTTGGATGTGGTTGCCTAATAGCCATTCCACTATACTCAAACTATGCAAATAAAGATCCAAATGCGAGACATATTAAATTTACCGTATTTATGGTATTTATAGCTGTTTCTATGGCAGTAACTGCATTTCCTGTATTATCCAGAATTCTGAATGAATTACGGTTGATTAAAGAAAGACCTGGCATTATTGTTCTTGGGGCTGGGATTATCAATGATATTTTAGGTTGGATTTTGTTGGCATTAAGTGTTATTTTGTCAAGTGCCGAGTCAAGTCCAGTTAATACTGTCTACATTCTGCTAATAACATTAGGCTGGTTCCTAATATATTTTTACCCACTGAAATACATTGTTCGTTGGGCACTAATTAAAACACATGAATTAGATAGAAGCAAACCATCACCGATAGCCACCATGTGCATTCTTTTCATAATGTTTATTTCTGCTTACTTTACTGATATTATTGGTGTGCATGCTATCTTTGGAGCATTTATAGCTGGTCTTATTGTTCCTAGAGAAAATCACTATGTTGTGAAATTGACAGAAAGGATGGAAGATATACCAAACATTGTTTTGATTCCAATCTACTTTGCTGTAGCTGGTCTAAATGTAGATTTGACACTTTTAAATAAAGGAAAAGATTGGGGTTACGTATTCTTATCCATCGCAGTAGCAATTGCAAGTAAAGTAGTATCAGGCACTGCCATGGCTAAATTGCATGGGTTGTATTGGAGAGAATCAATGGCAATTGGCGTTTTGATGTCTTGTAAAGGTATTGTCGAGATTGTTGTATTAACTGTTGGTCTAAATGCTGGCATCATAAGTCACAAGATTTTTGGCATGTTTATTTTAATGGCTTTGGTATCAACTTTTGTCACAACACCATTAACACAATTAGTTTATCCAAATTCTTACCGAGAGCAATTAAAAAAAGAACAGCCATCTGATAACGAATCTACCGTTTTAATTCAGAAGGACGATTCGACGGACTGTGACTATCAAAATAAAATGAACTGGCATGAATTAAAACAATATTCTATACCAAGAGTAATTAATGTCATCAATACGCCAGAGATAATATCATCATCACTAGAATTTTTAAACTTTTTCCTATTTAAAGGAAATGTGGATAAACAGCCAAGGTCATCGAACAAAGACCTGCTGATCAGCAGAGTATCTACTGGTTCAACAATTAAATCTTCATCTAAATTAAAAAAATTAACACATTCTCTAAAACGTATGAATGAGGAGTCAAATGAGAAAATGGCGACGATAGGAGAATATCCAACTGGTTTTAGTAACATGTCTACGTTGAGAGCAATCCATCTAAGATTACTAACAGAAAGAACAACCGACTTACTTCAATCTTCCTCATTGTATAACGATGACCCACTCTTCACTGCAAACTCCGATTACATTCTCAATATTTTTGAAATCTTCTCAAATCTAAGTAAGGTACCATTTACAAGTGAAGTTATTTTTTCCACCATGCGTGAGAAAGGCGTAAATGCCACTAGATTACAAATGATGCCAAATGAACTAGTTCTCTTTCCTTTGAAGGGAGCTTCTTATGAACATAAAGGAAGTCCTGGCTTGAGTGACGAAAAGTATTCCAGTTTTGACCATTTCTTGTCGCATATTATTGGCCTAAATGAGCTCCCATCTATTTTTTTCCAGACGTTAGCTAGTGATTTGAAAACAAATTTTGCTATGCTAATATCGAATACATGTGGAAGATTGAGCATAGAGAGATTCAAGAAGAAACATTTCATTCTATTACTACCTAATCCCAATATGACACACTCTGATTTTCTAGGCTTGTATATCCTTTTGAAGCTTTGCTATAACGACTCCTTGAGCCATGAAAATAATATATTCAGCATTTACTATAATAACATGAACACCAGATTTGAAGAAGAGTTTCAAAATCTGATAGCCGACCAATATTGGTTTGATGATGTGAATTTAAAAATCTCCAGTATTACTGCTAGCATAAAAACTGAGGGTGATTACAGAACGAAACCATTTGTCGAATCAGTGCTAGAAAAAGGTCTCAGTTCAGAGGAACTGGAAGACCTAGAAGAAAGCACATTTATTATTGCTGAAAATAAATTTGATAGGAATGAACCATTTGAAAATGATGTCAAGAGTACTATATATGATGCTGCTAATAAACGCTTCAATGTCCTCATTGTTCATTATTTTAATCGCGTGAACTTCCCACATAAAAGCTCTTTTATATCAACCGAATAGTTGAGGATGCATTATATATATTTATTAAGTTTTAATATAAAAGTTTATGCTGCACTATATAGTCCCAGGAAGATAAGACCTAAGTGTTACGTAAGACAGACGAATTTAACTTGTCATTTGTTTTGATAAACTCATAAAGCCTGGTTCTCGAAAAGTTGAAAGCTGGATCAACCTTACTGAAGGAATGTTCCAGCAAATCATCTGCAGTTGGCCTTTTTTCAGGGTCAATCTCAAAACACTTGCTTAAAAAGTCTTTGCCTTTGGATGAAATCAATTGAATTGTGTCATCTGGAATAGGTGGTGCTGATTTAGATTTACCAATTTGAAACATCGCAGCAACAACTTCTAGATTTGACCATGGCCTTTTACCCGCAAACATCTCTAGTACTACACACCCAAGCGACCATATATCAACTTTTGCACTATATCCCTGCTTAGTATCGACCATTTCGGGTGCCATCCAAAATACCGTACCTCTCATAGTCATATCCGAATTAGAGTAAATATTTTTTGACTTTTTAGAAATGCCAAAATCACTTATCTTACATATACCATCTTCATCTAATAGCAAATTATCAGCTTTCATATCTCTGTGTAATATACCTTTGGAGTGAAGGTATTTTAAACCGCTCAAAACCTGTGTATTCAAATGCCTAATCAACTTTTCATCAAATCGGCCATAAAGCCTAATAAGGGACCCTACTGATCCTCCTGCAACATATTCTAAAAACAAACTGTAAATATTTCCCCTTATCTCAGATCCCAAGTATTGCACAATATTTAAATGATCAAGATCCTTCAAGGTAGCTACCTCAGATTTTAAAGCCTCTACCATATCTTTCACGAGTTCATTTTGTGTGCCATATTTAGGTACCTCTACCTGTTTTACTGCCATCATTTCACCTGTCGTTATATTTAGTGACAAATAAACTGCACCAAATGATCCTTTACCAATCATTTCACCTTTCATCCACGCAAACTCTTTGTACTCACCTCTGGCATTTTTTGATTTATTGATCTCAATAGTGTTTTTGTCTGTTATTTCAACAATCTTGGTGCCCCACATTTTTGTATTACTCCGTTTTACTTTCATGCTGTTTCTTCTAGCCTCTCCTGCCTCATGAGCAATGGCTCTGATTGTCCTAGTTCTTCTTGGCAAGCTGGTGTTAGACTTCTTCTCTTTTATTACATTATCATTATTTTGACTTTTGACACCCTTTTCTGATATATTTGAGTGCTGCTCTAAAATAGAATTAATACGGGCCTTATCACTAGTTTTTGAAACAGGACTCTTGGAGTTATGCAATTCTTCAACCACCGGCTTATCCAAATGTGCACGCGGGAAAAATCTCTCCAAATTTTGGTAGACTATCTCAGCCGTAGGGCGAAGAGTCATTTTCCTCACAGGTGTTAACTTATTATTCATCGAGTATATCTTATCATCATCCTCAGAATCAGTTTTATTGAAATTATTATTTTCAGGGACTACTTCAGTTTCACTGATTTTGGTTTCGGATCCCCATATAATGTCTTCTGAAGATGCACTATCCTCATCAGAGTCAGAAAGCTCAGGAACATCGTTAAAATTGATTGTATTTTCTTCAAAAACATCAGCCGCTGATGCGGATGATACAATCCTCTTAGAACTTCCTCTTTTTAATATTGGGGATGTCGAGTAAATAACTGAATTATTAGATACACTAGATGTCGATCGGTTCACTCTAGACCTAAGCACCTCAGTCATAGAAAACATATGGTCATCCTCCAATTTACCCTTCCTGCTTATGTCTCCAACACCTTTGTATGGCTGTGGAACCAAAACATGACTTGATCCAGGAGTATACGAAGACACAATTTTTTCAGAAGAGGGACTATTAGTCTCAGAATTCTTGTAGCTTTTTCTTGAAGGTGATAATTCATCTCTTCTACTTCTATCATTATTGGTGACAATAGATACGGATTTCGAAAGACTTCTAGATTTTTGAAGTCTCATTGGAGAGCCTGTTATGGGTGCCTTTGGTGCTTCCCTCTTAGGTGCTAATTCTGGATTTGTGTATGGAGATCTCCTCCTGTTATTAAAGTCTATCTCTTTACCCTCATCCTTTCTTAGAACATGAAAAGAATTTCTTTGTAAATCATCTTCTAAGCCTTTATGTTTTATTTTATCTGGTATCTTTAAAGTAAATTGCGCTTCAGGCTTGACATCAGGTACCTTTCCTGGTACTAAACTAGATTGATTTTCTTTGAAATTCCAGTAATTAACATCGTCATTCACATTGGAAGCATCATAAAAATAGCTTGGAGTTTGTGGATATTGTCTTCCTGGAGCTGATGATCTATCATCAAATGATGCTATATCAGATGAAGACGTTATAGTAGATATTTCATCATTGGAAGCCAGAATACTACTATTAATTGATTTAATCGATTCCTTTTTTCTTAGCATTTCACGCTGGCTTGAATTAATTATTGGCTTTCCAGGTGAGTATTTATGAGTTCCTGTATCTCTTATAAAAAGTTTTCTAGAGGTGTTCATAAATAGACTATTTCTTATTGTATCCAACAGCGTGTCATTCAAAGACGCCCCAATATCACAGCCAAAATCAGTCATATGAACGCTACATTCACCAGAAACAATTCTTAGCTTGCGCATAAAATATTCTTTCAGTTTGGAACATTCATTAGGAAGTTCTGATATCAGCAAAGGTATAAATGAAACATTGTCTTTTGTTATTAAGACAAAATCCTCCTCATTAGTAGATGATTTGATTTTTGCCGGATAGTATTTTTTATCCAATAGAAATTTATCAAAGACATTCTCGAAATTCTGACTTTTTGTATCAATTGATGAGGATTTGTGTGCCTGGTGAATTTTTGGTGTCACTATATTATCGGGTTTTACTTGGTCAGTCATATCAAAACCACCCTGTATTTGCTGTAAAGAAACTCTATTTTTTGACAGGTTGGCACTGTTGAGTTGTGTATGATTTTGAGTACTAGGGCTTATAGTTTGGCTTTTCCTTTTAAGCTTTTCCCAGAATGTCGATTTATCTTCTGGCATAACCGCAGAATTTCTGACGTTGAATCCCCCCTTCTCATTTTTCTTTGATTTCGAATATGTTGCCGAAGATGAATGTTGTTGTTTGCCGTTAAAATTAGTAGAGCTACTTTGTGCGGCTATATCATCATTATAGTCATCATTTTTTAATCTACTATATTTTTCATCAGAAATTTCGAAAAGAGTAGGATCTGATCTATTTTTTTGATCCAATTTATTAAATAATGCAGAATACGGAGGAGATAAGGGGGATAAGGTCTTCGCCGTACTTGGTTCACTCTCAACAACTGACTGCGGTCTTGAAGGAATGTGTATTTTTATGTTAGGATTATTCTTTTCCATCTGTGTATTCTCAGCAGAGCTATGCGAAGAAGATCCCATCAAAGAAATAAAACTTCTCCGATATAAAGATCCTGTACTTTTTGTTTTTTTATGTGACTTGACAACACCCTTTTCCGGGGGCTTTCCGAGATTCAGTTGTTCATTATTTATCCCAGATTCTGATGCAGATCGTGAACCTACAATATCATCTTGTGATCTGCTACTTTTATGTCTTAAATTAACACCTTTATTTGGCTCAATATGCATTGCTGCAACACTATTACCACTTCTCTGTCTAGAATGAGAACTAGAGACATTTTTCTTCATAGTATCTTTAAGTAAAGCCTGAAATTTGTCAAATGATGCATTCTTACTGATTGGAAGATGCTTCTCATAGATAGCAAAGTTATCGTAAGCCAATAACCTTAAGAACCTCTGTCCGCACAGCTGATGCCTTTTGAATACAGCAATCCAACTATCCGGGAAATCATGAAATTTAAACCATGCAATCACTCGAGATAACGTCCATTCATCAGGATTTGTAGGATCCCAAGATAAAATCAAATTATCGAATGATAGACTGCTTGTTGACCCAGATGACTTTCTGGAATATGTACTTGAATCCGTGTCAGCATTCTTTTCCAAGCTAGTTGGCCTTGATACATTATCTCCACCCTTATTTGCTTGAGGATGACTGTTCAACGATGAATTATCGAGCGTATATTCCGAGTTCCTGTTCGATGTCGATCGGGGACTATCAATCGATCGCCTATTGTATGAACTACCCATCTTAGAGAATGTCTTGGAGCTTGTTGGCGTGCCATGATTACTTCCACTAGATGCTGTATTTCCAGTGCCAAAAACATAAGTGGATCCGCTATAATCAGTTGAGTTGCTAGAGTTTCGAACATGTGTCTTGAATGACCTCGATGAGCTGACCGAGGCTGATGGGGATGCCTGAGAATTGGCTGAGTACCTTATGCTGGATACCGATCCGGATTTGGAATGACCATTACTGCCGGCTATTTTCTTTAGAAACGTCATTTGAGTTAACTTTTTCTATAATATATGGTCATGTCCTAGAGTTCTATTTTATGTGTAATCTGCTCTGCCGTCACTGCTTACTGGATCAAGATTCGATTCTTTCCGCTCACCAAAAACCTAATATTTGAACGCCGCTGTTGTTGAGTTGGATTATTTGTAAGAACGATAGGCAATTTATAAATAACAGTTCAGTATTTTGATCCAGGGCATCCTTTACCATTAGGCCTCGGCCGGTGTTCTTTATCATCTAGACGGAAAAAGCCAGTAATAATGAGTGACAAGCCTGGAAAAGAATGCTGGGGTTTATATTTATAGTATAGAATCGTAAATTGAATATTATATGATCTGAAATATTTATATACAGGTAATAATCATTCTGGGGAGTTTAATATTCAATTAACTTTTAGTTCTGATATCCTTATCACGGTTTGGTCAGCTTTATTTACAGCATGGCGTACCCTTCTGTTTCTTCTTTTAGTTACCTCTCTTACCTGGTAGGCCCTCTTAGTTTTCTCCAGAACTACTGCCTTCAAGGAGTATATAGATTTGTCGATTGGGTTATCGACCAATTTGTAGTTTCTTGATCCAATGGTGGTGACATCTGTCAAATTTAAGATGTCACCGACGTTGGCTTCCTTCAGCTTGAATGGAAGAATCACCTTATCTCCTTTAGTGACTAGGTAAGGCCTCTCATGGATTTTAAAAATAGCATATAGTTCATTCGATAGCTTTAATGGAGCAAGATCCTTATATTTTTCAGAGACAGTGGAGTTTAATCTTGTCAGCGATTTACTGACTGACTGTATACTGCTCTTCCCAACCGTGAGCAACCCACAACTTCTGGTTAAAAACTTGAACATTTGGAGTACAGTCTAAGTGAGTTATGTCCCAACACCAAAATCTGTATTAATCGAGCCATGAAAACAATACTCTATACCTAGTACATACTATGACTTACTTTAGAGTCTTAAACCTTTCTCGAAGTTTGTCAAGTGTAACTTGTTGCTGTGCTTGTCGTGTTGTGTGCGATGACAGAAGTAAAGGTATACCGTTCTAGCAAGTAAGACTTCAACTTAGCCAGCAAAGTCCGTATTATATGCATCTCCGCCATATACTGTTCTCCATATAGTTATTCTCTCAAGGGTTTCTATATCAGCGAGGAATGATATCTATAATATACTAAATATACATATTTTATACAAATTTGAAGCATCACGTAACTGTTCAGAGTCTTCCTCTCATTGAATTTACGCAGGTTTAAGCTTGCTTCTGGGTCTTGTTAGCCAATTGTTTCATTATCTTTCTCCTTTGAGCCAGCATATGCAGGAACAGCATTGGTAGACCGGGTAGGTAAGTTAACATTACTCCAATCAAAAATCTTTTCCACAATAGAGAATACTTGGCTTCTGCGACAGGTAAGGCAGAGTAAATTATAAGTAGTTCACTAGCCACACCAGTAGGGTACAGAACAAGGAACAAGTTATATCTCAAGTAAACCAAAAACGTTGGAGCACCTCTAGAGCCAATCAAGGTAAAGAAATAAAACATGTATCTGATGATCTCGGTTATCGACCATGACAAAAGTAGAGTAATATAAACAATCCCATGTGCATTTCTTGCTTCTGGCAAATACTGGAATATGCCCAATACTACAACTAGTCTAGACAGGACTTGAGCTGCGGTTGTTAAAAGAGGTGATCTAACAATACCAAATAAGGAGTTCAAAATTTCAATTATAGCACCACATTGTATATAAGTAACAATATCCTTAGTATCTTGATAGAACCTAGGTTGTCCAAGCTTTGGGTACTGCAACAATACCAGGTACAAAATATAACCCCAGCCAATCGCTGAGGCTAGGTTGTACAGAGGCAAATATGAAAATACTGGTCTTCTGTCCTTTGACATCTTCTTTCTCTATTATCAATGATATTATTCTGATTTTTTGTTGTGTCTGTTCTTAGAAATTGAAGGTAATTGTCCTAAGAGATAACTATTGTTTTATAAGAATTGTAGGTTTCAAACTCACAGTCTCTTGCTAGAGACCAGCGACTCTTCTTGGCCTTACAATCGTGCTCGGTTATGTTAATGAATGCTAAATACCTTCCGATTATTTAATTAGAACGGAACTAACAAATGCAAATTATTCATATCTTATTAAGCTTTATATGAGGCTGAATAAGATAATATTTATCTATATATTTACTACTCTACAAAATTAGGCTTGGTTCTTAAAATTTTTATGGTTTCAATTAATGCAAGAAGATATTAAACTTGTGGTAATTATGTTAAAGGTCATTTCACATGAATGATATTATGGTAGTTGTGGGCATTATTATTGGATCTCTGTCCTTTGCTTAGAGAATAACGCTGATTATTTGATACTAGTAATGAAAAATCCAAAATAAGGTAAGATTGAAAATTATTTGACAATTGAAAAAATTAAGAGTATTGTGAATTAATCCATGTCAAAATAATGTGGTTGTAGTAAGAACGAGGTTTTAACTGTTACAACAAACATGGCCAATATTGATAGAAAGTATGCGTCATGACTAATTTCAGTATTTGGGAATGAATCTTTGGCTAATCCCAGTTTGATGAATCAAAAAACTTTCTATCAGACCACTCATAAAAAATAAATAGCAAATTTAGCTATCCTTGAAATCACGATTATAACTTACCATCCCCATCAGACGATCCTGTTCGTTTTCATCCCATGAAAGATTGTCCTTACTTGTAGAACGACAAAGAGTGTATGTATTGAAATCAGTCTCATCTGCTTGGTCCTCATATGGGCTACCTTCTAATTCTGCTTCGCTATCATCACTTAATTCGTTTTCATCTTCATCACTGCTACGCGACCTTGACGAGTTTGAGAAATACCCACCATTTTGCTTATCAGAATACAATGGATTATTTGGTTTTGAATAAGATTGACCATCATCATTTGGATCCACGTAATCATCGTCATCTTCTTCAACATCATGCTGCTCTATTTGTGATACATTATCGAGGTCGAACTGATGTTGGAATATGTTCTTGTTCTCAATTTCTGGAGAAGCTAATTGTGAGGTTTTGGAGAAATTTTTTAGGATGAAAGCATTGGAATCTGACTCCCACGACGTCCCTTCGTTGTCATCAAATTGCTGAGTATCAGGTTTATGAGACTTCCTAGATGGTTCATCAGCCTCTGAGTCGTAAAAATCCTTTCTCAACTGGTCTGACATGTAAGCGCTAAATTTGTTAGTAACATTATTTTCGTCTTCATTATTATTTAGCGCTGAATCTTTGGTTTTGACATCGCCATCATGGAGATCTGCAGGATTGAGTTCTAACCTTGTTTTCTTTCCGTCACCATCAATATATTCATAATATCTTGGGTTATCAATATCATTATATTCGGCATACAACTCGTCATCTTCATCGTCGTATTCATCCATTTGATGTGTTGATGATAGACTGTCATACATATTCATTTGATTCTCATAGGCTTCATCATCTTCTTCAACATAATCAGCATCATCTTCGTCTCTCTCAGCACCTTGGTTAAAACCGGTGACAGAACTGGCTTGTTCATCATCATCATCTTCGTCCTCCAGCTCATCAACTTCATCACCAACATCTCCAAGAATGGTGTTGTACTTTTCTCTAAGATCTGCTAATTCAGTCTCTGCATAGTACTTCCACTTTGCCTCGCTCAAACACGTTGGAATTGTATCAGTTGTAAATGTTATCTTCATTTCATCTAAATAAGCCTCAAATTTTACAATTTCTTCAGCCATCAAGGTAAGATGACCCATATAACCTAATCTAAGAACATGCTTCTCTTCGTATACACCAGATTGTTCATTTCCTTTTATGATTAAGTCCGTCATATGAATATTCTTAAGGAGATCGATCAACAAAAATCTGTTATAACCAGTCATCAAAGGTCCATTAAATATCTGCTGAATGATGTCAAATACAACATTGTGAAGAAAATTGTTCCATACATAATGGAAAAACATTTCCAGGATGACTTCAATAACCCTTGTATCCTCCAAAGCAATTTTTAACTGATCTCCAACGGTTGGGTTCTCACGTAGTTTGTGTTCTGTTTCTGAATCATCTGATATGTTCTCAAGATATTCTTCTTCATTTGTTTCTTTGCTTTCAAATTCGTCTCGAACAGTGTCAGACTTAGCTTGTTCAGATCCATCTGTGTCATCTGCATTGCCTTCTGAATCTAATTGAAGATCATTCATTTCGTTTGCTATCTTTTCATCTTCTTGACTAGTATCAGATTTGAGATCTGTAGTTGGTATATTGTTGTCCTCAATCTCGTTATCAGATTCGTCATTTAGTTTTTGATTTTCTAGTTTCAAAATTCTTTCTCTTTCTTCGTCACGTTCTTTAACAATTGATTCTCCGTTGGGATCGTTCAATAACGTCATATTCGAACAATGAAGCAATTCAGCAATTAGTTCGCAGATTTTGAATCTTTCAAAACCGAGTGGTTCGATTTCACCTTGTGGGGTTTGTAAAGGTGGTAACTCGATTGAAGTTAACATTTGCGTAAATTCTGCCATATGTGCTGCAAACGCCTTAAGTAAATATCCTAGATAAATTGGGTCCCTATCATTTGGCGGATGAGTTTTAATAGTTGTGTAAGCCAGTTGAACAAAATCATAGTCTGAGTTATTCTTTCTTATCAGTTCTATTACTATACCGACACCATTACTCAAGGAAGAACCTGCCTTCAACATAATAGAGATTAATTTTTCAACCATTGGTGGGGAAACCAATTCTCTAATCATTTCATTAGGCCCGATGCTAGATGCAATTTCATTATTACAATTGCCACTTATGGTTACTAAGGCCTTGATGAAATCACCCGCAGCAGATTGAGTGGATTTATCATATTCTGGTGACAAGAAATCTAGTAACTTTGGGATCATACCTTGCTCTTTCAAAATTTTAATAATTCCAGTGGGTGTATCTGCTTTATCTGTAGATATAACTTTTAGCAAAAAATCCATTAATGGTGGGTTATCGATATGAGTTAGAAATATATCCAACAAGTTTGGATGATTTAGAATAAATGCCAAAATACCGTTCAGATCCATATCAAGTAATCTTTCATTTATTTTCATGAAATATGTTGATATTTCAATCGGTAGAGGTGCTGGATATTGCATTATGGACCAAAGTTTCTCTAAAAGGTCTTCATTTTGTATTATTGCCGAAGAAATTGGCCACACATCTGCAGATAAGACTTCAGCAGCCATTCTTGCCCTTCTCAACTCATCTTGTTCCTCATAATCTTGACGCACCGTCACACTCACATCATCTGCATCACTGGAAGAATTACTGTCACTATCTTCTCCCTTTTCGCTTTCTGATTCTTTTGCTACCTCGTTCGTTTGCTTTGTAATATCATCTGCTTCCGTCAAAATGATGTCAGGTGTGGTAGATCTTTTCTCCCTGTCTACTTGCGCTGAATAATGCTCTTCTTCGACAGAAGTTTGTGCATCCTTATTTGATCTTTCTTCTAACTCTTCCAATGTCAGACCTTCAATCAAGCTATTACATTTGACATAATCAATAAGTTTTGATAGGACTTCCGGATATTTGAGAAAGACTAAAAGTTTGAAGTTGGAGCACATCAACTCTGTATAAAGCTCATCATCATCCAATAGAGCATCTAATACATCCATGTTTGGCCTATAGTATTTATATTCTTCCTCTGTAGTCGGTAGAGACTCACCTTCCTCTTCATCGTCTTCTATACTTTCTTCAGAATCTTCCAATTTAGAGGATGAATCTTGTGGTTCATCTTCTGTTTCTGCATTTGTTGCAGTATTAGATTCTTTTTCATCGTTGCCTTTCTCGAGATCTTTATTAAGAGATAGAGCACCACCTTTATAAGCATCAGTTTCTTTCTCGTCCTCTTCAATCTTAATGAAAGCTTTATTTAGAAGACGTGAAAGTGACGATTCAGATGAATAATCTGTACCAAATTTCCAAAAGGATCCTGACATTTTCACTCAAGTTATTCTAAAAATCTATCCCAAAACCTTTTTCAAATAAAATAGAATAAACTATAGGTCTTATATTTCAAAAATAAACTGTAACCAAAAAAAATTTAAGTAAATTGTAGGGTTGAATTTATTATTTGATGACCTTCAATAAAAATATTGCTTTCTTACTGATTAATCCCTTAGTAACATAAAATAAAACTGAAATGAGATTAAAATCTTCCTTTCAAATCGCTTGTGTATTCTGTTTATTTTATTGACCTGCCATCTATTGTATTATAAATATCAAAAGCAAAAAATTATAGTCAACAGTCCTGAATTTCAAATAGTTTTCTCTTAAGAGTAAAGAACCTTATTAATGCTATTGAGTAGGGTCCGACTCGCTCCTGTTTTATAACCTGATTGCTAGCCCGCCCCTCAAGTTCCACCAAGGAGTATAGCTATAAATCTTAGTGCACTGACGCTAATAGTTACGTATTCAGAAGAGGCAGACCGTAATGGTTGAACCAGAATTGCTTAACCTTTGTTGTGAGCCCAAAATTTTTCACGGACAGTGATTTTTTGTCAAATTTTTGATGATTTTTGAAAAACTTCAATGAAAAATTTTGTCAAGTTAGCTGGAACTCGGTGCATGGCCTTCTTAGTAACAACAATATTGTTTTCCGGATTAATCATGTCAACGGACTGGAAATTCCTGATGCAATAAGTGGAATAATTGCAATCTGGCTCATGGTGACCGAGATGGTATGTACAGCATGTTTGCTACAATTACTAAATGTCATATTAATGTTACAATTGCCAAAATGTATAATTGGCGTATTTATGCAGGCTTTTATATAAGAATGATAGGAAAAAAAATAATGCTATTATACTTTACTAAAGATCATGAACTATGCTTTTGATGGTGTGATAAATTAAGCAGGCGGAGAGTCCGTGGTCATTTTTTCAATCCAGTTGAACATTTTATCCATTACGGCGAGGATGCTCCTGTTTATGTATGGGAGACCAACGACCTGGGCACGGATCAAATCAAGACCGTATCTCTCGGCCAACTTGAACAGTATCTTTACATTGTAGAGTTGAAACTCGTTGTAAAATCTAAACTCGTATGATATCTTTTTAACTATGAGGTCAACTGCAACATCATAAGGTAGAATATCATTTTTCATGTCAATGGAATGAATCCTTTGTATCTTGTCTTCGTCAAAATACAACTCTAGTATTTTTGTGGCACTTATGATGTCAAACCGGGCCACTAATGAAGTTCTTAAACATGCAATCGCATCTGACCATTGCCATGTACGCAACATAGTTAAACCCAACAGTTCCCATTCTAGCCCACTATATTTGACATCCTTGTTGTTCATTGCTGCTCGAGTGATTTTTAAGTCCTCGTATATATCAAGAAACAACTGATCCAGCCATCTTTCACATAATCGTTTCTTTCGAAACTGTAGCGGTATGATCGTCGATTGAGAGTTCTCATTGCCCGAGCTATCTGGGGATATGGTCCCCAAATACTCCTGTTGCATGACGAAAACTTTCGAACGTGTCTCCATCAGTCCATTCCAACCCAGATATGTAATTATTTCAATTAATAGATCAAGTACCTGTGCCATAAACCAGTTATTTTGCTTGTTGATAGTATTTCTTGATAGCAATTGATAATCCGCAACCATCTCTACTTCTTGAGGGGAAACAAAATTGATCAAATTAGCAACTTGAGTGCCAAATATTGGACCTATCTTATACGCGGCGTCTTCCCATATCTCCCGAATGAAACCTTTCTCTGATGGGGAATATGGCATGGAGATTCTGCCAAAGATGAACTTCTGGAATTCATCTTGGTATTTCCACTTACTGTTTAAGTTATTGAGTTCGATGGAGGTCAGTTCGCATGGCTCCAGACCTTTGTTTACTTTACCAGGCAAAATTTTGAAACCATCCAATGGCTTTTGATAGTAGTTTAACATGTATGGGTCTGAATACAGGGCTTCTCGTACAGGATCTAACGAATGCAAAGGGTGCATGGAGTTTATAGCCAGCAACGCTTTGTCATATTGGCCCAAGTAAATATATGTCTTTGCCAGCCAGTACCAACTTTTGAAGGAATCGACAGTCAATTCAGTTGAGTGTGTAATTACTTTTTCTGCTAGCTTGAGATCCTCTGCTCTGTAAATGAGATATTGTGTTTGTATGATTAGTAACTCGGATAAACAGTTGACCAGGAACAGGTTGTCAAAATCGTGTTCGGTGTTGTCTGAGAGCATTTTGTTTAACTTATCGATGGTCTTGTGTAGTATAAGTACAAGGTCGTGGTCCATTTCGTCACTTTGGTGCAAAACTGTAGCGAGGACAACCTCATACAATATGCTATTTTTGTTGTCAACTTCCATCAATTCTTTCAGAATTCCAATTGTGTACTCAATCAGGAGCGGAGATGCTATTGACAAGAACTCTAGTATTGACTGTGTCAAGTAATTGGAGACAATGGTGGGTTCTACTGATCTTGTCGAGTCCCAGCCACATTCTAAGAACCTGGGCAAGTATCTGCAGAGCAGTTCCAGTATCCGTTTGCATTTCATGATGTCGTCTGAGTTTGATCCCTGCGTGAGCCCGAGCAAAGGGTACTCGACCAAGCCCGGAAGCTTCCTTGCGGACTCGATGTTTGATATTATGCTTCGAACACACGCGCTCACAAATGCTTCCTCCCAGAGCGCCTCGCTGAGCTGTACCAAAGAAGTTCCGTTTGTGATGTCGACTGCGTTAATCTGGTATGCTGTGTCTGATTCGTATCTGATTCTTATGTCTATATGCGAGAATATGTTGCAACTGCAGTATGTCGAGATGACCTGCTCGCTGCTGCCGGATTTGAGCAGCTTCAGCATAGCGATGGGCATGGACTCGTTGGAGACGTCGACGCCCGATATGTAGAAGTACTGTCCGGTCTCTATATCCTTGTGGTACTTGTCGTAAGAGGTAATGTGTATGAGGTCTGGCGGTCCCAGGCCGAGCTTCCCGCCGCGCGACAGCCGCTTCAGCAGCTGCGTCCGGATGCCGAGCGACTCCCCGAACCTTCTCTCCACAATGCGCGGGAATTCACGCACACCAGGCTGTATATCGGGCAGGCTGGAAGTGGAGCCCTTGCCGTGCGACTTCGAGGCCTTCGCGCCCAAGTTCGATCGCGAGTTGGACCGCGACCGCGACCTGTGCGAGTGGCTGCCGACAGGCTGGAGCTCGAGCTCGAGCTCCAGGTTCGGCAGCGTCAAGTTGCTGTTCCTGTTCCCTTCCCTGTCGAGGTCCTCTATCGACCGTGCGCCCGTAGCGTTCCTGTTCGGCGACAAGTACACCTTGTGATCCTGCTTCTCCTTCCCCCACAGCATTATGCGTTCTTCTTCAGGAGTTCCCTACTCTGTATACACCGATGACCTGTGTATTAAGTTCCTTTTGGGGCCTTCCCAGGTGCCATCAAACTACCTTCTTGGGCTGCACTACCAAAATACAAAATTTCGCTTAACAGTGGCTCTGACTCTCTCTCTCGAGCGCGCGCACGGAAAAACCACCAGCTTTCCCTTCTCTGTCTCTCTGTAATGTGGGAGCAAAAAGGCTATTACTGTGACTGTGTACGTACAATCAGGTGTAAACCGTAATCAGTTATATCTAAACACCCACACATCCTGATATTCGAAAACACCCATACACCCATACATCCACCTCCTTTTTTTCCTCCCCCCCCCCCAAACCCGCATCACGTGCCCGCACGGCTCCAAGCTTAAAAAAAGCAAGAAGGGCACAGCGAGTCCCTCACAGAGTCCCTCACACAGCCTTCACGCAGAGAGTTTTCGAAGAATTGCTTGGTTGTGGGTTCACAATACAGAAACAGTCGCACCAGCATTGGGGGGGCAGTAATCAAGCGCCACAGTTTTCGGGGGGTGAATATTATAAATCACGTTTCCTTCATTAGTAATAGATGGCAATTGACTGCTTCTTTTGCCAAAATCAGAGCAGAGCAGAGCGAAGCAGAGCAGAGCACACCACAAGCTATCGCTATCACAAGCAATCAAGACTGCAAAGGTGCAAGCTGTAAACTGCGATTTGGAAAGAAAAAAATTTTGGGACAAAACTGGATATATAATAGGAGTGGGGGGTTGTTGGTTTGTGCATAAATGGAGCATAACTGGAGCAGGACTGGAGCAGGACTGGAAGCGAAGTAAGTAGCGATGGGATTGTTGTCGTTGGGCACACCGCTGCCATGGGAGGAGTCGAGGAACTACAGTGAGCACATACGGAACGAGGGTGTTGAGCAGTTGCTGTATGTGTTCAAGAGTGCTGGCGGGCGTGATGGGGACCCGCTGTTGTGGGGCGATGAGGTTGAGTACATGATGGTTGAGCTGGAGGCGGGCAAGCAGGTCGCCACGCTGGACGTTGTGCACGACCGGATACTGGACGAGCTGAACGAGCGGGACCTGGAGCTGTGCAACGTGAACGATGTGAAGTTCCACCCGGAGTACGGGCGGTTCATGCTGGAGGCGACGCCGAAGAGCGCGTACCCGGGCTACGTGGCGGAGTACGTGGAGTACAACATGCAGCAGCGGCGGCTGGTCGCGGAGTACAAGCTCGCGCAGTACGCGGAGGAGGAGCACCTGAAGGGTAAGCGGCTCGTGCCCTTGACGCTGACGGTGTTCCCGCGCATGGGCTGTCCCGATTTTCTGAACATCCCGAACGCTTGGGACCACAAGAACACTGCGTCGCGGTCGCTTTTCCTGCCGGACGAAGTGATCAACAGGCACGCGCGGTTCCCGAACTTGACCTCCAGCATACGCACCAGGAGGGGTGAGAAAGTGTGCATCAACATCCCCATTCTGAAGGACAGGAACACGCCGGAGCTGGACGACTCGATCAAGCCCAGGGACTGGTTTGTCCCCGAGGACAAGGAGTCCCGCCTGGCGTCCAAGCCCGGCCACATATACCTGGACGCCATGGGGTTCGGGATGGGCTGCTCGTGCTTGCAGATGACGTACCAAGCACCAAACATAGAGAAGGCGCGGTTCCTGTACGACACGCTGGTCAACTTTGCGCCAGTGTTCCTCGCGGTGTCCGCAGCCACCCCGGGGTTCAAAGGATGGGTAGCCGACCAGGACGTGAGGTGGAACGTGATATCTGGCGCTGTCGACGACAGAACGCCGCAGGAACGCAGCGTGCCTCCTCTCTTGCCAGAATACAACATCGACGGGTTCGGTGGTATTCTGAAGGAGAACCGGAAGAAAGTGCAGCAGATTCCAAAATCCAGGTATAGCGTCGTGGACCTGTACTTGGGAGGGAACGAAAACAAGTCCTTCAACAGAAGATACAACGATACAGACGTTCCGGTCAATGAAAAAGTGCTCAAACGACTCCTGGAGAACGAGAAATACCCGCTGGACTACGATCTTGCGAAACACTTCGCACACTTATACATCAGGGACCCGATTTCCACTTTTGAAGAGTTGCTAGACCAGGATAACTCTACCTCTACAAACCATTTTGAAAACATCCAGAGTACAAACTGGCAAACTTTGCGGTTCAAGCCTCCAACTCAGGAAGCCACACCAGACAACCACAACGTGCCAGGATGGAGAGTCGAGTTCAGACCGCTAGACATCCAGTTATTGGACTTCGAAAATGCAGCATTCTCAAACATGATGTATATGATTGTTGACTTCGTCTTGCAGAATACAGACAAGATTAATCCATACGTGCCTATGTCCCAGGTATGGGAAAACATGATAAGAGCACATCATAGGGATGCTGCTATCAAGGAGAAATTCTACTGGAGAACAACTTTTGACTCAAAAGAGAAACTACAGTTCGGAGATGAAAGCGAAGAACTAAGCTTGGATGAAATCTTCCACAACAAGAATAATGGTATCTTCCCAGTATTCATCAACACTATACTGAAACAAAGAAACTTTATTCAGAAGGAATGGCAAGAAATGAAAGACCAACCTCAAAATAGAAGATTGTATTACTACTTCAAGATCATCTCTGATAGAGCTAGTGGCAGACTACCTACAGCAGCTAAATTTTTAAAGAACTTCATCTTAACGCACCCGGATTATAGACATGACTCGAAGATTAGCCAACAGATAAACTACGACCTAATCGAAATGTGTGATAGAATAACACATTTGGATGACAGTAGAGGAGAGTTGAGCGCATTTGTTGGAGAAGAAATTGCAAAATTCTTGCTGAATAATAAGCTTTCTACTGGGAACTAATATAATAGACTTTTTTAAAGACATCCCCGTATATAAAGTTAGTCCTAATTGTGTTTGAACTATGGCAAATCAATTTACGATATTCTTAAAAGCGAGTCCGATATTTTTATGCATAAAATACACTTTGTTATTTACAAATTTTATTATTATTATTATTTACAATTCCTGTAGAATATCTGGGATTCTTTCTTGTGAAACTTTGGACATACCCTTGTAGTCCATATGCAGTTCGCCCCTACCCTTTGTTAAACTTCTTAACTTGCTTGAGTAAGTGACCATTTCTTTTAAAGGACATATTGCATGTATTGTCTTCAATTTATCATCTTGAATCTTTGCTGTTCCCAAAGTGGAATCAGTTGGGTAGTACAAATGCTTAGACTGACTCTCCAATTCCATTAGCTTATCAGATGATGATACATTTTCATCATCTAATGATGATATTGTGGCCGTACGAGCACTACACAAGTCTTGCATTACTGTACCGATATCATTTTGTGGTACACTTATATGGGCATCCATTACTGGCTCTAATAGAGTGTAGTTACTTACATCTACAGTTTGTAGAGCTTCAGTAATCAATGATCTTGTAATACTTAGTAGTTCGGCAGGACTTTGTAAGTCTAATGGAAAATCCCAGTCTTTTTTTAGTCTTACAGCGCAAGAGTAAAGCGGTAAATGTCCAACTTTCCCAGCACTTTGTAAAGATGCCATAGCACTTGATAGTATGGTGGTAACGAAATTTCTGATAGGTATTTGATAGGCCCAATTGGATTTTTGTAGCCTATCCTGAAAGCCTTCGATTATCAGGTAATTCTCATCATTATCAACAGAGAAACATGAGGCACCACTCCTTTCTTCTATATTTATCGTATCTTTTTCAAAAGACTCGACAGATAATGAAAAGTGAAAGCCACGCTCATCTTTAAACGTAACTACTTCTGTCGGCAACTCTAGAGTTTCTTTATATGAAACCGCAATCTTGCCGAAATCAACGGGAACCTTCATTTCGTTCACTAGTCTGAATTTTGCTATTTCTAAATGTAACTGGCCCATACCATTAAGCACGGTTTGTCCTGTTTCTTCATCAATTATGACATGTAAACTTGGATCTTCCATTGTTATTTCCTTCAGTGCATCCTCGATTAACTTCTTATTACCTAATGATTTAGGTTCTACAATTACACTAAAAACTGGTGGAGGAATTTGTATAGCATTTACTTTCAATTGAGATTCCTTCTCACCAAAGCTTCTTATACCATCTTTTTTTATAGAATGCGAAATAATTGTGTCACCAGTAGCTACTTTATTGGTGATGGTTGCACCAGTGAGAACACCAATTTGACCCGGGGAAAGGCTCTTAACTTCTTGTGCTTGATCAGCCTGCATAATTACCAACTTACCTATTCTAAATTTCTCTCCAGTAGTTGTGTTCATAACAGTATTACCACTGTTCAGTACACCGGAATATATTCTAACAAATACCATCAATCCTCTAATTTGATCATGGGTTACTTTAAATGCCAATGCTACACAAAGATTATTCTGTTTGTTTATCAAGGCACCTACTTTTGGGTCATGCACAACAGGAATGTCCTTCGGATTTACTTCAGGTAGTCTTGCTTCTAATGGGGAAGGCAGATACTGAATAATACCATCTAGTAAGGGTTGTATTCCAACGTTTTTGAAAGAAGCACCGGCTAAAACGGGAGTTAATTCATTTGCTATGGTGAGTTTTCTAATGGATTTGTTTAAAACCTGCGCTGAGACTTTCAAGGAATTGCCTTCAGAAGGGCCATCAAAGAACTCCTGAACAAATACATCATCTAGTTCTCCCAGAATCTCTACCATGCTCTCTCTAGATTTTATTGCTTCAACTTTGGCATTATCAGAGTCATTCAATTCCAAAAGGTCAACTACTGTTACAGCATCTGGGCTGTTTGCTTTCGTGTCCCATTTTAATAGTTTCATATTTATCACATCTATTACTCCACAGAATACTGGATCCTCTGATTGGTTTGTCTGCTCGAAGTATGGGAAGTTGACGACAACGCACCTTCTATCTGTCTTATATGTCAGCTCTTTCAAAGTTTTGCTAAAGCCAGCTCCAACTCTATCCATCTTATTCACGAAACATATCTTGGGGATATTTCTAGAGTATCTCCACAGCTTCTCCGTCTGTGCTTCAACACCAGCAACACCATCGAGAATTAGGACAGCACCATCGAGTACTTTCAAAGACCGTATAACTTCAAAAATAAAATCTGCATGTCCTGGGGTGTCAATTAGGTTAATTACGCGAGGGCTATTATCCCTGCTGGAATCGTGCCACTGGAACGATATGGCAGCACTCTGTATTGTTATTCCTCGATCTCTTTCCTGAGGAAGAAAATCCGTAACTGTATCTCCAGAGTCAACATCACCTATCCGCTTGATCTTCCCCGCACAATACAGCATCCGCTCGGTAGTGGTGGTCTTTCCTGCATCAATGTGAGCTATTATACCTATGTTTCTGAATCGATCAATTGTAGTAGCGTACCGCCGTATGCCACTTTGAAACCTACCGCAGACAAAGCGTAACATCTCTTATGGGTGCTTCCACGAGCTAGTCCAATGTGTATCCAGCCATCAGTATGACTATGACTCTTATTCAAGCTTTATACTCTTTCGATGCTCTCGAAGGTTAATCTAACCGAAATTTAGTGATTTTCGCTTTCAAGAATTTTAAGGCACAAGGAAAGTGGGGGTTGGTTAAACGTCAAAATAGTTTTATATGGAGGGCATGGTAGGTATACAGGGACTGCCCTTGTGATTTGAAGCATAGTCACGGATAGACAAAGTCTGACAACATTAGTTATGGTTAAAGCGTGTGAGTTCTGCCATGAAAAGCACTTGCACTGCGATCCGGGCAGACCGTGCATAAACTGCGTTAAGCGGAACCGAGGCCAGCTGTGTAGGGATAAAGAGCGGAAGAAGTCAAAGAAGAGCGGTGTTGAAAAATCTGTTGGTGGTTCAGATGCTCAATCATCTGGAAGTTCACAAAGCAATAATACGGCCGAAGTCAATGTGTCAGCCGATTATACTGCTGGTACAATGTTTAATAATATGGGTTTTGACCCATTACAGCAATCAAACTATGGTTTTGATACTATGACGAGGCAGAATAACAATAATGATAACACTTTATTAAACAGTTCTAATAATAACGCTATTGATATGGGGAATAGATGGAGCAGTCAGCCAGATGTGGTAGATAATATGGTAAGTCCAAACATAACAGATGGCAGTAACACTGTGGAATTCGATAGTGCATGGGCTAATAATGAATATATGAAACTAGATGAGTTGACTAAAAATGGTCCGCCAATGATGTTCTCCTCGTATCCGAACTCTGTCACCGAAAATTTGGATCAAGATAATGCAGTAGAGGATCTCCCGATATCAGTATTGCCAGGAAGTAAGACTAAGAATGGCACGGCCGAAAACCTTTCCCAGTTTTTAAATATCGGGAGGCCCTTACATAAAACGCAGTCAAGACCATATATCTCTTTAGATATGATGACAGCAGGCATGAAGGATGACATTTTACCTCCAGAGACATACAACACAACATCACTAGGCGATAATTACTTATCTCCTATCAATTCGGTGGGATCATCGACAAATCAACTAAACGATTATCAAGACAGCATACCGCACCAGAAGACGATGACTTCTCCTGTGCTTCCGACACAATCTCCATCTTCCGCTTTCAATCCGGCAAAACTTCCAACACAGGTTTCGATATCGGCAATATCTCCTGATGATAATAACGAGGATGATCAGAAATCAAGTTCTGGGATACCATCCAAATCTGATAAAGAGAAAAATAATAAAACGAAAAAGGCGAAAGAGAAGATATTTAAAACTTCGCCAAATGATATATTAATCTCTAAGAAGAATCCAAAGGGTCATAAATCTACCAAGAGGAAAAATGAGAAAGCTGACATATCACCTTATAAATTTAGACAGCTGGTAAAAGTCCCTGAAGACTTGTATGAAAAACAATACCTGATCAAGCCGCATAACTACAGACATACATACAAGAAACTTTTAGAACAATTGGAGAAAATATTCCTTTCAGATAATAGTCCCAAGAGAAGGGGTCAATTACAAAGTATTGTGAAATGCATATTAGAAGATTATGTACCGACATTCATCGCGCTTACATCAAATATGATTGAATCAGACTTGTACTTGCAAGAGTTGACGTTACAAAGGACACTTTTGGAACTGGAAAGCATGGCAAAGCTTGTGAACTGTTCTCCAATTTGTATATGGAGAAGGTCAGGAGAAATTTCATATGTTAGTGATGAGTTTTTGCAGCTAACTGGGTTTAAACGTAAGGAGATATTAGCAAGTAGGCGATTTATTTTTGAATTCTTAGATCCTACAAGCATTGTGAACTATTTCACCAATTTCCATGAATACTTGGCATTTGGATCTAAGAATCAGATGACAAGCAATATCTCACTGATAAAGCAAGGCTTATTGGTAAATGGTGCTGTGGTTAGAAAAAGTAACCCAATAGTATCATCAAGCCCTATGTGTGGAACCAATACTGACGGGATATTTGATGAGTGCCACCTATTATTGAGTAATGGTTATTATTTAAAATGCGCCACCTGCTGGACAGTTAAACGAGACAGTTTCAACATCCCACTTCTGATTATGGGACAATTTCTGCCTGTATTTGAAGGCCAGTAGATGGTTATGTTAAGAGTATTTATGGGGGATTTTCTTTCATAGTTTTCTATATATCGATCGATATTGGGTGAACTTGCAAGACTGGAAATGTTAAGTTCCACTCAATGGCATCAGTTCTCCGCAACAAACACCATTATTAATATTCATGGATCACATATATATTCAGTGGCAGGTTTCGGCTATGTAACAATAATATTCTTTGTAACTAGCAGTTAGCTTCCAGTTGATTTGTTTTGCATATCTACATAATATTAGCAGTGCCCATTTAGGTGATTGAAGCACTTAAAAGCCCTATTTTCATCACAGATGGTACTGAACGAAACCCTAAAAGGAGGGTAACCATTGAAGAGAAAATTTTTTCTTCTGAAGTGAGCACTAGCAAATCTTAGGAATGGGAAAGAGCACTATAAAAGGAAGACAGAAATGGAAGTTTTTACAAGTCTCGAATACGTCTATATTTTTTCACACTGGTTTTTTTTATAAGCTTTGTTCTTTCTTGATAAAAAGACCAATCATCAGTAGTGGTTAATACTATCTCAAGATAATATTAATTACATATACACCATAGAAACCTAAGGTAAAATTTACGCAAGTTTTCAAAGCTCGGTTTCTTTATCTCATTTGTCGAAGGAAGGGGAACTTGTTCTCTATCTTTTGGTGTATGGGAGGGAGGTTGGGTGGAGTTAATACTGGAACTTGTGTTTAATTTACCGACCCAATAATACAACCCAATAGCTGAATGAGCATTGACTACCTCCAAACAAGGTAGGCACAATACCCATTTCGTTTCTGGTTTCTTAGATCAAATTGTCTATGAAGGAGTTTCCTCCTCTTTCGCTTTACGAAGTTGAAACGGGGAAAAGGTAGCACGTTATCCAGAGGTCCATATAATGTGGACTGAGAGTTTGGATCTCCGCTGTGTCTCTTCCTTCATGGTCATACATATTCTGTATATCTATCCCTTTTTTTTATTCTCCCTTGACATGTTTACGTATATTAGAGGCGTTATGTTTTGTAGATATCCCACGCAAACAAGATCCGTTCTGATTCTTGATGAGAAGCTCTATAAGGTAGTAAACTCCATGAAACTGCATATGCATGGCACTAACCCGTCCATCTCTTTTTTTTCACTCGTACTCCATCAAGAATGTACGCAAAGCTCACTTATTACATGTTATCCCTATAAGATGCCCTTGAAGAGGAACCCAATGGGTATTATAGTCCTGAGCTATATGCCCGCCATCCGGCCCCCCGGCCCCCTCCCCCACAAAACTACCTATTTCGGAAATGCCCACTTCTTGTAGAGCCCGCTTGTTCCACGCCAACACCACCACAACAGCTACGCTTCAGAAGCATCTGTCACGCAGATAAACGAGGAGCCAGCAAGTTCACTGTTTATGCGGGATATTCTGACGTGATCTGGAGAACAACGTAGTAACAAATCGAATGAAAGCTGCGTGGGATTGTTCCGGTACGTCAGCATCCAGTATTTTCAGATATCCACAGATACAACCGCAGTGACACAGAGGTGTTGGAACAGATCTATCCTTTTTTGCTATTAATAATACAACCTGCATTGTATTCTTGGGTCTATTTTTCAGGTTCTCAGGGACTTTCTGTAGTAAGCGAGGCCGAACAATGAAATCAAAAAGCAATTTAAAGTTGTCCGGTGCTTTAACTGTAATATCGAAAATCCCAGTGGTGCGTGCGCACACCCTTTGAAATATGCAATTTCATTTAGTGTCACAGTATCTATAAATCCCTTCTCGAGTCTTGGATAAGCAAGCCCTAGTGCATCCGATGCTGTATAATGAAAGTTGAGTGAATATTCTTCAATGAGATAGGATTGCTTTGCATCCCACTCCCCTCGACATGTTTGTGTTCAGGTAAACGTAGCCCAGTCCTTAGAAGACTTTTAGAAAAGCTTTTAGAAGGGGGATTGTTACCCTAAAATTGGTTGGATTCACAAAATCCTTATTTGTGTTGTGAAATCCCACCATCCCACGCCTAACCTTTGCGCAATCTCGGAATAAACTGTGAAGGTTTGGCTAGTATAATATATAAATCGAAATCCTTTGGTTTGAAACTACATTTTCATTCCACAATATGAACTAAAAACAAATAAGTATCAGTGCATTTATTATTTGAGCACTACCTAAGATATCGAACAAGACTTAAATGTTTAATTAATATTTGAGAGAGATTAAACACTAAAAAAAAAGATCAAAAAAAATATGTCAATCACATTAGGTGCTGTAATTTGGTCATCGGTGAAGCCTATTATCAAGATCTATCTTATCATTGGTTCCGGTTTCCTGTTGGCCCGGATGGGTATATTGACTGTGGAGGCCACCAAATCTATTTCTAATATAGTGCTGACTTTGCTGCTGCCGTGCCTTTCATTTAACAAAATTGTGGCCAACATTGAAGACCAGGACATCAAGATGGTTGGTATTATATGCTTGTCCTCTGTACTAATTTTTGGCACTGGTTTGTTCTTTGCCTGGGTAATAAGCAAGACAATGCCGGTCCCTAAAGAGTGGAAAGGTGGTATACTGGCGGGCGGCATGTTTCCCAATATTAGTGACTTGCCAATTGCTTATCTACAAACTATGGATCAAGGGTTCATATTCAGTGAAGAAGAAGGTGAGAAAGGTGTTGCCAACGTTATTATTTTCTTGGCAATGTTTTTAATCTGTGTGTTTAACCTCGGTGGCTTCAGATTGATCGAAAGCGATTTCAAGTACAATGATGTGGAAAATGCAATCACAGAAAGTGAGTCGACTATTACGAACGACAGTAACGAAACCTCCACATCAGTCTCATATACATCCAATATACATACTGAGAAGCAAAGCTTAGACAAAGCGAGAGATAATACAAATGAGAAATCTAATGATTCCGATAGATCAAAGAATAATTCTGAGTCAGACCTTGAGAACGAATCGCTAGACTCATCCTCTGCGGCAGGCGATTTATCCTTGAGAACTACTTCGACCTCTGATGATATAGACGATATCAATAGAAGTCAAGGAAAGTCTGCAACTAGAAGAAGAAATCATACACCTATGCCTTTGAGGGAGAAGAATCCAAGAACCATTTCTAGAGTTACATTACCTTTGCAACATACCAGGAGAAATTCAGTAACAGCTTCTATCAGATCTACCAAATCATTACAGGCACAAGATATGAATGATTTGATTCAAATTTACTCCAATGTTGATCAATATGGTAATGATATTAATGCGGATCAGTCACAAAACCTTGGTTCACTGGGGAATGCGAACACTGGTAAAGTAATAACAACAGAGAACAAAACAAATGCGGCCCGTACTGTCCTTGATAGAATCAGAGGCTCTAATCTAACTAGAATTCTAACTTCAGATGCTACTGTTTCTAGGAAAGATATTGAAGAATCAGGTAAATCTCTGCCAAAATGGCTACATAAGAAACTACCAATTACAAAATTCATTGTCTTCTTTTTAAAGAACTGTTTGAGGCCATGTTCTATGGCTGTCATAGTGGCACTTACTATTGCATTTATTCCTTGGGTCAAAGCTTTGTTTGTTACTACTAAGCATACTCCACACATAAGACAAGCACCAGATCGCCAACCTGCTTTGAGCTTTATCATGGATTTTACAGCATATGTCGGAGCTGCATCAGTTCCTTTCGGTTTGATTTTATTGGGTGCTACATTAGGCCGTTTAAAAATAGGTAAATTATACCCAGGATTCTGGAGGTCGGCGGTAGTATTGGTTTTTTTAAGGCAATGTATTATGCCGATTTTTGGCGTTTTATGGTGTGATCGTCTAGTAAAGGCAGGCTGGGTGTCTTGGGAGAAAGATAAAATGTTGCTATTTGTCATTGCAATAAGCTGGGCACTGCCAACAATGACTACTCTTATATATTTTACTGCTAGCTACACCCCTCCTGAACTTTTGGAGCCTATCCAAATGCAATGTGTATCTTTCTTCCTGATGATTCAATATCCACTTATGGTAGTGAGTCTACCATTTTTGGTGTCTTATTTCCTGAAGGTACAGATGAAGGTATAAATACTTTACCAATTCATTGGGAAAACATCTTAATTTATATTCTTGAATTCAAATTTTCATTTTTAAGCCTTTATAGAGCCTACGAATATGTTACCTGAGGGTGGCTTATATATTATGAATAGATAGAAATGTCACTTCATTCACTGTTGAAGATCACTACCAATCTATATGGAACTCGAAGTTTAATTATTTTCAAACTCAGAAAGTAGATACATGGAGATATTTTCACCATAATTAATTCCAAATTGACTATCAATTTGTAACTCACATTGGAGCCATCTCTTAAATAGTGATAGCCTTTCTTTGGACCAATTGGGAGGTGCAGGGCTAGTAGAGTCATTAAATTTAGGTACTCTGACGAAAGCACACATATCCAATATTACGCCATGTTTATCTAAAAGAGATGAAGTGATCAGTGCGCATAAATTTGCATATTTTGATAGTAGCCTATCCCTTGTTCTAATTAAACAGACAAGTAGTCCACCCATTTTGGCGATGTAGCAATCACTGATCGAGCTATGAACATTTTTCACTGTCTGCTCCAAATCAATCACAAAGTGCGTCAAACCTAATATTTCGACGGTTTCATTCATGCTTCCAAGTATAAACAACAGCTTTTTACGGTTCAAGACACCGTTATGGTCTACGAAATTCACACTTTTAATGAATCCAAAGTCACCAGTCCTTAAATATGTCAAACCTTTATCAGCTTCACCCTTTAACTTGCTACTGAATTGACTGGTAATGAATGGATCTTTTCGAAGCTTTTTGTCTGATAAATAATAACTGTAAACGTTAGCCTCCGAACAGCACCATATCTCACCATACTCACCATCGATACAAGGTACTTCTGTTTCTGGATTGACAATTGTTACATCAGTGCAGTAGGGTACACAACCTGAATCCTGAATCCTAATATATCCTTCACTCCCAACTTCTGTTAAGGATATCTCATCTATAATGCCCTCTCTGAGAGCTGTGGGATCAAGATACATATACTTTGGTATGGTATCTATTCCTGTCTGCATTGAAATTATTGGGTTAAATTTATGTTCATATGTGCAGCAAATTTGGTTAGTACTTATCATTACGTTAGAGTACCTCTTCAATAGCTTTTCTATCATCGCGCTATTTGGTCTTCCAGAAAATGGTATAATAAGATTTTGAACATTTCTCAAGAAATCCGAACGTAGTAGAGAGGTCGAGTTTGAGTTTTTCTTTGTGGTATTTTGATAACCTGCCTTTTTGTTATTTTCTAGCAGTTGGTTCGCTTTCTCGAGAACAGTTGATAGAACAGAAAGAGGAAGGTAGATTTCCTTCACGTTCAAATTTTGTATACCAATCAAGAAATCCACTGGATCGTTTTTAAAGTCGGAAATATTGAATAAATTCGTTGGGCAACCGATGAAAACACCCAACAGATTATTTATAGTAAAACTTGAAATGGAAGAATCTGGACACAAAGAAAATATGACTCTATCATTGGACATGTTCAAGGTCTCCTTCAGTATTTTACATGTTTTCAAAAATGTTGAGTGTGTCATAGTTGGGTGTATGTCTTGTTCAGTCGAAGACATGAGGTTTGTCCAAACAAAACATGGTGAGTTATTATGTTTTTTTCCTTTTAAACTATATTTCTCTCTTAATGTTTTCTTAAAAATTGAAAGTGTCAGGGTATTCTTTCTTTTCACTTTTGAAAATACAGTAATTTTGGGAAAGTTTTGCTTGTATGTTTTAAAAATTTTAGAGACAATATTATGCGAATCGACCAGGACATAGTTTTTGGCATCCATAAAAATTCTCTTAACCTTATAGTTTTTTATTATTTTAACAAGAGGTCCAATAATTTTGTTAGCATTTTCAACTGTAACTGAAGGTACAGGAATAACAATAAAATTACAATAGAAGCAAGCATATATCATTGCAATATATTCAACAGAATTGTCTGCCATTATTATAACACAATCAGATGGTTTTAAAGGTGTCTTGGAGACCACTATTTTCCTAAGGAAAGACGCACAAATCACCTCGAAAGCCTTCCAAGATACTTTTTTGTGTATATTATTGGATGTATTACCTGAGGTTGTCTTAGAGGAACTGCCTCCATCGTTGAAGGCAAGATCATTTGGACTAGCAGATATTCTGAACTCAAGAATTTCCAAAATAGAATGAAAAGATTTCATAGATTTTCCAGATTTATCATCGATGGAAAAGTCCTTGAAATTGATCCCAGATGCTTGCCAATTGTCATTTTCATAAGGCATACTGTCATCTTGTCTTACATCTATTGCCTCTTTCAAGGCCTTAAACCTCAATGCAGACAAATGTTCGGAAAAAATGCTCTCATTATAGTATGAAGAATGGGGAATATAATCCAGGATTACATTGTCAAACTGGAATTTTGCAAAACTAGCATCCAACTCACCATTATAGAACTTTTTAACAACTGTACTGGTGGCCAATTCTAATGAACAATATCTTCTAGGTAAGGTATTTCGAGGTACAACCAGAACACACATGGGCTGGATTTTATGAAAAATCCATAAAATTCTGAATATTTGATCTGTTAATTCATTCATTTTCTTTTCAGTGTTGAATTTCTCCTTATTCGATATCTCTAGCAAATGTTCGTCCTTGTCATAATTTACTCTCCTTGGATCTCTTGCTAAGGAACTTTCGACAACAAGAACAAGAAAATGTTCTTCCTTATGGTGATTTAATTCGAATGTTACTGCTTCAAACACAGTGTTAACAGTCCTGACAAGTGTTTCTGTTATTTGCTGTAAATAATGAGATTCCACAGAACGTTTAATTAACTTCTTATTTTCTTCCCTATTTCTTGTATGAAGGGAGGATTGGGCACTATCCTTGAGCTCTGATGTATAATTCTTATCCTTTTTTTCCGGTTTTGTATGTAGTAAATTTGATGTATGTGCCCAGTTTGGCAGTCTAACTAGCCTATTTTGTAAGAACATGTCTTCAACTAACGATAGCACATATATTTTACCATTGAATACAAAACCCATTAATTTTGTCCTTAGAAAATGTGTTGCTTTTGGGCAAATATTGTATATTGTTTCTACCCTTTCTAGAGAATTTTTAAAGTCATCATTTGTATCAATATATTCATCTGATTTAGCAAATGCGAACATTTTATTGAAATTTAATTTCGCTTTGAACACAAATTCATTTATTTTGTCCATTTGATAGAATTCATCTGTTAGCTTATCAGAAGATATCCAAATTTCACCAACTGTTAAATCATTGACCAAGGTATTATCATCTGGATCAACAACACAGAGAATACTACCCGGAATTGGAAACCCAAAAGGCTCAACCTTTAAATAATCTTTAAAAGATGATGAAGAGTTTATCATAGCGGTAACACTGGGTTCGATGATATTCTTCTTCAATTTTTCTCTGCTAATATACAGTTCATCTTGTAATCTCAGCTTAGAATCATGGACTGGAAAGTTATCAAGATTGCCCAGTTCATCCCTTAAAGAAAAAAAGAGACCACCAAAATCTGTAAGTGTTAGCATAGGAGAATAGCACAAAGAGGCGTCAATACAACCCAAGTTTTTTAGCCATTTATGTATAACCATGTCAGTCACATCAGTATCAATAGTATTACACGAAGTTAAGCAATATTTGATACAACTAAAGTCGATTTTGTGTTTCTTCGTTAATGTTAGTTCTGGATTTTCTAAATAATTTATGACCACTTGCTTAAGTTGTAACTGATCATTTAAAAGAACGTCTGCTCTGTATTTGTCAATGAGGTGTTCATAACCACCTGGTGTTTGTAAAATTTGACTATTAGCTGCAATCAGTAAAGCACCGGAAAATAAGTTGAACAGGACACCAAAAATTAATCCCGAAGATCTGGTAGGATCTAGACTACTCATTACTACAAATCTGTCAGCAACACTTGTTACATTGAGCGATTTCTGTTTTAGAGGCACGATAACATTGTTCTTCCTCTTCCAATGAGGCATCACTCGAGAGTTAAGAATTAAAGCTAATAGTGAGAGTTGATCCATGAGTACTTTATGTTTCATGACTACACCGGACAATCTTCCCAGAGGAGTACGAGTAAATTCAATGTACATTATGTTGGGGGTCTCAAAAATGGGTACAGATTTCTTCGCCTTGGAATAAATTCCTAGGTCATCGGTTTTTAAGAATTTCACACTTTTGAAGACTTCACTTTTTACAAGTTTAACTTTATTGTGATTGGAAGTTGAGTGTAGATTATCTAATTGTTTTTGGCAATTATTAGAAATTAATATTAACTTCGCGCCAGTCATGCGTATAATTTCAATAATATCACTTAAAGAATATGTTTGGAAAGAAACTGGAACAGCCACCATGCCAGCTATAAAACAGCCAAAGAGTGCAACAGCAAATTCAATAGAATCCTCCATGTTATACCACAGTAAAACTTTATCCATTTTGTACAACTGTTCTTTGGTTAATTCATGTGCCACTTTGGCAGCTCTTAAATATAATTTATCCCAGGTTATAAATGTTTCTTTTCCTTTGTTATTAATACTTATCATAGCAGTTTGGCCGTTGAAATATTCAAAACGTTTTCTTAAGATGGATGGAAGGAACTCTTTCGCTATAGTTTCTACCTCTTTGTTTTCAGGGCTAACATAAGAAGGTTTCCGTGGAAGTAGAGGAATCATTGGTGTGTAAGATCCTTCCATCTCCGATTGGCCTGACAAGCTTGCATCATCGACAGAAGATGCCAGTGAATATTGAGATTTTCTTTTGAACTTGGCTGGCGAAGCTAACGGTAAACTGTTCTTGGATGCAGAATTCATAGTTGTGACCCTGTAAACTGAATTTTGTCTCATTGTCTTATGTGCAATTATGTTAGAAAGTCTCGAAGTTGTATTATAGTTGGGACTAGTCATAAGATCATCGCTAAATGATCTATAATGGGTGTTAGTCTGCCTCTCTTTACCTTTCGTAGAAGTTACATAGCTTGAAGTAGGTCGGCTATTGGAAAACCTTGAAGGATCATTTGGCCTTTCTAGATCTATTGTAGAAGTATCCCTTGAGTAAAGAGACGATGAGAGAGATATTTTTGAAGAATTTGTCTGTAGTTCATAATTCTCCAGAAGTTGCCTCCGCTTTGTCTGGTAACCCTTAATGGTAAGGTTTTCTTGTTTGTAATCTTGAATTAGCTCATTTAATTGATACTGTATCCCAAGTGGCAAGTTGGAAGGCACTGATAAATCGACTCGGCTCTCCATTATATAACTCTTCCCAATAACGTGCTAGTTAGTACAGATTCTTCCTTCATTCGCCACCGCAATCCACGAAAAAAAGGCACAATGACTATTGTAGTATGCCTGGAGGCTATGCTAATGATTATATGTCTTAACAATTAGCATTCAGAACCAACAGTTCAAAAGAAGTAATCAAGGGCATCTATAATTAGATGTGAAATACTTTGTACAGGATTACACTCGATGTAAGATTTTTCTGAATTTCTTTGAACTTTTCGGCAAGAAAATAAGAAATTATCCTGAGGTACAACATCCCTACGATATGTTCTGTGAGTTCATGAGATGATGTATATCAATATTCACCTCTGTGGGATAATATATTTGAAATAAGACGAAATAGAGAGCAGGTGGTTATTGCTCTTTTAATATGCAATGAGGAATGTCATTGAAAAATATATACACGAATTAAATGCCATTTCACCACGGCTTTCTCTCAATAGAGAATGAAAGAAATTGATTCTCGCATGTACGTAAGTGATATACAGTTTTATGGTTCACCAAAATCTAGAGCGATAGTGGGTAAAAATAATTAATCGTTCGTTGCTTCTTGTGATATTATTGAAGAACAGATGGTAAAAAATTGAAAGTATTAAATGGGCTGGGAAAAGTATAATAAAAAAGGAGAAAAGAACAAATATTAAGTGGACTTTGTTCATTGTACAAAAGAATCTTATTTCTTATCAATGACTTCAACGCTACCGTCAGGCTTACCGAAGTAAGCTCTGTGAGCGTTATCAATGAACAGACCAGTTTCGACGACACCCACCAACATTTTGATTTGTTCATGTAGGGCTTTTGGATCTTGAATTTCACCGAAGTCAGCGTCGATCAAGAAGTTCATGTTATCAGTGACAACTGGACCGGCTTTAGCACTGCCACCTTGCCTTACAGGAGCAGAGTTTGCATGGAGAATGCTAGTCAAGTCATGTTGAACTCTTGACCAGGCCGAAGGCACGATTTCTATTGGCACACCTCTCTTCCAATTTATCCCCAAGTTAGTATCCGATTTTTTTCTGGAATCAGCAACAACAATGAAGATTTTTGCACTAGTGGATACCAATTTTTCTTGGAACAAGCATGCACCACCACCTTTGATCAATTGCAAGTTGTGGTCAACTTCGTCAGCACCGTCAAAGGCAATGTCTACATGGGGGTGCTGCTCGATAGAACCTAGAATTAAACCATTATCTTGAATCAAGTTACGGGATTGGTAACCAGTAGGGATACAGATAAATTTGGATACTTTGTCATGGTACTTCTCATCCTTCAAGTATTGACCAATTCGCTCGGCAACGTAAACAACAGTACTACCACTACCTACACCGATGATTCTGTGTTCGTCAAAGTTCAAGTTTTCATCAACAGCACGATAAGCAGCTGCTCTCTTGGCATCTTCTAGAGGATTACCTAGAGTTGGGAAGTCGTTAATATTTGGCAATGGGGTGTAGGACATTATAAACTTTTGTAATTTTTTTTCTGTACTTGGCAGAAGATGCTATATTTCAGTATAGCGGAGTTTGTTATCGGTTGTATTAAAGGATTGGAAAAATAGCCCTTAAATATCCGAATTCGATAGTTTGTTGAACTTCTTGCCTTTTAAATATATAAGGGTGGTTAATTACTTTATTGCCCCTTTTTTTGAACAACTATTATCCTCCTAAAATCTAAAATGTAAATTAGTAAAATGGTTTACTGTTATTCCTTTGGTAATGAAAGTCATCTCATCACTAAATAAATTTTTCTCCCAATAAGTAAATCAGTTACAACCGTACAAGAGAGATAATAGGACAGAAAAAGCTAAAAAGGAGAGAAAAGGGAACTCTACATATGAAATAGGAGTGTCATTGAACGGGAAAGGGGACTTAACTAAGAAGTGAGCGATCTAGAACTGATATCATCTGGAATATCAATCAAGAGCTGAAATACTTTTGGACTGACCTGTAAAAATATCCCATTTTCTCGAGAAATCGAGGTTAGTTTACTTATCTTATATACTTATTTTTTTTGGGGGAAGGGTGGTTTGATTGCACCAATCTATTGTAACCTGCATAATTGATATGACATTCCAATTGCTATTTCAGTTGTTCACGTATGCATGTGTCAATAGTTTTTCTTTCTTTTTTTGGGCATCTCACAACCAGATTTCCTGCATACATTTCTTCGAATAATAGCAAAAAAAATTTACATTGATGTGATAAAATATTTTTTCAATATTATTTTTTTGGTTCTATTGCGATGAGCTCCTACCTCTTCACAACTTATTTCTATTGTCTTGCTGTGACCATTTATGCCCTGGTTTTTAAAATTGTTCATATGTACTTAGAACAATGGGGAGTTATGCGATTGGAGGGACCCCACTTTTTATTGTTATAGGTGCCCTTGTGATGCCTATCTTATTACTATATCCAAAGATGTTTTGCCCTAACACTGGTTAGTTAGTTCCTTTCTTTTTCTGGAAGCAGTATTTTTAAATGCAAAAAGGACCGTTGTATTGCCAATTAACAGTTTTTTTTATGTCAATTAGGGTTATCTCGACATATAGTTGTTGAAGAGAGGTCCTGGTATATTGACGAGCTAATCAATGGCTTGTCAACTTCCTATCTTCTTGCCTTGCGTACAAAATTGGTATATAGATCCTTTTCATCTATTGATATCGTAGAGATTGAAGGTTTTCGTTTGATGTAGGGCTCTTTCTCAACGGGTATATTAAAGTACTTGTAACTTCCAATATCAGCTTCGCTGTCTTCTTGAGGTCGTATCTTATTAATTGTTTCTGTATAGGTTGGTTTACTCCTCTTCACTTGACGCTTCTGGCTACCAGACAATATCCATATGATAGTTAACGCTATACCAATCACCACCGCAAATTTCGAAAATAGAATTAGGCCCACCCATATACCCCCTATTACTGTTTTCAATATTGGGCCAACTAGTCCTATAACCAATGCACCTAGAACAAATGAGGGCAGATGAATATATACATCCCTATCACCGACCCTGAATTCAATCTCTTGATTTGATCGGATGAAAGGTATCGCTTTCTCCATTTTCGATCTGGTAATACTTCTGAAATTGAATTGGATGCTTGTTTGTCCTGACACACTTGTGCTAGGATCACTATATAGTACACTTTAAAACCAAAGATATGATCACAATTGGCTTTCCATCTTAATTTATCGAACTTTTTCTCATATTCCATGATCTGGCAGATATGATGTGATGTGCGACAAAAACGTAAAATGCTTTTTATCAGAACTGAAAAAATAGAAATTCTAAAAGAGATGCATGGTACTTAATATGTAAAAGATGAATTTTGGAGGTACACTGGTACCTCTTGATTCTATAAATTATAAGTCGAGTGGAGTTTAGAATACTATCTTCTTGGGGCTCTCATTCTGGCAAGTCTTCTTTGTGTAAAACCTGGAGGTGGAGTAGATTTCTGTTCAGATGCCATTCCCATTTGTGGGGCATTCGTAGCCATGCCATTTCCCATACCGGATGTGAATGGATTCGCCATCCCACTAACTGGAGCACCAGCGGTGTTCATGCTTGGGTTGCTATTCATCCCACCACCAAAAATTTGCTGAGGTTGAACAGAGGCCGGTTGTGATGGAGCAAACACTGCGGCCGGATTAATGTTGGACGATCCAGACATAAAGTTGAAATTAGGTGTCTGAGCAGGTTTAAATACCTGGGCTGGTTCTTGCGGTTGAGGATTTGCTCCCATTGGTGCATTAAAAAGAGCATTAGGTGTGGAGATTTGAGGAGCAGGTGTCTGTCCAAATGGTGTGGGAGATTGACTGGCTGGAAATGTAGTAGGTGGAGCCGATGCATTTGGCTTACCAAAGCTAAACGATGATTGTGCACCGGAACCAGGTACTTGATTGGGTGCTGAATTGAAACTGAAAGCAGGTTTTGATTGCTGGCTTTGTGCTAATCCAGTAGATGACCCAAATACCGAACTTGGAGAAGGGCTTGCCGCGTCGTTTTTTAAAGCAGCCTTACCAAACTGAAATGTAGGCTGGGATGTTGTTGGGTTGGCTGCTGTTTCTGTGGCTTTGGAACCCAAACTGAACAGACTGCCAGTACTAGTCTGTGCATCATTTTTTGGTTGAGTTTCTGATTTTGTTGCAGAAAATGTAAATGAGGGCGTTCCTGTACTTTTACTTTGCTCTTGTTTTTCAGTAGATTGAGATGACCCAAATCCAAAACTTATTGCCGGCTTGTCTTCACTTGGTTTCGAAACTTTAGCACCAAAAGGTAAAGATAAAGTTGCAGCTGAAGAATCAGTTTTAGTAGATTCATCAGCTGGTGTTCCATTTGTATTCGCGTTTGCTGGTTTCAAAAACGAGAAATTGGGCTTTGTTGAAGACTCATTTGTTACAGGAGAACCTGAGTTATCATTGGAAACCTTTGGCCCAAAGTTAAACAGTGGCTTTGTTTTATTTTGCGATTGCTCATCTTTCTTTTCATTACCTACATTGCCAGAATCCGTGGTAGCCTTTAAACCTCCAAACAACGGTATAGGTTTGTCTTTTTTCTCGTCTGATTGAACTGGTGGTATACTAAAACTAAATACTGGTTTTTCAGTAGCTGTGGTGCCCTTGGTTGAAGTACTTTCTGCTGGTTTCGCACCGAATGAAAATGAAGGCTTCTGTTGCGATTCAGGGGCTAGGGATGTAGCCTTATTTCCGAAGCTGAAGCTGGGAACTTTATCATTACCAGAGGACCTTCTCTTTCTCTTATTATCCCTCTCATCCTCTTCATCATCAGATTTTTCTTCCCTGTTTTTATTACTCTCTGAAGAATTTAAAGTAAATAGAGGTTTGATCTTACTACTGATATTGGTCTGCGAGGCATTGTCGGCTTTTGTCGTTGCGTCAGATTCACCAGAGAGACTACCTGAAGTGCCAAAACTAAATTTAGAAGAAGTATTTCCAAGCAATGTTTGGCCTGGCTTTTCTTTATTAAGTCCAAAACTAAATGCCTTTGGTTTGTCCATTGCCAAACCAGTTTTATCATTTTCAGCAATGGTTGCTTCTTGTTTCTCTGTAGCATTGGTTTTGTTATTGCCAAAACTGAACAAAGGTGCCTTAGGCTTTTCAGAGTCAATAATATCAGTCGTTTTGTCTATATTCACTAATTGAGGTTTATTTTTAGATGGTAATGTCTTTGAAGGGGTCTCATTAGAGTCTTTTATAAAGTCGAAACCAACAGTTGGTAAAAGGACGTTTTCTTGTTTAGGGAGTCCTGTTGGTAGTTTGCTTGCGTTTTTAATAACAGGTTTTTCTGATAAGATGTTAGATGAGGTACCATTTGCACTGGGTTTTTTAGCTTTAGGAATGTTGAATAATACATCACTTTCTGCTGAAGTTATTTTCTTCGTTGAGTCTGGTACTTCGATGAGTCTATTAGATAGTGGGGTATTGGCTTTCTGAATCTCAAAATTAATTGGTGTTTGACGTTTATCCTCTTCCACAACTAATGTTTCGCTTTCATCAAATTCAGAAGGATCGTACTCATACATAGCAGACCATTTATTTGATTTGTATGAATGTTTTGGTTTGGTATCTGTCTTCTTTAGTAACGATTTGAATTTTAACTTATTGTCTGGTTTATATGATTCTTTATTGTTTTTTATCAAAGCACTCAGCTCCTTGAAATCTTGCTCTATTCTTTTTAATTGCTTGTACTTTAGAAGCTTCAGTCTTTGTCTAGGAAGAATAGGCAGCAGAGGCGGCCTCTGTCCCTCTGTGCTGTGTACTGGATCAAACAGGATAATTGAGTCGTCACTATCGTGCTTACTATAGTCCAAGTTTTGTTCTTCAACGGTGTTCAACAGCTTCCGTCTCTTCTTACCCTCGCTATTTCTATCACCACAATTGTCTGATTTGGTGGTATCGCTGCTAGATCTGAACAGAGACTTGAAAGTAGAAGATATTGATCTTTTAACATTGGGACGCTGCGACTTCTCTTGAACAATAGATGTATCCATTTTTTTTTCTCTTCTCCTGTGTTAAATATATCTGTGCCGTACTAATATCTGTATTGGGGCCTATGTGTCCACGTCGCGGGTTAGATGAGAAGGATGGCAGCTAATATAGTTACAATAGGCTATAGTTGTACTTGATTTTGGGAATGCTGGTAGCAATTACACAGGTAACTTATAGCAATATGACACCTTAATCAATTATAGTGTTGTTTGCTCTGAACAAACTTTGGCAACTTGAAAGAAATTTGGGAAGCTTGGTATAGTGTCGTACTTAGGGATTTGAATTTGATCAGTCATGATCATGATATATTACAATACAACCACCAAGAGGGCAAGTGTAAGAAAAGTATAGCAACTTAAAAAAGATATGAAGACAATCGTCTAAAGCTGGCCTTGTGTGACTACATTTTGAAAGGAGTGAAAAGTATGTCTATTCAATAGCAATTGTCACATCACTCAGTACAGCAAAGTTCATGTGATTACCTTACAATGCGTATCCTTTGAGAAAAATCGTCTTTTCGCAGCTCATCGCAATTTTTCACTGCGAACCCAAAAAAAAAAATTTTGCGATGAGATGGGGCTATCTGCAATGCTCTGTATAGGCATCTATATATTATGGCGTATTGTTATAGTTTGTAGATATCATCCCATATCTGGTTTTAGGAAGGGGCTAGAATACCAGAGAGAAATTACAATGGCTAAGTCTACTGATAAGAAGAAGGTTGTTGCCAAAGAGGCGGAAGTTCAAGAGGATGCCATCAGGTTAGAGTCTGGTTCTGATCTAAGTTCAGAGTCTGGTGAGTCCGAATTGGAGGTTAGTGAATCTGAATCTGAGGATGAGATTGAAGGTATGGAAACTGAGCAAAGCGGCCACCATATCAAAAAGTTGGATACCAGCAAGAAGCAGAAGGCTACCAAGAAAGATGATAAGGATTCTGATATCAGTGGGATCATTTATGTTGGTAGATTGCCAAAGGGTTTCCACGAGAGGGAGCTAAGTAAATATTTCAGTCAATTCGGAGACTTGAAAGAAGTGAGATTAGCACGTAACAAGAAGACTGGTAACTCTAGACACTACGGTTTTGTGCAGTTTGTTAATACCGATGACAGTCGTGTTGCTTATGATACCATGAACAACTATCTTTTGATGGGCCATCTACTCCAGGTACGTCTGTTGCCTAAGGGAAGTAAGATTGAAAAGCTGTATAAATATAAGCAAAGGGCATTCATGTCTCCGCCAAAGGCCAAGAAGTCTGCTAAGGAATTGAAGAAACTGGCTGAAGAGAAACACAAAGAAAGAATGGAAAAACTTTCTAAGGCTGGTATTGATTATCAATATTAGAAAGAGGGAAGAAATGTTTTAAAGTTCTGTTATTTTATGGCATGAAGTATCTTGCATTTTAGCATATTCCAAATACAATAGAAAAAAAATCAGAAAATATCTCCAGTTTTTTAGAAATTATCACATTGATTGCTTTTTCCTCTGTTGATAATAGATAAAGACTGGCATTTGTACAATACTATAATATACAATATAAACTATTTTAGAGTAAGTGTAATAGTTTAAAATTATAAATCAATCATCGATTCATAGAAAAATCGATAACAATATCAATGAGTATACTGCTCAGAGGTTATATGCATGATTATTTGAAAGATATTGTCCTTTTTGTGTTGTGTATCATATTATTCGTCATACTCATCAAAGAAAACTATTGCTGAGTAAGACGTAAGCACATAACTCTATATCGGTTTTGCTGTATGTATTGTGTCCTTGAAACATCTTACATCTTAGACTTACAGTGTAAGGAATATCCAATACAATGGGCCCTCGTATAATTAAATCATCCCCATTGTTCTACCCAAGGCTATTACTATTATACTGTTTCTGACAATAAATGCGATAAAAGGGATGGAGAGAACAGAAACATAGTTAGTGTTATTATCGGTAATAACACATCCAATGAGTTTTACGACTGGTAACCCGTCAGGATCCAATTACTACACAAAGTTGGAATTATATCGCTGTTGAATACTTTATCGGACCTAAAGTCACATGATAACCTATAAAATTGAATGTTAACCATCACGCTTTTGTTATGCAGAGGTAACCACAGAAGTTTCTAGCCCAAGTTCCAGATTATCTACAACACACTTCAACGTTACAAGAGTATCTTCGGTTAATGATAAAGGATCAAAGTGGAAGACAAGTTCTTACTTTGAAAAGGTTCCCCTCCCCCCATCCGTACCGAGCCATACGAATTAACTGTAGAAGAGGAGACAGAAAAAATTTTCAAGTTATTGCCAATTATGTTATCAAGCATGGGTTTATGGGAAAGATAAAAAAAAAAAAGTTTTATGGTAAACTCGGACGTAACGGATTCTTTCTCGTCCATTATTGAACAATGTAGCAAACGATGGATATTCATGGCGAAGCAGCTCTCCTGCCAAAATTTTGTTGTGTACCTGGACCTCTAGACCTTTGTGAAGAAAGCCAGAGACGAGGAATTCAGTGCATGAGCTTAGCGAGGCGAGGTGGTAAAGACGAAAACTTAGAAGGAAGTTGCTAAACGACCGATTCTGTTTTATCGGTATAGTAGATAGGACCTTTGTGCAGTTCCCTCTAAGACGGTTTTTATATGCTACATATTTAATTTTTTTCCATCTATACTGCATTGTGAAGAAATTATAAATCACAATTGAAATTTTATAATTACAAGAACTATATAAGTCCAAGCACTTATTACCATTTGTTGAATTACTGGACATCCTTCTGATTAGACCCTTCTAGTAGGAAATCAAAAACTCAATCAAAAAGATACAAACTATTATCAACAACTATAAATAAAATGAGCAAAGTTTACACTTACAAGCAAGTTTCTGAACACAACAAAGAAGGTGACTGTTGGATCATCATTGATGGTTCTGTCTATGACGTCTCTAAGTTTCTAGATGAACACCCAGGTGGTGATGAAATTATCTTTGAACACCGTGGTACCGACGCTACCGGTGACTTCGTTGACATTGGTCACTCTGATGATGCTTTGAAGATTCTAAAGACTTTGAAGATTGGTGAAGTTGATCCAAACAGTGAGCGTGTTGTCATTGACAACAGAGAATCTGATATGGTACAAAAGTCCACCGAAGGTGGTGGTAAGTTGGTTATTGTTCTAGGTCTACTAGCACTAGCTGTTGCTTACTACACTCTAAACTAGAGTAATCCGCACATCAAATTCATTCTATTTTTTATGCAACCAATTAGTCACTACTCCTAGGAGTAATCAATTACTCATATCACAAAATATTCAAATAACTAGGGTTTCAACTGGTTATTGAACATTCACCCCTAATTCATTTCACTGATATTGTTTTGGTGATGGTCTAAAGCAACATTAATCCTTCACAGTTCAGGTTTTTTATTTCTTTTATTTCACTATTTTTTTCAAAACTTGAAATTGAATTTATTTATTATGACAATTTGTCAATATTTAAAATCACGGCATATATTTTATAAATATTTTATAAAAACTACTTATCTTTAATGTACATTACTATTAAATTAACCATTATTTTCTCTTAAAGTATATCCTTAAAGGAAATTAATTACTTTGGAGCCATTTGATCACTTTCATGCATTAGCGTATGTTAGCTAGGGTTGTTATTAAGACAAAAACATTAAAATTCCATATGGGTAAAATTAAAAGATAAATGTTGTCTATCAATTACTAATTATATAACACAAAAGTTATCCTAAACTGGAATAATTATGATAAAAATGAACAAATAAATAGTATACAATAAGAAGTTATTATTTCTTCCATCTAGTGTGATCAACGCAGAGACTCTCGCTTTCTTTACTGAAAACCTTATCTTCTGTTACCCCAACCACCGTCTCTAGATCTGTTAAAACCACCGCGGCCACCACGACCACCACCACGGCCACCGTAACCACCACGGCCACCACCGTAACCACGACCACCACGGCCGTAACCACCACCGTATCTTGGGTGAGGACCACGAGGTCTTCTGTCATACTTCATTAGTTCTTCAGGAATGTTTTGCTTAGCTTCTCTCATGATCGAGATCAAACTGGCACCTAGAGATTTGTTATCTTCGGTGAAGAAAGAAATAGCGGTACCAGTGGCACCAGCTCTACCAGTTCTACCAATTCTGTGCACATAATCCTCAATGTTACCTGGCATATCATAGTTAACAACGAAGTTGATACCCTTGACATCTGTATAATTCCAATCATTTGAAAGATTAATAGATACTTTGAAAGGATGGCAAGTAAAATTGACATCATTTAATAGTAAAATTAAATTCAAAATCAAAATTTTGTTAGTATATTATTTCTTGGAGATTAATGTAACATTGGTTTCCCAACATACATTGCTCACGTGACAGTACTAGATTTTGACATAAGGTTTACTCCTTAACATTTGTGATGGACAATAATTTTTACAATTATGTTTAAGTATATTTAGCTTATTATATGTGCACTCTTAAGGGAGGATATCTAGAGTAATCTTTTCTGATGAAAAAACATGATATAGAATTTTTGTATATATATATTTCTTGCATGTGATAGACGCTCTGCATGGGCATGCACTTAATATTCTAAGCCAGTTAGAATATAAATTTGATTAGATCCTAGGCCAACATCTGAAATTCGTACGTATTCATAAAATGAATAAAGCGTAACGTCGAAGAAACCTAAGGTATTTATCTTAATCACCCATAAAAAAGCCATACTTCCCCACTCTGACGCAAGTCATATATATTCAATTAATCCCAACATTTTCTATAACGGAAATAACATCAGACTTGTACGAAGAACCACCTTCAGTTGTCCAATAGAAACTATTCCCTTCATAGAAGTAACTCAATATAGTAACCTATGCCCAAGTATTAGGTAATACTCCACAGAATAATTCGTGAAAGTTCCCTGTTTCAAGAGCATTTGTTACCGCCTATAATGTTTTTTAACATTCCCCCGAAAATAGAACAAATCAACTATCATGCTATTCAAATTAAGCATTTTATAGCTGAATATATTCCTAATTTTTCTTGTATGCACATTAGCTAAATACTAATCATCATAAAAAAGAATCTGAAATGCATCCACATAACAGACTTCAAAAAAAAAAAAAAAAAAAAAAATCAAAAAAATCAAAATCAAAAAAAAAATCCCAAGCATAAACAAATTCTGAGGATCATTAGCCTCAGTACAGTTTTCATTAAGCCAATGAATTTTTCAGGTCATTAAAGTCATTATCATCATAATCGTAAAAGTTAGTACTGTCGTAAACAAACAAAAAAATTAATAAAACATACCAATACCTCTGGCAGCAACATCTGTTGCAACCATGATTGGGGAGTTACCAGTTCTAAATTCATTTAGAACCCAGTCTCTTTCCCTTTGATCTTTGTCACCATGAATGGCAAGAGCTGGCCATCCATCTTGTCTCAAGTAAGATGTAATTTCGTCACAAGTTCTCTTGGTAGAAGCGAAGATTAAAATCTTGGATTCCTTGTCTTGAGAAGCAGTGTCTAGATGTTTAACCAATCTGTCTCTCTTCTCAAACTCAGAAACAACTTCAACCAATTGTGTAATGTTGTGAGAAGCAGCCAATTCTAGAGAACCAATTTGAACCTGGATTGGATCATTTAGATAGTCCCTAGCCAATTGCTGAACTTCCTTAGGCCAGGTAGCCGACCACATCAAAGTCTGTCTGTCTGGTCTAATTTGGTCTACAATCTTTCTGATTTGAGGTTCAAAACCCATATCCAACATTCTGTCGGCTTCATCCAAAACCAGATAAGTAACTCTCTTCAAGTTAGTCTTACCTGCTTCAAGCATATCAATCAATCTACCTGGGGTAGCAATGACAATTTCAGCACCTCTAATCAACTCTCTGATTTGTTGACCTCTTGGAACACCACCGTAAACACATGTGTTTCTAATTCTAGAACTCTTACCAAACTTGGAACATTCCTTTTGAATTTGAACAGCAAGTTCTCTGGTTGGAGCTAGAACCAAGACAATTGGACCATCACCTGGACTCAAAAGTGGCTGTGCGTTGATGTGAACAATACCTGGTAAACAGTAGGACAAAGTCTTACCGGAACCAGTAGCAGCAATACCAACCATATCTCTACCAGAAAGAGCCATAGGCCAACCTTGACATTGAATACTAGTTGGCTTGTCGAAACCTTCAGCCTTAACTTCCTTTAAAACGTAGTCTGGGAAACCAGCTTCATCAAAAGTAGTGATAGGCTTTGGAATGTCGTGACCAGTAATGGTCATTTCAGATTCCTTTCTGAATTGAGCAACTTCTTGATCAGATCTGTTACGAACAACTTCATGCTCAACGTAAAAGTTCTTTTCAAAAGGAGGCAGATTAGGAAGTTCGGATTCCCAATCTGGCTTGATTAATTCTCTTGGACCATCATCGTGACGACCTCTTAGACCACCATGGGAGTAACCTTGGTTTCTGTCTCTGTTGTAGTCATTTCTATCGGAGGATCTACCACCACGGAAGTCACCACCACGAGAGTTGTAGTTAGTTTTGTTATATAAAGCGTCTCTGTAACCCATTTTTTCTTATAATTGTTCTTAATATGAGTTGATTCGTGTTGTCGTTATTGTAACTGATAGAAAGTAATTTAATTACAAAGTAAAATAAGTGAAATGAACACAAAACCCTGATAGGATTAACTAATTTTACTACACTATTTATATATTTCATTTCAATTGTTATGGGAAAGAAAAAATTTTCACCGTAAATGTGATGCCCATCTCATCGGGGCATCGCTGATATTCTTTTTTTTTCAGAATTCCTGCAAATAGTCAAAATTTGAAAATTTTCATAGTGGGACTTCTTAATCCTTTCTTTTTCAAAACCTTCATGCAGCTGTTTCTGTGAACAGTATGATCAAGTATCGGTAAAGGGCTCGATGAGTTAAGCTATTAGTTGGGATAGCCATACAAGTTAGGTCATAAGAGCTCGAGCATTGCACGATGGTATATACATGCTCTTGATTATAATTAACAGCGGGCTGAGTTGAAATGGTTTTCCTAGGTTATACTATGTTGTGCTAGAATGTAATATAAAAAAAAAATGCGTTCCATTATGTTATGTTAGTGTACAATATATATATTATAAATGTATGGTATATCAGAAACAGTGTCTCTACTGCAGGATGTGATTTAAATAATATTCTATAAGAACAGCAAACAATCTTTCAAAGTATCCTTACCATTCTTGAGAATAACATTCCTTTAGTGATGTCAATAGTCCTGAGGTACATCATAATGCCAGTGCAAATGCAAACCTTGCTATATGGCAATATGGCCGGGACTTCATATGGCATTTTCCGAAACTTTGTATATGCCATAAACAAATATAGTTGAAAAAAAAAACAAACAAACTCTAGTTTATTTCATTATGCCTGTGTTCTTAAGATTGCAATCTTTGAACAAATTTATCCTTGACAGCGTCACATAGATCAATCAAGTCATCCAGACCCTTTTGCAAAGCATCAACAGCTGTAATATTACCATACGTCTGTATTCTCAGGTTTAGCAGTTCTTCAGATGGATGTGGAATAGAGTAACCGCAGAATTCAACTTCTGGATTCTTCATAATGATATACCTTAGTGCATTACCCAAAGTATGATCTTCTTGTGCGATTTGGAAAGAAGCACAGGTACCATCTTCAGATGTGGCCTGTGGAAGTAACTTTATCTTAGTCTTTAGAGACTCTTCCTCTTGGTCCTCAATGTCTTCCTCTTCGACATTTTCCAAAGCACCTCCATTGGTCATCTCAACATCTTCTGATTCGGCCTTCGCTATCCTCTCTTCCGTAGACATTGTGTAAGTTTATAAATATGTATCTGTTACGCTTGAATTTCCGTTTTGCGTATTTCAAATGCTCAGAAAACACCAACTTTCAAAAACCTCTTCAACCTAACACTTATATTTGTGCTAACAAAATGTTGCGCTCAGTGGGAAGGGCCCAACCTCATCGCAAAATAAAGAATTTTTTTTTTTGATTTTTTTTTTTGGCAGAGAAGGACTATCATATTAAACGTATGTCACGATTATTATATCATCCAACGAGAGAACTTGGCATGTTTATCCAAGGATCTTGAGAGAGCATTACCCGGACAATAGCTCTTGTTGCCGAAAGGGAAAAGAATCCCGATTTTTTTCAACAGTGAAAAAGCCGGGTAATATGCGCGTCAGAGCAGTTACTGCAGTTTCTGTGTTGAGATGGAGCGTACTCAGGCTTTTTCTAGCCACTTCAGTCCTCGTATTCTGTATTACTAGAATATGAAACATGGGATGCCGGCAATGAAATCCTGCAGAGAGCTTCTGGCATAAATGGTGTTGCAAACAACAGGATGCGGACGTTCGATCTCCTCTTTTTTTGTCTTCACACTAACGAATATGGTGCACTCTTGTGTTTTGACACTGTAGCGTACGTAGCTCCTATATGCCAAGGTTGATGTACTTCTTTTGTCTGTGAGAATAGTGTATAAACCCGGAGAATGTGTCTTAGTGGATGCTGCAGAATAAGAAAAGAGACGCTTCAAGATACACAACCTGTCCTGTGTGTTTAACCCAGTGCTGAGCAATACAGATTGCATTACAGCATTATACGTAAAATGAGTTACCAGAGGCGAAGGGGGAATAGGAAAAGGTATAACCGGAGGCCTTAGTGAATTAAAAAGTGAAAATAACTTCAAGGTTCCGCTGTGCCGAGGACTTGGAGCGGGGACACAGTCTTTTTCTGACTTCGCTACGACGATTGCCATTGCGTCCCACCCCACATATAATAAAGATCTTTAGTACAATGCCTGGGGCAAGATAATAGGAAAAAAAAACAAGTCCCCCAAACCCGGGCTCTCACAAAAACGTAAACCAAAATTAAGAAAAAATAGGAAAAGTAGGAAAAAACGCTGGAGGGAAAAGGCATTTATTGATAATGGTCCAATACTATCATCCAACTATTTGTGATGCTGCTGAAATAGGATCCCATACCAAGAAAGAAGAAAATTTATTGAAATAAGCAAAAAGATACATCACGAGCTAATTGATTTACACTTTCCAAGCAAAAAAATGGTAATAATGAACTGTCACAACTAATTCAAAAATAGTATATGACCCTGCTATTACTATAAATTGTAGTTAATTACTAAAGGAGAAAAAAAATCTACCTGAGAATTGATATAAAATGTGGTTTGAATACTTGTTTTGTTTTAAAGTTTATACTCATCGATTGCTTCCTTGATAAGAGATTGTTGGTGCTGCGCTTTCAATGTAAGGGACAATCAACGCCGATTTCCTTTAACAGGGCTCACTTACTGTCCATGTAATTTTTGCCCGGTTTCTTGCAAAGGGAAAAAACACAGAAGAAAAATTTCTGCGAGAAAACATACAGACAAAGTAGTGCCTAGTTACGAAAAAGAAAAAAAATTTGTGCACTTTTCTTTTTGGTAACTGAGAATTTAGTCTCTAAATGTTAAAATATAATATAGTATAGTAGTTTTAGAATTGTAAAAAACCATAAAGCAAGCCATATACTTTAATCGCATTAATTTATACATAAATACAGATCTTATGATAATAATACCTTTAAAAGAAAAAAAAATTTAATAGCAATTTTTTTTCTGGATGAAAATATAACAAAAATATAATGTATCATTAATAAGTGCCGACTATCAAAACCATAGAAATGGTACTATACAAGTTACCATTCGGCTATGAGCTCAGAACATAGAATGATGTTTATTCAGCTATATTTTCCATGCCAATCATGCAGTTACAATTAATAGTGGTTCAACTGTTTAATAGCTTTTACAACAATCAGTTGAAAAGGTATATCGATTGTGCCAAACATATTTTTTATCAAACACTAAGAGTATACATTAACAGCAGTGATTACTCTAAAAGACAGACAAAAACAAACAACATTGAATGTTCAGCTATGAACTCAATTATCTCGTCGAATGGCTATTACTAACTTTGTATATTTTACTTGGATGCAAACCTCCAAACATGATAAAACGTTTATTCCAACAGCAGTCATTAACTCTAGATATGTGAACGCCGGCAACAGCGAAAATATCAATGAAAAAAAATTTACTGTTAAGTTGTCTTAACTTATATCGAAATCTGCAGTCAGGCTGCTTTGGAAAGACGGCACTTGGATTTCAGGCAAGTCAATGCCTTCTTAAATTCAGACGTATCTCTTTAATGGAGGTATTCATGATGAACAGACAGCTAACAATATACAACGTGCTGTGATGATTTATACTGCATTAACAAGAGTATTGGTGATTCTTTTTTTTTTTTAAGTATACGGAAAAACTATGACATTAAAGATTAAATATAATTTGTGAATGATGAAACACGAAATTATGGTCGCCAGTAAAGGACGATGAAATGAATATTAGTGAGAAGGAAAAACTACAACTATAGCCCTGAACTTATACAATTAAGTTTCTTTTTTGGAATGAACGAATATCTTCTTAACAATTGCATGTAGATATTGACGGCCTATATTACCATTCTACCCAAGTACACATGGAGTATATGTATTGAGTGGGGAATCCGATTAAGGTTGACGAGTTCTCTGGAACAAAATACACCACTAAAATGAACTGCCAATAAGTTTTCAATAGATGTGAACATTTTTCTATCCAACGACTACTACTTTCTGAGTTTAGTAATACGTGGCACATATTCGCCTAGCATTGAATATAGCACTTAAAGGAACAAAACTAACTCAGTGCATGGAAATTCTTGTAACTATCAGTTACAAATACTTAGATTGGGTGATATTGGTTCAAAACGAGGGTTATTGCTTAGCTTTAGGTTAAGGAAGATTTTGTTTGCTTATACCCCAGTACGTGAATTCATTTTAAAACGAGATAGAAGCTTGCTTAATTCAAAGTATTGATAATTGTTACAACGGGGAATAAACTTTGCTCTAATACTGCAATTAAAGGAAAGATGATGGTATGCTTCTTATTTTAGATCCTTAGAACATGTAAGGTCCTAATAGAAAACGAAGTGTCTTCAAATATGTTAGGTGTTCACCGAAAATGAAGATTAAAATATTCGCTATTATTAATTTGATGATTTACCCCTACCCTTGATACCTTTGTTTGAATATTTGTAAAGCGATGCAAAATATGATAAAAGCTCCATCTCATTTTGAGAGATGTTGTTCTTAGTCGGATCAGGATCCAATAAAGCAAGCTTTTGTGTTAGTTCTTTGATCGTTTGTGGGTGGTACTTATTTTGATGTGATTTCATGTTTCCCAGTTGCGAGAACCTTTTGAAGCAATTATCAAGCCTGCAAATATATGGCTTGATGGATTCATGCGTAAATTCATGAGCAGTTAGGTTTCCCCTTCTGGCAAACGTTTTATCACATTTATCACACTTAAATGGCCTTTCACCTGTGTGTAGCCGTCTGTGTGTACGTAGATTACCGGCTTGAGTAAATCTTTTACCACAAAATTCACACTCAAAAGGTTTATATCCCATGTGGGCTTTTATATGAACGTCAAGATGCGTCGATTGCGAAAACATTTTACTACAGTACGCACATTGATATTTTTTAACCTTTGGCCTTTTCTTTCTTGGCTTAGCGGGTTTATCTGGATTATTTGAGTCTTCTGGCTTCTTTATGTGTTTGGTGTACCGACCTTCTGGCTTTGGAACACCGCCCACAAGTTGAGCAGCATTTGGAAGTAAAATACTCTTTGAAGCATCATCATCTATTAACAAATCACCGTCCTGAGTTGTTGGTACTTGGCCCATGAATCCCTTTTGTCTTGCTTCTATAATCAACATCAATTTATCAATTGAGGTGGCACCCAATTTGGGACTCGAACTCTCATTAGGATCTTTCTGAGGTTGAAGTTCACGGTCAGTAACACCAACTCTATTGAAGCTGTCTATTTTACCTGGCACTGATTGACTTTTGCTATGCCTGGCAACATCAAGTGGCCCATTCTTCTGAGCCATTGCTTGTACAGCCTCATTTGAAAGAGTAGATGTCCGCTTCCCTAAACCAACCTCGTCATTATACCGTGCAGTCGCCAAGGGTAGTCCACTGGCCTCAATATAAGGTTTCAGATTCTGTGGATTAAATTGGCTGCTGTCAAAATATTCTGGATTTAACTGTTCGCTCGTTGTGTACATGCCATCTTTAAAAATCAAATTATTGTTGCTGCTGTTAATGCTATTATTTTGTGACCCAGCCGGTAGACTGTGTCCCTCTATTGGAAGTTGCTGACGATAATTCTTATTATCATGTGCAAAATCATTAGATTGATCAAACTGTAATGAGGATTTCCTTTGTGTGTTATATCCATATGTCGAATATGGCGTCGTAGCGTTTGCACCAGCACCATAAAAATTTCGATCGCTATTTACGTTTTTTTGGATCAGTGGGTTCATAATGTTTTCATACCCAGTGCTGACACTGTTCGTGTAAGGCCTGAACTGCTGTTGAGGTTGCTGCTGCTGCTGTTGTTGATGAGTAGCAGTTTGCTGATGAGCTTGATTTTGAGGATATGACTCTGAACTCGCATTTTTTGATTTTAATCCTCCAACAGTATTCTCCTTAGTTCCCTGTTGATATAGATATTGACTATTTGTAGGTCCCATTACGCCCTGTCCAACAGAACCACCACCTGGCTTCTGTGAGTAGTATTGCGCCATGGAATCTATTTGTGGATTGACAAAACTGGTTCTAACATTTTTATTATCCACTGGATTAAAGACTGAAGCTGGATTAAGAGAACTATCAAAATTAAAAAAATTATTATTCGGGTCATCTAGCTTGGCATAGTTATTCGTTGAACTAATTCCACTAGTACTGTTCTTACCGTAGGGAGTATTGTTGTTGTTTGCTAATGGCTTATTTATGTATGGTTGTTGATTGAAAAACATTTGATTTCTCACTCTAATAGTAGGTATGTCTCGTTGTCGCACTTCAAAGTTATTGGGTGGATAATTTTCACCACTTTCTGGATGGTCTGTCATAGAGAGAACTGGAAATGAAACTGAATAACACAAACAAAAAATAATTTCAATAAAGTTTCGAAAGTATACCTTTTCCTTATTTGATTTCCAATAGGATTCACTTTTCGTTCTCTATTTATTTAATCGTAAATTTTTCTTTTGTTGATTCTGTCTCCAGATTAATTAGTATATCTTAGTGTTAGCTTGCCTATCGGAATCTTTGAAATGAAGGAGTGTAATTTACCATGAACCGATATACTGGTACAGATGGCAAATGGAATGAGTATGGGGGGAATTAATAATATAATGTAATGTTACAACTTGTGATCGATCTGTGCTTCTAACCGTATTGGACTCAAGGAAGAAGAAGATTCAATAGTTTATTTCTAGTGAAATACCAGAACACTCAATATCAAAAACAACTATAAAAAGAAAAGTGAGCTTTCTTATTTCTTATGTTGAAATGGAAGCAAAATCCTTTTGGGGGCGTGATGCTTTATTGTTTATTATATCAAAACGATGACCTTGGTGAGCCAGATTTGTTAGTGAAATTATCAACTCTGGAACGTAGATAAACTTTTTGATCGTTGTCAAGGGGAATGCATATAGTTATTAACCAAAGGCTACCAGAAAAGACTCCAGATATTAGTAAGGAAGATGTTTTTTTGGGCTTGTCAATAACCTAACCTATCTTTGAAATGAAGGCTTTGTAAGGATTTCCAGTTTATTTCCACAGTCAGTATTGATATGAGTTGTTTCTAGATCTTTTCTAAAAGGATCAATGTCTCCTTAATTCGCGATATCAGTTATTAAGTATTAAGATATTAATGAGTAATGGTTACAGAAGAAGTGACGATTAATGATCCTTACCTTAATGCTTTCCTTATTTGCCGGGAATCAAACTCGGAGTACAGTTAAGGGCTCTTTTTTTGTATTGCTTTTTATTGCCTAATAATGAAACGGCCAATAAATATCCCCTTATAATGTAGATAAGAGCCTAATGTATAGAACTCTGATAATTATAGTGACCGCTGATCAGTGGCTTAATTTAAAATTGGCAGGTCTATTTTGCCCTTTGATGATGTCTTTTTAGTACCTTTTTTATTATCCGAATTAAACTTAGTGGATAACAAAAAACCGGTGAAAAAAAAAAGGTCCACAAAGGAATTAAGAGAGATGCACGGAAAATGTAATGAATTTTCACAAATAAAAAAAAAGAATAATAAGGATGCCAAATAAAAATTAAGGGTTTCTCCCACTTCTGATAGACCAAATAGACGCTTGTTAAAAAAACTTGTCTGCAATGTATATTATATTATATATGAAGAGGTTACAAGAAAAAAAAAATATGGAAGATGATCCGTGATTTCAAAAATAAAAGAATTAGAAGCTTTACGACCTTAGAATTTCCTTGATCTTTATCACAAACTTCCTTTATATTACTTATCATTTATATTTATTTCTACATTTTTTTTTTGATCAGTAACCATATGAACAGTAGTTGTTTTTGTTATCCTTCCACAAACATTTTCTCAGCTTAGTAGATTCAACACGTATTATTATGGATAGTCCATGTAAGATAAAGATATGTCCAAAATCGAATGAACTGGAGAGGATAAAAAAGTCTTTTATTTACTCTTGATCATTACAGTTTATGTGATTATAGAGGTGCTGGAAAACCTCAGCTAATTTACCAGTATAAGTGTCTGTTCTCTTATGAATTTTTAATCTGTTCTCATTGAATCAATATTGTTTCCCGTGGCACTCTAGAACCCAGGCAAGAACCTCCTTAAGCCATTTTTCCTTTTCTCCCTAACTTCCTGTACCCTCATCTGCTTGCAAAGAAAGCAGCGGAGAGCCAATGTACGATAGATACACTTTTCGATTTATTTCATTCTGTATTCTTTTAGTAATACTTATCTTCACTGAACAATATCTGTAGAAGCTGGTTTTTATTTTTTTTTTAAAAGAAAACTCTAAGTCTCTTTTTTTTTCTTCTATGAAATTTTTTTATTTGCTACGTCTCTTGTATTCTAAAAAAACTAATGCTGATAAATGCGAGGAGTCGAAAGTCTTTACGATTTCCCAGAGAAAGATGCTCTACAATAGATACGTTTGAATACTTTTCCTTCCTGGATGGCTACACCTTATGATCCTTTTGTTTTTTTTTTATTATTGCTAGTTTTTTTTTTTTTCCATGGACTACATCAGGCGAAGAGAGAGCACTGCACAGAACAACGAAAAAATATAAACAAAAGATATTGTAAACTTTTCTTTTAAGTCATATCTTCATTTTAAAACAGAATATCCGCTCTGCTCAGTTATCCTTGCTCTTCCAAGGTATTCTTTGTTAAAGAAAAACTCTACAGGCAATCTTCAAGGGTGATTCCAAAGATGAAGACGGAGGGAAAAACTTAATATCATATGTCCGCTTTTCTTTTACTCTTCATGCTATTCGACACTAATTGCTCCCTCATTTGGTGTCTTTGAAAAATTTTTTCCTAGTCAAATATCACAAATGTAAAAATAGAAACATCGGAAGATCTTTATTAATGTGTTGGCTTCTTTCCATTTATTGCAATAGCGAGTGCTAACCCGAATACTCATGGAATAGCTACAACTCGAGTTCCAATTAAAATACATAAGGATTCGCTGGGAACATTGCTAAAAGGAAGACCACAAATATCCGGAAAATGGAGGAAGATATTTGTCTGTTCGATTTTCCCTCTCTTGTCTCTTGAAGAAGCACAAGTGGTGTACCGCTATCTTCTCCCCCTTCCTTTCTGAGTAGTGTCTCGTACGCGCTTCTCACAGAAATTTTTCCTGGTTTCCTAGTTTTCTTTTTGTCTTCCCAAAATTCTTACCGTCCGGAATGGACTTCCATTGTGTACACTGAATACCCCCTACAAATATTCATTTTTTCTATTTAAGAGAACTACAGTATTCTCCTACTACTATAATATTAGTAATAAGGGAAAAGGAAAAAAAAGGAGAGAAAAATAACACAAAATATAGTGCCATCGATATTCCAGCAGAGCGTACCACGTAGAAGCCTGATTATTGGCTATAATGTTCTTTCTTTCTTTTTCTCTCTTTTGTTTGATTTCACTTGGTTTTCTTTCCCAGTAATTCTTTCCACCAGGGTGGGTTCCTCTCTTTTCTCAAAGGATGGCCTAACCGAAATTCTACAGGAAACAATGAAGAAAAAGGATGTCACGCCATAGTCAAGCTGAGACTCTGTGGAGAGGCATCCGTGGAGACAAACCTCTGCCTCTGAGAGAGAATTTACTGTGCTTTGGGGGCTACAGAGAAACACCACTAGAGCCATACCTTTTATTACCTACCCGGGATCTCAATTTTTTTCTAACAAAATTCGTGGAATAGAATGTACTTGGAAATATTGGACAAATCTGCTATGAATTATCCTGAGGAAAAGTAGTGCGGAGATGCACTGTATTTAAAATTGAAATTTAATGATGCTCTTGTTCTATTTTATCTGTTTGTCAACAATCTTTGATTCGCTCTTTCTGTAACATCATGCAGGGACACCCAGAAATTTTTGTACAACAGCATAGTATGTGGATCCTGAAAAAGAAATTGTCCGTTGCGAATGTCCAACGCATGTCTGAGACTGGGGAGGCGCGTAAGGCATCCCCCCACTCCTAAGTCCCTTCCACTACAGCAATAGGAATAAGTAACAGGAATAAATAAGTTCACACGTACCGTATTTTGAGTGATGGCACATATTAAAGTGGTTAACAAAAAGAAAGGAATAGTGCGCACTTCCTCACTTTAATGATTGGGCTTGTTACTGACCCGTAAGCTTTGAAATCTACCTATATGTAAAACTAGCATCATAAGATCAGTTACTACCCTCCTTTGACATACAGAGCCAGTAATTAGTACATATTATTTGTACAATATACTACACATAATTCATTGTACAGCAACTGCGTTATTTATTATTCAAGAATTGGTGCCCAGAGGGATGTACCAAGCTGAATATTCCTTCATCATTTGAATCACCAGCAAACAAAGAAACGCATCGCTATTTTGCATCTTACTAGGCATCGAACGCTTATTGTTTTACAAAAACACGGAGGAAATACTGCATCAGCAAAATTACAACATCGTGTAATACCAATTATTTACAAGATTTCTAATTAAAATACAAACACATACTCAAATACAAAGGTATCGACTAGTTTATTGGCAGTGATTTTGTGATTTCCGTCTCGAATGGCCTGTAAGAAAGGTATTGAGAAAGTACCACTGCTAACATCTTGAGAAACGATATGTAAAAGTCGGTATGAAACAATCTTCCTTAAATGTTACTCCGATTCCAGAATATCCGATGAGATAAATTACTGGCTGGTAATCATCAGTTTCTCAGCATCAAATTCAGTTAGTGCATTCATAGGAACTACATTTTTCTAGCCTTGATCTGCTAATGTAGATTCATGAAGTAGAGATATTACCACAGATGACGTTTTGGTAACATCATAAATTCCGAAATCTACTTCTTCCGCCTTCTATAGTATCGCTTGCATGACTTATTCGATAATTGCGGTACCAAAATTTTTTATTACAAGCAACCATCACAAAACAAGAACTTTGTTTCGGACTACACAAACGAATTCCATACTCGCTTGGTAAAACATCTTCATTTCCCCATTGTATTGTAATAAGGAGTTACTCTGAGAAGCACCAATTAATGAAGATTCACAAAAAAAAACATAGTTATGATATCATCGTGATGCAGTAGATCATGTTAATGATGCGAAAATATAGCAGATCTAAACTTTCTATAATAATGATACGAATTATTGAGGCTCCAGATACTGCACTTGTATCTGTGCCAACGCTAATTGAAAATGCTGTGCCAAGAAATAATTTCTGTTTTTTTCTTTTCCAACTTTCAATGCCTTCTATTTTCGTAATATGCAAAATTCGAGTCTTCGAAATATACATGTCTTCCAAACATTCGTGCAACCGGTTTGCAAGCAATTTCAAAAACATCTTAATGACGTAGTGCTGGCATAGAAACTAGATTGGTCCCGGTGCAAGGTAGTAGATTTCAACAACAGGACGAGAGGGTCACCATGCAGCTCGTCTTGGCTCGAAACTTTCGTAGAAGCTTCACATCTTCTTAAATGAAAGCAAGTACAACCACTCCTAGTTTAATTAACTTGCTCATAATTAAGTTTCCATGAGTTGTGCCTAGGGTTCCTTTGCAAAACACAATACCTTGCATACTTCTTCCATCACTATTTTCAAGATAACGTTGGTCTTGAGATAACGCTATCATGTTCATACTATTACTTTAGAATGAAACTTCTTTCTGCGATAAAAACGCCAACGATAAGAAAGTTAAGGTCAATGTCATTGCATAGATAGCAGACTAGCAATGTTAGATTTCCACACATCTTATATTATATCCATTTTATCTTTTTCCGCCTGCACCCATTGGATTAGTGATGGTACTGACTACAACAAAAACTCAAAGTTAGCTCCAATAACGTCAACACTTCGAAAATAATCCATTGTTTCAACAAATACTCGAATTGAGCAGTCATAGACCAAATACGGTAGAAATATAATAATTATGTGATGAAAAAACCAACAAACCTCAGGTAATTGAATTGGAATTAAAGATTTTAAAGTGAGATAAATTAAAAATTAATCAGACACAAATATCAATCTGCTTAGTAGCCATAGCCATTACGTTGCATTAGAGATCGTGACATCATGGTGTTTTACCACCAGAAGATCGTTGACTAAACACGCATGCTTGCTAGTACTATCCTAGTTCCGCGAATGCTTTCATTTTAAGTCCTGTTAGCCTATTATCAACACTTAACCCCAAACAAATATACAAACTCGCTCGATAATCATGCTCGTATTCAACACCCAAACTATCATTGAATAAATTTGATAGGGTTTCAAGTTATAACGGTAAAGGAACAGGAAAACCCAAAAGTTGCAATTGACTGAAGGAATGCAGGCTAATATTCAACCTTGATAAACCAACCATAACATCCTGCTATGGATCTGAAAAAAAAATTAACAGAAATATAAAGAAATAATTCTTTTAATTTAGCAGTATTTTGGTCTAATTTTCTGAGCGGTTGTATTCAGACTACTAAAAATACCACACAAATTTGAAGCACATATTAACTGGTAATTAACATTGGAGAGAGATCCATTAGATCATAACCACAATTAGAACTTACATTTTCAGATTGTTCTTTTCCGCTCAAAACATAATCCTTTGCTGAAAGTGTAAAGCTAATACAGAATAGTAATTACAATAGCGGCTTTGATGTATTTTACTCTACCTTCTAGTACTTCAGGACACTGCTTCTCGATAGGCATCCCTTATTCTAATCACCATTTTTCAGTAGAATACAACGTCTTCATTTAAAATCTATTATCCAGCATATTGATAAAGATTTGTTACGAACTGATTTGGTTCAGCAGAACAGATGATCGATTTAGACACTATTATCGACATTTTAAGGAATTGATATTACGATATTGGAGGTAGAATGTTCTCTTCATATTGTAACGAAGTAGGCCAGAAATCAGAGCTGATCAAGTCTAAAGTTATGCCTCCAAGACAGATACTTCAACTTTCACTTTCTAGACCAAACCGAATGAATTTAACGCCATTTATATTCCACACTCATTGCATTTATTTGTTCTTGATTCAAATTTGAGCAGCATTTTAATTTTTTTGGAAGGTCATTTTAAACCGGCTGCCTCCTATAGTATTGACAGTATATTACTTAGCCACTAATGCTGTTCATTAGGAAAGTATTTGACCAGTTAAGCCATCACTAAGAATTGATATGAAGAGATCGGATCTTTAGCTGCCCCGTTTCAGAAATATTTTCACTATCTGAATTTGTTATATAATCGCCTACTTTAAACATGGATATTACATTTTTAAATTGGCAAGAAACAAGAAGACCATCAGATAGTTTGGCTTAAACCTTCCAACTTCAATAAAAAAGAAAAGGTCAGTATTTTATCATTTATAGGAGATAGTGTTCATGGAAACAACCAAATACCTCTAAAGATCTCTTAAATGTGGGATTCCTAAATGCTTTTCAGTTTTTCTAATATTTTTCTTTTTGCAACACATTTGGAGCTGTCACTTTTCTTATTTTTGTTCTATTTTCGCTCTTAACATATAGTATTCCTCAAAATCTTAGAATGAAAAGATGGTTGTCTTTTTGGTATATCTTCAATATGTTCTTTTCTTCTTTTACATTTGAGAGAATAGTATTAAGCCACTGTATATTTCAAGGTTAGGACTATTTTGCGTTTAAACATATTACTGTTATAAATGACTGAACTAAATTTGTCAGAAAGGTCATCGTTAAATGTTTCACAATATACTTTCTCAAACGATAGTGAAAGCTGTCAAATTATATTGCTCATTTATTCTTGGTAAGACTGGTTTCCCCCCAAAATGTACTGTACATATGTGATACCCAGATTCTTGAAATCAATTTTTAGAACTTACATACATTAAAATGACAGTAAATATAGACATCAAGATTTTGTATAGCATTAATGTGATAACTTATCGTAGCTATAATCGTAAAATAACAAAAATGCCCAGTGTCAAAACCATATCTTTAATTCTTTTTTTTTTCTGACTGAGAGGAACGGAATATTCTATTTATGTTTTATGGAATTGAATCAGTTATCACTTTGATGTTACTATTACCTCAAAGTACAGTCATAATTTTTTTTAGAAGATGAAATTAAACAAGGTGCTAACCAATAACATTTTCTACAGAATTTACAATCCCACCATTTGTTATTATACTCTATTCCGCACAAACGCTGCCTGCATGACTACATATTCGAAAGGAAAATCATCGCCCAAACAAATGACACAAAGAGAAACTGAAAGATTGTAGAAATAGTCACTCACGTGATTACAACACCTATAGTTTTTTACATGACGAAGAGAGCACTTACCATAATTGTAACTGAATAATAATGAGCTGGCTAAGCCGTCAAGATACTGTGGTAGACTTCAGGACTCATGTGTAGTGTTTGTACTTTGCATGTCAGAATTAGTACAAAGGTGGCTGTGTAAACGGGGTGTGCGAGAGTAGTCATTCTGAATGAACTGGCTGCTTGTCTGCTAGTTTGTCTCCCCCCACCGAAAGTGGTTCGTTAGAAAGTGGGTACTCTGGGATGAGCAACAGGAAGGGACAGAGCAGACCCTTAAAATTAAGCTACTGCTATGTTTACTTTCAAAATAAATTATAAACTGGATCGTAAACTGTCACCCCTTCTACTGAATTTTCTGTACATTCCGTATTGAACAATATTAATACCTAGGAAGGAGGTACCTTTTGATGGATAATGGGCATCGGATATGTCAATGACTATTGATAACCCATTTTTTAGCTTAATATTTCAAGAGCAAAATGTAAGTAGTAAGGGTTCAGCAATTAACTAAAGTTAAATATAATAAATACAGTCCAGATAGGATCTTTTTCTTTTTCACAAGAGGAAATCACAGGAGCCTACAAGTGAAAATACAAGCTAGAAATACCGCTATTCTGGAGCAATTCATCAAAAGAGTTTTTGTTGCTGACAATAAATCATAGCATTCTAGCATAGATCATATTTTATGCCTACTTCTATTATAGCAAGCGATAAGTCGGTCAAAAGCTTGCCTCAAACCAGTCTTAATCAATCTGAAATGAATGGTGACTATTCCAACGAGCAAGTTGACGAGCGTCAACTGGCTGTGTCTACTAATACCACTGTTGAAAATGAAAGGGAACCCTTGATTAATGTTCCTGAGTCAAAGAGGAACATTGGTGGTAGATATAGTTCAAATGAATGTGTGAACAGGGAGGCTCACGACAATGACAATCCAGCACTTGCTGTTGCTCATAATATTCAGGATAAACTTTACCAAATGCATAAGGATTATAGAGTCTTTATACATAACTCAAAATGGATCTTAAACTTGATGATCCTATTAAACACGATATGGCTTGTTATAACATTTATTAATGATTTCTTTTTCAATATGAGCTTGTTTGGTTATTCCAACAGGTATGGATCCTTTAACGATTTGTGTTTGATTTTTGTCGCCATTGTTGCTAATTCACTAAACCTATGGTTCAATCAATTAGGCCTCTATTCTTCTCTTGACGTGGTACAGAACATCTCCTTATGTCTATTGACACTTTTCAATCTGTTCCTTTTATTAATTGTGAAATATACACGAGAGAGAATTGGTTCTATTGCTATCTTTACTTATCTATGGACAGCATTTGCGTTTGTTATTGGATCAGTGCTAGATTTTTATTTGCTAAAATTTAACGATGAACTGTATAAAAATAATAACATTATCGCAGAGAGGGAAACACAAGGTCATGAACAGTATGATAATAAACATACGCTGAGAGAATGGCTGTATATTGCCATCAGAAGTGTGGCTAAGCTAGGCCTTTTGATTTTTATGGCATTTTATACACTCAATACACTACTTACTGCTTGGGACATAAGTCGTACTTCAAACACTGTGGTAAGTTCATACCCTTCGCAAATGGTATTTACAGAAGCTGCTTCATATGAAAACTACCACTGGGTTGATGACAACCATACTTACAAAATTCACATTACATGTTATGGAGATATCTTCAATAACACAGACCTAGACAACGATAACAACCAAGCCATTGTCCTATTTGAACACGGTGGGTATGATACCGGTTATAGATCTGGTACATGGATCCAGGAATTGTATCATTTGAATAGGATAAAGCGCTTTTGTATGTACGAAAGACCCGGCTACGGTCTAAGTGATTCTCCACCAGCACCTATCTCTATCTCAATGGTCGCTGAAGGGTTGAAGTATGCTTTACTCAACGAAGCAAAAATTAAGGGACCCTTTGTAACAGTTGGTTATGATATGGGTGGGTTGTTCACAAGGGTATTCACAGCGAAAAATATTGATATAGTACAAGGTATGATGCTAGTTGATGCCTGGCATGAAGACCTATTATTGAAAAATTATCTGAAAAGAATGCTGCCACCAGTAGATGATGACGATCCAAGCCGTAACCCTGATGATAGAAGCTGGCTTCCTCAGGAAATTGGTAGACATAATGAATTCAAATTATGGTGGCAAGGATTGTGGTCAACTTTGGGACTGCGTCTGCAATCATCATGGCTGGTAGCACATCATGGATCTAGAGATCGTATATTTGGTAGAGACCTTCCATATCAAGGAAGGTTCTTAAGGGCCAAATTCCTAGAGAGCATTACGAGCTCTATTTTGAGTTATAGGGATGTTATCAATAGCAATGACCGTCTCATAGATGTTAAGACTAGTATTGTAAGCTCTAAAGACATGGTTAAGAAATCATACAGATGGGGTAACTGGCAACGTGAGCTCACTAAGATTTCCAGAAAAACCCAAGAATGGAAAGTTGTTGACGGCGGTCATGAAGTTTATAAATACAATCTAGGTAAGCAACAGACACAAGATGTGCTGTTAAGGTTAGTTGGTGAGAAAGACAGGTATTAGATGTCTATATTTTCTTTTCTTTATTGAGGTGGTATTTCTCTCCATTTTAAGCCAAGACAGCTCTTTGTTGATTTTGTTTTATTTTGTTCCAGCGAACTTTTTCTTCATTCATCTTTGACTTATCATATTACTTAAGTTCGTCTCGTGGTTTTAAATGAGATAATTATTGGTAGTATTTTAAAAAAAATTGACAATACATAAAGGTTCATTTATACTCAACAAAAATGAATTTATTCTGTAAAAGCTAATTTAACCATTTTAAATAAATGCCGAATAAGTATTAAAATAAATCTAACAATATACTAAAATATGATAAGGTTAAGTGATGCTGATATCTTTTTGTTGATCCAGTAATCCGTTTAGTTGATCAACTAGCTCATCACCTTCACTATCTAAATCACTCTCTGATTCTGAATCACTATTATCTAAGGATGCTTCCAAATCACATGTTGACCGGCAGTTTGGACAAACAAATTGAGGGTAAGCTAACATGACTAACCTTCTCACACAACGGAAATGCCATGTGTGTGCACAGGGTGATATAAAAATAGCTTGACATGGCTTAATTTTTGATAGACAAATAGAGCAATCTTCTTCATCTGAACCAGTTGTCATCTTCTGTAGTTTTCTCATCTTTTGCAAAGCTTCCTTATTAAATGCATTAGCTTTTAATTTCCATGATCTGTTTAATTCAACTCTCATACGCACGCAACGATATATTTCTTCGGTACCACCTCTGAAATCCATACCCAATTGAAGTATATCACCGTCATGCAATAGCACGTCTTTGGATAAAGTGGATGCCTGAGACAATCTTTGATGATTCAAGAAAGTACCACTGGAGGACTTAATATCTTGTATGAACCAGTTACCTTGAGAGTCAACCTTGAAGCAGCCATGTGTTCTAGACACCACCTTTGACTTGAATACTACAGGATGATACTGTTCGGGAATCTTAGATATGGCTTCATGAACCCGTTCAGTATAACGTCCTATTACTAGTTGTGAACCAGGGCCAGCCTTTCTAATTACAGGTTCAAAAAATAATCCTTGATTTGTACCTGATGATGAATCAACAAAAGGTGTTAGTCGAAGGCTAAAAAAGCCATTCTTATCTTTTCTCTTCCTAACAGTTTCTTCATCTACAGCTTCAGGTCCAGGTTTATCAGTAGGAAGCTGTAGATTCAACAACTCGTCGGCATTTACTTGATCTGCTCCATAAACATAATGCCTTAAGTTTTTGTTATGATTGTTGATACTTGTGTTGACATTAAGTGAAGCATTTTGTTCACCATTGTGAACAGTATTTCTCATATTTTGAAAACTATTACTTGTGCTCTCAACATTAGTATCATGTCTTGCGGGATCATTCGAGTGTTGGAAAAACGGGTTGTTATTATTGCCAGGTCCTTGTATTAAGTCCTCATTTGCAGGTTCAGTTAAATCTATTACCATGTTATCTTCAGCATTGTTAGAAGATTCTGTCTCAGGATGACCGTCCAAATTTGCATTTGTGGCATCCTGAGCTTGTTCGCGTTGGGATGATAAGGAAAGTGATATTGGAAGATGGCAGTTGTCATGATTTCGTGTTCTTAAACTTGATGCAACATTATTATTGCTCATGTTGTTTTGTATTTGTCTTTGTAGTTGTACCTGTTGTTGATGTTGTTGTTGCCTAGAAGTTAAAGTAATGCTGGTGCCTTCATTACTAGCAGTTCTTGACCTGCCATTGTTAAGATCACCTGTTAATCTTCTAGCGTTGCCTGCTGTTTGTGTGACTACATTGGAAGAAGAAGTAGTTGGGTTTACCGTTCCTTGATTACTGTTACTCATGTTATTGTTATTGACCGTATTAGTACTGGCATTATTGCTATTATTGTTACTGTTATGCCTAATACCAAAAGATGTTAGCAAAGAGCTGAAACCGCTTGGACCACTACTCATATTGCTATTATTATGTGTTGAACCGTTCCGATTAGCTGAGTTAGGATTAGACTGGCTTCTACCAGTATCTTGATTTGAACTATTACTGCCAAACAGTGTGTTTTGGTTATTAGATCCCGATCTTTGTTGTCTAGATCTGTTACTACCCGAACTGGTTGGTGTACCAATCTGAACTGGAGTATACATCTAATTGCTTCTGTATGAGTGCTTCAAATAAATGTGCAACTAAGTATGAGGGTAAAAAGTCAGAATAAACTTGTACTGTAAATAAAATGCCTAATATAAGCTGCAATTAAGATCAACCTCCTCTTTATTTTCGCCTTCTTAAAGTTTAATTTTTTAGTATACAGTCTAGGATAGAAATCGAAATAACGTAGTAGTAAATAAAACTAAGTTTGTTATGCCTTGCTACCTTGATACCGTAACCACAATACAACTACTATCTTAAATCAGTTCTAGATCGACTAAAGCTCTGCTATTGAGTGTTTTTACCTGCGGCTCTTCTATTTTTTTTTCCTAGTTATATTGTTTCTGCAGACCCAGGAGTACTTTGTTTGGAATAAAATAAGAGCAAACAATACACAAAAATAAAAGCTCCTGAAAAAAAACCACTTCTAAAGTAGAAATCTCTATACTAGAATTTAATATTCAAAAGTTAAGAGCAACTCCTTTACGAATTATTATACAAACTAGATGAATCTTCTCGTCGATTGCTGCTTCAGTCCATCGTTACTATTAGTAAATTTGGCAAATTGTCAAGATTTCCCATTCTTGGTCTAACTCGTCATCTCGTTGAAGATCTTGTGGCTCCTATTCCAATCCGTTACTCAAACTCCAAGGGCACTTGAAAAATAAGTAAGGCGTGGAATGTCGTTATGCATGATAATAGTAATTATCTAGTATAATAGACCTTATAAGTGTGCGATCTTTATGTCGTTCTTCGTAGTTCAATGTTGGTTGGCTTTTGTTTGTTCGATTTTTATTGCTTAGAATAATAGAGAAATAAATTTATCTTCTCTATCGACTCTATCATGTCACGTTGTCTTGTGCGCGTTCATTACAATAATTCATTATATAAAATAGTATAATAAATTATTTTATGAACATAGTGTAACATAATACTAATATGAATATGAATATATTTTAATAGGAATATGAATAATTGTATATATTAGCCCCTGAATATATAAAAACAAATATTACAACTATAAACAAAATGATTAAAAAAAATAACACTACTAAAGAAATTGGTTCAACAAAACTTTGAAGACTGATAAAATATATCGTGATCAACAGGTATTGATGCAATTTCTATTAAAGCAAAGTTTCATTGAGGTATCAAATTTCAATTTTATCGTTTACCAGAAACGTAAAATCTAAAGCAATATCAATACCAGTGAATAACAATGAGGTGTAAAATAAATGGACGGAAACCATACTACTAAATAATGCCTATGATGTTGTTGTGGAATATTTTTAAAATAATTATCAAGTAATGTTCACAACTCACAACTCACAACTCACAACTTACTTAGATCAGTTGCAGATGAGTTAGCAGTAACAATTTCATCATATAGAAGCGTGGTTAAGAATTCACTGAACTTTTCACCTCTAATTTCAGGTAGGAAGTATTTGGCAGCAAGTGCAAATTTATTCTTATCACCCAATGGAGACTCCTTGGACAGTTTTTGAACACGCTCCTCTAGAATCTTTTGAGTTAGATCTGGTGTAACCTTGTCACCAGTATCACTTAGCTTTACACCATGGTGAACCCATTGGTATAATTGACAACGGGAAACTTCTGCTGTAGCTGCATCTTCCATTAAGTTGTTGATAGGGACACAACCAGATCCTCTGATCCAAGCTTCCATGTATTGTAGACCAATGTCCAGGTTTTGTCTAATACCGTCCAGTGTAACTGCAGCATCAGTGATATTGGTGTTAACCAAATCTTGAGCGGTAACTTCATTTTCAGGCACAAAATGAATTTGGTTAGGAGTGCCCATGTTAATAAAGACTTCGTTACAAATTGGAGCTAAAGCTGGATGGGCAACCCATGAACCATCATGCCCATTGGTCAATTCTCTGATTTTATCGTTACGGACTTTAGCTAGAGCCTTTTCATTTGCAACTGGATCATCCTTAATTGGAATTTGGGCAGCCATACCACCCATGGCATGAACACCTCTACGATGACAAGTATTGATCAATCTCTTGACATATGCATCCATAAATGGTGAGGTCATCGTAACCAAATCTCTATTTGGTAAGACATGTTCAGGTAGGTTTCTCAACCTCTTGATAGTAGAAAAGATGTAGTCCCAACGACCACAGTTCAAACCACTGGAATGTTGTCTCAATTGGTAAATAATCTCTTCCATTTGGAAAGCAGCAGGCAAAGTCTCAATCAACACAGTTGCTCTAATGGTACCACGTGGAATAGCGATGTAGTCTTGAGAAACATTGAAGATATCATTCCATAGTTTGGCCTCCAAGTGATGCTCCATCTTTGGCAAGTAAAAGTATGGACCTTTTCCTAGCTTGATCAACTCCTTTGCATTGTGGAAAAAGAACAAACCGAAATCAAAGATAGAAGCACTGATAGGTTCGTCATCCACGTATAAGTGCTTTTCAACCATATGCCAGCCACGAGGTCTGACAATTATTGTTGGAAGGTTTTCAAATCTGTCTCTTAATTTATATTCCTTTCTTGGAGTCTTAAAATCAATTTGGTTCCTCACAGCATCATACAGGTTGACTTGACCGTATATTTGGTTTAGCCAAGTTGGTGAAGCAGAATCTTCAAAATCAGTCATATAAGTCTTGACATCGGCGTTCAAAGCATTAATCAACATGTTTCTCAATGGGGGACCAGTGATCTCAGTAGATCTGTCAATTAAACCTGGAGCTAATGTAGGTCCCTGCCATGTAGGGTCATTTCTAATGTTAGCTGTCTCTGGCAAAAAGTCCAGCTTGAAGTTGCCGCTGTCTAATTTCTTTTGGACCTCTTGCCTGTTCTCAAGCAATTGCTTTCTTCTAGCATTGAATGTTCTGTGCAACAAGACAATGAACTCCAGGGCTTCCTTAGTCAAGATAGTCTTGACAGTAGTCTTGGATGGCTCGAATTGTGGCTTGTCATCAATGTCAACCAACAACTTAACGTTGTCCAATGAAATCTTAACCATTTTTTTAGTTTGCTATCTTTATGTTAATTTTGGTTTTTATAACTTATTGTACCTGTAGTCTATCTGATATATTTTATTTTAACAAAAAGCAATCAAAATACAAGTAATGTTATTCTTTTGTTCTTGCTGAAAAAATATATTGCAACTTGTAATATCAATCAATTGCTTTCCCTCTCTATTTGCATACAAAACGAATAATGCTCAATAGACTAACATATTCCACAAAAAATATAACAACCTTTATATACCAATTTTTTTTTCTCTTTCTTTCAGACAGTAGCAGTGTCTTACCAACCTATACAAGGATTCCCGAGCCCGGCCCCATCATCTTGCCTATGCTATTGCGCTACTATTGTCCTGCAGCTTCTTTCCCCTTAAAAAAAGAGAGGTTTTGTCTTAGTCTTCCAAATAGCCATCACGGTTCTCGGAATTATATCCGTAGAAGCGATCACCATCTCCTTCCCGTTCGGTAATAGAGCATTCTCCTACACGCTCTAACCAGGAGAGTTACGACTTACTCCCCGCCCCACCAGTACTTTTCGTATTGATGCTCATGCTGAAAGCTACCTTACGCCTAAAGCTCAGAACTTTGACTCTGTTTCAGCTTAGTCACTACTTTAAGATGGTTTAATAGTCATGGACCATAGAGAGGTACAAGATGTCTTTCGCACAGCTGCAGCTTTCTTTTGCCTGTCAATTTTTGGCGGTTAGCCCGCGAATTCGGAGTTAAGCAACTGGTGGACACACTGGGACGAAGTCATCTGTGCCTCCATTTAGGACTATCCTCGGGACTCCTATTACAAGTGAACTTGACTACTCAAAATACTATAATGCACTTCAATTGTATTAGAAAGTATGATTACATGGGGCATCGTAGCACAAAAAATTTCCTTTACTCCGGGGTCAGGGTATGACTATTACTTGAGTCTCTACGTGAATGTACCTTTTGATATTGATATTCTCTTTCCTTTTCCCTCTGTGATCTTGAACGCACAATCAAGTTTAGTGGTATTCTGCCTATCTATAGTCCCCCATTCATCCGAGATATTTCTCTTCTCTTCGATTCTCATCTCAAGAGTAACTCTCCCACCTTAATCTCTAAGGGGAAATTTGGTATATTTTGTTTTTGGGCTTTCCCCTCGTGCAACAGGTGTAGGGTAAGGGGTAGGGGAGGATGTCGGTTGAAAGGAAACTTTGTGATTCGCAATGTCTTTGGATTAGTGGCTAGATCCCTTTATTTCTGATTCTCGTAGATAGGGATATAATGACAAGTGAAAACATAAAATAGCCAAAGTAATATTGTACGTAACTCTCAGTTTATCTCAGGGTACGAAAGGGGTTTTACCTCTTTTTCTTATATCGATGGGCGGCTAATTTCTTTTCTTGTATTACAAAAGTTTGCAGTTCCTGCGTCAATTGTCAGCGGATTATTTGTTTTTTCATCTCAAATTGTGGAAATCTAGATCTTTTCTGGAATTACCACTCAGCTTCTGCCACTTTTATGTAGCTCAAAATGGAAAAAAAGAAGGGGGGAGGGGGGGGTGCACTAACGAAAGAATATTTCGACAAAATTTTTCTTTCTTTACAGCAACCTTAAGGTGGAAAAAAGTATAAATAGCCACAAGATCTCCCCGATTTTTTTGCAACTTTTTCCTTTCACAGATAAATTTCGGCGGCTAATCTTTTTTTTTTAATTTTGGTTTTTTTTCTTCGCTGCATTCAAAAATTTGTAATAGCCAAATTGCATTATATAATAACAACGCTTTGATTGGTAAGTCATATATATAGATACTTATCCACTAAGAGGAAATATATTTACTAACATATGACACACTAAAACATTTTAAAATTTTTTTTCTTTTTTAAACGATTTCATTAAAAGTAAAAATACCGGTCATAAACGGTCTGTGCTTGGGCCATTATTTTAGTTATACTATGCATTGCCACTAATGCCGCACAGTATCAACATTTATTATTTAAACGTAAGATACTTTTGGAGCGGTATAATAATATACGATACTCATGCTTTAACGTGTTGGACGATATGGTAGACTTTCTTACACTCTGGACCAAAAGACAAAAAAAAACAACAAAAAAAACAAAGAACGAGGGGAAGGGTTGGCCTTACTTCTTCTCAATACTGCACTTCACAATGACATGGAATATATTGTTCTTTATATCAGATTGATAACTCAAGAAGTCAGAACCATTTAGCTAATTGAGTTTTGTATTGTGTTTCTGGGGATACCATTACAATTATTGTTACATTGAATTTCTTAGAGGATATCTGTGAAAATTTAACCAGATAAAACTAGACCTTAGCTAAATCATAGTGGGAAAAGATATAATATATTGGTCCATCTCAAGATACAATAATCAAAGAGACATTTGAATCGCTAGATCAACTTTCAAAGTTTTAAGAGGAAGAGCAAAAGTTATATTACACTCATTTACATTCTAGAAATAACAAAGTTGATTTTTTTTTATTTGCTATTTTTTTGTCAAGAATTTTCTCCTGATAGACAATATAATAAGAAATTTCTTGAGCGATATATCCTTGTTTTGTGAGAATTGAAGAGATTCAGTAAGAGAGACAGAGACCGAGACAGATAAAGAAATCTGGAATAGATATAGGACTGAAAAAAAAAGATAAAGGCAGATATATATATAATATATTGAAGACATGTCATTACCTTTACGACACGCATTGGAGAATGTGACATCTCCTGAAAGAGTACTAGAGGATTTATTGGTACGTTTCATCATAAATTGTCCACCTGAAGACCTTTCTAGTGTTGAAAGGGAGCTTTTCCATTTTGAAGAAGCATCATGGTTTTATACTGATTTTGTAAAGCTAATGAATCCTTCACTACCTTCATTCAAGATCAAGGCATTTGCCCAACTAATAATAAGACTATGTCCACTGGTTTGGAAATGGGATATTAAAGCAGATCAGGCATTGCAAAAATTTTCGAAATATAAGAAAACCATTCCTGTTAGAGGAGCTGCTATATTCAACGAAAAATTGTCGAAGATTCTCTTAGTAAAAGGTACCGAATCGGATTCGTGGTCGTTTCCTAGGGGTAAGATCTCTAAAGATGAAAATGATATAGATTGTTGTATTAGAGAAGTAAAAGAGGAAACAGGCTTCGATTTGACAGATTATGTTGATGAATCACAGTTCATTGAGAGAAATATTCAAGGCAAAAACTATAAAATATTTTTAGTTTATGGTATACCTGAAGATTTTGATTTTAAGCCACATGTTAGAAATGAAATTGAGAAGATTGAATGGAGGGATTTTAAAAACATTACAAGGACAATGCACAAAACAAATGTCAAGTATTATTTAGTGAATTCAATGATGAGACCTTTGTCTCTTTGGGTAAGAAGACAAAAGCAGATTAGAAACGAAGATCAATCAAAGAAATATGCCGAAGAACAGCTGAAATTAATGCTGGGAATTACCAAAGAAGAGAATATAGATCCTGGAAGAGAATTATTAAATATGCTTCAATCTTCTGTACATTTCTCCACAAATTCCACCGACAGCGATGAACATAATAGTAATGAAGGTACTGATGATTCACCAAGATTTGATAATACAGAGACAAGTACAATCCCTATCAACAATTTCCAACAGCAACAACAACAAAGCCTTCCACCATCAGTTTTTCAAGGGTTTCCCATGCCAGTTAATGGCAGTGGCTACCCTTCCCAATTTCCTATACTCCCTCCGCACTTGATGAATATTCCAAACCAGCAAAGAGGAGTATTACCATTTATTAACGGTCCTTTGCCATTCATGCCATCGCAATTTCAGCATGCTAATATCCCTCAACATTCTCAACCCTTGGTAGGGTCAAACCCGCCAGCGATGTTTGCCAATATCAATGGTAAAAGTCAGGAATCTCAATCGAATGATTTAGACAACCAAGCTGAAAATTCCAAAGAGTTGCTGAACTTATTGAGATCAAAACCGAAGGAACAAGGCAAACCTAAAGAAACAATAACAGCAAAGCCAAAAATTAAAATTTTGAAAAGAGGCGAAAACTTATCATTAAACAACCACCCACAAAATGATAGCAATCAAATGATCAATTCATTGAAAAATTTTAAATTTGAAGATTCTGGGAATACACAACATGGGAACAACAACTCACCAGGAGTTTTTGCTTCGAATAAACATTTTGATAATAACAGTAATGGCGCATCCTCTCATTCAGATGACGATAATTTGCCGGACGAGTCATCAGAAAGTATATATGAAGATTTTGAAAGCAGTAGCGAAGGTACCATTAGCTCAGCTGAAAGTGATGAATGTTCAGAATTTGAGAAATCCGATGTCGAAGAAGCTGAACTCAAGAAAATTGGCAGAGATGAAGAAGACAATATTAGCTCTTCAGAATCTGAAGTACTAAAGGGAAATAATTTTGGAGTTAATAACGAGATTCCTTCGGTAATTCCTAATTCGGAAAGTACACGCTCTGTTAATGAATCAAGCAGTGTTACCACTCAAGTAGCAGGGCCGAAGCCAAAAGTCAAAATCTTAAAGCGTGGAGAAATTCTGAACTCACCTTCTCCCGCTAATACTCAATTTACTGGAGCTCATACTCAATTTAATGGAGCTAATACTCAAACTAATGATATAGCATCAAATCAAGGTAACCCATTGCTTGAAATGCTGAAGAATCCTCAAAATAAAGGTCAGAGAGAAACACTTAAGGCAGATGAATCTTTCAAGGGTGATCATGATGATAATTACTCGTCACCATTGAACTCATCAGGTAAGAATACCGACGATTCTAAGGCCCTACTTGACATTTTAAAACAACCCCACTCGACAAAGGCTGAGTCGCAAGCTAATTATTCGCAATTCTTGAGCTCACCTCAGTTATCACACGATTCAACTGACTTATTGAATTTACTAAAAACGTCAAGTCAGAATATCGAGTCTAATAACTCTACTAATGAACCGAAGAATAGTAACCCGCTGTTAGATTTACTTCACAGGGGCCAAAAAAGTCATGAGTCTCTTTCAACACAAACTGCCACTCCTGTCGAGACTTTAAATAGCAACAACTACCCTATGAATAGCCAATACCAAGAACAACTTTCAGAGCATAGCTTATCTTTGAAAGGTACTCATGACACCGATGCTAATGAAGAATTGATCAATATGTTAAGAAGGAATTCTGTGTTGAACACTTCAAACATGAACTCTGATAGCGATTTCAAGAACTTTTCTCCGATCAATAGGGATATTTTGGCTACCCCAGTTGAAAACAAAAACCAGTCATCAGCCACACTCCTTAATATTCTACATGGAAGAAAAGAAATGAATAATGCATCTGCTGAATTCTCATTAGATCCATCTCAGCATAATAATCGTGAACCATATGAAAATCAAACAGCGTCCCATGATCTCCTAAATATGTTAAAGAGCCCAACCATTGGACATACAGATGCGCAAAAGGATAGCTATATGAACCCATCCACAAATAGCTTACCCCAACATCAACAATCCGGAACTCCAGTAAATGAATCTGCGTCGAAGAACCTCCTCAATATTTTGCATAGAGGTTTATGATGATGATTTGCTAAAGCAAATTTGTTGGACGTTATTTCATGTTTAGTAGTGATGTTGAACGAACTATCAATAATAAATATAGGATAAATAATATAAAGACATTTTTAATTAAGTTATAACTTAATTTATTCCAAACTGTACTCTGCTAGAACTTCATTAAGTTCTTGTTCATTATTCTTTGGCCACGGCACATTCAAATTTTTTACGCCTTGCATAGTTACTATACACCCATAGCATAGATCAACGTCATCCCCCTGTTCCCACACTCTATCACGCAGTTGATAATATGCTGTAGTTTCGAGCCCAATATGAGAAGTTGCCCATTTTTCATGCAAATCCCTTTCCAATTGAGATTCTAGAGGTTGCCCTACATTCACTGTAATGTCTCGGAGCCATTTAGAAACATCATCATGAACAGTTGACTTACATATACGGCAGTGTTTTTCTCCGAGAGTAGCTAGCGGTTCATCTAATTTATCACCAGTCCTCAAAACAGTGGCAATGACATTAGAATATTCGCCTTCAATATCATTGAAATATTTACGGGCAAGTTCATTGATGGTCATATTTTTAGCTAATCTCTGATTTCCAATATGCTTTTCTTTCTTTAATTTATTGACAAGCAAACTATCCTGTAATTCATACTTTATTAAATATTTTGATAAGTCAAATAAAGCACAGTAAGCATCAACTTCTGTCAGGAGGATATCCTTTAGTGGATACAAATTTTTGAATCTTGATCCATAATTGACGTCTAAATTGGTAGTATTTAGCTTTGATGATATTTGCGCACCTCTTCCTTTAACAACGCAGGAAATAATTTCATCCGCAAGTCTTGTCATCGAATGGCCCCACAGAATTGCCTTCTGACCATTTTGGTATGCATATTTCTTCACCAGATGCTTAGTTACAAAATCAATTATATCCTCTTTTGTAGAACGATTTGGACAACTAGTCAGTACTGTTTGCAATGAGAGATTTGCGTGCTCGGACTCATTAATAGATACTTGTCTTCCTGTGAACTCGACGTTATGTAAGACAACCTGATCGATTAGCTCCTTATCAATCTCAAACATGCTGTCCAAACATAATGTGTGGAACCTAATATTATCTTTATTCTCTGAATATCTAACAGTTGATAGTTCCTTTATGTTTGACTGGATATTTGTTAGTAGCTCGTCATTAGACTCTCTGTAACATATAAGCACATCAACATTAAACCCTGTCTTTTGATGCTGCATCTTTTGTTCCAATAGAGTCAAATGCACAATATCTAACATCATTAGTGAGGACGATCCAAAGGAAAGTGGAATCAGAATAGTTGAATTCTTATTCTGTTGTTCAGCTTCTTCCGCTGATCTTATTTTGTCCTTATACATTACTTTAAAAATGTCTCTGTAATAATCATCGGACATCATTTGCTTTCTTTGCTTCTGCATGACAAATACCCTAAAGCACTCAGCACAAAATAGTTCCTTTCTAGAAATAACTTCCACCGCATTCTTATTACAACGTTGGCACTGTTCGGCAGTCATTTTTTTTTTATATTCTTATGATAAGCAAATATTTGCTGCTATTCAAAATCTTTAATTATTAATGCGTTTTTATCGTTTGGTCTGGCCTTTTTCAATACTATATAAGGACCTGCTTTACCTGATGTTGACAAAGTGGAACTGACACATTCCAATAACAACTATAACTTATGAAAGGGTCCTATTCAGATTTGATTCAATGATTCTTTTCTGAATTAATAATCATCACTTCTGTCACTAGCTCATCGCGATGAGCTTCAATTTTTTTTTTTTCTTGGTAGCTCACTTACAAATACGTTACCCGCATGTTTTTTTTCACAGACCACAAGAGTAAGTCAATCATCTGATTACATCCTCGTACACTCACATTTTCTGTTCTTGTGCCCACCAGTCGCAATCCGAAGTAGCTGAATCATGTACCAAATGCAACTTGGTATCGGTGATTGAAGTTTGAATTGGTATATCTAGCAGATGGTTTTATCAAGAATTATCTGAGGATTCATATTTGTGGAACCTTAGATAACCTAGGAAAAAAAAGAGGTACTGTCAGGTTATTCATTCAAATTGTTTCGAGAAATCTGATTTCAACTCCTGGATAAGTCTTCCTGTTCCCATTTGACTAGACACACGTTCTAAGTGAATTATAATTTAAGCATCAGTTGAATAGTATTTCAAAAGGTCTCGTATCTGGCAGAGAATAATTGAAAACAAAAGGGTGAAAATATGAGTTCTGACAGTAACACCGTTGGGTTTTGGGTAAAAAATAAGAAAGCAGTGGTCGCATCTGTTGCTACCGTTTCTGCCGTTGTGGCGGCTTATTTCTATTATAAGCAAGTACAGGAGCTGAAGAAATCATTGGATGATGGCAATGATGTTGGTACAGCATCATCTAAAGTCGAGTACAAGTATCTTATGATAAATGATGAGCCAGATATTGAGTTGATGAAATTAGCAGAGACTGCCGAAAAGAATGAATATGCTTCTGAATTAAAAAAGAGAGGTAATGCCTATTTTAAGGTCAAGGATTATGAAAACGCTATAAACTACTATAAGTTTGCTCTCCAGTTGAAAAACGATCCTGTTTTCTACTCAAATATGGCAGCTTGTTATATATCATTAGAGCATAATAAAGAAGCTATTGAGGCATGTAGCAAGGCTTTGGAACTCAACCCTGACTACTCTAAAGTTCTCTTGAAGAGAGCCGCAGTCTATGAAAATATCGGGAAGTTCGCTGACGCTTTGTTGGATTTAACTGCAGTGTCGCTAAATGGTGATTACAATGATGCTACCATACAACCTATTGTCGAACGTGTTTTGAATAAGCAAGCAATGATGGCATTGAAGGATCACCTTGAAGCTTCTGAAAAGAACAAAGTGCTACCTTCATACACATCCATGGCTGCCTTTTTCGGTGTATTCGATGCGGAAACTGATATTCCAGGACATGATGCTACTGAAGAGTCGGACAAAATATTATCGGACGCCTTGACACATTTATATAGTCAAACAAAAGAAGGATATGACAGATGCGACAGTGAATTTACAAAAGCAACTGAATTGTATAAAGCAAAACTTGAGAATGACAGAACAAATAGTGTTACTAATGAAAAGGCTGCTATTGCTTTTGAACATACTGCTATCCTGAGCTTTTTGAAAAACGATCCTTTAACTGCAAGAGAATTGGTTGATGAAGCAATCAAGTTGCATCCAAGACCAAAATCTTATATCTACCTTGGATTGTTAATGGCTGACAAGGGCTTGGATGAAGAATACTATAGTAACTTCCAGAAAGCTATAGATCTAGATCCAAATATGGCAGCTATCTATTATCATCGCGGTCAAATGAATTTCATAATTCAAAAGTATGAAAAGGCTGGGGAAGACTTCGACAAGGCTAAGGAATGTGATCCAACCAATATTTTTCCTTACATCCAATTAGCTTGTATGTCTTATCGTGAAGGACATTTTGATGATTGTGAAACACTCTTCAGTGAAGCTAGAAGAAAATTCCCTGATGCACCAGAAGTCCCTAATTTCTTTGCTGAGATTCTCTCCGATAAGGGAGAAATCGAGAAGGCGGCTGCTGAATATGACAAGGCAATTGAACTAGAAAGTAAATCAGAAAACATTCATGTCGGTATAGCACCATTGGTTGGTAAGGCCACCACATTACTGAAATATCCTACAGTGGAGAACTTCATTGAAGCTGACGATCTATTTGAACAAGCTAACAATGAAGACCCACGTTCCGAAAAGGCGAAGATGGGCCTAGCTCAATGCAAATTACAACAAGAAGACTTAGATGATGCTATTCGTCTGTTTGAAGAAGCTGCTATATTATGTAGAACATTGGATGAGAAGCTCCAGGCAACTACTTTTGCTGAAGCTACCAAAGTTCAAATGAGAGTTAGGGCGGATGAAAGGTTACAAGCCAAAACCATGAAAGCTTTGGATGAAATTCGTCGTAATGGTGGACAAGGATTTTGAATAAGCGAGCTCCTAAACCAGACTCTACTCTTATTTATCTACTTATGCCCACACATTATGATAAAGACACTAATTTTGCAATATTCAGGCATCCTTTCATACCCAAATTATTAGGTTGTTATTATAATAATTTGTTAAATGATTTGAGATATTTAACTGCTTGCCTTCTGAAGAGTTTGGAATACAAATACATTTATTTGACTTTGTTTATCTCTGTAAATATTATTTTTGTACATAACAATAAATCGCAGTTGCATTTGAAGAATATTAATCCTCTAGCATATCAATCTCGTTTTACGAAAAGTAGGAATCTGCCTTGAACGCTAAGTTGTTTTAAATCATCATAATAGAGGTGGAATACAAATTGTAGGGAAGTGTAGTGCTGTTAGTACCTAATATTTAGAGAACCTTGAGCTTAATACTTTTGAAGGATAAATATATCACACGTTATATCCTATCTTTAACTTCTAGATTTCTTCTTTAATTTGGAGAAAAAGCGACGATCAACTTTTACAATGACTCTATTCAATAATGCTATAACAGCGTGCACATCTCGATTGTTGAGTATGAAAACTATGGGGGTATCTTCTTTTGGAATGGTATTTTGCAGAACGCTGATGAAGACTCATAGGGGTGCTTTAAAAAGATGGCGTCAAACTAGTACTGGTTTCAAGAGGGGTATTGCAGGTAGAAAGCATGGTAATATTGGGTGGTCACATCGGTCTTTAAAAAGTCTTACAGGTAGAACTGATGCTCATCCTACACAAATGAAACGTTTGAGAAGGCTAATGCCTTATAAATAAAACTGTCTTGAATTGGTTTCACGAAAGACAGTTATTTGATAAGTTTATCGATAAGTTTATCGATATTCCAGTCAATACTACAAAAAAGCATTTAAATAATTAGGCTTTGTCATATCTCATGTATATATAACAGTAACTATGCAAGCATTAGCAAGAATTAGTAAATATTTGCGTATAAACAATCAAAATTCATTACTATAAATATCTAATGATTAAATTAAATGAAATTAATATTAATAGCTATGTAAATGAAATTTGGGTGACCAAATGTAAATGCCACTTATATTCATTACACAACTGTTATGCAGTAGAATTATTTGGGGATCTCTTGGGAGTTATTATATTCTTTCTCAATCCATTTTCCTGTGTCCTTATTCTTCTTCAATTCAGCGGTTGGGAAGTAATGGTAATTTGTTTTTAGTGAAATAGCAAAAGGCACATTATCAAAGGTCATCATCCGGATCTTACAGTATGTGTTATCGGGTATTTGGCGTACTACCTCTAAAAATTTATCAAGGTCAGGAGTTGGGATTTCATTAACATGAGTAATGAAATTAGTGGCTGATATACCATACTGAATGGCTGGTGAAGATTCTCCCCTAAATGTACAATACACCCCCTTTGGAATGTCAGACATAGCTTGTCTTACCGCATGATGAGGCTTTTGAAGTATACAACCAGCAAAGATAACAATCTGGTCAGTCTCATCTACTTGAACTGTTTTCATGTCTAAATCGACTATTTTACCATCTCTGACAACCTTGAAATGTAAGACATGGGAGTCGATATTTTCATCAGAAGCATGAACGATACCTGATAACTGATCCATTTCAGTAACAAGTTTATCATTAACAGATAATATAACATCACCTGTCTGTAATTTAACTGTTTCTTCGGTGTATGAAACTCTGGAGACGGTAATGAACTGGAGTCTATTATTAGACTCGGCTTCCATTTTTTGGATCCATTCCTCAGGAACACCTCTAATTCTGGCATGCAATATAGAGATAGACCCAAAACCAGCATCAATTATATGAACTTGAGGTTTCTTCCCTGACTTTAATATATTGATAACATTCTTACAATCCATGATATCTAGCCCCATCAAATATACCTTTTCTTTGTTTTCTTGTCTTTCGCCGAGGAAGGATAGCCATAGAGCTCTGACTGTACCATCTTGATCTGTCATAATACCAAAATTGCATCTAGGGCTAATGTTACTATCAATAGAAATAGCTTCTAGGTTGGTAGCTCTATATCTTGGTATTAAGTTACTTGGAATACTGACGGAGGAAATATCCGTCACAGATGTTTCAGAGGTTATCAATCTATTATTATGTGTATAACCAATAAATTGTGCGCTTTCGCCCCTTTTCATCCTTCTATTCGAAAGCTTTGGAGTTACCACTGGTGCCTTTACTAGATTTGGATCGTATTTCACAATAGCATAGTTTTGCATTGGGTGTAGAAATTCAATGGTAGCTGGTATGACGATAGAATCCGCAATAGTGACAAATACATCTAAACAATCATGTGGAACTGCTCTTCTAGAAACAATTACATAACCCTGTTCGGCATCAATAATTAAACCTGAGGTTTTTAAAGTTTCGGCAGAAAGGGAATCAATTGGAATAGCTGCAACAGTATGAACCATACATAAGGAGCTGGAAAGTTTGGCAATTTCAGGATTAGTGGAAGGTATTGGTATAAATTTGGCTGTGTGTGGTTTCAAAGGTTCTTCAGAAATAGGATCAGCAACATTAGTGTAGTCCCAAATACCAGTTTTATCATTACGCTCATATATTCTGAACTCACTACACCAGTGACGATCAATATAGATAGAAGTAACATTAGGAGAGTGTTGATCAGTCAAATGGTGATATCTCACAGTCACTCTTGATTTATCAGGGATTGTTTTCATAACTTCAACAAATGCGTCAAGATTTGGTGTGTCTTGATAGTTTACTGAGTCTACAATCCAGCCTATCTTTTCTTTATTATCAAAATTAAATGATCCTGAGGCACTACTCAAAAATACACCTCTGATTGGTAGAGCATAGAATCTTGCCATTTGATAAGACAACTCATTGAAAGTAGCGCCACATACTTCGACATATTTTGATGGTGTGATGGCATGTAAATCGCCAATTGTACAAGTCACATTGATGTCAGTACCGCCTCTTTGAACAGTAAACTCAACGTTGTTACCAACATTTGAGTCTAGAATATCATCAACTTGAATAAATGTGGATATTCTCTGGCCATTTATAGCAATTAAAATATCACCTTCTTTAATTTTGCCATCCGATGGACCCTCTCTTAAAATAGTTTCTGCCACTAATAATCCAATTCTATCAGGGAATAAAGCCCTAGACGTAGACTCGTGTTCAGGTGTCAGACCCAATCTCTTACATTCATCATATGGTTTCAATAACCATTGAGTTTGAATAGTACCCCTAGTGATAGGTTGATCGGCTTGTATACATTTAAGAGCACGGAGGATTCTATCCAGCGGAAGAAAGAAGTCAGTTGAAGCCTCAGTAGACCCTCCGGCTTGTAGTGCAACGGCATAACCATCAACATTAACGACAGGGGAACCACTAGACCCACCAGAAGCAGAAGCAGCAGCTTGAATATATTCTGTGTTGAAATCATTATAAGTTAGTTCACCATAATCTGGTGCATTTCTATCAATTCTGCTAATGAAACCAGCTAAAATACTTAGCTTCTCACCAGCATCATTACCAACAACTCTGATTTCTGAACCAACTTTGGCCAAAGATGGTTTTAATTCAAGGGCATGTATTTTGGTGTATTTAATCTTCTTAGGATCAAATTTCAGGAAACCAAAATCGTGCACAGGGTCTCTGTAAATAGGAATAACGTCACATTCTTCATGATTATCAAAAACTACATAGCCCACAAATGGACCAGCTCCAACAACATGTCTATTTGTCAAAATAATACCTAACTCTGAGTCAACAACAAAGCCCGTTGCCTCAGACACAAGTGCGGGATCGCAATCGAACGGCGCCACTTGAGCAAAGTGAATGGATACAACAGCTTTGACAACTTTAGAGATAGTATCTTGCCACTGCATATTGTTCTTTATTCCATCTTCAAAGATAGCCGTGTCTATATCTTCATCAGCCATTATACATTCATTTCCATGCTCAACGTATTGTCTTTTAGCTAAATGGTCATCTGAACTGGAGGAATGGCTTCGTTTCTTGCCCTCGTTCATAATAGTCATGGCTGGTTATTTTAATTATCTCTTTTTTAAGTAAAATGGGAAAGATGCAATAATTAGAAAGTATCTATAGAATTTTACGAGAAATATTGTACTTCTATAACTCATATCATTGTATGATGGGGCACTCTGCATTATGATCACCATCAGGTTCATGGTTTTTTGACTTTTGAAAATTTTAAGATTTTTCCGTTTTGGGACATGCTCATCGCATAGGAAATGCTGATTTTCTTTTTACATATGCAATTTGTTAATGTCAATATATATATATATATATATAAATATATATAAATATGGGGTCTCCAAATTATCTATTACAAATCTCAAGTAGAGCTCAATCCTATGTATATCATATCAAGCTCTTACATTAGAATGAAACAGTATGCTATAAAAATCATAAAAAAATAAGGGCCTGAGTCAATGTTCAAATTGTAGTTTATAGTTTGTGTTAGATGCATTTTCACCCAATGATTATAGTTATTTACTGATGAAAGAATGATTGATTGCCTTGATTTGTAGGGCTGTTTGATTGTCCCTGATTTTGTTCTGTGTGATGAGGTGACTGTTGCTGTTGCATTAAAAGTTGGTGTAATTGATATGCTTGTTGTGAGGATTGATATGACTGCGGGTTTTGCTGCATTATTTGTTGCTGGTTTTGGAATTGTTGCTGGCCATTGAAAGGCATGTTTGGTAGATAAGGGTAGCCATTGTTTGTTGGTGGAGGATACATGCCTTGAGAAGACATTGGTTGTGGTTGAAAATTGGGAAATGAACCCTGCATTGGTGGAGCATTATATTGACTGTATTGAGGGTTGAAGTTGGTTGGGTATGGAAATACTGGAGGTATAAATTGATTTTGGGGCATGTTTGGTATAAATCCAGTTGGATTTCCAGTTGGAAAACCGGATGGATTGTGAAAGTTTCCATCATTTGGAGGGATATAAGAAGAAGTGCTTGGTAGATTGATCGAAGGTTGAAGCTGCGACACCTGCACACCCTTGCTTTGATCAACTGCGTGAGATCTAATTGAGGCATTGCCGTCATCATAATCCAATATTTTCGTCTTCTCTCTTGAGCTTCTTGAGGTATAATTCTTTGGCCTAGACATACCAATAGGTGGTCTCATTTTCTGAACAACAGGGAAATTATCGCTCCTAACTTTTTTAGTATTACTGTCATTTGTGTCGGCTCTTCCTGTCTTTTCTGGTTTTCTTTTCTTTTGTTTCTTTTGCTTCTTATACATTGCTTCCTTCTCATCATCAGAAAACTCTTGTTCTTCTTCTGGCAACTCCTCATCAAACATATTTGAAGCATCGGTTCCTTTAATCATTTTGATTTGAAAAGTGTCTATCCAATGAACATCTTTCAGGACAATAAAAACTTTTATTCCTATTAGAGACTTTAAATCATTGTTTTTCTTGTACGATTCAGACACACCAACTCTATAAAAAGGAGCTTGTAGTGGGCCAAATACTTCTCTTAAAACGCCCAATGGGGTCCTATCTTCTAAGCAAAAAATTGAACCTTCCTCTAAAACACGCTTTTCGCCTGATATATCTGCTGTTATAATTAGGTTATTGTCTAGAACTGATTTTACGGTACCTATGGATGAAATGTTAGTTTTTTCATCGATCACATAAGATTCTGGTAGATCGGCAGTCTGATCTTCCAAAACTTCATTTTTGGAAACAATTGGGGCAGATGTGCCATTATCTTCAAGGTCAGACTCATTCTCAACATCTACGTTTATGTCTTCTTCATCAGATGATGATGATGATGATTGTGATGATGACGAGTCTAAACTTGAGGTGTCAGAGTCTTCGTTCAAATTTGAGTTTGAGTCTTCTTGAGAATGATCGCTTACTTCTTGTTGTTGATCTTCAGTAGGTTTCTCAGCAGATGATGTAATATTCTGTTCTATTTCACCCCTGTTAGTACTACTTATTGTTGTTTCGTCTTTATTGAGAGTGACCTCTGTATTCTCTGTTTTCTCATCCGACTGTTCCGTTTCCAGTCCATGATCATTCTCATGTAGTTTGCTGTTGAAAGTTGGAGACTCCTCCACGCTTACATTATCATTCTCTTGTTCGGTTGCATTATCAAGCTTTTCTTCGAGCTTGGTTATGTTTTCACTCTTCGACTCGATGCGTATGTCATCGCTTAGATGCCCATCTACCTTTTCATCAGGATTCTGTAACGCCTTTGTAAATAGATCTTCTGACATTCTTAGCTTCTCCTGTTATGTTTAACCAAGCTGCCAGACTTCTAGTTAGTCCTGTATAATCAATATGCGAGGTCTATGTCAACTATCTACGTCAAATTTATTGATTCTAAAATTTGCGATGAGCATGTTAAAATTATTTAGACAGATTTTCGTCTTTTCGCAAAATATCTGTGTACTGAAAATTTTAAGTGCAAAAAGCCCGAATAGATAGTATATACACTTATAATGACAATATTATTATTACAACTCAACTTATATATGAGATAGTTGAAAATTTATATTTGGTACAATGTCAGGCAATATCACAATGCAAAATTGTATGGATCTCAAAAAAGGAAATAAAAACCGGTTCAAATGATAGAGAGCATAGTTGTATCAACGTAAATGCCTACTCAATCTCATTAGTTCCTCGTCTCCATCCGCCCTTAAGTCATCACAAAGTGTAGAAATCTGCTCCTTACAATGACTGTACTGTTTGGACAACAATTTGATTGTGTGGACTAGGCTTTGAAGATGTACAGATATTTCTGGATGATGCTCCAAACTTAATTGCATATAGATCTTGTATGAAATTTCATTTAATTCGTTGTACTTTACAAGAAACTCAGCAATGCTGTTCAATATTACAATCACAGTTGCTGGGTATGGTTTGTTAGAGCGTTCTCCAAGATTGTTTCCGGAATTTGTCGATAATAATTTGTGTGCCAAAATCCTTCCAAGGAATTGATTATGAGTGTTATCTAACTGCTCAATGTCCCGAAGATTTTGATTACCTAGGTGCTTTCTTCCTTCGTTAAGAATATTAATATCCGGCTTCAATACTCCATTTACCCTTTTCTCACCATGTTTATTGATCTTCACCTTGATATTGTCAGTTTTTTCTTTGTCAAATATCACACTTAATTCATTTTCTAAATCCAGATATCTTTCATTAATGACATATTGAAGGTAGTAATTGTCTAATTTTGTGTGAAATATTTGCAACTGCGTCAGAAGAATTGAGCATTTTGATATGTGTTTCGTGATATCTCCCATTACAGGACTGAATTCAGGAAACTTTCTAAATGTTCGCAAAATTTCTTTTGTCCGCTTAGACTCCTTTTCGAAATAGAATTGATTCTTTTTCAACTTCCATAAAAAGTTAAATATTCTTAAGTATTCCTTTCTGCCATTGGTACGATTAACATTCAGTACAAATGACAATGGCCTATCGACAATGAAGTCTAAGGTAAAAACATCCCAACCTATGGCGCCGTGGCCCAGATCGAGGAGACGTGCATCTAACTTGTTTATAATATAGTTGTTGTCACCACGATTAATTAAGCTTCTTAAAGACGATTGTTGTACTGATTCTTGAAGAATCCTTGTCAAAGAATAGTCAGAAAGTAGATCTGATGAGGAGGTTAGTGCTGAACTTAATTTTGTTATTAATGTATTGATCAGATCTCCTCTACCCATTAAAAGAATATTTCTTAGCGTCTTCAAAACATCATGATAATGAAACTTTGTGCATATAATGGTATCAATGTAACTAACAATTTCTTTAAACTGTGTATTAACTGCTTCAATAAATTCGATGGATATGCCGTTCTTTCTAAGACCGTCGTATATTTGTTTGTATCTGTTCGAAAATTCATTGGAGTATTCAAGTTCCTTACAGTATTTTTGGACAAAAATGTAAGATTTACCAATTACGAATATCTGTCTCGCTTGCATGTATGTTAGAAATGAAGGAATCTTATCTGTATTCAATTTAAAGATTACTTCACCATCTGTATTTTCTTGCTCTACTTCGATAAAGAGTTCATTATTAGTATTGTCTATCGATCCTAATGTAAGCCACTGAGACAAATAGTCGTAGTACAAAGTTAGCAATGTGCTAAACAGTTTGTCTGCTATGTTTTCTATTGTTAAGTCACCATGGTGTCGCAGTTGTTCTAACAAAGATAGCAGTTGATCTCCAGTCAAACCCTCAAATTTTAGCATGATAGAATAGAAGACTCTTAGCTTATTAATGCTATCATAAATGGAAACATAGACACCATTGTTCGTACTTATTTTATCATTTGATGCAAGTTGATTTATTAAACCGTTGTATGTATTCAGTTCCGATCCCACTGCTATTATGAATGCTTTCTTCATTGGAGATATTGGCATTCGTCTATATTTATCGCACAAATTCCCTAGCTCTTTGTACAAAAGTCCAGCTTCAAAAATCAAATGAAGAATACCACTTTCAGAATTCGGGATGTTAGACGGTATGATTATTTTGTCATATTCAATATCAAATAGTTCAGATGTAGTACCTAGCAGAACAAATGGTATTGATTTCATGATTTCCTGCTCATCTATCATGTTTTTCATGTAAGGTTCTAATAAAGATCTTAATGGTAATCTGTTAGGAGATTTTCCTATATTATTGTAAGCTTGAGAAGATAGCATTGACCTTTCGGAATAGCGATCAAGGTTTTCAAAGGATTCGGAATATTGACTTCCAGGCCTGCCCATATTCAGGTTTCCATCATATGGACTGATGTTGAGCCTGTTTAATATAAATTGATCATTAGGATTATCTGAGTATTCCATTTGTAACTCATTTACATAATTGAGCATCTCTTGTTCATTTGACATGGAAAATAATGGTTCCAAAGATGATAATAGTTTTGGCAATGTATTTCTATGCCGAAGGGTTACTGGTATTTTTGATTGAAAGTTTTCAATTAATTTACTCAGCTGTTGTTTATTCTTATAGGGTGATGATAGTAAAAACAAAACATCTTTTGCAAATAGCTGTATGACAGTGTCAGGAAACTCTGGAGGTAAATATGTCTCCAGTAGCAGAGACAAGCTATTTCCCAATTCCATGCAACAATGCTGATTCACCAAATATAATTCAAATGAGTAATTGGACCCTCTACTATTATACTTTCAATAGTGACAAAATTTAAATCCAAGCTAGGGCTATCGGGGTACCTTTAAAATCCTATTTGTGATATGAATATGGTCATACAATACAAGTGAACCGAGTTATGCTCAAATGTGAGAGACCTTCAATAATAACAGAAAGGTTCTGGTCAATGATATGTTTGCTTATTCTATGGTGATTGCCGCTGGTCGACTGTTACCGTAACTGTGGTGCTCAATTAGCTAAAAATGCATGGCTCATCTCACTGATCCCGATCCATTTGTTTACCATTTCGTCAAGAGCTAACATTTCCTGATTTTACGCGACACACAAAAAGAAGTATCGTGAATAATGAGCAGAACACACACTAGATTAACGAGTAAGATTGTAATATTAGGAATACCTGAAATATGAAATTATAGAATTAGAAAAATGCAAAAGTTATATTAGGATGAGCTATCCTCTAAATTGGATTTATACTACTGCTAATATGGTATGTGCATGAAATTCTCCTAACTAGCGATTGAATTATTTTTCTTTTGATAACCTAGATCTTCCATCGCTACTTGGTAATGTTCGAAGTTATAAAATTGTAGCAGGGCTCTTAAGGCAATTTCTTGTCCATATGCATCACTTAATTCGCCAGTGATGTCCTTACCAGCTACCCAGTTATCTATTAGTTCCAACTTTTCGTAAAGGAATACTCCTGAAATTAGCTCCATATGTTCAGATTTCCAACGTTTGTTCTTGAATGGAGTTAGTTCTTTGATGATTTTAAGGAGCGGGTGATAAATATCCAGATTGAAGATGTGATAGTATTTTTTAACTATGGTTCCAATAGATTGGGGTAGTTCTTTGATTCTCTGTGTTTTGTTTCCAACTACTTTCTGGAGAATCCGCAGCAAGTATGCCAGCGATGGCAAAAAATCAAGATTCACCGCCTTCTGTACCTGATGAACATATCTAAAGGAGTTCTTGTATTCAAAATTATATTTTGAACACTCAGACCAAAACGATTTATTCGATGTTATTATTCTATTGAAAATCCTGTCCCCATAGATGTCAGAGTATTTGCCTAGTACTGCACTACAGATATTTATGAATTGTGAATCATACAATATCACACCTAGTTGTTCAAATTTCAAAATGTGGCTTAACTTAAACCACTTCATAAGCATGAACAATAGCTCAACAGAGCTCTTCAGTGAGCTTTCCTTAGCCTTAGTTAATTCCAATTGGGGAAGCAGAGTATTCTCATCTACATCTTCAGCGTTGGAGGTAAATTGGTTAGTTAAGTTTAGTTCAATGGTCTGTAACAGGACAAACACTAAAGAGTTTAAACTTGTAAAGCATTCTTTGTAAAAATTATCCACCCGAATCATTCTCTTCAGGGATTCATTAGCTGTACCGGTAAGTGATGAATAATCATAAGGATCGGTAAGATTATCCTCCTCCCATCCACGCTCCGTTGCCATAAAAAGATCTCTCTCATGCCAAAGTTGTTTTGTAGTCAATTTAATTTGTAAATTTTCCGCCAGAATTGTTGCGGCTTCTTCAATGCTGAATGGTATTTTTGATTCAGAGGTCTGTTTCGGAGTAAGCTCTGAGTGTAAACGCCTATCTAACTCATCAATATCCTCTTCGTTGTCTGATGGGTATAAGCAAGGGTACAGTAGATTTGTTTGAAACGATTTCCTACCTTTTGATGTTTCATTAAAATGTAGGAGTTGAGGTGATGAAGGCGGTGAAGGAGCAGGTGTGGCAATATGTTGTTCTGGAACATTGAGAGTAATATTTATAGCATTCTTAGATTTTGGTCTTGGGATTTCTAAAAATTGTGAAAGCGAATTCGATTTGTCAAACTCCTTTGGCAGATTAGTAGTAGGTAGTTTACAGGACGGGTATCTTGTGACAATATCCGAGGTGAACGCCTCGTATTGTAAGGGTGATATTGTCCATTTGTTTTTTCGATTTTCTATTTTTCTCAAGCCATGATATTTGTAAAGGTCTTTTTTGGTTTTCTTATAAGTCCTAATATCACCAAACTGGAGTAGTATAACTTTTGAAAGAAGCATTATTATATTTCTTATTCTCATTGATAGACGACTGTTCCAGCGCCAAGCTTCGATATATTTTGTTAAGTAACTAAGTATGCCTGCATCATCAAAGTTACCTATGACTTTGTCCACAATATGTTGTTGTTCTTTGTTGCACCTAAATACTATGCATTGCAATGTTATCAAGTATATTACCGAAGACAAATACAAAAGTGACTTCGAATAACAATTTAAATTAGTGGAGGAGTCTTTACAGCAATCTGCAATTTCTATAAATTTTTTAAGTATTTCTGGAAGGTGTTCAGCCAGGAGCATATTATTCCTTTTAATATATTTCAAATGATCGTCTTTTCCTTCAACAAAAGCAAATAAGCCAAATGAAATGTACGCAACGCACATGACGATAGATTCATCATTATCATTCATATTACTGAGTAGTTTTTGAATGTGTAATTGAGCTATAGTTTCGTCAGTTAGAAAAGCCTCGGCATTGTTAATATGCTTAATAAATGCATTGTGTATATGTGTAAAACTGGAATAGTCGGCTAACGTAAACCAGTCGGATATCTCATCATCCAAACTAATTGAATCCTCCAGGTACCACTCAACTCTTGGCTGAAGACTTGGTTTGAATCCACATTCATTGGTAATCTTTTCAGCACATTCTTCTAAACTTCTTCTGTATGCAGCATTGACAGGCATATTGTAGTCTATAATCTCAGAATCTGAGTCGGAATCACTCGATGGATTAGATACTATAGGTCCGTCGATTTCGTCAACATTCTGAAATTCTTCATCATCATTGTCATCATCAATTGAGTCAGAGTCGCCAAACTGATCGCCAGATATAGGATTAGAATTGTACTGACCGAAATCTAACGGACTTAATTCGATATTTGACAAATCAGTATCTATTAGGGACCTGTTTAAATAAGGTGATCGATTGGCATTTTCTAAATTACTGATTGAACTCTCCTCATTGTGTACATTAAGAACCGAACTCACAATATCAAGCTTTTTCCTCAGCATTTTATCTAAATCTGATATTCCTTTGTCTATAGCACCTTTAGCTCGAGGTGAAGATGGGTAACTTGATGCTCCCCTGTTTTCAGTAGGTATATCATCTATAAAATGCTGAAAAGATGTATCAGTTCCGCCAGTTTTCCTTGCATACTTGAGATCTTCCAGGGACTGTGATCTTCCAATTGCTTCACTATCTCGATCTAGTAGATGCACCTTAGCCTTCTTTGTCATATTAGTGTGTATATTTAAACTGCCACAGTTAGCAGCTGAACACCGATAGCGAGTATAATTAAAGTAATATGTATACGCTACACAGAGTGTGCTCCTTGAAAGAACCAGTATAAAAGACTAAAGTGGTTCCCGTTAGTTCAGAGTAGCCAACCGAATCTGTAATTTAAAGCGATTTTACTTCAGATTTTGGCACCTTGTATCTTCTGATCTATAATTCCTGCGAAAGTGATTTTAGCAGCTTTAACATGAAAAAAGTTAGAATTCAGATATACTATTATAAAGGTTAGATGCTGAAGTTTAGCGAATCTGGTTCTTATTCAAGAGGCATACCTTAAAGCATGAGTATGTTTTAATGGTAATTATATATCTCTTTAGTTGTTTGTGCAATCTCAAGACAATCGCAGTTACATATACTATTAGTGAAATAAACTCTTGAAAGTGTTTATTCATGAAATAAACCTATAGAAAAGACATAACATTGGTATAAGAAATATCAGTTTACAGGTATTGTGGTTTTACTGTCACAATAAAGACCATTTCAGAATGCACGATGAGAAGAGGCGTAAGCCTTTACTCCGGGTTCCAGAAGTGCCATCTAATTCATTCCAACGGATTATAAAAATAAATTTCAGGCCATTGTTTTGTTCATGGCGCAGTTCATTCAGTAAGAAGTTATTTGTTGAGTTTGTCTTACTACATCTCACTGTTTCCCAGTAAAGGTTGAGCCAGCAATTCGAGTTTGATGCTAATGTGGTTATTCTGTGAGACATTGCATGGGATCGAGCTACTAGTGAAAATTCTATTTTGATATCACTCACTTCAACAGGCACATTGATATCTATGGTAATATTCTTACTATTCTTAAAATATAATGCCTTGGTGGTTGATACTTGTTCGGGTGTTTGCACTGAAATAAGGTCTATTAAGCCGTCTCTGTTATTATTATACTTTGAAATCTTCACGGCAGTATAATACGGATGAGAGAAGAGTATTCCCGACATTGCTTGCAGCGTTATGGACTCAAGTTGGAACCGTGACATCTTTATTTGATCTACTATCATGCTATTGCAATTTATACCGTAGTACAGAGACAATTCATGATATCTTATGTATCTAATTTGAGAGTTAATAGTCACCCCTTTGCTTAATCCCATTCTAAATCGTTTTTCCATAAAGAGTTCTTTGGCCTCTTCGAATGGACAGTTCATGTATTTCATCATGTAAGCAATGCTGATTGTTCCTGATCTTCCTTTCCCCATACGACAATGAAGAATAGCGACATTGCTTTCAGATTGCGAAATATGTAGATTCATGTCATCGATTATTTCCTGTAATAACAGAAATGGTGGAGGGCAATGATCCAACCATCCCTTCCTACAGATTAGAGAATTAATCCCATTTAAAGTTGTGGTTCTTTGTCCCCTACAGCTTGTTGAGCTTGGCCTTTGGTAATTTGGAAAATATAATGTCTTATCATCAGCATTTTTAATGTCAATATCGTCATAGTCAGAACCGTTCTTTTCGACTTTGAAGTTAAATATTTTCCAAGTTCCCTTTCCGTGGTGTTTATTCAAATATTCAACAATTTCATCCAAACCATTACGGTAAAGCAATTTTGGATACTTGGTAACAGGATATGAGCAAACTAATAGGTTAGGAGTGATGTAAGAAATGTCTAAAGATGATTCAGAACTGCTATTCTCAACATTGAAGGGAATAGCATAAAGTGTTCTCACAAACTTTTTAGGATTGAGATGCAAATTTCCCATAGGACCACGAATGGTATAATCAGTGCTACGATTGATCGTCGGCATTTGGTGCTAGTACCAAATTCATATTTCAATCTAACACTTGATTTGCGGAAATAAAGTAACGTGTCATGATATTATTTCCTTTTTGATAATTGGGAACAAAAAGCAGGCGCATGAACCGCCCTATGACAATCTGCCACAAAGAATATTATTGTGAAAGAAAACAGAGCAGTGAAGTGGGTGGCATTTGCTCTATGTGTAAACGGTCAAATTAAATTACTAGATAAGCCTAGTTAAGAATGTTTATGATTCAGAGATATGCTAGCGGTTATAGTTAAGAGCTCTTATCTAAGACTCGAACAGTAGTTAACGATTTGATCTGATACCCAGGTGAGAGCAGTTGATATTTGCACATCCTCATCATTATTGAAGTCCTTGATAGAATCATTTAGCTCATACTTCAATTGCCCCTCCACATTATTATCGATAAAAAGATGTGCATGGGCCTCTTTATAGTTCTTGTATACAAAATCATCAAAATAGTATGGTGGGTCTACCCAAAAGGAGTCCAATGTCTGATATCCAGGTCTAGCTGCTCGCCTTTTCTTTAATGTCTCATAAGGAGCACGTATCAATAACCTGACGTCAAACTTAGAAGCTACACTCTTATCGTGGTATATTAAAAACCCATCGACTAAAACGATCCTTAGATTGTCAGGTAGTGACTCAAACTTTTCTCTGATAGGTTGTAAAGACGCCTCATTTAGATTAAACTTATCTAAGCTATCAACATTATTGTTGTGTATAAGCTTTGCATCAATTCTGCCAGTGTGTCGTATATTATCTAACTCTGCTCTGAATGAATCAAAGTCTAAGGCACCAACACAATCCCAGTCCTGAATGCCATATTTACTGTTGACAGGAATATCCTTGTCATGCTTGAAGAAATCATCCTCATGAATCAAAGTCAAATCAGGCACAATTCGGGCCAACAGCTTCGCTATCGTGGTCTTCCCACTACTTGAACACCCACTCAAACTTACCAATACAACCTGTGTGGAGTCGGAATTTGTCATGATTTAAAATGCAGTAGTCTCTTATAATTAACTGAACAAAAAAATCTGAACTATTCAAATGTAGTATAAAGTAATCTCATAGGTCCCGTTTGAATTATGTAAAACTGGCTACTTTTGTTCTTCTCTATAACTTGAAAAATCAAAATCATATGTAACGATTAGTAAGTCCTCGATGTTTCTTAGCATTAGGATGGCCCTCGAAGACAACGACTAAGTGCTATTCAATACATTAAGTGTGTGAACTGTAATGAATTACCCATATAAGAATAGCATCGAACATAGCTGTGCTGCTGCTTGGGATACGTCATATTTCTACTGCTCATACTAAGGTAATAAGATAAGTTAGGACTATGTCTCAGAAAGTTGGACACACAGGGCTAGCGTTTGCCAGGCTATGGCACCATGTTGATTTGGCTAAGGATAAGAGAACATTAGGTAGGGTTGCCTCTTCTATCGCGGTGACACTTATAGGTAAGCACAAGCCAGTATATCATCCATCTCAGGATTGTGGTGATTACGTTGTTGTGACTAATTGTCAGAAAGTGCGTATAACTGGTAAGAAGTTTGAGCAAAAGACTTATTGGTCGCATTCAACTAAACCAGGTAATTTAAAGTTAACAACAATGAAGACCATGGCTGAGAATAAAGGCTACGGTGAACTTTTGAAGAAAGCTGTATCTGGTATGTTACCCAAAAATAGACTTAGAAAAGTAAGACTAGCAAGACTGAAAGTATTTGATGGTGCTGAGCATCCTTACGGTGACAATTTTACTGCATATGCCTTGAAACAGCCAAAGGTGCAGAAATTAATAGAATCTAGGCAAGAGCGTACACAGGTTTCACAAGAAGCTTGATAATGATAAGCCAGACTTATGATATACTCTTATTGTTGATATACCATCCTAACATATTCCAATTTGATATCACCAACAAAGAAAGGTGTGATTACACCAAGCTTAAATAAAAATGAGGTCTTTTTCTCACATTCTTTGGGTGTTCCTCCATCATTTAAATAAACTTGTACATATATAAAATGATTATGATTTTGCTTATTAGATAATTTGGTGAAACCCAGATCTTAAGTAATGATATTATTGATTTTTTCGTTATATTACAGAATAAGTTTCTATAATGAAATTATATAGAAAATATTAAGCAGACAGATAAATCTAGTTCATGCTTTAACAGACTGGAACTTCTTTCCAAATAATACTTGAAACGGCGCAATATCGTTTTGAGCTAATATATTAAATATACGGGTCATTTGGAGTAAAGATGAGTAAAAACTGTTATAGTTTCAACTCCTGAAATAGCTCATCAGTAATGTTTTTGATAGTGATGTAAGCAACTCGGTGTTATGAGGGTATATATGTACTATTGCGAGCATGCAAATGCATCTATCAAAATTCTATGCAGTCTTCAGGACGTTGTGGTAGCCTGATAAGGTATTAAATGATGTTTTAAATGTGGTAATCATAAGTTAAAATTTAGAGAATTATGCCATATCCTCTGGTTAATATCACTTACCTTGATTAAAAATCTCTTGAGCGGTCGGTGTAGAGACGAGGTGTGATATTCATAGCCATCAATTCTTGAAATAGTAATTTGGCAGCATATGGTATATGAATTTGGTAGATATCGATCTTATTGTCACAACCCTTACATTCAAATTGATTATGGTTTAGTTTTGCAATAACAGACATCAAACCACAAATACCACAGATATGTACTCTGAAAGCATCGGAAGCTTCCATTAATCTTTCCTTCAAGAAAGCTGCGGCACCATGAGCGATCATACAGTCACGTTCCATTTCACCGAATCTTAGACCACCATCTCTTGATCTACCTTCTACTGGTTGTCTAGTTAGTACTTGCATAGGACCACGAGCTCTGGCATGAATCTTATCGTCGACCATGTGTCTCAAACGCTGATAGTATGTTGGGCCAAAGAAAATTTGAGCCATCAACTTCTTACCAGTGTGACCATTATACATGACTTCGAAACCACGAGATTGGTAGCCGTGTTCTCTTAGTAGTTTGGAAATACCTTCAACAGTAATATCAGTAAAAGGAGAAGCATCACCTTCATTACCAGACAATGCAGCAACTTTACTTAGTAAACATTCAATCAAGTGCGCCACAGTCATACGAGATGGAATAGCGTGTGGATTGATAATCAGATCAGGGACAATACCTTCGGCTGTAAAAGGCATGTCTTCTCTTCTGTAAGTTATACCGATTGTACCCTTTTGACCGTGACGAGAAGCAAACTTGTCACCAATCTGAGGAACCTTAGTTGTTCTAACACGTACTTTGACAAACTTAAGACCATCTTGGTTCGTTGTTATTAGAACTTGATCGACAATACCATTTTCTGTACTTCTCAAAGGAGTAGAAGCATCTCTCTTCGAATGGTAAGCAGTTCTTTGACCTAGTTCTTCTTCATCCGGTGCAATAGGTGTTGTCTTACCGATAATTATATCTTCTCCAGACACTCTGACACCTGGTGCAATCAAACCATCTTCATCTAACTTATCGTATGTACCATGCTTCATTCTTAATGTATTAGTACGTTGAGGTTTCTCAAAAGTTTCAGTAATGGACATACCATATTTTTTCTCTTGATCCATATACGATCTAAAGAACAGAGATCTAAATAAACCACGGTCAATAGATGATTGGTTCATAATCATGGAATCTTCTTGGTTATACCCCGAATAACATGCAATGGCAACAATAGCGTTCTGACCGGCAGGCAATTCTCTGAATTTTAGGTATTCCATTGCACGAGTAGTACCTAATGGTTTCTGAGGGTAATATAGAATGTTAGCCATAGTATCCATACGGAAATTGTAGTTTGTTAAGAAGACACCCATAGCTTGCTTACCCATCGCAGATTGGTAAGTATTACGAGGAGATTGATTGTGATCAGGGAATGGAATAATAGATGCTGCGACACCAAGGATCATTGATGGATGGATTTCACAGTGGGTGAATGTTGTGGCATGATGAGTGACCTTAATACGTTTAGCAAGATCGACATTTTCTTTAGGTATATCTTGCTCAACTGCAGTTGGTTCAAGATCTTCTGGTTGCATGGCAATCAAAATAGATTCTTCTTCTTCGGCATCAATATACTCTACAAGACCTTCGTTTAATAGGGAAGACCATGTGTAATCTTCAGCGTCCTCAAATCCACCCTCAATATCTTGGTATTCAGTAGCCATTAACTTGGCGACATGACCTTTTCTAACTTTCAATTCCTTACGACCTAATTCTTCGTCATCTTCAACAATAAACAATGGTCTATATACCCTACCGGCATCGGTAAAAATTTTCAATTCCTGTTCTCTAATATCTCTGATCATAGAAACTTCTGGATTGATATCACCCTTTCTTCTTAGTGTTCTTAGTGTTTCCATTAATCTAGCAGGGTTTCTGTGAACACCGTGCCAGACACCATTAACAAACACTCTAGTGGCATCCGGAGATTGATGTGGAACATAATCTTCCAAAGGTTCCATACCCCATTCGCTTAAAAATGTGATAATAGGCATAGGGTCGGCACCAACAGAGATACAAGACATAAGTGATAAGTTCTTCACTAGACCACAAGCTTGACCTTCAGGAGTCTCGGCGGGACAAACCAAACCCCAATGAGTGTTGTGAAGTTGACGTGGCTTTGCCAGTTTACCATCACGACCTATAGGTGTATTTGTTCTTCTTAAATGTGATAGTGTTGAGGAATATGTATAACGATTCAAAACTTGTGACACACCGGCTCTTGAAGACATAGCTTTCTTTTGTTCACCCCAATTACCAGTAGCCAAAGCATACTTAAGACCTGACGTGATGGTCTTCGCATTAATAGCTAATTTCATGTTGAAATCATTGGCTTCTTCGACTGTTCTCTGCATGTAACGGAAGATATCTTTGGTTAGTTTCCTGAACAGCGTCTTGAAAAGCTGGGCAAGTAATGGACCTGCTAAGTCTAATCTCTTCTTACCGAAATGGTCACGATCATCTTGATCTTTACGGTCAAGAGCACATAATAGCAGTCTATTAATCATGTAACCCAAGAAAAAGGCTTTTCTGGACTCAAAACCTTCTAACTGGGTAATATGAGGTAGAAATTCCTTTTGCAAAATGTCTTTGGCGTATTGAATTCTCTTTTCTTTCTTGATACCCAACGCAGTACCACGACGACCAATGAAATCAAGAGCTGTTTCACGATCTTGAATAACAAAACCATCTTCTACACATGGCTTTAACATTTCCAGCATTTGCCAATCATTGACATCGTAACAAATATGTTCTAAAATTTCACCATCCGGAATAATACCTAGTGCTCTAAAAATGATAACGATTGGGATATCCTGCTTAATGTATGGAAGAGTTGCTTTAATGGTACGAGCTGAACTGCTTTCACGACCATACAGTTTAACTTGCAATGTACTGATAAATCTGGAACCCTTTTCAAGAGCAGATCTGATTTCGGCAACATGTGATATTGGAGATGGGGCTGCTTTCTTGAAAACTTGAACAATGTTACCTGCAGAACGTTCTTGTGCGATTAAAACTTTCTCGGAACCATTGATAATAAAGTACCCTCCCATATCAAATGGACACTCCTTTAATTTATATAGATCAGATTCGGTGGCATCACTTAAATAACAATTCTTGGACCTCAACATGATTGGTAGACGGCCAATAAAGACTTTACCACTCTCACTGTCCTCTTCAGATTCTTCGGCAATTAGTTGATAGTTTAAATCTCTACCAGGGACATCCACTGCTTCGTAAGTTCTCTTAGTAACATCTACAAACAAACCAGAAGAGTATGTCAGGTTTCTCAGTCTTGCTTCTTGTGGATATAATGCGTGTGTAACACCATCAGATTCGTTCACCATAGGTTTCGTAACGTATATCTTACCAAAACTTATTTCATATTTTCTACTAATGTTATCTTGTTCAGTGGTATGTTGGGCTAATTGTTCCAAAATCAAAGTGGAATCCTCTGAGATAATATCCTGTAGAGTATAATCAACAAATTGGTTGAATGAATCCAACTGTTGTGACACCAGACCTTTCTCTCTGAAGAAAGCAGAGATGACTGCCCAAGTATCCTCTGCTGTGATTGGGGCATTCTCTTCCTCAAATCCATAAGGATCTTCATCATAATAGTCTTCGTTGTCGGCTGACATGATTGATTTCTTTCGAGTTGCTTTTAAGTTTTGTTCTGTTTTTTATTTTCTTCTAAAAGAAGCAACTGATAAATGACACTGTCTTCAATAAAATAAATTCGATAAAATCGACAAAGTCAATGTATAAGCAATCAAATATTGGATCTAACCACTATTATGGGAATTTAATGGCTCAAATACTTTAATAATCCGAGTGGAAAGCTGAGAGGCAAATTTTTCTTTCTGTTTTTCCTTCTCTTTTGAACAGGCAAGCCAACGATGTATTCAGGACGGAGAGATAAAACAAAAGAATGTATGGTCCCAACCGATATTTTTACTGAATAACTAGTGGGTTTATCTCCTGGAATCTCTTCGTGCCGCTAAGTTTCAAGGAATACAATCTAAAACTAAATTTGACAAAGTCTCTCTTTCAGCTTCCTATTTTGCTTGTTTTTCATTGTCTTCATTCAAAAATTTTTGCGAGACAGTGCTCAAGTTTAACGTGTGGGATGATGATAATACGACGGAGATGGTAATACGGCTAGCGTATATACCATTCAAATATATTTAGTATTTAAATGGTATCCTTTTATTTCCCAAAATACAGATGTTACAATATTACAATAAATCAGTGATTTCTGTAGCTATTTTGATTGATTAATATTGTGATAAAGGAGATCCACATTAAATAGGTGTATACAAAGCTAAATGCTATGCTGGTACTACCTCTGTTTACGGAAGACTATAGGAGCAAATTAGTGTATTCATACGTTTCATGCATAGTGATCAATATTTGTAGTACTATGACACAACTTGACTGAATCTTCTATACCACTGATAAGTACACTTTGTGAGACTTAATATGAGATTTTGTGCACAAAACATAAAATTTGGCTTCACTTAGCTAGTATCTCTTAAAATTAGTACTCGTATTACAAAAGTCATCATATATACAATATTATATTATCAGACGCCATATATGTATGATAAATATTACTCATCATGAATCAGGCGGCGCAAGTATTCAACAGTTTCCTTTGGTGAGGAAATCCACAGAGTGCAACCAGCAAGTCTAGCTTTGAAGTCATTTGCCGATCCAACTGGAGCAAATTGGTCACCAACGTGTAGTGTCTGTGAGGGCTTTATTGGATTTTCTGGATCATAGTAATGCTGAAGTGCTCTCACACCTAAATCTTTACCACCAATGTCACACCAAACATCGCTACCACCATCAAAACAACTGTACTGAATTCTTTGTGCAGGTGCAAATCCTTCAAGTGAGTTTTGCAGAGTCAGAACCACTTCTTCTAATTGCTCCCTATCTAGCTGTATCTTAACCATATTGCCAGTCTCAGGATCCTTGAAATGACCTGGGACGATACCAACAGCCCTGGCCTTCCTCATGATAATAGCCTCCTCCGGCAAATTCAACCTTTTCTTTAACCTGTATAAAGTTTTTTCGGCGAAGTCTAATGTTTGAGTGAGATCATCTTGAGACCATGTACACATGCGAGGTAGTAACCACCCCTCCTTATCGATGGCTTCAAATCCAAAACTTTCACCATCTTCATAGTATCTAAAGAGATAGTTTGATTCACCACCCATAACACATAAGTTTCTTTTTTTGGCATATGGTAGATCTGATCCATTTAGAGCGGTAATCAACCCGTTTAGTCTACTTTCATATGTCTTTGCCTCATCATAACCAGCTGCTGTGACAATACCAATACACACACCTTCACTTAATAGCTTAACCAATAACGGGATAACTGGATTAGTATTTACAATTGAACCACCATCTTCATAAAGTGTAACGTCACCATCGAATGTACACATTCTCAATTGGTCTTTGCTCTTTAATTTACGCTGCTTGATGAAATGGAACACTTGTGCCGTATTAAGAATGTGACGGATATCATTAAAGCTAGGTGCTACCATTCTTCTAGAAGAGATAGCTTTTCTAGCGTCTTCCCATAAGAATGCCTTTTCCAAAGGCAACTGAGTGAAAAAAGTACCGATTGTAGGTACCAGCAAGTCCAACCTTGGTTGACCAAGTGGAATGACTTCTTCAACGTCATTGGATTCAATATATTGTCTATATTGGTCGTTTCTCTCATCAAATAAGATCTTATCAGAAACCAGAGATTCAATGTCTTTGAAAATCTCTGCGTACTGCGATCTCACACGCTGAGTAGTGGCCAATTCATCATTATCATCACCATCATGTGAGACAGCATGCAACACAAATGGTGCTGCCAATAAACCTTTAATCCAGTCAATGAACCCATCCTTACGATGGCTTTTCAAATGATATTCAACTCTATACCTCGATGACATCTTATATGCTTTGCTTGCTTACTTCGCTATCTCAACCTAAATACCGTCCAATCAAAACTGAACAATTTGCAACCTAATGTACTGTTGAATCAATGCATAAACGCTGTATAAACTACTTTTGATCGCCAAGCATTAGGTATTCGATATTGCTAGCCGTAATATGCACTTCTTGTGATCTACGTAGATTAAGGATGATTAAGGGGAGAAATGGCCCCTCCCCACTTACGTAAAGTATGATTTTGAATAACGAGCAATGTACGTTTGTTCAAATAAGGCTTCCTTTATATATAGCATTGTCCGCGGTCTAAATTAGTACATTAACATTTGTAATTTAATGCTATTTCTATATGCAAACTACACTATTACGTTCATTATTTAGAGAACATGAATGAGTACATCTTTCAAGTGTAGAATTTCGTGATTGTTACAAAAGATCAGGTTTATCTTTGTTGTGGATATTGACTTTCTTTCATATGCCTGAACAAGTCTACCGTTTGCCATTAATCATCTGAGGTGAGATCTATTATATCTGATACCGAGGTAGATGCATGCGTGGATGAATTAAAGCTTGCAGATGGTCCCGTGCTGGAACTGGAGGTGTTCATTTTTTCTGGCTGGGATGCTGCCGGAGGTTGTTGTCTTCTTCTTGCTAGATATGCATAGGGTTTCTTTGGTATGAATGGAGAGACTAACTGAGGTTCATTTGTTCTCTTGCTAAATATGTTCCTCTCAACAACTGGTATATCACGAAGTGCTGGACTAGGTTCTGTTGTTGGAGTTGGCGCTGATATCGACTTGTTAGCTTTTTGTTGGTGAGTTTTTTCTTGCTCTGTATCTTTGGCCTGCTGTGTTGTTTCTGTTTGATCCTGTGTGCTAGTAGTAATACTATTTAGTTGTACTGGTGAGCCGGATAATCCTAAGAGGTTTTCCGTTGTGGAAATGACCGAACCCCTTCTCTCAAGTCTAGAGGCTCTCCTTGGAGGCGAAGACCCCACAGAGTCCCCAGAAGTACTACCGGCAACATTATTCACAACAGGAGGCTCTGACACAGGAGTTTGTGGTTGGTTAGATGCTAGAGCGGTTACAGTTACGTCTTCCCCATTACTAACAGTCGTATTTTCAATAACCGTGCTATTAATATGATTGCCTGTGGTAGTTCTGGCACTATCATCACCTGATGTTTGTCCTATCTCTGTGCCAGGAAGAACAGAGTCACCGTTCATTACAACAGAATTGCTATTAGATACTGTAGAACTTCTGGAAACGGATTCGTTAGGTAACCGATTAGTCTCCGAATCCCTTGTAGAGTTTGCTCTAATTGTCTCGTTTAATGGAAGGTCCTCTTCATCAGAACTGTCAAGACTTATCACAACCGGCTCTTCAGTATGTTTCTTTTTTGGATGTAATAGATTCTCATCTTCATCGTTATCACTTGCTGACCTTTTCATTCCTACAGCACCAGACTGAGGTCGATGATCTTCTTCTTCCTCTTGAATTGGTTTCCACGACCCATCAGCTGAAATTTCTACTTGTTCCACCTCATCATCTGTGTTTTTCAAAATCTCTAGTACATATTCTGACGTTGCAAGTGAATTCAAATCAACTTCCTTTGAGCACACTGGGCATTCCCATGTTGGTACTTGTTTTTGTGAATGTAGAAACCAATAAGCATCGAAGCATTGTAAATGATCACATTTTCTTGTTTTTACAGGCAGTTTCATCCTTGTATAAGATATTGGACATTGTAGACTCATAATTGTAGATGTTGTTACAAACTCGTCATCTTCATCATTCATCATTTTATCAATATACTGTAGCGTTTCTAGTTTTGGTATTACTTGTCTATCTTTAATCGAATCAATTAGAAATTCAGGCGTCTTCTCTTCTACAGTGCAACAATACATGTAGTAATCCACCTTTGCATAAACATATATTATCTCCAACACATTATGCTGACCAGCAGGACGAATATGTTCAGTGATATCAACCGGTTTAACAGTACCTTTTTTATTTTTAAGACCTTTCAAGTTTTCCCTTAGAACAGTGTTGTTAATAGTTATCTCATTCGGGAGTGGGAACTCAATGGATTTATCACCACCTGACTCCAGTGATGCAAATAATCCACAGAACAAATATACTTTATGATTCGGATTTTGCTTTATATAATCATAATCAGACGCATTTAGTTTGAAACTGGTAATCTTTCTCTCTCGACCGTTATGTTGTTTCAATCTTAGTCCCGATCCAGGTATCATCTTCTTTATCTTGTAGAATATAGATGCACGACATGTAAATGGATCTTTTAAATTCGGGTTCCGACTCTTAGCAGTAGTGCTGCGAGTCGCAGCAGTATGACTAGCGCTGATCTGATATGGATTGACATCACTAGGTCGTACTGCACTCGCACCCATTATGTTAGTAGCTCCTCTTCCTAAGGTTTCCGCCGGAGCGTGACCAGTCGCAACAGGATGTGCAAAAGCACCTGTCCTCAGCGACAACCACAGTTGCTCATACTGAGGCAAGTCTTCATTTAATATTGCCTTCTGCGCTAATATTTTTATTGCTTTAGGTCTCCATGGATCTATGTGACCTTTTGCCATAGATTGCTTTATAAACTGTTTAATTCTATCTTGTAACTCCACCTTTCTACCGGTGACGCCCAAGGAGATACTCCTACAGATAGCTTTCAAATCACTCACTCGGAGAGATTCTATCGAATTAGCTGCATCCTCCATCTCCCGTTGCAAACCACCAGACGTCGCCATCTCCGTTACCTCTATAATATTCCAAATACTCTATATTGCTTCCGTTTACCTAATATAAATTCCAATATTCTTAACAACTACTAGCCATGCTTCTACAGCCACTGAATCAGTGCCGACAATATAATGCCTCTTGAGAATATTGCTTAAAATGCTCCAAGAATCTATTATGGTCCAAAGGATTTCAGGTACAAAAGCTGCATTTTGCACAATTTAGATGATTTCGATCAATTTTTTTCAGTTTACGCACATTCGATCAGATTAAAGAAAAGAGAGCTTGAAGTTGCTGTCGCAGAATAAGAAAGAGGATGAAAAAAATGTAGTCTTACGATTAGTTATTGTAAGTGGCAACAATGCCTATGTAACGACTAACACTATTTTGTCGTGTCTTATAAAAATTACTTGATATTTAAATTTATATCCTAAAGACATGCTTTAAGAATATGGTACAGTGGAAATATAATTTTAGTCTTTTCGTAATTTATTTTGAGAGTATATACTCTTATACTTCTTTGGCAAAATACCTTGCTGTTGTACATGCCCAATACTCTATATCTAGAAAATTCAATCATTCGGGTTGATAAACTAATCGATCAACAAAGGATGTTCAATGCAGAAAATGGAATCCTTCCCACCATTTATTTTTTAAATTTTTATATGTCTTTAGATTCAAAGTGGATCATAGAAATTCATCAGGCGGTAATATCTACGGCGTGCTCTTCAATGTCGCAAATCGTCACTATGCTTTCTTTTAGCACTGCAGTGGTACCTCTTTCGAACTTATAAGATTTCTGTTTGGCCTCTCTGACGTTTGGAGTTCTGTAGTTCCTTAGATACTCAGCGTCCTTACCTATCTCCATCACACACACATCTACATTAGAACCTGAACCCAAGTCGTTCCAGATACCGGCCTCGATGGCATCTGCGGCCAGCTGGATAGCCTCTTCCTTTGTCATGTCTGGTTTCCAATGTGATTCAAGAACTGCCATGGCCGCCAGCGAACCAGACCCTAGAGACTGATAGTAACCCACGTCGGTGGAACCGTGCGCATGTATGGAGAACAGATGTGCACCAGTAGGGTCCACACCAGCCACAATCAAGTATGCACCAATATGGCCTTGGTATTTGAACAAATGCTGCTTCAACATCTGCAGAGCCGACACAACACGAGGTGAACGGTTGGTGTACAGCGAGTGCAGCTCGATATTCGACCCGATCAGCTGTGTGACCGCCTCAGTGTCAGCGGCTGTACCTGCACCTGCACACCATATACGTGGAGATATCCTGTGCAGCTTCGCACAATTCTTGTCCGCGACAATTGGTCCCTGCGTTGAACGCGTATCCGCAGCAATAACTACACCACCAGCAAACTTAACACCAACAATAGTAGTACCTGTAGAAGTAGCCTTCACATCAGCACCTGAAACTTTGCTCACATGAGCATTCCTCTGGTAATTGTCAAAAGATAAACCTGCCATCTTAGCCTCGTGTTCACTTGCCCTGACTCCATCTTTGCCAGACAACCCCCTCCAATTGACTACCAACGCTCATCCTCTTTATATTCATCTACTCTGCGCTTCGAAGGGGAAATTCCACTCCTCCTTATTGCCACCATAACGTACCATGTGATCTCTAAGCCCAAAGGTGAATAGTATAACCAGTTCGCCAATATTACCATAGTATTTCGTTGTAGTTGTATAATCCTGCTGCCAGTCCACGTACATTCAGTTGGTGCCTATTGTGGATGTGCATAACAGAGATACGGATGCCTACGCGGTAGCTTGTAACTTTGGAGGCCAGATACTTTCTTAATCATGACCCAAAAGTGGGATACTGCCTACTGAAAGATCACTGTAATAATAGTACAAAGTTCAGAGACTCCTGTCAATATATATCAGTACCTTGCCTAGGGGAATCAGCAACATTGATAGCCATATGGTATTATGGGTTAAATATCATATCATTCCCTTAGTGACAATCACGAGAACCAAGTCGGGATTCCCTCTTCGAAGATTCAGAAACTGTAATCTTTCAATAGCAAGTTTTGATCAGGACTATTTTGGCAAGCTCCTAAAATTGGGAGACTATTTGGTGCACCTTTTCGATAATAACAAGCCAAGCGCATATACTTGTGACAATGAGTGGCAAAGGTGTGTATAGGAAGAGTGGTACTCTTCCAGTGACGAGACAGATACTGAAGAAGCCAACCACTGGCCAGAAATACCTGCTGGATGAATTGAAGAAACCTAAGCCAAAGGGTATGAAAGGTGTAGGGTACGCGGCTGGTGTGCTGCAACCTCGTGGTTCTCATAGAATTTCTCCACCGGTGGAATTTGTCGATGTCGAGAAATTGATCGATAGCACTGTCCGCACTCCTAGTAAAGATACAGAGGCCAGATCGCAACAGGCTAAGGATAAACTGAATAAAGCTGAGCTAAGAAGGCAGTATCTTGCAGAATCCTTCAGGAAAGAGGAAGAAAGGCTGATTAAGATGCATGAGCTCATCCAGAAACGCGAGCAGTTGGTACAGGAACAGAGACAGCGTGAAATGGAGGAATTAAACGAACCCAGGTCAAGTGACCTAACCATACCTTCATTGAATGAAATGGTTTCAGGAAAACTAATGAGGGACCGAACACCAGAAGAGAAAGAATTGCTTGAGATGAAACGTAGGTATAACAGAGAAACACAGGAACTGCGGATCCAAGAAAACAAGTTGAAGAAGCTGTTGAATCTGTATCACATGTCCAGTGAATTCATCACAACGGAGGAACAATTATTGGCAACTATTGAAAACGTTTTCTCCACCAGAACTGCAACATCAAGCTTTGACTCCATCAAATCGCTACCTAAGAACTCCATCACTAAGGGTAATAATGCATTTGCTCAGGATCTATTCTTCGGTACAAACACCAGGAATGACACATCCGAAGTAGGATTACCCATGGTACAAGATTTCATTAGTGGTGAACTAAACAGACTACATACTAAGGCTAAGGAAAATCTTGAAGTTCAACTGGAACAACAGAAAAACAGCTCTAAAATTGACTTGTAATAATTATCTCGATGAGGCTAAAATGGATGACAACTGTAAAAAAAACTAGTAACCCGCATATCAATTCATACACTGCTGATTACTATAAGTCCTTTTATTTTGTAAATAGTCACACTGCACTTTCATATTAATATACTGATTCCTTTATTCTTTCTGAAAAATAGATATTATTTTTTTATATTCTAATATACAAACATTACCGCCAGCAGGCGCTATTTCACTCTATCGGTGTTATAAGTGTTATATTGTCACCTTTCAATAAAATCCTACCCAGTTTAGTGCCTTGATCAACAAGCTCTCTACCCGACTTCGCCTCAATCGGCACTTCCACAGCGTCATCAATAACAACATTCATAAACTCATCAAACCCGCGAATAGTGCCCCGTATCCTAATCCCAACCTGTTCATATAACCAAAATGTCACAGGTGTTTGTTGCTGTAAATGGTTGAATATACAATTTATAGGTGGAACAATAGCCTTACCTTTACTTTTGCCGGACATTACGCTCCTTCACGTTATATAGATTGCCTATCTCTCAATTCAATACCAATTTCTCGGCTGCTATATAGTTTACCACCAACTTGTTCACTTTCTTGTCTGAGAGTTACTACGTAGCCAGTTGCAACAAATTAAGATGCCCATCAAATGGATTACAATCCTAGTTACTTGCAATTTTTAACTATTTTATCACACTTCAACCTAGCTCACAGAAACTGAAAAATTCTGAAAAATTTACAGAAATTGAATACTATATATTGTTACAAACACTAAAAAAGTGTTACAATTAGTCCAACAATTGCGACGAAGAACCATATTAGTAACTCTATTACTATACTACATCTCCCTACTGTGCGTGCCAAACTTGTTAACTCAAAGGAGCACACTTCCCACTGAAGGTTTTATGAATTGAAGAATTGATAGAAGATTCATAACAGACAAGCTCATCGCCTAGTTTTTTCGACAATGGCAACAGTGAACAACGTCGTTGGGGCACTACAATGTATATCATCTAATAATAGTCAGGATGAGAAGAACAAAGCTTTGCAATATTTGGAGCAGTTTCAAAGATCCTCAGAAGCATGGATGATATGTCACGATATATTGAATAATAACTCTACAGAGCAATCTTTGGAACTACAAATCTTTGCTGCGCAGACACTTAGAAACAAGGTTACATATGATCTGACACAACTTGGAGACAACCTGTCAAGTTTCAAGGATTCAGTACTTCAGATGCTAACTTCCCATAACAATAATCTAGTTATTACACAATTAAACGTCGCGTTGGCTAGATTGTCTATCCAATATTTGAACTGGAAGAACCCAATTCAAGAAATAATCACTGTGCTAAACCCATATCCCGTAGCATTGTTAGGGTTTTTGAGAGTTTTACCAGAAGAAACGCTAGATATAGATTCCACACCATTAACCGAGGATGAATTCAATTCACGCATACATGAGCTGATTAACACAATTGCACAAGATGTTTTACAGTTCTTGATTACTTGTGCTGAAAATATTAGATCTGGAAACTCTAATATCAAATTGGATCATGTATTAAAGTGCATAAGTTCTTGGTCCTTTGAGTTTTCAGTTGATCAGTTGGTAAGCGTTACACCATTAATGAACCTAATTTTTGATGCTTTACTGAATGGTAATGAAGATCATCCTGATATATTTGACGCCGCGGTCGATTGCCTGTGTGTTGTGCTAAAAGAAAGCAGAGATGCATCAAATGATCAAATGGTTTTAGCATTGTATGAAAAGTTGATAGAATTACAGCAGAAGCTGCTTCCAGATTTGGAATCTGTCTCAGCTGATAATGATAGCTGGGATCCGGATCTACTCGAAGGACTAACGCGTTTGTTTGTAGAAGCAGGTGAAGCGTGGTCTGTATTTGTATCAAAGTCTCCAGAAATTTTCAGACCTTTAGTTAAGGTAATACTTTTGCTTTCATGCAAAAATACAGATCTTGATGTGGTTGCTTACACCTTTCAATTTTGGTTTACTCTTAGACAAAATTTGGTTTTGCCCAGATATCAGAAGTCCAAACTTGCATACACAGACTTATACTTAGACTTAATAAATGGGATCATTCTACATTTGAGGTACCCTGATGAGCAATTTTCTTCAAAAGAAGAAGAAGACAAGTTCAAGGATTTTAGATACCATATGGGTGATGTTCTGAAAGACTGTACTGCTGTCGTAGGGACCTCCAAGGCCCTAACACAGCCGCTTGACGCTTTGAATATTGCAATCTCTTCTAATTCAAGCTGGCAATATATTGAAGCACCCTTATTTTCTATGAGAACAATGGCTCAAGAAATATCTTTAACGGAAAATAAACTACTTCCTCAAATCATGCAAATAATATGTACACTACCAGAACACCCAAAAGTTCGTTATGCATCCACATTAGTTCTTGGTAGGTACACGGAATGGACTTCAAAACACCCAGAAACACTGGAACTACAAATACAATATATTCTAAATGGATTCCAACAGGCAAGTGCAGGTGACAAAGAATTAATACCAGCCTCTGCTCATGCTTTAATGTATTTTTGTTCTGACTGTGCCGAATTACTGAGCTCTTTTGTTGACCAACTGATAGAATTCTTCTTTAACGTCCAAGAGTCAATTGACATAGAGTCTCAATTTGAGTTATGCCAAGGTTTAAGTGCTGTTATAAATAAGCAAGATGGGCCCATATTGATTACTACGTTCCAGAAGCTTCTTGACCAGAATTTAAATAAGACAAACTCCTTAATTCCAAAATGGAAACAAAATCCAAGTGAATTTAGTAGATTGATTGCTGACCAAATCGACCTATTGTATGCCTTATTTGAAGAACTGAAACCCAAATTCCACTATCCTGCTCAAGGTGCTGATCCACTCTTACCACAAATAGAATTAATATGGACAACACTAAGATCACTTCTGATTGAGCATGGTGCACTAACCGACGAGCAGATTGCCGAAAGAACGAGTAAGTTTTTAAGGAGACTGTTTGAAAATTATCATATCTTCTGTGAATCTATTTTGCCTTCTGTTGCTGAAGTTCTAGTCCAGGGTTATTCTTCTACTGGATTTGGCTCATATCTTTGGTGCTCTGGTTCTGTGATTGTTATTTTTGGAGATGACGAATCTTTCCCGGTTAGCCCACAATTGAAAGATTCAGTATGGAATTTTGCTCTATCACAATGTCAAACGTTTATGGTCAACTTCAATAAAATTAATCAGAGAGAATTAAAAAATTATCATGATTTGGTTATGGATTTTTTCTCTATGATATCTGACTTGCTGATGTTTTACCCAGAAAATTTCATTTTCTCAACAGAATTGATACAACAAATTCTCAAGGTTGCTGAATTGAGCTTAACAAATATTGAACAGTATGACACGTATATTTTAATTATTCGTTTCATTGATGATCTGATTTCCTGGGGCTTCAAGACTCCACCCATTTCTACACTGGCTATTGAACTTGTTCCAGACGAATGGCGAAAGAGCATTCTTGAGACTGTAATTGTTAAGAATGGTTCCACACTAATAGATTCATTTTTTGTGGGAATTATTTACAAATTTGATTCAAGTGCTCATTCAGACGCAATAAGCACTATTGTGAAATGTCTCAGGTTGGCGTTTGAGGGCAGTAATAACCAACCTGATGTAATAGTCGGATGGCTAGAACATGCATGCCTAACTCTTGGTAACGTTGATCTGAAGGAAAAGGAAAGATTATTGACCGAAGTCGTTCGTGGATTAAATAGAAGGGATTTCAGAAAAGTGAGAGAAGGAGTGAGATTCTTTGTAGAATGGTATTTGAGAAAGAATGTAAATTCTAGATTAGGATAAGATTTAAACTGGGAATGACGCTTCAGAAAAAGTGAATTGATATCTGGTAAGAATTATAGCATTTTAAGTTTTTGAGAATATTTAATTCAAATCACTCTTTTTGATATAATAAATAAAACTTATTATAATATATTTGTTTGTGGAAAATTAATTAAAATATTAGGCATGTGAATATATATCAATGAAATAAAATTATTAATGATTTACTAGAAGGTCGAAATGTCTAGACATCTTGATGGGTAAGTTTATTCAAAACTTGTGGATAACTCCTGAATATTTCATCAAAGCGATCTGGATACTGAGCTTGGAATACCTCGGGGTCATGGCCAAGTGCTGTGAAGAATGTAGCACAGCCGGATCTGATCGTTTCATTTGCTATGTTTGTCAATTGCAAAGCAATCACAAATGCGAAAGCCATCAATGGCGCGTTAAAGTCTCCGTCTGAATTGTAACCTGGCTTAGTGAAACGTAAGTAGAGGAATGCAAACAAACAGGACATGTAACTTGCAAATAGGGAGTAAAATCCAAGAGCTACATTAACTAAGTTGTCATTAATTAATGCGTCAATACCCTTCTCTCTGAACATATACCAGGTTTGTTTTGCCGCTTTCAAATATGGTTTACCATAAAGTGCAATTATACAGTAGGCATAGTGGTTGAAATACTGGGCAATCCATTGAATAAAACCTACTAACATGTCAATTAACCAAAATATTATTCTAATCCAATTCGCATTGTCAGTACTTGCAATTGCCGCTTGTTTACCCAATTGCAGTAGCTGTCTAAATGTTTCGATAATCGAAACAATCAAAGACCCAAAACAAATCGATCCAAATGAGTATGTCATAGCACGTTTGAAAGCTCCCATAGCTGGCCACTTTGGCATTCCTTGGTCAGATTTGTATCTATAATACCAAGATCCAAACACACCAGAAACAGTACAGTGCATGACATTACGAATAACTTCTGAAATATAGTACCCACAAAAGAAGACCACTACCAACACACCAATCAACTTTGCATGTGAACAATCACCACCGGATACGTTACAACCAGAGTTTGTATTACTTGGATCGTATTTCATATATGTTGCAACGACAACAGTTGAGAATAGCATGGCAAACGCAGAGGCCACAATAGTACCAAAGAATGAAACAAATAAGGACTGGGGGCAATTCTTCATTGCTAAGACTATTACCCTTAGAATGGCAACTGTTAGTGGAATTCTGGATCTCATACCCCAGTAACACCATGCAGTCATAAATGTGAAAATTAAGAATACTATACCGGCAGACCAATATTTTAGGGACATATACATTATAGCGGTTCCCAATGCAGCCAAAATATTGACTATCATACCTGCATAAATGAAGAATTTTGGATAAGCTCTGCAAAGTACGATACCTATGAAGGCAAAGAAGATCGCAATGACCACAGAGAATACCAATAGAATCACAGAGTTAGTATTCAGCGTACCTGTGTCAAAATCATGATAGATTCCGGAACCTGTTGAAGAATAAGTTTGAGACCATGCTCGAAGTGTTAGAGAGGCGACTACAATAAACCCACACAAGGTTAAAAGGAACACAATAATGAATGGCCAGTCGTTAAATTTTGGCTTGTTGTTATCTTCTGTAGGAAATACCTCCGCGTATGAGCCTATTGGTGCACCTGCTCCCTCATGGTTCAAATTGTAAAATTCATCGTCTTTTCTGAATTGGTACTGCTGCCCTTGCTGTTGAGGATTCATAGAAGTGTCTCCAGAACAGGAGTCCCCAGAATGTGTCTCGGTTTTCCCATAACTTTCAGGGTAGCCATATGCGTTGCCATTATCTGGTCCTTGTCCTGTGTAAGCCGGTGGAGGCTGTTGTGGTTGATACTGTTTTTCTGTCGACATCGAGTTTTATTTATATACTGTTGTTTGCGACTTTCTCGGTTACATAAAAATACACAAAAGAAATTAGTATTTTTTATCAATCGTTTTTATTTTACTTGTCCTATTCCTGTTATATATACTCCCCGGACATCTCTTTATTATCCACAACTTGACTACTTGGTCTCCCACAAAATCCATATTATTGTGCCTACTACTGCTAATTTTAAAAAATTTAATCAAAGACACTTTAAACCCTTAAATTCCTAATACTGCCTTCACGGACATTCTAAAATTATGAATACTAATTTAATTTAATCTAATTTAATTTGTGTTGCCCCTGCGGTTGTTGTTACTGAGCAACTGATATAGAAGAGATATACTACGTCATTATGTTAGGACGCCCACAGTAATTTCATTAATTCAATTTATATAATTTAGCAGCGACACACAACTCCCCGTACAGTGGCCTGCTATCTGTTCCCTCTAATTGAGAAGACTTTCTTCATTTGGCTTCCACTTGCCTAAGGGCTACGGGAAGTCCGTACTTCATTGTTGGCTCTTTCTGTTGTGCGCTGTTTGTGTGCTGGGATAATATTGCGGAAGAAGGAGGGGCAATACACGGATGCAGAGAAGCTATAAAGTTACTACGGGGGAATCTTAGCTTTCGGATCACAATCTCCTACAAATTTGGTTTCTGCTGGGGGTTCTGGGCATTTTTAAGGGAATTGGGTTAGAGGGCCTTTCATCTCCGCTACTTGGCACTTCTGTTGCGTCACTACGTACCAGATCCCAACCCTAAGAGGAACACAGAAGGGGATGGCCATGCGTAGCACGGGTGGACAAGATAAACTTAATAAAAATCCACGAAACTTAATCGAGTTCCAGACCTTTAATTGTGCAAATGAAAAACAGAAAATATATGCCTACGAGCTTTTCTGAAGAAGTAAGGCAAATTGGAAATGATTCTTGGCGGCAAACTTTGTGCTGTAAGCAAATCGCTTGCCTGTAGCTCTACTCGGCACTAATTAAAAACTATTAGGTAATATGTTCTTTGCGTATATGCATTTCTATATATTTTATGGCACGTTAAATGCATGCCATTATGCGTGATTAAATTATATTATTTGTAAGATATCTATTAAGTCGTGTGACGTGGACGTAACTGTATTTTTTTCTGTTTAATTGGGATGCATTAACTACTAGATGAATGAGCTGGGGTCTGTCTGGCTGACAAGTTTCTCCCATCCAAGGTTGTAGTTCTGCCAGAACTCCTCTGCCATGGCCTGAGATAATGGGTTAGTTGACATTACTTTAGGCATTTGCGCTGGATTGGCAATATTGGCTATTGGGATTCCCTTTGCCATCGCATGCCCGCTTGGGAATTGTGCTTCATCATACTTGTCTAAGCTAGGTGGTTTCGGACGTTCACCAAACGGGCTGTCGTTCTTATAAGCTAGTGGTGGTAAGCCGATGGATTTTGGTTCTTGAGTGTATTTTACCGTAGGAATTATTGCCTGAGGACTACCCACACCTGAGTGGGAAGATAGGGAATATGGAGAACGATCGGCGATTTGTGGGATGGTACGATTAGGGAGTTGCATTTGACTTGGATACGCCTCATATTGGATATTTCTAGTGGATTGTTCATATTGACGGTATCCATCGCCTTGTGCCCCAGGAAGTCTCCCATTATATGGGCTATGCACAGAAGGAGATCGTGGATACGGTGAGCCGTTATTGGGTGATAGCATTGCAGATTGATATACGTTTGACATCATATCCACCTGATCTATATTATTAGGAAATCTATTGGTAACGTATTGGCCAACATTGGCATTCGTATTTTGACCCATGATATTTGGCATTCCCTGCTTATAATATGTATTATTATTATAATCTTTTCCAACAATTGAGGGAAGCATTACCTTCGAATTATTAAGTTCATTACTTCCCGTTGTTATTGATTGATTTAAGGTTGCCGAATCATGCATTACCGCATTGTCTTTGACATACTCGTTTGCTGTTGGACGAGTTTCATTCCTTAACATAGTTTCTTCAGTTTTCTTCCTATATTCGATAACTTTATCAATAATTTTACGATTAACCTTCTCCAAAGAGATTTGAATGAAAAAGATATAGGATCTTAACATGATATTTTTCATTGAATTATTTTCCATACTTAGGAAATTATCAAACACATCAGAATATTCTTGAAATGCATGTAATACTGAAATTGACTTACCTTTGCCTCGTCTCAAACCTGGGCTTACAAAACCTACTTCCTCTGGTCGGGATAGTAGCCGTGGATTATCTTCAAACAATGTTACTTTGAAGTATAAGAACACTGATAAAATTGAAATGGACCGAGCAAATAAATTATTAGATATTGAAATTGATAGTGCCATATAAGGAGGTAAATGAGGGCAATTCGGACTAAAAAATTCTTTGTTTTTGATTTTATCAATATTGAAGCATCGTACAAGCAAGCTTATTGTCAGAGATAGTGACACAGTTAAACAATGAACACTATCATCCTTCAAATCGACGTCATCTTCATTTCTATATTTAATTCTCATTGAGTAGAAGGTTTCTAGCGTTGCCAATGCCAATGTTAAAACTCTTAGGTCATTTAATGGAAAGCTTTCAACTAGTGACAAATTTCGACAGTTACCTATGGATCTAAATTCATCTTCTATAAACTGATAAATCAGTTTACAATATGCATTTAGTGGCGGATCAACAGCAGAATTAAATAACACATTCATCATTGGTCTTGCTAATGATAAAAAGCCAATCATGCGCTTATAATAAGAATCATATTGATTTTTTGACGGTTTGATTTGCTTCAATTCATTTGGTTTATATTGCAAAAGTAAGGGTCGTCCCGCTTCAAAACAGACCCAATAATCAAGATATAGTATCCATACGTACAGTTTTTTAAGGCTGTCAATGCTTCCAACCAAGTTTTGCATATTTCCGTAAGTATGTTCCAGATCAGTATTTAGCGCCAATGTCTGAACCAATCCTGTAAGAGAAAACAAAAGATTTAATAAATGTGTTGTATCTCCTCTAGATGAGTAAATTGTTCTGTAGTAGCAATACATTACCAGAAACTGAGCCTTTTCAATATACATTGTTTTCCCTGAGGTTAACCCTGCAATGAAGATAAAATACTTCTCAATAGAAGCTGGCATTTCTTCAAAAAAATGCTTTATGCACAAAATCATGAGGATGATCCCAAGTTTGTATAAATTGTACTTGTTATCTGGAACAAGCTTTTCAATTAATAGCTCACCATCATCATTCTTTCTATTTCCTGTGATAAAATAATCAGCAAAATCCTTCATAACCTTCTGTTTATCCAATATCTGATTAAGTTCATTTGTTTCTTCGGTGTCAAAGAAAGAAGAAACAATCTGTGCTATTTGAGCATAGGAAGGTAGTTCTTTACATATATCAGCCAAAAGAGAGCCATGATCACTGATTGGCAATGTCTCTACAGTTTTGAGCTCTCTTAACAGAGAAATTTCATGCTTCTTCTTGTATTTTTGTCTTTCCTCCTTGATTTTTACCCATAATGATTGATATTTTTTTGCGAAATCAGAGTTCTGATTTAAGATGTATGTTCGTAGCGATGTAGGCCCATATAGGGTCACTCTACCATAACTCTTGGCCTGCAAGTAGCTATGATTTAGGTACGGATTCACGGAGTATGAAGACCTACCAGAAACACTGTCTGGCGACAAAGTATCTATACTTCCTGGAATGCCCAAGGGAGATTTAGATGCGTCGCTCATCATATTAAGACCGTAGTCATTAGATCGTGACTCGTTTATACTCTTCAGCATATTCTTCGTCTCCTTATCCGCTAATTGTTTTTCCAACGTTCGTATCCTCTCCAGGAGCTGTAAGCTAGAGACAGTACCGTTTTGTACCATCTCAGCAGTAAACGCATTCTCAATGTATACACACACGGGCAAGTTCCTCCTCGCACAGGAAGAGCACCGCGGCTTCTGCTTATCACACTTCAACTTCCGCTTCCTGCAGAAAGCACACGACTTCAAGGGCTTAAACCGCTTCTTGGGACGCTTGCAGTCTGAGTTTTTGTCATTGTCGCGGGGCGACTGCACAGGCTCTTCTTCCACTGGCGGACTAGTCGACATCCTTGTGCTTCTACACTTCCTCTTGCTCCTTCACAACAGAGTATATTAGTTGAGACCCTACTTATATATTAATTTTCTTGCATAATATTACACAGCTGCAGAGAAGATTATCAAGTCCAGTAAGAAAAAAATTAATTATAAAAAGGTTTGAATGTGAAAATCCTAGTGGAAACTGGTGAGTTTGTGCACCAGAAGGGATCAACAACGTCAAGGAACTTACAAGTGGCTCCTGTGCTTTCATACTTCAGTAGTAAAAAAGGAACATGTCAGGTCTTTCTACAGTGGTGTGACTTGTATGGAGATACTCTGGGACTTGGGCTTGAATGGGAGAAGGGGGGCACACTGAAGAAGAAAAGGTAGTATCCCAAAAAGAGTCAAAAGCTTGTTATTAGAATGTAACAAATACTGCAGGTAACGTTCGGCTTAGTGTTTCCAAGGAAGCAGATGCAAAGAAGTGTGATTTTGTGAAGCAGCAGTAGAAAATTAAACAAGCTCCATAATCGTTTGAATGGATCGCAACGCTCATGAAGGTCATGGTATATGGTTATATAGTGAGCCCAATTGAGTATTATATGCGACCTGGCTCCCGATTCTAACTGTCATCAAAAGTTCGTTGAAGCTCCAGCTAGACGTATCCTTAATTACCCAAATGTCTCTGTCAATGGAGGCCAGAAGCGGTCGTGCTAACCAGGTCTATGGTGAAGATGGTGCTAGGCTGGTTGCGGGCTGTGTGTGTTTGACGAGTGATAGACATCATGTTCTTATGATCAGCTCTTCTGCCAACAGAAATAAGTGGATACTTCCTAAAGGTGGTATTGAAACTGATGAGCCAGACTATAAACAGACTGCGATCCGTGAAACCTGGGAAGAAGCAGGGTGTACCGGGGAGATAGTTTCCTCGCTGGGTGTAGTAAAGGATATGAGACCACCAAAGGCTAAGACGATGGACAGAGCTACTTTTGAAAGGGCGAAGAGCGATGCCGAAGTGAACAAGAATCCGCCTAGGTCGGAATTTCATTTCTATGAATTGATAATAGGAAAACTAGAGGACAATTTTCCAGAGATGCATAAACGAGATCGCAAGCTGTTTACATACCGTGAGGCTAAACAGAATCTAGTAGAGGCAAAGAGACCAGAACTCCTGGAGGCTCTCACAAGGTCTAGCATCATCAAGGATTAACAATATCATTAGGGTTTTATGAGCCGCTTGTTGAGATGGCACTTAAAATGTCTATACTTTTAAAAAAAATTAGTAATACTATTCTGGAATTATAAGTTTAATCTATACAAAGAGAAATGCGACGAAAGGTGTTCTGTTGTGCCATTTATGGCTTATTTACCTGGACCACCAAGGAATCCAGACATCATATCTTGCAAGAAATTGGATTGCTTTGGCGCAGTGATGCCAAAATATTCTTGTCCTAAGTAAGATAACTCATTCTTATACTTACTTGCTGATTCAGAGTAATGCTCTTTCAAGTTTTGGAAAAGGTCTTTGTTCCCTGTTTGGCATGTAAGTAATAATAATTGTAGGAAGTTTAGATCGGAGTAATCATTAAAATAGTTCAGTTTAAAACTGTTCTTGTCAACTGTTTGTACTTTTGGTGATACGTGGTCAATAAATTTCTTCAAGAACAGTTCCTTTGCTTCGTAGGCATAAGCAATGTTCTGTATAAATAAGTAGTTCATCACTAACCTGCTGAAATAATCAGCTACAGAACTATTGTCGTTTGCCTGTGTAAACCAACTCCACAATAAGTCAACATACTTCCCTACTGACTCATGTGTTCCCAGCATATAATATCTTTCGGCTTCATATACAAGTCCTCCTGCAACGAGCTTATTACCAATTACATTATGCAGAGTAGGATCGCCAAACTTGAATTCACTGTGTTTGATGGACCAGTTGTTCATACCAGTGACAATATCTTTCAAGTTAGGCTCCTGATCATCGACAAGAACTAGCAACTGTGCCAATCTACCCACAGAAGTTTCGGAGACTTTGATATCGGCCACATCGTAGACCTCTAACAGGTAAAAGATTAGATCAGAAGCAGACCCACCTTGCTTAGCCTTCAGAAATGAGAGAGCACCTTGATTAATCAGCTCAATGGCATGGTCATAGGACTTGCTTCTCACATAACGGTTAGCAATGGTCCTCAGAGTCTGGTGCGCCTCGTAGTAGTCACCTGCAGCAATCCTGCTCTCAAATCTTTGTAGGGTCTTCGCCAATTTCGCACCTACAGCTGAATCCATTTTCGAAAGTCTGTGTAGTAAAGTTTGCACTGAATTGTTGTATTGGTAGACCAGTTTTTAAATAGTTGAACAATCAGAATAGGCTTCAAATACGTTTTTGAGTTTTAGTGATTTTTCATCGGTTCGCTGTGGGAGCTCCAGCTTAACGGGCGAAAACAAAACTCAGCGAACAGGCCATAAACGAATATTAAGGAAACAAACAATATAGCGGGACGAACCTTCATTTGAACAACTTATAGTGGGAAGAAATACTAGCTGCAATTTATACCTTGGTGGAGCTAAATTGGTAGTAGGCTTACGATCAACTAGCACTATGACGTCTCAAGCAATTCAGTTGATAGACGTTAACAAAGAATACAATAAGGAGAGTCTTGAGTATTTCAAGCAATGTGTTGGCACTAGGGATGTTGGGTTTAACTACCATGTAATTTCAGTGTTTGGATCTCAATCGAGTGGTAAGTCGACTCTGTTAAATATACTTTTCAATACTCAGTTTGACACTATGGATGCGCAGGTTAAGAGACAGCAGACCACTAAGGGTATTTGGCTTGCACATACGCAGAATGTCAATAACCACAAGTCCACCACTGATACTGATTCTGACTATTTCATATTGGATGTGGAAGGTTCTGATGGTGCCGAAAGAGGTGAGGATCAGGATTTTGAAAGGAAAGCGGCGCTATTCGCCATCTCTGTATCTGAAGTTCTGATTGTAAATATGTGGGAACAGCAAATTGGTCTATACCAAGGCAATAACATGGGTCTCCTGAAGACTGTTTTTGAGGTCAACCTATCGTTATTTGGCAAGCGTGGTAATGACCACAAAGTTTTACTATTGTTTGTCATAAGAGACCATGTTGGTGTCACACCATTGAAGAGCTTACAAGAATCTTTGATCACTGAACTAGAACAAATTTGGAGTGAACTGAATAAACCTACTGGATGTGAGGAAACTACGTTATACGATTTCTTTGATCTGGAGTTTAAAGGTTTGGGCCATAAGTTGCTACAGGAAGAGCAATTTTATGATGACGTCAAGTCTTTAGGTGATTCTTTTATTGATTCCGAATCTAATGAGTATCTCTTGAAACCAAATTACCACCACAAGTTACCTATTGATGGTTGGAACATGTATGCCGAACAGTGCTGGGAGCAAATAGAAAATAACAGGGATTTGGATTTACCAACACAACAAATACTGGTAGCCAGATTTAAAACTGAAGATATTGCAAATGAGGCATATGCTAAGTTTACAGAGGAATATGAAACAGAGACTGAGAAACGCATCAATGATAAAACTGAGCTAGTTTCGTATTTGAAGAAAATAAAGGATGAGTGCTTGGGAGAATATGATGAGCATGCTTCAAGATATGCGAAAGCTGTTTACGAAGAGAAGAGAATCGAGCTTGTTGATAAAGTGAACGAAAGGCTTTTCACAACTGCATCGAAATACTTGGATATGCTAACTGCAGTATTGCTCACTAAATTGGAGAATGGTATGAAAGAAAAAGAAAACATAAAGCTTCCATTTGAAGACAGGTATTTAAAGCTATTCAAAGACATTGAGGCTGAGTTTGATGCGGCTATAACTGAATTTTTTTCAAAGGATCTTTTAACTAAAATTAAAGACTTTGAATTAAAATTTGCCGCAGATGTTCACGAAAAGAAATTGCAGTTAAGAGAGTCAGAACTGAACGCACTTCTTTCGAAAATAAAGAAGCAACTTACTTTAAGGATAAAGGATGAAGAAATTGAATTATTATCGAAACCTACTCCTGATCTGTGGGACAAAGTTACTGACACTTTTGAAAATATTATGAAGAAGACCTTATCTAGGTTTGCTACTGGTGAAGGAGAATATGAGTTCAAAATGGGTTTGTCAGAAGATGAAAACAAGAAGCAATACCATGCTATAAGAGCATTTGCATGGACGTTGCTAGAAACTGTTGTACATGATTATTTGAAGGAAGATACTATTGTTAGTCTTCTCAGAGATAGATTTGAATCCAAGTTCAGATATGATTCTAATGATGTTCCTAGGTTATGGAAGAACGAAGATGAGATTGATCAATCCTTCAGAGTAGCCAAAGAGCATGCATTAGAGATACTAGATATCTTAACTCTTGCTGTTAAGACTGATGGTACTGAAGTTATCCCTGATGCATTTGAAGATGAGCCAAACGAAGGTTTGATTTATGATGACAGCCACGATGTTTATCACAGTAATCGATTTGCTCATATTCTTAATGAAACGCAAAAGGAAAAGGTACAACAACAGTTTAGAAGACAAATAAACGTTACTGTATTAGATTGCAAGAGATCAATTGTAACTTCTTCTACTCATATTCCTATATGGATTTATGCTGTTATAGTAGTGTTGGGATGGAATGAATTCATGATTGTCATTAGGAATCCATTATTTGTCACTCTTGCCTTGCTGTCCATAGTGTCATTTTATTTCATTCAAAAATTTGGTTTGTGGGGTCCAGTAATGAATGTGGTTAACACTGCATTAGGAGAGAGCAGAACCACTATTAAGGAAAAACTAAGACAATTTGTTCTTGAAGAGCATGAATTGAAGAAAACCGCGAAAGTTGAGGAGGAGATAGAATTACAAGATTTGAGTAAAAACAGTTCTAGTTCAGGGAACGAGGACTCTGACTAATTAAAATCATTTAAGACAATATCTGAAAATAATGCTTACGAATATATTAGGCACTATGCAAAATTCGTAAATTTTTATAAGGTTGTTCTAGTTTAGCCATATACAGGTTCTATATCATATTTATCAATGAACGTTATTAACCACGGTTTGTTTCTAGTACCATTTCGATTACAACTCTACTTGCATCTATGCATGCTTTAATCTAGACCAAGTCTATATATTGTTTCCATTCAGCTATTGCAGCTTGCACAACATGTTGGTCATTTTCACCAAGATCTCTGTTCAGCTTTAAAAGAATTCCTTCCCAAAAACCAAGAAAAGTGTTCAAATCTGAGCTACTGTTAGGTACTGTTACCATTTGACTTGGCAATTCTTTCCAATCCTCTTTTCTCATTGAGTTTCTATCAAAATAATCGGAAAATACGGACAACCAGAATTTTGATATTACTCTTGCAACGTCATTCAAGTCTTTCATGTTCTTAGGGTCATAATTTATTGCTATTATATCTTCGCCATATGATTTATTCATAATGTGGTCTACGATTGTAATCACCATTGCCTGTATATCATTAAATATCTTATTAGCCACTTCATGAAAGTCCAATTTAGAGAATTGAGGGGACGGGGTAGCATTTCCAAGGGAGATGCTTTCTGAGTAAGCCATTTGAGAGATCAATTGTGCTGTCATACCTGGTCTGTATGATACTGTCAACATACCTTCGCTTAGTGCTTTCGCACACAAGTTTTTGTCATTCGATAAAAGGATTACAAGTTTGTGATTAAGCTTCTGTTGTAGATAAAGGCAGCAGTCTAAGATAGCGTCATCTTTCGAGGCACTTGGGTTAATACGCTCCTTTAATCTTTGGCCTACCAGCCCAGATGATCTATCACCCAAATTCTTAAACAGCCATTCGTTAGCGTGTCTTGCAAGCTTGGCAATACTCTTGTCAGACGCCAGTTTCAGACCATCCAGTTCTCTCACGGTGGTGATAGGCGCTACTATAATGTGATTGAACTGGCCAGCAAGCTTCCTCAGCTCTTCTAATGTATTCAGATGGGATATCAGGAAATTGGTGTCCACTACAAACACGGTCTTGTCGGTAGAAACATCCTGTTCGCTGAGCATCGACTGTGGAATAGTGTAGCTCTGCGGTGATATGGGGTCAACAGCCATTCTTTGTTCGGCCAAGTAGTTAGAAATGGACTCTATTTGAACTTCACTTACCACATCAGACATCTCGAAGTCCTGGTCGCCATCTGTATCAAGTATAAGTTGTTCTGGTACAGCATTGTCCTCTGGGTGTGGTGTAGCAGGTCCCTGCCTTTCAGGTCCCTGCCTTTCAGGTCCCTGCCTCTCTTGTCTGTTTTGTGGTGTGGGCTCGAGGCCTGCTTGCCTCTCTATATCTGCAACTGTGTACTTAGCATTGCCGTGTTTTGACTTGAGCATTTGGTGTTGTCCTGAGACTACTTTGTGGCCGGTTTTGTATCAAATTTCAGCTATTGTAGTGAAATACCTTGCTAGTTTGGTATGAGCTGAAAAATGGGAATTGTGGGATGGGGAAGATATCGATTGTTAAGTACGTCCTTATACAGTTACATGCATTTCTAATATATATAAATTAAAAAAATTAGTTTGTATAGTGTGTTTTGTCCTTTTCCATCACTTGGGATGCCAGGTATGTAATCGAGGTTGTGCGGCGAATATAAAGAAGAAGAATGCTAGAGCGTCATTCGCAAGACCTCCCCTTTCTTCTTTACCCATTCAGCCCGCCATCCAAAAGCAGAGATCCCAGTAGGCCATAACCATTAAAAGGAAAGCAGAACACGTAGAACACATAAAACACATAGAACACATAGAACGCGGAGCAAAGATCTCCCCATACATAGAAGAAACTGACGTGGACCCAGTTCCCATTCTTAACGCAAACGACGAGCTTCACGTTCGGATTCCATTAGAACCAAGATGTCGTTCTCTCTAACTGGACCCTTGACGTTTCTGACAATGGTACGAGAGGTGTCTTCCAAGAACTCAACACGGACCTGGGTAACACCACCACGAGAGCCAGTTCTACCTAGAACCTTAATAACTCTGGCCAAAGTAACAGGAGTCTTGTTATCCATCTTTTCGTTCCTTTTCTTTTAATCTATTGTCAAGTGTCTAACAAATATTTCCTTGGCGGTGTCAAAGAAGATCAGTTAGAGGACGGCGTCTTGTACCGCCCATGAGAAAGTAAAATTTTTCACTTCCAGCGAACGCATCGCTTTATATACTTTTTCCCAATTGAAAAAAGTTTGCGTCGGTTTCGTCAGTTGTGTCTGAAAAATTTCCCAAAAAAAAAATTTGGCGGGTCGATGAGATGGGCTTATTAGGGCATTAACTGTAGTTGTTGGGACTATTTGGGGTGGTAGCTGTTGTCTTTGGCTTGGATACAGGGGCATCAGCGATGTCTTTGGAGAAGTTTGGGTACGAGGAGGCGAAGATCAAGGAGATTACCAAGAATCAGAAGATTCTGAGTGAGTTGGAGAAGCTTTTGGGCGAGGTCCAGGTCGGGGAGTTGGACAAGACGCAGAGGGCTATATTGCACCAGTTTGCGACGCTACTGGCCAAGCGGAAGGATGCCGGTGAGGTGAGCACTGCTCTGGTTGTGGAGAATGTTGTGAACGGTGGTATCAAGACCAACTTGCAGATAGACGCTGCGTTCAAGTATGTGGTGGCACACCCGGATGTGGACCAGGAGACGCTGGCCGCCGAGGCTGGTATTGGTGTGCATGTCGGCGAGGAGGATGTCAGACGCAAAGTTGTGGAGTATATCGAGAGCAACAAGAGCAAGATTGAAGAGCAGAGATACAAGCTTGTGCCAGGGATCATGGCGGATGTCAAGAAGATGCCAGAGTTGAAGTGGGCTGAACCACGTTTGTTCAAGCCTATCATTGATGAAGAGATCCTGAAGGCCATTGGTCCTAAGGACGAGAGAGATGTGGTCAAGAAGCAGCCTAAGGCAAAGAAGAATGCCAAGAAGGATGACAGTGGCGACAAGAGCTCTGATTCAAAGGGTGAGAAGAGAACCATGTTCACTGAAGGTTTCCTAGGTGACCTGCACAAAGTCGGTGAGAACCCACAAGCTTACCCTGAGTTGATGGCAGAACACTTGAAAGCCACTGGTGGCAAAGTCCACACCAGATTCCCACCTGAGCCAAATGGTTACTTACATATCGGTCATTCCAAGGCTATCATGGTCAACTTCGGTTACGCCAAGTACCACGACGGTGTGTGCTACTTGAGATTTGACGATACCAATCCAGAAGCTGAAGCCCCAGAGTACTTTGAGTCCATTAAGAGAATGGTTTCGTGGCTGGGCTTTAAGCCATGGAAGGTTACGTACTCCAGTGATTACTTCGATAAGCTGTACGAATTGGCTGAGGTTTTAATAAAGAATGGCAAGGGTTACGTTTGTCACTGTACTGCTGAAGAAATCAAGCGTGGTCGTGGTATCAAAGAGGATGGTACTCCAGGTGGTGAAAGACATGCCTGCAAACACAGAGATCAGAGTGTAGAAAAGAACTTGGAAGAATTCAGAGCTATGAGAGATGGTAAGTACAAGCCAGGTGAAGCTATTCTGAGAATGAAGCAAAACCTAGAATCTCCATCTCCACAGATGTGGGATTTGATTGCCTACAGAGTGCTAAACGCTCCACATCCAAGAACTGGTACCAAATGGAAGATTTACCCAACATACGATTTCACACACTGTTTGGTTGATTCTTTCGAAAACATCACACACTCTCTATGTACTACTGAATTTTACTTATCGAGGGAGAGTTATGAATGGCTATGTGACCAGGTTCACGTCTTTAGACCAGCACAGAGAGAGTATGGTCGTCTAAACATCACCGGTACGGTTTTATCCAAGCGTAAGATTGCTAAGCTTGTTGATGAACATTTCGTTAGAGGTTGGGATGACCCAAGATTATTTACTTTGGAAGCCATTCGTAGACGTGGTGTTCCACCAGGTGCAATCTTATCTTTCATCAATACACTTGGTGTCACAACAAGCACAACCAATATTCAAGTTGTTAGATTTGAGAGCGCAATCAGAAAGTACTTGGAAGATTCTACTCCAAGATTGATGATGATTCTTGATCCAATTGAGGTCGTTGTTGAAAACCTACCAGAGGACTATGAAGAACTTGTTACTATTCCATACAGAGCTGGTACCAAAGAATTCGGTGACAGAAATGTCCCATTCACTAATAAGTTTTACATTGAAAGGGCAGATTTCTCCGAAAATACAGAAGACAAGGAATTCTTCAGACTTACTCCAAACCAACCGGTTGGTTTGATTAAAGTTCCATACACTGTTTCTTTCAAGAGTGTTGAGAAGGATGCTGATGGTAAGATCACTAGAATTCATGTTAAGTACGATAATGAAGACAAGCCAGTGAAGCCAAGAACTTACATCCAATGGGTTCCTATCTCCAAGAAGTACAACTCCCCAGTACGTGTTTCTGAAACCAGAGTTTATAACCAACTCTTCAAGTCTGAAAATCCATCCGCTCATCCAGATGGTTATTTGAAAGACATCAACCCTGAAAGTGAGGTCATTTATGATAAGTCTGTCATTGAACATAATTTCGACCACGTTATCAAGAACTCCCCATGGGTTGTTGATTCCGTTAAGAATTCTGAATTTTATGTTAAAGAAGATAAGTCCGGAAAGGAAATTTGTAGATTCCAGGCTATGAGAGTTGGTTACTTCACTCTTGACAAGGAGAGCACTGATGATAAGATCATTCTAAATAGAATTGTCTCCCTAAAAGACAACACTAAATAATTAGTCTTGTAATATAAGCTAGCATTACGAGTAACGTACTATTGCATAAATATGATCATGTTAAGTATAGACTATAATTTAGACTACTCTGTATATATACATGCGTTAAATATATTTGTTCAGTAAATCTAATATGTCGTGCATAAAGGAAATTTAAATCAGCCCAATATAAAAGGAATGTATGTAGTGGAACTCAAATAGGGAGTATCATGCTAGAATATGTAAAATGGGGAGCCAGTGTAGATTCTTATGTGCATCTTTATGGTAGTTTCGTATCAGCACATAGCATATCGAAGTCAGTATCAATATATTTACCATTCCTCAGTAATGTTTTACACAGCTTTGGTAATACTTCAACCTGTAGTGGTTTACAAGGGAATCTCTCACCATCTATTGAGATTAGACTGTTTTCTATCTTTGGAATAATCTTATAGGCCAAAACTTTACTGTGAATAACTTCTGAATCGAGAACATGCTCTCCTTTATCAATCGACAACAATATAGGAAAGGATTTAGCAACAGGTAAGTTGGCTTTCATTATGATCATATCGAATGTACCATCCGCTGGTAGTGCGGCGGGGAAGAACTTTGTGTTTGCAGCTACGTAAGGCATCTTTCCAGTGTAAAAAACTGACAAATTATTACCTATTTCGTCATCAAGTTTGACCCAATCATTAGGGATGCCATCTTCAACAGGATACTTGATCCTGAGATTTTCTTCTGTAATATTCTCCACCGGTATACCAGAATCGGAGCTCTCAGTATCCGTTTCTGTAATGAGATTTTCGAACTCCAAATATTGTGTGGTTTTATTTTTGGTGTAATGTACAGACAGTTCTCTTTTGGATTGAGCCGCATATTTTACATAGATATCGCATGGATAGCATTTCTTCTGTAGAACGTTAAATGCCACGCCAATGTCAAACCTTAGAGGGCCCATCCATCTTATAAACTCAGTATTAATATCAGATTCAGCGATCACACCATATGTTTGGCTTAGAAACGACAATTTAGGTTCAGGATCTTCGGAGTCAGGTTGAGTACATAGCATTAAATCAATCCTGGACTCGACAGACTTCACAAGGCATAGCGCGGCAAACGATGGGTTGTCTGTCCAATGACAAGATATACTCATGGCGTTACCTGATCCACAAGGCAATTGTGTTACTGTAATTTTATTAAAAGCATCCACTTTATCTTCTCTCATGTATAATCCGTTAATAACTTCATATGGTACACCATCCCCTGAAGCGCAAGCAATAGTGTCGAATTCCTCTAGGTCTATCTCTCGTGCAATATCAGTTGCATGCCTGGAGTACTTAGTCTCCATTAATTCAAAGGAGCATTCACTAGCGATCAATATTGGTTCAATTCTCTTTTTGAATATATGCATTGCTTTGCCTTTACCACCGTGTGGATTAATTATGACAAGAATTGATCTATTTCTCTTGACATTTTGATAACTTTTCTCTATTATCAATTCCACCAAGTCTGGGTTCTCATGAGCCATTGGTACATAATCAATCTGTAACGGCACTGTGCAAGGAACCACATGGTGGTCCTTCATGCATGCGTAAGTCAAGTCAATGTACCGTTGATGCCCTATACCGTGCAGCAACCCCTCAGTTTCGTGAGTCTGTGAATTAGCGCTTGAATCCCTGTAGCGGGCACCCAGAATCCTGCCAAAGGGAATAGTATCGGAAACTGTCGGTGCTTCAGCGATGTCCTCATCCATGGAGAAGGTGGAATTGTCCGGGTCTAAAGAGAGTTCTGCGTCATTGACTCCCAACGGTGCACAGCAAGATAAGAAACACCCACCGAGAATGGAGGATAACCCCTGTGGTTTATGAACCACTTCAGGACAGCAAAACCCTCTGGTCTGAGACTTAATCTTTATACCGGCATCAGTGACTGTGGCCCTCACAGCAACTTCATGTCTCATAACGCTACTGGCAACACGTCTCCTATTAATACTCCGAAACAGAACTGTGACCCACTGCCAAAATATAAGTTGGGATGCTTACTCTTGAAATATTGTTATGATTACATACAACAGTACCAGCTGATCAGCTAACATAGCACTTGCGTGGCAGAGGCCCAATTGAGCAACCATCAGGGCAATCCAGGGACAAGCTCCGGGGAAGCCATCTCCACTGATTACCGGACCCTGACTTCTGAGGGCTCTACTTCGTTGCTAATTAGTTGAGTCGGAATTGCAGCATCCTCTTGATTACTTTTTACACTTTCCTGGTCTAAATTTAGTCTAATTTTCAGATAAACTCTTGCTTTCTATGGTTGCGATGAGCTAAATTTTCCACTTTTCAGCCTATAGGGACAGCTATCACTGGATTGATAAGGTCATTATTGGAGAGAGAGAGAGAAGGCGGCTTGGACTTTATGGCTAGGAGGTGATTATTTAAAGAGGCTGTTGGTTGATTTTTAAATTGCCACTTACATTGAGATAGAGTGGCTGCGGATAAGATGTTGGTGAGCACTTCTGAGGGGCAAAGCGTGGAGCCCAGTGTGGACACAAAGTCTATCCTAAATGGGAATGTGAAGAAGAGGAGTAAGAGGGTGAAGAAGAAAGTTATACGGACGTGTGCTTTTTGTAGGAGACGGAAGCTTAAGTGTGATAATGCTAGACCGATGTGTTCAACCTGTGTGAGCAGGAAGTTCAGTACTTGTATATATGAGGACACTGTGGACACCCGAAAAGTAAAGTTGGAAGAGGTTTTTGATTCTGTGCCGAATTTGACGCTGTTGAAGAAAGTAGAAGAGTTGGAGAAGGCCTTGCAGGCGGTTGATCCAGATACAGCCGCCAAGATTAGCCATCAGGAAAACAGCGTGGTGAACCCTGTTGCTGATATATTCTTTTTACAATCCAAGGGATCTGGGAGGAAGATATTGTATGGCCCTACATCGAGCAGAACATATATACGTCTTCAAAGTCAGGATTTCTTAGATCGATTCAAACAATTGTACGCCAAGGTCAAAGAAGAGCGAAACAAATGGAAGTCCAAGAATAAATTGTCTGTATTAAAGGAATTAGAAGTCATAGATGGTGAGTTTGAACTTGGTGACACGAGGTCATTATTCACTCAAGCAGTGGCGGCGTTGCCATCATATGAGGCAACCCGCAGAGCGATTCAACAGTTCTTCGACAATACATTATTTCATGAAATAAGCTCTACGCTGGACTTCAGCAAAGTTATGAACGATTTTTATCAAGAATTTGAACCTGGTGAATACATTAATGATGGAAAGGAAAGACGGATAGCAGGTGTAAAGGTTTCTCAGAAGAGAAACTTTTATAAGATGGCAGTCATCGTTATGATTGTCTGTCTCCAGCACTATAATGAAGGAGTTCCTATTGCTATTCAGAGGTTCCACATCGCGCTATCGGGTACTACTACTTCAAAAATTCTATACCTGGAACGTACACAGTTCCTTTTACTCAGATATTACTATAGAGAGCTTTACGCCCCTTGCGGTGATGAGATTCATATGCTAAATCTTGTGGATACGTTGTGCACTTCAGCCACTAACATAGGTTTGCATTTGAATCATTCTATTTATGAAGGTCAAGAGGCCAGTATCGGCAGTATGAAGGCCATGGAAAACTTGTGGATATGGGTCATTTACGCTGATGTTAACACATCCCTGCATGTTGGTAGGCCGCTCTTAATTAACAGAGATTTATTAGACGATAGTTTACCAAGTGTCCTTGACAATGATACTGATAAGCCTGGGAGTTATTATTGGAAACTAAAGAGGCTGTTGAAGATAGCCAGAAGGCATATCCATGGTATTTATAATAGGAGGGTTATTCCTAATCTGGTGCAATACTCTGAAGATATTGCACAATATATTGAGAAGGAGTTTCCAGAGTTGTACAGATACACTACCTATGAAGGTATTGATGCGCAATCTGCCTCTGATTACCGTGTGCTGACTTTGGCCATGAATTTATCGATCACCTATTATTCCTTGAGGTTTATTGTGACCAAGGAGAGGTCATTGGAGTTGAAGAATAACATCTTGCAGCAAAGTTTGATTGGTGTCTCTATGGTAGTCAATTTGACCTTATATTGCTACACGCAGGATCTCCACTACTATCCGGATGCTGTGGGAACATCGAAATACATAACACCATACCTGTCCTTTTCGCTTTCAGCTACAAACACGTTGTTCCAGAAGGCCATCACCCTGTTCTGTGCGATGTTGTATTACAAGCTGACGTTATTTGAGAGAGGTAAGTTCCTGAAGAAAGAGCTGAAGGACATTGACCAGCATGATCTGACGACGCTGCGAGTGGCGCCGGGACGCAACATCTCCTTGATCAGCTCGTTCAGAGTGTACTCTGATCTATTTGACAGGTGGCACAACGGCAACGCCAGCAAAGGTATGATGGAAGTCGTTGTGCGGTCGCACACCTTCATCGTCAGTTTGGCGCTGGAGCGTGTGAACAGGACGTTGCTTGCCAAGATCATCGAGTACCGTACCAAAGCGGAGGATGTGTGGATCCCGCTGGAAGAGATGGAGAACGGTGTCGCTGCCACGTCTGGCTCGATGGCACCTCCAGCTCAGATACAACATGAACCACAGCAAGTGCAACCACAGCAAGCGCAGCAAACGCAAGTGCAACCGCACACACATATGGCACATGCACATGAGGGATCGACTAACGGCAGCGGCGCGTCGACGAGAACGCACAGCTCCGGGACCAGCCAGGGGACCAGCCAGGGAACGAGTGTTGGTATGCAGGGCAACGGGTGTCCGTCGCGTATAATGGACGTCGAGACCCCGCTGTCTATGGTGTCGCCCGTGATCACGAGGGACAAGAGTGCCAACGGCAGCATCGCCGGCTCAGACATCAGCAGCATGTACGCGGACGAGATACTCAACGTGCCGAACGTTGACATCGCCGCGGACTCGTTCCTGGACATGGACAGCACAGAGCCAGAGGACGAAAACTCAAACAAGCTCGCGCAGATGCTAGCAGACGAGTTCTGGACCAACTACAACTCGGGCTTCCCGGACATAGTCGACCGCATAGACTACAACACCTTGTTTGAGTGAGTTTACATGCATACATTTTACGTTTAAAAAGCACAGTTACACTACAGAACCACATACCATGCAAATTTAATATAATATAACACCAGTATAATATAAGAATAATACTATATATGCCATACTACGCAGAAGCTCACATGCATTAACGTTATTGGATACGTAATTACTAAGAAACAGCCGTACAACGGAGATTCCCAAGGGGTTTTTTATAATTTAATTTATTAGTTCGCAGGGGGATTAAGGGGAACCTGGAAAAGGGCGTAAACCGTTTTGGAGGAAGAGTATATAAAGGCGGTGGTTTCTGGTGGGGGGGAAGGAATCTGGATGGTACTTGTTTGGGCGGCTAGAGGTCAGCGATATAACTAGATGCCTACAGCTATGAATACACCACCTAGCTCTTCGGAGGTTTACAAGAACAAGATATTTCGGCAGGAGGCCGGGGGCGTTCCCACGATTGAGGTTGAGGAGGAGAAGTGGGTTCCCGATGCTGGGTCTAAGAATCTGGCGAAGCTGATTAACGAGTTTCGGTTTGAGCGTGTGCTTGACAGCGATCCACAGACGAAGAAGATCTCTTTGCTTGGGAAGATTGGCGGGGAGGATGCGATTTTGACCTGTGAGAAGACGCATTTCATGTTTGAGGAGACGGTCAGGAGGCCCTCTGCGGACGGGAGGAGCACGCCCGTTTTCTACCACAGGGAGAACCAGTACTCCTGCCTGACGGGTATTGAAGGTGTGCAAGAGATCAGCTCGAATGATATCTACTACTGGGGTTTGTCTGTCATCAAGCAGCACTTGCAGAAGAATCCCACGGCGAAGTTGAATCTGATATACCCGGCGACAAATATCCACATCAGGCGTTACGACCAGCAGGAATTGCATATGGTCAGGGAGACCCCCGAGATGTACAAGAAATACGTCATACCTTACATCAAGAAGATGACTACGAGCGAGATGATGAAGTGGGTGAACAATATCCTGTACAACGGTGCCGAGGACCACAGGATTGTCTACAAGCATTTGGATCCGCACGATGAGGACGGGTTCCTGATCTTCCCAGATATGAAATGGGACGGTGTCAACCTGGACGCATTGTACTTGATGGCAATAGTCTACAGGGAGGACATCAAGTCGTTGAGAGACTTGAACTCCTCTCATCAGGAATGGTTGAAGAAGCTGAATACAACATTGAGGACAATCGTGCCAGCGTGCTTCAATTACTCCATTCGCCCCGATGAGTTGAGAATATTCGTCCATTACCACCCTTCTTTCTACCATTTCCATGTTCATATTGTTAACGTTAAGCACCCAGGTATTGGCGAAGAAATGGGTCAAGGTAAGACAGTGTTGCTGGATGACATTATTGAAACTTTGAACTACTTGGGTCCAGAGGGCTACATGAACAGAGACTTGACTTACGTCATTGGTGAAAACCATTCCTTGTGGAGACACGGCTTTGACAGAGAACTGGATAATCAGTTGAAAGAAGACGGTATTCCAAGAATCCCTAGAAGCATCAGTAATGCAATTCAGTGAATTGCTAGCATATCGGCCTTGAAGGCATGATATGTTTCTTGAACATACACGCCAATAGATTGGGATATTTATTTTATGCCTGATATAAGTGACGTTGCCAAATCCCACCTTATGATATAAATTCGTTTACCCTTTTTTTTTTTCCTAATTATCTTATTCATTCCATTTTATTTTTCCTATTCCAGCACAACATACTAGTATTCCCACTGCTCGGCATATGGGATGGCTTTTCCCGAAACATTAGTCTGGTTACTCTTGTTTTCGAAGTCATAATGTTACGAGTGTCACTCACCGTTTTGATAGGTCTGTAATTACCATCTTAAAGACGATCTTAACCTTATATAATTCACGACCCTTCTACGGATTTTACTCTTTCTCTATTTACAATTTTCCTCCTCTTCTTTAGTCAAGTATATATTAATAGATTCTATTTCATATACCTCATATATCTGCCGGATGGTTATACTGCATCCGTTATACTACCTACTTGGCAATCATCATTGTTCTCTGAAAATTGTCTCACCCGGAAAGCAGCTCTTGATAATTTCTCGAAAAAATAAGACAGACACTGCAGGTCATGCTAAAGACAGAGTTAACAGGACTGGTTGAGTCAACTATAGAAGTTTAGCAAAGCAATTGACTCTATATCATAGTTTTCAGCGCACTTGGTAGTGCAATATATTATAGACAAGGTGGATATACAAGTATGTCGCTCGTGGCAGAATCGAACAGTGGCACCATAAGTGAGCAGGAACTGGACAAAGTGCAGCTATATTCTGATCTGTGTTTGTATGAGGAGGCACTGACAAAACTAGTGGATAGTGTTGATAATTTTAAACCACAGCTGGAAATTGGTAAGCAACTGATAGAAGCCGATAAGAAACTGTACAGCACGCTGGACCTGTTACCTCAATATGATTCTGTGTTCACGAGGCTAAGGACATTGGACGACGAAATATCAAAGGTCGACCAACAAACCAAAAATATACTATCAATTCTGAATGAGTGTCATGATGATTTAAATGCTTTGCCGCTATTGGAAGAAGTAGAGTTTGAAAAGAAGATGATTCTAAAGCAGCGCGAAAAGATAAAATCTAACGTACTGTTGGAGTATGCAACGAAGCTGGCCAAATTTACGAAAATACCGCCTACATTCGATAAAGGTACAATTGGTCCTAACAATTTTATCTGGCCTGCAGAAGATGCTTTGAGAAAAGGTATGTTGGCCATGGCTTCATTACATGGCAAGGAACTTACAAAACTACCAGGACAGGAGGATGGTGAAGAAGATGGCAGCACAGCCAATGAGGATAAGAATATTGTGAAAGATGCTGAGGGTGCTGAGGGTGAAATACGGCAAGATGATAAAAAGGAAGATGATTCATTTGTCTTCGGTGCAAATGCCAATGACGCTGAAGGTGACGAAGATAAGAATGCTGGAGAGGATGAAGATGAAGCCATGGACTCTGATTTAGATTTATTTAATCCAGATGAGTTTTAGTTATTCGATTGAACCGTTCATATATGACGTTCAGATTCCAATGCAGACGGGCGTGGAATGAAATTCGTGGTGTTCATATAGCAATTTACATCAATTATTTACATATATATACTATTTTATCAACTATGCTCTGTTGTACTTCTTGAGGGCAATCTTTTTATCTCATATATTGATGGTTGTCATTGATGAAACTGTATGCTTTTACTTATTTTCCTTTTCTTGGACTAAAGCATCAGTGGAATAATCACTGAAACTCATACGTCTTAGTCTTTGACCTGAGTCATCCTTTGCACCTACTAATTCTTCTTTGAACTTTTGGAAGGCTTTTGTTAAGTTTTCTTCTTCTATTTCAAGACCTTTTTGTTCCCTCCATTCAAAGTAATCCTTTTGGAATTCTTCCCATTCGTGTTTGGCATTAGACCATTGGCCGTCCTGGATATCGATTGTAGGAATACCCAAAGTGATGGAAGGTTCCTCTGATTTTTGCCTGGTTTCTTCGTAGGCATGCTTTTCTTTCAAGATATCACCCAAAGTTCCAGAAGAGGCAGCAATCTTCTTTTCGACCTCTTTTTGTTGCTTGGCTTCTACTTGCAGTGGTTGCAATGATTTGCATGCATTTACCACCTTCTTAGCATAAGGACCTCTAAAGGCAAAGAAGGACAAAGCAACAATAATATGACCGTAAAAGTAGACTGTACTCCATGCTTGCATTGAAGTTTTAAAATCTAAGATTATGAATGGGATAACTAGATATCCGAATGACAACTTGATAACATAAAAGCAAATCAAATCATACAGCCATTTTGATGCAGCAGCTGTTTTACCATCTGCTTGCAGAAAAATTGGTCTGAAATTTCTTCTGTAGAATTTACCACATGTTTGATATAGGGCACCTGTTGCAAAAGTCATATAATAGCCAGGTCTAGTTCCATGCCAGAATGCTGATGTTAGGAATGTAAATAAAGTAGAACGGAAACCTGGTTTCTTCCCCTTCTTCGCCACACGTAGATAGATATAGTATTTCAGCCATTTATTTGTATTCATATTCCAGGCCTCTAGGCATTCCTTTGTACTTTGAGCAAACTCAACGTGGTATACATCAATATTTTGAACCCTATTCCATTTGATCTTTTTAGTCTTTGGGTCATAGCCGTTGTATCCTAATCCACAAAGAATGCATGCGCCTTCGGCTATTGTCCAGGCAGCGTAATATTTGAGTCTTTGAATGAAACCTAGTAAAGACATGTAATGAATTCTGTATATGAAAGAGCGCTTCATGAATGTTTCTCTGTTTAGTACGTATGAAACTGGGAAATATTTTGGTCCTAAGGTACTCAATACAATCCAAAATATACCTTGGATAACTTTCCAGCCTGCCAAAGTACCGTTTTTTGGAATTGTTCTATAGTACTTATTACTTCCTTGTTTTTGGTCTGGTAAGTCATGAAACATTTCACAATCTAGCCAGCTTTCGAAATCAGCGTATTCAAAACTTGGGCCTGTTAGGATTGTAGAGTAGAAGAACGTGTAAGCCATAAATCTCAATAGACTGGGGTGTTTTCTGATCGCTTTCGACTTCTGGTAGCTAGACAACTCTTCATAGCTATGGTCCTTTAGATACGTACCATCGTAATACGACCATGCGAAAGATGTCAATTTCATAGCTAGAACCATTTGGGCGCTGGTAATGTCAACAGAGTTCTGGCCAGGTGCTTTCTCCACAAAGAATTGTATGTAGGAGTGGTTCAATGCTAAGTGACCCATTACAAACACAAACACCAAATGAGGCATCAGACTAGACTTGTAAAACCTAGAAGTCGCATAGGTGAATAGGGAGCTGATCAGCAGCGTCCTTACTCCACCTATCAAGTTCATGATACCGACCAAGTACAGCATACACATGCTAATGATATACACACACTTCAGGTTTTTCTTGTCATTAGGCAATCTCTTCAGCACCGCATTCAAAGGGAATGAACCTAGCAGGCACAGCGCGAACCTGATCATAAAGTCATCAACGCCATATGTCTGCGAAATCCGCAGAATACCAGCATCAATGGGATTATACATAGTTGTGATTATCTGATCTTCGGCGCTGGGCTGATTTCCAGTGTCAAAAACAGCTGCTAAAATCACATCATTGTGGTCTGGTATTTATAAATGTCTGCCAGGAAAGTCACAGTTGAATTTTCGGGCGTCGCTTTGTTGATCCAATTGGAATCTGTTGAGCTTATAGAAATGGGTACCAAAATTATTTGGCAGAGATATATTTAACAAGATATTAGCATCTCACAGGTTTGATTCAGATTACAGTTATATTATATGCATTATTGATTTTGATTATTACACGCTGAACTTCCCCACTCCATTCTTCTACCGAAGTGCGAAAGATAAGTGACTACAAGGGCAAGACTCTCACAGGGTACTTTCCTGTCTTGAACTTTGCGCTAATTAAATGACCCGTTGTATTTGTATAAGGAGGTTAACGTCATCAGTAGAGTTAACGTCATCGGTATGTCAAGGGCCCTTTTGCAATAAAATGAACTGGGATGCGAAGTCTAGACGAGACCCTCGTAAATGTCACTCTTAGTAATTAGAGACCTCCTCGAAGTGAAAAATTATTTGACGTATAAGGCACAGCTGCATTTCTTGGAGCATTTCATGGGGCAAGAAAGAGAAGGATGCAGAGTATATAAACTAGTAGCTTGCTAAACTGTCATTGCAGAATAAATTCTTACAAGTGCAGGAGCTATCACATACCGAAACAGACTTCAATGATCATGAAATCGATAGCTAGACCTGGACTTGGATTTGTCAGACACTTTTCACATACATGTAGCAGACGCACCACTGGTATTGTGCTTATGAACATGGGTGGGCCCTCTACTATTGAGGAGACACACGACTTCCTGTATGAATTGTTTGCCGATAACGATTTGATTCCCATAAGTAAGAAATACCAGCCTCAGATTGCCAAGTACATTGCGAAGTTCCGTACTCCCAAGATCGAGAAGCAATACAAGGAGATTGGTGGCGGTTCGCCTATCCGTAAGTGGTCAGAGTACCAAGCTGCGGAGGTTTGCAAGATCTTAGATGAGACATGTCCCGACACTGCCCCTCACAAGCCATATGTAGCCTTCCGCTATGCAAGACCGCTCACTGATGAAACCTACAAGCAGATGTTGCAAGATGGTGTTACTAGGGCTGTAGCATTCTCCCAGTACCCTCAATTTTCCTATTCTACCACTGGTTCTTCTATTAACGAGTTATGGAGGCAGATCAAGAAACTTGATCCTGAGAGAAAAGTTAACTGGTCATGCATTGACAGATGGCCAACCAATGACGGTCTAACCACTGCATTTGCTGAAAATATCAAGAAGTCTCTTGAGACTTATCCAAAGGATATTAGAGACAAGGTTGTGCTCTTGTTTTCAGCTCACTCTTTGCCTATGGACGTGGTGAACACAGGTGATGCATACCCACAAGAAGTAGGCGCCACAGTTCAAAAGGTTATGGAGAAATTGAACTTCTGCAACCCTTATAGACTTACCTGGCAATCACAAGTGGGTCCAAAGCCTTGGTTGGGTGCCCAGACTGCACAGATGGCTGAGTACTTGGGCGAAAGAGCTGAAGGTGTTATATTTATCCCTATTGCTTTCACATCTGACCACATCGAGACTCTATATGAAATTGGTAAGGAGGTCATCGGCGAATCCAAGTATAAGGACAAGTTTAGAAGATGTGAATCATTGAACGGAAGTCCTGTATTTATTAAAGGTATGGCCGATCTAGTCAAGGACCATCTCAAGAGTAACCAGTTGTATTCTAAGCAATTACCACTAGATTTTAAACTAGGGAAGTCTAACGACCCGGTTACCGATTTCTCAAAGATGTTTGGTAAGCAAAACTAATTGATGACCCGCTAACGAATTTTTATTCTTTTCATTCGACGCTATTTTATTTTTCAGACTATTTTATTTATTGATAGAGATGAGTATTACAACAGAACTGGTAGATTCTATCCATCTGATAGAGTTACAATCTAATATTCTGATTTTCTTTCTCAATATTTTAACGTATATATTTATTTATTTCAATAATATTTATTAAAGATGACTAACCCAACTTTATAAAATGATGATTATAGATCACAGCCTCTCCTTTACCTTTCGATATTCAGGATTATAATTATTTTTTAAATATACAACACCTTCGCAAGACTCTATTATCGGCATATATCAACTGCCTCATGGTTACCTTAGCGATGGCCTATCATCTTTCTCGCTCGGCTTTTCACCCCCGCAATAATGATAAAGTCCGATAGCTGAAGGAATTTTCAGGAACCAAAAATCAACTTGAGTCAGGTACTATAGAAACCGGTACATAAGTCATCCATTATTGTTTCTTTGACACCGACTGTATGCAGTAGAAGAGGTTTGTAATAGCGATCGTGTTCCATACCTTTTGTTTGGTTCTAAGACTGGCCTTGTTTCATTGCGTCAAAGATACAAATTATTTCAGGTTGCCTAGGAATAGCTCATGCACCTGTCATAGGGACTAAGTCTACTTATTGGTTAAAAATATTGAGTGTAATTTAAAAATACATTTGTTATTTACATGTCGATTTCAAAGTTTGGGAAAAGATCTTTTAGAAATGTTGCTAGCAAGTTGCTGAGGTTATCCTCATTGGGTGAAAAGAGTTCTGAGGTTGTAGGTAAAGATGGAAGTGCTATTATACATGCTACTGCCCCTACTGCAAAGCCACTATATGAGATTGTGAGGGACCTGCCGAGATTATTTCCTCGCTCATTAGCTGAGTCAAAGCGTGATTACGCTACCTTTCACAGTAATGTTGACTTAATGCAGTTGGAGTTGCTCCGAACGTTGCCTTTCTTTGAAAGGACAGGTTACAACAAAAGAGCATATTTGAGGAAAACTGAGATAGATAGTGATGGCAACTATATCAATGAGCTTGTTATTGAACCTGCGAATGTGGACCCGAATAAGAAGAGGAAAAGACTGATTTTTGTACACGGATATGGGGCTGGGCTTGGTTTCTATTTGAAAAATTATGAACACCTACCATTGCTGGATGATTCTTGGTCTATACATGCTATTGATCTGCCCGGTTATGGCTTCTCGTCAAGAATGGATTTTCCTTTCCAGTTCCCAAGAGATGATACATCAGTGGTGTGCGACTGGTTTATAAGTAGGCTACGAACTTTGTTTGAGAAAAGAGGATTTGATAAATCTGATAATATCGTGATGGCTCACTCAATGGGTGCATATCTTATGGCTTTCTATTTGAATAAATACCCAGACTCAGTGAAAAAGATGGTAATGTGTTCGCCTGCTGGTATCTCACGAAGTCAGTATAGTATTAACAACAATATCACTGAAGATATTTCCTCTGGGAAAGAGGAAATCAAACTAAAAATAAAGAAGGTGCCTTGGTGGTACACAAAGCTATGGGATCGCAACATTTCACCATTTGTGCTGGTAAGAAAGACAGGAATATTAGGTTCTAAGATTACTTCAGGCTGGACCTACAGAAGATTTAAACCGATATTATTGAATAAAGAGAATAATTATGAGCAATTTGAAAAATTGCACAGATATTCATTTGCCATATTCAATATGAAGGGCTCGGGGGAGTACCTCCTCAGTTTTGTTCTCGAGTGCGGAGGAGACCCCAGGTCACCTTTGGAGAATAGTTTATTTTCCAGTGATGCCAATAAATTTGGCATCGATAATGCAGGTATCAAAAACAGCTCTTGTGAATGGGTGTGGGTTTACGGTGCAAATGATTGGATGGATATCCATGGAGCAGAGAGGGTCACAAAAGATTTCCTTATGAACAATCGCAAGAAAAGTAGAGTGGTGACAATTCCAGAATCGGGACATCACCTCTATTTTGATAACTACCCCATGTTCAATTCATTGTTGATTGACGAAATGAAATCTTTGCAGTAAGCAATATTCTCATTGCAACGCATTGGATTTGTACGTTGTTTCTTTTTTTTTTTTTAAAGGACTATATCCTCTAAACCCCATTTTTCTCCTGCGGTATGCTATACATATTAAGTTAATATTCATAAAAGTTATAATATATTCATGTTTTGTTAATGAAGTGCAATTATTCCAAGGGGATTACGTATTTAAGTGTGGGGGGTCAGAGGTTCTACCACTCTTAGAATTACCTGGAGGGCCTCCCAAAAGGATTGCATTGTTTGCAACTTTTTTCATTTTGACACATATCACTGCGATGAGCTTGTGAAAAATTCTAGTTTTGCTTCAATGATCCTATCGTTGAATAAAAATAATTCCATAGGAATTCACCATAAATTTTAAGCTTGGATACTTTATTCCAACACCTTCGAAATCTAATGAAGGGATAGCTTGTCCTCCGATGCACACAAGCTATTTTCTTTCTTTTTTATTCGAGCTCATTATTACTCACACATGCTATATAAAAGGTAGCTAGTTCATGGCCATTCATCATTGTGCTAATATATATCCATTGTTGTAGTTTAAAGTAATCATCATTCTCGTGAATCAACCTGCACTGGTATTCCATTGATTTATTGTACGCTTAAGTTATGACTGTTCAATCGCATCCACCTAACCTTATCTTCGAGGAAGTTTTCGACCCAGAGGTTATCAGATTCACATTACATGTAAACAGTGAAGCCTGGAAGGGTGTATTAACGAATGACGAGTATGTCGATAGAGAACTTGTACTAGGCTCTAGCGATATTTGCACAAAATACACTTCAGGGTCCGAATATGCTAAGCGTTTTCCAGAATCACATAATTTACTTGGAATTAAGTACTTTGTGTTGAAGGATACTTCTTTGCCAAGTACCGACAAGATGTCTCAAATTGTCTCTAGATGCGAGACTTTGAACAGACTAGGTAGTTGTATTACCCCCAACAGTAAAGGCAAAATTGAGCCCTCTCTCACAATTTGTATTGGTGGTGTTTTTACACCAATTGAGTACAGAGGGAAAGGCTACGCAAAGATAATGATTGAGAAATTGAATAGCTACTATGATGACATCTATGACAAAGCTAGTACAATTACTCATGAGCTATCTAGAACATTGGTTCGTAACATGGTAATCAATCTGTACAGTGAAGTTGGTGAATATTACTCCAAGATGGGCTATGTCAGTAAGCACGTTCCAATTCATGACATTCCAGGACTTGACACATTAAATGAAGAGTACTGTAAAACTGCGACTGTGACTCCAACAGCTGGAAGAATGTTCAAGTACGATGACTACACTGATATGATCGACTTACAAAGCAAGCAATTCAAGAATTCATTGGTAAGATTAGCGAAAGATAATCCAGAAGGTTTCACATTCACAGTAGATGCTGACATCGACATCTTCAAGTGGTTCGAAGACCGTGATATTTTCATTTTCAGCAAGTTACTTGAGAAGAAGAAGTCTCCATTTACCGTTGATGATCTACGGTACGGCTACGCTATTACTGATGGTGAGTATAAAGATGCTCATATTATTTGGCACCACAGTTGGAATGGAAACGAACTAATCATAACTAAGATCTACATTCCTGAAGATAGACAGCAAAATGCCGATGATATAGCTAAAATCCTATTTGGGGAAGCCATAAAAGAAGCAAAGAAGTTTGGCTTGACCAAATTAGAATTCTGGGATGAGGAGATTCCCGCAAACAAATTCCCTGAGTTATTTACTGTACTAGAGAATATGAGTAAGCACGAGTCCAAGACTTTCCTGAGCAACGGATCCTTGAGTGCAGTCAGGCCTCCACATGGTATTCATCCAGAGTTGGTAAGATGGGATAACAACACAAAATTCTGCTGGTTTTAGAACAACATTATCTGTGCTTCACAATTTCTCTTCTGTTTTACGATCCTAATAACATACATGTAAAGTCATTTTATATAAATTTATTTATTATTGCAATAATCCCCTTACAACACCTGCAATAACCGAGTTAAGTGCATACTAATGGAACCGATCAGATATTTTGTTATACTAGTCAATTAATATTATCATTTTAGACGTTATGTAGGATACCTATCCCTCATTTTATTGCTGAAATATGTCAAGAAAACGTATGGGAGTGCTATATTGCTAGTCATCTTAGTCCCAACTGCTGAGTCATCCTGATTTTGTTAGAAATATTAATCGCCGCTGTATATCATAGGGTTCAGATCAAGCGTCGAGCCAATCGCTAATTAGGTCGATACATTTGGTATAAAAGATCAAAGATGGCATTGAGTTTATATCTAAGGATACCTTCGAGAAGGTTCTGCAACTTGTTAAACACATCAGGGCAATCCAACTACAGAGTTGTGAATGGGATCAGTCATAAATTGCTGTTATCGAGGGGATTGATTACTTCTACTGTAGACTGGAAGCCCATTAAGACAGAAAAAACACCCAATGAGGAATCCCAAAACAAGAGTACACTGGGGAAAAAGATTGCCTTAGGCTTGATGATCGCAATGCCTGTAATTGCGTTTGGACTAGGGACATGGCAATTGAAGAGATTAGCATGGAAAACACAACTGATAGCGGAATGTGAAACGAAACTTACTTATGACCCCATAAAACTCCCCAAGAATTTTACTGTCGATATGTGCGAAGACTGGGAATATCGTAAAGTTTTATTGAAGGGTAAGTTCTTACATGAACAGGAGATGTTTGTGGGACCTAGAGTTAGAAATGGTCATAAGGGATATTATCTAATTACACCATTTATCAGAAACGATACTGGGGAAAAATTACTAATCGAAAGAGGGTGGATAGCAGAAGAGAAAGTACCACCTGAGAATAGAACCCTTCACCATTTATCTATGCCTGAAGGGAACAATGTTGAAGTTGTTTGTTTGATTAGACCACCTAAGGAGAGAGGCAGTTTACAATGGGAGCAAGAGGATAAGCAGTCGAGGTTATGGCAGGTGGCTGACATTTACGACATGGCTGCAAAAGTGGGCTGTACACCCATCCACTTCCAAGCCCTATACGATATGAAAGATCACCATTGGGATACAAACGATGAGCAAAGTACAGCTAGTAATGGTAAGTCATCTTGGAAGTTTTGGCAAAAAAATGAAGCTGATAAACAACCCGTGAAACAACCAGTTAAACGGCCAACATTTGAGAAAGAGTTTGACGAATTACAATTTGCCAGAGCAGGTGTACCTATCGGAAAGCAACCAAAAATAGATCTAAGAAACAATCATTTGCAGTACCTGGTCACTTGGTATGGTCTTTCACTATTAAGTTCTATCTTTTTAATTGTTGCCCTGAGGAAATACAATAAAGGTACTGCCATAGCACCAGACCAGTTGAAGAGTGATAAACTAAAGCATGCTAAAAAGTACATGTAAAAGAGGTAATTTTCCAAGTCCGAACAAATTTCTTGGTTTTCTTTCAATCATATTATGTAAATAGAGCTCTTTCCCAGAGAGAGTAATTATGAGAAAGTTTGGGAAAACGAAACCGCCATCTCTCAATATAAATTAGATATTCAATCAAATAAAATGGAATAATAGATGTGTACTCTTATTAAGAAGAATCATCCTATAGACTTCTTAACTACTGGTTACAAGCTCGTATGTCACTATATACTGCATTTACCACATTTTCGCAGTAATAGAAGAGCGCAAATAAACAAATAAGGTCACAATCGCCATGGTTATGGCATCTTTTTACAGATGGTTAAAGTATTGTACAATATTTGCGTTGGATTTGACAATAACTATTGTTAAATAGTTCCTCACTACCTATCTCTGAGAGTTGTAATTGCGAGGGTAGATTGGTGATATGAGTCAAGATATTAGAAAAGAAGATGGTGTGCGATCTGCAACGGAATATAAGTTGTCGATGAGTAGCAACCCTGGATCTCGGAGATCCTCTATGGCAGATGCTGAGTCATTTAATGACGATAATATGGTCCTGAAGAATGATGTTCTCAGGGAATATTTGCTGCCACAGATCAAAGATCTTACTGACTCTGTGGTTACCTTGGACAGCAATATGACGCGACTTAACTTCATTCATGATAATCTAGTTGATCTGAATGAATCTTTTGGTTCCCTATTATACGGTTTGATGTGTAATTCGTGGTGTGTTGAGTTCCCTAATGCGCCAACACGGTTTGATAAGGAGATTAGGTTAATGAATGAAATCGAAGAATTAAGTGCAGAGAAAAGTAAACTGAAGAGCCGATTAAATTCACTAAGAGAAAAGCCAAATGCACAAACGTCAGATGAGAAGATGAAGAAGCCTAGCGGTATAAGCCAACCTATCTTTCAAAAACCAAATGTAAGAAGACCAAGAAATGCACTCAATGACGAAAACTTGCACAAATTTAACAGGGAAAACCCACCAGTCTACGATGATAAAAGAGAAGCGGATGAGGACACCAATAGTGAGGCATCATTTGTTTCAAATCCTGCTAACAGTAAAGATATGCAGCTATTTGCAAATGGCAGTTCCAATAACGATCCAAAGAGTCGACTAAGAAGAAAATCAATTCTGCACACGATACGTAATAGCATTGCTTCAACTTCAGACGCATATGATAGGAAGAAACAACAAGGTATACAGATGGGAAGAGTATCGTTGGGTGGTGGTGCCGCAAGAGTGGTGAGCGGCAGAAATATGTTTGAGCAACAGCGCACTACGAGACACTCAACCACTGGCATACCGAACAGGGTAGTGAAAAAGAGGCCGCCTTTCAAGTGAGATATATATATGAGAACATGCCAATTGCAGTAAGACAAGTACATTGGCATTTAATATAGCATCTCTAAGAAAAGGTACACACAACAAAAAAAAGAAATGAACCCTCCCTTTCATAAATACTGGACTTGTATCAGAATAGGGATGGAAATTGTAATATTATAATTTGCATAGGATTGAAGCTAATATATTATTTAGATACTGACCAATATACTATTAAGCATTAGTTAAACTTCATGTATGAGCAAGACATACCTTGTTCTTTCATGTATCACTGTAAATATGTCGCTAGTGTTCTAATAGCCGGGTAAATATTTTGACAAAATTTGTCTTTTAAAGAAAGAAAAAAAATGCTGGAAAGTTGGAAAACAAGGCCCAATATCAAGCTCAAATTTATATACTATTGACTGTATTGAATTCCGACTATATATCAGTTTTTTTGTTGGAGGATTGATAAGGCGCAAGAACTCGATAGCTTTGTTCTGAAATTGAGACTGTTCTTTCATTGATTCCCGAAAGAATTGGTGATTTTGATTCAGTTTTCTTGCTCAGATCTTTTTTGTTCGACGGTTATTTCCAACATAGCTGTAAGGAAAATAAGAAAGGAGATAATCTACAGCAATTCCAATTCCTCGATAGTTTGCTAACATAAACCCAGAGAGAATTATTTGGCTAGTTGGAGGAGCATGAGTGACCAAGAGAGCGCCTCTCTGAGAGAGGAAAAGAATGAAATAATCAATGGCATGGGTTCAGGAGCTCCAAGTGATGAAGAAGAAGGAGAAGATGTCTTTGATTCATCGGAAGAAGAGGAGGAGGACGATGAAGATGAAGCTAGAAAGATTAGTGAAGGTTTTATTGTAAATGATGAAGACGAAGATGAGGATGAGGATGACGAAAATGTAGCTGACAAAAAGAAAAAGAGGAGACATAAGAGAAGGGCAAGAGAAGAAGAGGATGATAGGCTTTCTGAGGATGATTTGGACCTGTTAATGGAAAATGCTGGTGTCAAACGCCCTACCACTGAAGGTTCGAGTGGAGGAAAACTAAAAAGATTGAAAAGAGTAGGAGATGAAGTTGAATCTGGCGCTGCAGATAGAGAGCAAGAATCTAGTCAAGAGAAAGAATCATCACGTTTGAATGACTTCTTCTCTGATGATGAAGATGAGGAGCCATATGATGAAGAAAATCGTGAAAGATCTAGAGGTTCTCGTGAATACGATAGAGGTGAATCGAATCATCAAGGTGATAACCGTAAATCAGGTATGTTAGACGAGTTAGATGACTTCATTGAAGAAGATGAATTCTCCGATGAGGATGAGGAAACCCGTCAACAGAGGTTGCTCGAGAGAAAAATGATGAGAGAGCAAAGAATGAAAGCTCCAACTAAGATCACAGGTCTTTCATCTGATAAGATTGATGAAATGTACGACGTTTTTGGTGACGGCCATGATTATGATTGGGCGCTAGAAATCGAAAATGAGGAGCTTGAAGGTGGTGATATCAATGAACAGTCTGAGGAATTTGATGAGGAAACAGGAATGACCAAGAGTTCAAAGAAGAAAATCAGTTTACAAGATATCTATGATTTACAAGATCTGAAAAAAAACTTGATGACTGATGAAGATATGCTAATCCGTAAAACAGATATACCTGAAAGGTATCAAGAACTAAGATCAGGCCTAGTAAATCATGGTAATTTAAGTGATAACGACCAAGAACTTGAGAAGAATTGGATAAGTGAGAAAATTGCTGTTGACAAGAATTTCTCTGCTGATTATGATCTTACTGAGTTTAAGGAAGCTGTAGGAAACGCAATCAAGTTTATTACTAAGGAAAACCTTGAAGTTCCATTCATATATGCTTACCGTAGGAACTACATTTCTTCTAGAGAACGTGATGGTTTTCTTCTAACTGAGGACGACTTATGGGAGATTGTTCACCTTGATATTGAGTTCCAAAGTATTATCAATAAGAGAGATTATGTGAAGAGATTTTACAGCGAGCTTGGTATTAGTGACCCTCTTGTTGACGAGTACTTTAAAAATCAAAGTACTGGATCTGTTGCAGAGTTAAATTCCTTACAAGATATCTATAATTATCTTGAATTTAAATATGCACAGGAGATTAATGACAACTTGCAAAAGGAATCTGATAAATCGGGAAAGAAGCATTTGAAAAACTCCAATTATGAGAAATTTAAGAGTAGCGCTTTGTACAAAGTTATCGAAGCAGTAGGAGTTTCAGCAGATCAAATTGGTAACAATATTAGCTCTCAGCATCAAATTCACATCCCTAAGGACCATGAAGCTTTGAAACCACTGGAACTTATTGAACTGGTTTTGAATGAGAATGCCGGTGATCTTCAAGTATTTCTGTCGAACATTAAGTTGGCAATGGATACGATACAGAAGTATTACTCTTGGGAAATTTCAAAGAACACCAAAGTGAGAGAAAAAGTGAGAGCCGATTTTTACAGATATTATTTGGTTGATGTAGTTTTAACTACTAAAGGTAAGAGGGAAATTCAAAGAGGTTCTCTTTATGAGGATATAAAATATGCAATTAACAGAACGCCTCTGCATTTCCGTCGTGAACCGGAAATTTTCTTGAAGATGTTGGAAGCTGAGTCATTGAATTTGATGACTTTAAAACTTCATATGTCCTCTCAAAAACAATATGTTGACCATTTATTCCAAATTGCATTAGAAACAACGAACACTTCTGATCTCGCCATCGAGTGGAACAACTTCCGTAAAGCTGCCTTTACACAAGCTATTGAAAAAATCTTCAATGACATTGCTCAAGAAATCAAGGATGATTTAGAAAAAACATGTCAAAAGCTAGTCTGCAAAGTTGTTCGCCATAAATTTATGACTAAACTAGATCAAGCGCCTTATGTTCCAGATTTGAAAGATCCAAAACTACCAAAAATTTTGACACTAACCTGTGGTCAAGGTAGATTTGGCTCTGATGCTATTATAGCGGCTTATGTCAACCGGAAGGGCGAATTCGTAAGAGATTTCAAGATTACTGAAAATCCGTTTGATAGGTCTAATCCAGATAAATTCGAAGAAGTATTCGAAGATATTGTTCAAACATGTCAAATTACTGCAATTGGTATTAATGGTCCTAACCCTAAAACTCAAAAATTATTTAAAAAACTTATCGAAGTTATTCATAAGAAGAATTTGGTTGACTCAAAAGGAACACACATACCAATAATATATGTTGAGGATGAGATCGCTATTAGATATCAAAACTCTGAGAGGGCCGCTCAGGAATTCCCTAACAAACCACCATACGTTAAGTACTGTATTGCACTGGCAAGGTACATGCACTCACCTTTAATGGAATACGCTAACCTGTCTCCAGAAGAGTTAAAATCACTTTCTATACATCCTTTCCAATCGTTTTTATCTCCAGAGTACTTGAACAGAGCCATAGAAACAGCATTTGTAGATATCGTTAATTTGGTTGGTGTCGAAGTGAATAAGGCCACAGATAACTCATATTATGCTTCGGTTTTAAGATTTGTGTCAGGTTTTGGTAAGCGTAAGGCTATTGATTTCCTTGAATCACTACAGAGACTAAATGAGCCACTTTTAGCCCGTCAGCAATTAATTACTCATAACATTCTTCATAAGGTCATTTTCATGAATTCGGCAGGTTTCTTGTATATATCATGGAGTAAGAAGAGGCAGAGATATGAGGATCTAGAGCATGATCAGCTTGATAGTACTAGAATTCATCCCGAAGATTATCACTTAGCTACCAAGGTTGCTGCAGATGCATTAGAATATGATCCAGATACAATTGCAGAAAAGGAAGAAAATGGCACAATGAGTGAATTCATTGAGTTCTTGCGTGAGGATCCAAATCGTAGGAGTAAATTAGAATCTTTGAACTTAGAATCATACGCTGAAGAGTTAGAAAAGAATACTGGACAAAGGAAGCTGAATAATTTAAACACTATTGTCTTGGAATTACTAGATGGATTCGAAGAGCTAAGAAATGATTTCCATATTATGCAAAGCGAAGAAGTTTTCAGCTCATTGACTGGTGAAACTGATAAAACATTATTCAAGGGTTGCGTTATACCAGTCAGGGTGGAGAGATTCTGGCATAATGATATTGTCTGTGTCACTAACTCGGAGGTGGAATGTATTGTTAATGCACAAAGACATTTGGGTGCTCAAGTACGCAGGCCTCCAAATGAAATTTATGAGTTGAATAAAACTTACCCAGCAAAGGTTATTTTCATTGATTATCCAAACATTACTGCTGAAGTATCTTTACTTGAGCATGATGTCAAGAATGAATATAATCCATTGACGTACAGTAAAGATCCGGCTATCTGGGACTTGAAGCAAGAATTGGAGGACTCTGAAGAAGAAAAGAAGGTAACTATGGCAGAATCAAGAGCTAAGAGAACACATAGAGTTATCAACCATCCATACTACTTCCCATTCAATGGTAAGCAAGCCGAGGATTATTTGAGAAGTAAAGAAAGGGGTGATTTCGTCATCAGACAATCGAGTAGGGGTGATGATCATTTGGCTATTACTTGGAAACTTGATAAAGACTTGTTCCAGCATGTTGATATTCAAGAACTGGAAAAGGAAAATCCACTTGCCCTGGGTAAAGTCTTGGTTGTCGAAGGCCAAAGATACCACGATCTCGATCAAATTATCGTTGAATATTTACAAAACAAGATTAGACTACTGAACGAGCTAACCTCTAATGAAAAGTTCAAGGCAGGTACCAAGAAGGAAGTAGTTAAGTTTATTGAGGATTACTCAAAGGTTAACCCAAAGAAATCAGTCTACTACTTCAGCTTGAACTATGAGAATCCAGGCTGGTTCTACTTGATCTTCAAGTTGAACGCAGAGAGTAAGTTATACATTTGGAATGTCAAACTAACCCACACTGGTTTCTTCTTGGTCAACTATAACTATCCAACTGTCATCCAACTGTGTAATGGTTTCAAGACGTTGTTGAAATCAAGCAATACAAGAAACAGATCAGGTTACAGATAATTTTAAAATTTCTTTTAAATTTCGCTTTTCCTATTTCCCCATCAGCTGGAAGACTAAAATCTAACAGCTTGTAATATAGAAACACTCATTCCCTTTTTCTTTAAGTAAAAAAAAACTATATATTAATACATTACCATTTGTGATAACGATATGCCAATTTCCATTGCTCAAGTGATACCAGCTCTAAGAGATACTATCACTCTTGGAAGAAATGTACACGTCGTATGATGGTATCTCTAGATTTTCAGCAATTTGCAAGCAGCTTGAAACTTTCCTGCGTCGCCCCACCAGGGAAGCCTATGATTGCATAAATGAGCAAGATAGTACCTGAATGGGAGGCCACTAGTTTGGGTCTTCAGTAGCTTACCAACAATAAAGTAACATCTGGGCGCTTAATATCTCGTTAGTGTGACTGGTTTTGTTTTTAAGAGGTACAAGTTTTGGTAGTTTATTGTTTCGGAGAAGTATCTGAAGAAGAGACAAGACTTGCTTGAAGGCAAAAGACGAATTAGTTAAAAATATAAGAGATTTGTTGTAAATCAGGAACTAGACTGATAGATAAAAGAAAAGGATGTCTCAATATTTTGGTAAGACCATTTCGTTGATCTCTGTCACTGATAACAGGTATGTCGGTTTGTTACAGAACATTGACTCTGAAAAGGGTACTGTTACTTTGAATGAGGTGCGCTGTTTTGGTACTGAGGGTCGTAAGAACTGGGGTCCCGATGAGGTTTACCCAAATCCTACTGTCTACCAATCGGTTAAGTTCAACGGTAACGATGTGAAGGATTTGAGCATCTTAGAAGTTAAATTGCATGAAGTTCAGCCTGTTATGCCGCCACCACATGTGTTACAACAGCAGCAACAGCAGCAAGTTGAGCCTAACTCAAATGCAAATGAGGGTTCCTTCCCGGCTCAGACACCATCTGACCAAGCCCCTGTTCCACAACAACAGGCACAACAGGCACCTAAGCCTGATGTACCAGCTGCTGTGTCAGGATATGGTGTCTATGCACCATCAGCTTCTGATAGCACTGCTGTTGGTACAGCAACATTTAGTGACAGCATTGCTTCCTCGACTCAATCTGGTAATGCTAATTCTGATGACTTCAACAAATCATCTCAAGGTTCCAGACAGCAACATAGAAAGCCATCTCATCAGCATGCTGCCCCACATAAAGTTGAAATCCCAGACAGTGACTTTGATTTTGCAACCAACAATGCCAAATTCAGTAAGACTGAAGAAGAAGTTCTTGAAGAAAAACCTGAGTTGCCTGACCAAGATAAATTTTACGACAAGAAGTCATCCTTCTTCGATTCTATATCCACATCCGCTGAGGAAAATACAAATATGAGATGGAGTGAAGAGAAGGAACTAAATTTGGACACATTTGGCCAAGCTTCAGTAAGACCTAGATTCCAGAACGGCAGAGGTGGTAGAGGTGGTAGAGGTAGAGGTAGAGGTCGCGGCAGAGGGCGCGGCAGAGGAGGTAGAGGTTCTTTCAATAATTACGGTCACGATAATTATCAAAACCGCCAGCATTTCAACCAATTCCAGGCTGCCTCAAATGCTCATAATGAGAAATTGGAATTTTAATCACGATAAAGGTTAATCTAAAAGTACTATTATTAACACCTTTCGTTTAGTCATCACTGTACAATACTTAAAAATATGGTCAAACTGGAATTTGATCTAAATCATTTCCCTGGCAGGGAGTTATTCGTGTAATAATTTTGAGGATAGGATGATTGTTGCGAGGTACTTTACGTTTTAGTTTGGTAACATCTTATACTTTTTCCTCGATGTTTCTGAATATGGATAAAGTTTATAATCTTCGTTGTCTGGTTTGTCACCTACATATATAAATTCTATTTTTTTTTCACTTTTTATAGCAAGAATATAATATTAATTCATAAATAAAGTTTTGCTTAAGCAAATTTGCTAGCAACTGAGGGACTCGTTTTACTCAACTCATTTTTACAAAACTGCACGAAAATAGTGCTTTATCTGCAGTGCCGACCACTAAAAGGCCCCTATGATCACTAGTCAGAAGCTTTATACGGCGGTTAGCAAAATAAGTAGACAATTGCCAGCTGTCATTTTTGCTCAAATCAACTGCGTATAATCCATCATTTGATCCTACTATTAAACCCTTTTCTCTATCAGACCATTCAAGAATGGGTTGAGAGTATGAATCTTGCGGAATATTGGTCAGCATATTTAAAATGATACTATTGTATGAGGTGAATGTTTCTTCAGAAAGCATCGAAGGTATTTCCTTCCAAATATCCCCCAAGTTGATTACTATTAGTCTCATAAAAGGTGTGTGTGATGTTGCCACTACAATCTGGCTCTTTTTGGGGTTTGAAGCATTTTCATTGATAGTCATGTCAAGTCCATGGAATGAATGGGACATGAACTGTGCATCATTGAGTGCTATGTTACTTAAATGTAATATTGTATTGGCCTGTGTCATGCAAAATACTAAAATGGATGAGTATTCAAACCTAGATACAAATATTACTGGGTCACCAGTCTCTGGATGTAATGTGGCTTCTATTGCGGTACACTTGGATAGTAATTGGACCTGGTTCAGAATATTTAAGTCAAAAGTATCATCCTGTTTGAGTATGATTTCTGCAACTCTCAATTTAGAGTCTAATCCACAATATGAAAGATACCATCTGCCCTTAATGTTTGACGGTATTATTTTAGCATGTGATACCATTCTTGTATTGAGTGGGAAGGTCTGCAACATTGTCGTGTTCAGAATATCATATGTTACCAGTTTCCCATCTATGCTAATAAAGTAGCAGCAATTAGTACCTTCAAAATATCCAATTTCTTTGCAGATGTTATCATGCTGTATGATGTTATTGGATTCCCATTTACAGTCAGAGCTGAACTTCATTACTGTAGTTGTCTTGTTGGCCTTTGATATAAGCAAGTAAAGTTCCTTCGTTGGTAGCAAGACAAGTTTTGCTGTGACGGGCAAAGACTTTGATTGCTCCAACTCTTCACATTTAAAGGTGTTCCTATAATTCCATTTTGTAAGAGGGAACTCATTATCGGCACGATTACGCTCCTTCTTCAATAGCAATTGCTCATCGAACTTGATTCTATCCTTCACCAATTCTGTCAACTTCATCCGTTCACCACTCAATGCTACATTGTTCAAGTCTACCAGAGATAAGTCTGTCTCATCAAGGAAAGCACTAAGCGTATTGGTGAATCCATTCTCCTCCAGGTATCTTGCTACTAGTAATTTGGTGTAGTCCGGCGACATCGCTGATAGTTGAAGATTTTCACTGTTGATTTCTATAGTCTCAAGGGTGCAGCTTTGGCTTTCTAAATTTTATAAGCAGTAATTGAGCCAAGTTGTAAAGTAACGATGCGATGAGCATTCATAGACACTCATTTTTTTTGGCTAATTATTGACAGAAAGTTCTTAAGAAATAGGTGATGCCCACTAAAACTCCTGCAGAGGCACTTAACCCTTAAAAATTTACGTTTTATTTAATTGTGATGTACATCTTACGCAGGTAATCAGGTGGACTCTGTTTGCGCTTTATCCAACACAAGGTGCACCAAGCCTTAACAGTAGAATATATTTATAAATGTATACCCATAGACTAATGTACTGTAGTTGTCCTACACAGTTGGTTCGGTAAAGGTTGTTTGAAATAGGACCATAAGGACTTTACTAATGCTCTGTACCTTATCCCCAGTGGCAGATTAGTAGGGAAGACTCGATGAAAATATCGTGTCTTCTGATGTATCACATGTTTATTATAAATTTTGCTAACCGTACTCTATTACTTAGATTTTGTGACTTGTGCTTTTCAAATCTACACCCGTACATCTTTTACAACATCCAGACATATCGTGATCTTTAGGCATATTATCTGGTTGTGGTTTATCTTTTGTGGCGGAGGCGTTTTGTTGCGCGTCGGGGAGAACCTCCCCTTGGGGGTGACACAATGTACAGTAGGTGGGCAGTGAAATCCCCACCTGGTACCCTTCCAAACGCCAGTGACAGTAGCATGGCAATGGTACGGTTATCCTCACCTGAGTAAGCAAGGCACTGGGTGTCGTCGTGGGTCTGTTTCATGGCCCTACGTGGTCAGTGTAGGGGATCTTCTATCCAACTTCTGAACGAAAGAAGCGAAGGGCCTTACAGTGCGATACCTCTGTCCCCATCCCATGCAGCACTGGCTTGTGGTAGGGGCCCAGTGTGCTTGGGATAGTCAGTAGTGAACTTCCTGGTAGAGAGGCATTGGCTGGGCAGGCCAGTTCCTTTCTCTGGCCTGAACCTTGTGATCCTTCTATTCCCATCCTTCTACAATCCAGCCCATTAGGGCCAGTAACTCTGTCTAGGCTGGCCAGTCCCGGTGCAGAACGATCTCTGCCAGCCTAAGTCAACACTCCCTAGTGAGAGCTTCGAAGTGGGCTTCCTGTAGGACAGGGACAGGGAGAAGAGCTCTATCTACAGGTGGGGGTACTGATGGGTTCCACACATTGCTCATTGTGTGCGTAATGCTCCCACAGATGGCAGGCATCATTGAATGGGTTACACTTCGTTCAATTTTTTTTTTTCAGCTAGAACACTATAACATAATTTCATCTTAGTTATTATTTAAAACAGTATATTACATTTTGAGTTTGTATTTGGGTCATTTTCAATTCATAAAGAGTACATCGATAAGACTATAGACAACAATGGGTAAGGGTAAGCCAAGAGGTTTGAACTCTGCAAGAAAGTTACGTGTCCACAGAAGAAACAAGTATGTTATTTGAATATTAAGCGATCAGCGGCCTGAGGAGGAAGGAAATACAAGGCAATGGTAACTAGTTCAGTTCATGAGATTTTATGGTAGCAAATCTATCTTGATATGCTTGGACTGTCTCGTCGTAGCAATAAAAAATCAAAGATAGTGTTATGATTAAGTTTGCAAATAAGAGAATCGAATGGCAGTATCAAGGATGATAGAGGAACTGCTTTGATTTGTCGAGATATAAGCTTGAGAACTATGATCTATTTTTACATTTGCATTATTTCCAGCCCTCCAGTATTTTCACCTCCAACAAAATTATTAGGATTTTAATACTAACAGTAATTGTGTTTTTGTTATTCACTACCATTAGTGTACTAATTATAATTTCAATAATACTCCCATTTCAAGCATCTGAATTTACTTTTCTACAGTTGAGACCTTTCTATGGATTGGATAAGCAAACGGACGAGATATCAAACATCTGTTACAGGATATTTGAGTAGTTGTTTCGGATTGATATGTGTTACTGCAGTTACATTAAGCGAAAGGCATCTTTATTTGTTATAGATGTTAATACCACGAAGTGTTACACTTGGATGTTTCTTTTTGTGTTGCAGCAAACTATATTTATTGTAAGACAATTTGATTGCCGTTTCATGAACTATTTCCAAATATGAAAGTCTTATCTAGATAGATTAGTAACCTTGAATGGATGTGAATATGGGTTGGGATTGTTGAAGTAGTATTAATACAGTAGTATAATGAAAAACCTCCTATTCGTGTAGCCGTTGGGCCGAAAACAACTATAAGAAGAGACTTTTGGGTACTGCCTTCAAGTCCTCTCCATTCGGTGGTTCTTCCCACGCTAAGGGTATTGTTTTGGAAAAGCTAGGTATTGAATCCAAGCAACCAAACTCCGCCATTAGAAAGTGTGTCAGAGTCCAATTGATCAAGAACGGTAAGAAGGTTACCGCTTTCGTTCCAAACGATGGTTGTTTGAACTTTGTTGACGAAAACGACGAAGTCTTGTTGGCTGGTTTCGGTAGAAAGGGTAAGGCTAAGGGTGATATTCCAGGTGTTAGATTCAAGGTCGTCAAGGTCTCTGGTGTCTCCTTGTTGGCTTTGTGGAAGGAGAAGAAGGAAAAGCCAAGATCCTAAGTTATCTCGACAAAAGGATATATCAAAAAAATACTTTTTCTGTCATCTTTTCTCAAAAAAAAATTATTTACAGGTTTTTTTTACGCATCTCACAAATAATATAATAAGTTCTTTTTGTTATTGAACATAATAAAAAAATTTATACAAAAAATATACTCTATTATCAAAAATAACGTTTCTTTGTACTTAAAACTAAATATAAAAGAAGTGTGTATCATAACAATTTTCAAATTTCTTAAATTAAATGCCGATCATCTTATGGATCTTTCATGTTCTGACATAAGTAGGGTTACATTTTTGTTTAGTGATGTGTTTGTTGATCATATACACATGAAAAGAGCTCCATATGGGCATACATAATATTACAATAACAGATGCATCTATTCGTACATCAAACATGTTCTCGCTTAGGACGGGAATACCTTCCTGATATAATTAAGAGCTTGTAAGATGGCGTTGAAGCTAGTACATATATACAAAAAAGTGAAAATGCAAAATTTTATAAAACTATCAAAAAGTGTAGGTTAACCAGTAAAACGTGTTAGTTATACTACTATGATATATAATTCGTAAACGTCTATTACTTTAGCTCTACGACAGAATCAAGTGCTTTGTTATCTTTCTCGAGTACATCATTCAGGTATGCAATACCTGATTGTTGGTTCTTTAATATCTCGGCAATCTTGTCAATTCTATCGTAAACTTCGTCTGACACTCTATTATTATCGCCTGATGCGCTTGGCTTTCCTGTTTGACCGCCGTTCTCACCTATTATTACCAACTTGCTATCTAGTTGCTCCGAGATTGTCTTAGCACGTTCTCTCAAGACAGCTAGTCTTGCCCATAGTTCATTGGTCTTACCAAGTCCGGCAGGGTCGTTACTAGATTTCAGTAATTCCTGGAATTGACCCCACATTTTCTCTTCCGAAATAGTTAATGGTAACCTTCTGTTCTTTAGTATAGCCAATTGGGTTCCTAATTTCAATATTCTTTTCTCTATCTGAGCATTCCGCGCCTGTACTTTCATTATTCTAGCCGAGGTTTCAAAGCTATGGCTCTGTTGCAGTTGTTTGGTTTTATCAAGAATTTGATTCAGTATTACCCGAGCTTGTGCAACATTTTCGACCTGTATTTGATTTCTATTGTTCAAGCCTTCAAATCCAAATACTTGGATAGGAATCAAGTCTGAACTTGGTTTGTTCTCAATCGCCTTGTCCCATTCTTCCTGAGATACATTAGTTGGTTTGGTATAAAGGATCGCATCAGTCTCATTCACCTTATTGTAAACAAAAGATCTGAGGCTAGTTTTATAAGAGTTGGAATCCCATGATTCTTTACACTTTAAAATCTGCTCTTGTATTAGTTGTGGATAACGAGAGAGCTGTTGGGATTGTAATTGTTGTGCGGCCAATTGAGGCTGTTGGTTTTGGGGTTGAACCAATGACTGTTGCCCAAGCGTACCTTGTGTTGCTGTATTTGATAGCCCAAAAGATGGTTGTGACAAAGATCCACCGCTAAATGTGTTTTGTTGGTTATTGTTTCCAAAGAGGCCCCCAGAAGTTTGTGGTTGGGTTGCAGTGTTTCCAAAGAGGCCACCAGTGGATGTGCCCGTTGGTTTTGCTCCAAAAAGCCCCCCGGATGTTGTAGTACCAGCAGGCTTTGATCCAAAAAGGCCTCCTCCAGTAGATGTAGAAGCACCAGGTTGTTGATTATTTCCAAAAAGGCCACCTCCAGTGTTTGAAGCCGCAGTTGGTGCACTCCCAAAGAGTCCACCTGAAGCTGCAGGGGCTGTATTACTCGCTCCTTGATTACCAAATAAGCCACCACTTGCAGCAGGCTTTGAACCAAACAAACTGCCAGTAGTATTTGTGGCACCAGTTTGGGTGTTACTGTTTCCAAAAAGACCGCCTGTCTGGCCAGGTTGTGTTTGTTGTGTCTGTGATTGACCAAATAGTCCTCCAGTGGTACTACCAGCTGGTTTGTTACCAAAGAGGCCAGTAGACCCTTGTTGAGGTTGGGATGATGAGCTTCCAAATAGTCCGCCACTTGTACCTGACTGGTTATTCTGGCCAAATAATCCTCCTGCTTGCTGTTGGTTTTGGTTTTGAGTCTGATTTTGACCGAATAAACCACCACCAGGCTGTTGATTTTGGTTTTGGTTTTGGTTTTGGTTTTGGTTTTGGCCAAACAATCCACCGCCTGGTTGTTGTTGCTGATTGTTCTGTTGGGTTCCAAAAAGACCACCAGTATTTCCCTGTGCCTGTTGGTTATTCTGTGCGCCAAACGATAATGCGCTAGTAGCTTGGTTTGTGTTATTTTGACCAAAAAGTGATGTGGATCCGGTGTTTTGTGTCCCAAATCCACCGGTATTACTTCTGTTCATCTGAAACATCTTGAAAATTGGTTAAAATTCTTTAATAAATCTCAGAGTCCCGTTCTTCTAGATGAAAAATGACTGCAACTGTTGTTCAGTTAAGTTCCTCACTAATGATGGCACTCTTATAAGCAATTTTCACAGTACAGAATCAGAAATTGTTGCTGCGATAAATGGCTATACTGTTCTGATAGGAACTGAAACAGTTAGAGGTTGTTTGGTATGCTAGTTTAAGATGTTCCAATTGACCCTTTCCGAAGCTGCTAGATCAATGGCGATGCCCTCTTTTCCAATCTCATTAAGCTTTAGGAATCTCACCTAAAATTGTTTTGTATTGTCATCAGCTCTCCAGAAATTTTACTTTACAACTGCTTCGACGTTATTAGTGATGTATATACATATTGATTGGTGTTGGCACAGTGAATGCTATTAACAATGTTGTAAATGAGTTTAGGATAATAATAATTAGATAATATATATAATGCTAATAAGATATTCACTTCTACTTCAAATCTATCTCTCAAGAAGTATTTCTGACCAGTCCAAATGCGTAGTTTATATCTTTATTTGGTGAAATATGTCAGTCAATAATGACGCCAGTTTAGGGTAATCCGTAGTGTGTTGCAATGTGATATCCGTTAACAGTTTCAAGGATATTTGAAACTCTTGTGATATGCCTAGGAAGTCGTTCCTTATGTGATGGAGAGACTGTGAGTCTAGTTCTGAAAGTGTCTCTAGCAATGTGTGAATCTTCTGGAACAATCTAAATAGTTTTTGCGTTACCGCAATGCATAACTCTTCCTCTAGTGGTTCTGTGTCACATAATGTATGAAGAGATTTACTTAGTTGTTTTAGAACGGTCATATCCTCGGAAATTGTTATGTGATTATTAAGCAACGCTTTTATTTCCTCAAGTTTCTCGAGGTAATCGAGAGTATCTTGTACAGTCTCTTGGGTTCTCGGCATCTCTTTCTCAGTTAGAATCCTTAGCTGGTTCATAAAACTATCCAGGTCGGGAAGAATCTTTTGTAGCTCAAACAATGTGTCATTGTTATTTCCGCCTTGGTATACTTTGCAAAAATTGAGATAGGAGTCATAATTCGCAGCGACACGGTCTAGTAAAACAGTCATCATTTCGTCAGACAGGTCCTTCAGCTGCCTTGTCAGCATGTCCAATGAAATATATTGGAAATTATTCTTTATAAGGAAATGATCAACATCGAAGGGGACTATTGTGCTATCTCGATTAAGCTTTACATCCTGAATACCTTCAGTCTCCTCGGCAAACAAGTCCCGTGAAACTTCAGTCACAGTTGGTAATTCCAATTCATCTTTGCGTAAAGTCTCGGCATCGTTTATATCCAGACCCATCTTTGCACTTTAATGGAAGTAGTATGCTCAATTTTTAAATGCTGATCCCTCTTGTATCCTGAGAATACACAGTAAAATTAATCTAAATCGAATTGGTAATAAGTATTATATCTTCCAATGTAAATACTCATAATATGATAAGATAGTGCAAGTAGCTTACCATATCAATGAGATTATAGAGTCAAGCTACGGATTTATGGACATTGGGCTTGTCCTGCGTGATATCCAGCTGAAGTCCTGATTCCAGTGACAAAAAAAAAGGTCGCAATAATTTGCATATGACTTAGTTGAGTCTCTACGGTTGTTTCAAAACTATCATTGCAGTTAGATACATTATATATTTGGTTTATGTAGCTATTGTGTGGCGCGGTTGAGAATACTTTTATGAATGCTCAGGTTTCATGCTTAATCAGATATGGTAGTCAAAGGCCGGAATGTCATGTATAAGCATCTTTGCCATTTTAGTATAGTGGTTAGTACACATCGTTGTGGCCGATGAAACCCTGGTTCGATTCTAGGAAATGGCATTTTTTTTGCATCCATTACAAATAGATGATATTCAACAATAAATGAAAATAATAGTCAGCCTCTTATCCATATAGATGTTATAAAAAGTTAATAATATGATAAGCAGATGATAAGCAGGTATATTTATTACTTATTATATGCTAGGTGTTATATTTTTACAGTGTCTTACTCAATTTTATTATGTCTATATTTTAAAGCATTAATGAAACCAGGTAGCGATATTGTAACATGGTCATGCAATTTTGATGGTTTACAACATTTCATAATTCGTTTCATAATATTGGTTCATCGACAGTAAAAACATATTTACCGGTCTTTTCTTCATATGATACAAATTTCGTTCCGGGAACTTTTTTCAGTTTATCAATGTGTTTTTTGAGCAGTGTGCTGTTGGCATCCAAAATAGGTTCCCTTGTTGACTTATTTATAGGAAAGCAATCAAAACAAGTAATTTTGGCAGGCACATTCATACCCTCTCCTTTCTTTGGTTTTATTGGAGAATTTGGATATAGAATGCAGGTTTTTGGTTCAAAGTGAATAAGTTTATCACAGATGCTATTCAATGGAACGTTAACCAAATCAACAGGCTCTAAGAATTCAACTTTACCGTAATCCTTATGGCCTACAACCAATCCATTCACACTTCTTAGCTCGACTAAAGGCATTCCGTTTAAGGTATCAAGTGAAGGAATAATGTAATAGCCATGATCCGTGAATGAAATATCATTTACATCAGATAATTGTTCTTTCTTGGTATTGTTAGAATCTATTGCACTACTCTTGTTCACAGATGTTGTATTAAATTCCATAGCAGCCATTGCTTTTGACGGTGTGCTAATCCTTCCACTCGTGTTAACATAAGGAGAAGGTGTGTCATTTCTTGGAGATTCTAATTCTGACTCGTCAACACCTTGATTCTTATTTTTTGCTTCGAAGGTAATTCGCTTATATTCACTATTTGCTATTTTCTCGGGGACCTTTTTATTTTTTATAATCAAGCTTCTGAATGATTTTTTATCTGGGTTGAACAAAAGTTGGTCACCTAGTGATCTACTAGTATTTGTTATGTTTTCCAATGGCAAATGAGTAATTTCTGTACTATTTTTGCTGTCTTTGCTAGCAGAATGGCTTCTTAATGTACTGGTCGTCTTATCATCAGATGACATAAACAAGGCTCTTGGGGCTAAGCGGTAAGCTGATGTTAAGCTTGAATCCTTCTTGGAAGCTGCCTTCATGGTTGAAGGTGGAATTTTGACTGGCTGAGTTAGTGAGTTCGGTAACTTCTGTTCACTATTAGTGCTGTTGGCCAGTGGTAGAGTTGGGTTAGTAGTGTTTATTGAAGATCCTGTACCAAGAGAAGTTGTTTTCACAGTGTTAGGCGCTTGAGCACTGTGATTCAGGGATGTTAGAGCCGGTGCAGTAGAAGGTGCGAGTGTGGATGGTGTTTGAGTTCCAAAAGCTATTGAACTATTGTTATTTTGAGATTTGCTACCAAAAAGACCTCCAGTTGAGGAAGTTGTCGCAGAAGTATTATTTCCTAATGAATTTCCAAAAGTACTTCCCGTGCTACCAGTTGAAGATTTATTTCCAAATAATGATGTAGATCCAGTACCGAGTGTATTTGCAGTTGGTGTTGTGGTATTGGCACTACCAACACCAGTTACAGTAGGTTGTTTATTACCGAACAATCCTCCGGGTGTTGATTGAGCATTGTTTTGACCAAAAAGAGAAGTGCCGGTGGTTTGAGGTGCTCCCAAACCTCCCACTGTGGGTTTAGATCCAAATAGTCCTCCAGGTTGCGAGGTCTGACCTGATTGTTGTGATGCTCCAAATAAGCCTGTTGTTCCCGAAGTATTAGCCGACCCAGGGGGTTTACTGCCGAATAATGAACCGGATGCCTGATTTGCTTGAGTGTTTCCAAAACCTCCAGAAAGAGTGTTCGTGCCATTAGTTGTGTTTTGTGTACCAAATAATCCGCCTCCACCGCTAGCTGGAGTTTTGTTACCAAATAATCCAGAAGTAGAGGTTTGTTGATTTTGGTTAAAACCAGTCGCAGTATTATTTCCAAAACCAATGCCAGTGTTAGTGGCTTGTCCAAAACTGTTCTGTCCTTGTGTATTATTATTTTGCAACACATTTTGATTCAAACCACTGGAGTTATTTTGATTATTATTTTGCCCGAAAAGACCAGTTGTTGGAGTTGATGATGAGCCAAAAGCATTGTTTGCTGTATTAGAGGTACCAAACAAGCCACCGGTAGTGGATTGCGTATTATTACCGAGGTTGCTGTTTCCAAAAAGGCCCGTTGAGTTGCTCTGGCCAAATAAACCACCTGTTGCTGGCTTGTTTTGTTGTCCAAACAGGCCTGTTGAAGTGTTGGTGTTACTCTGTTGTTTCTGACCAAATAAACCTCCTGTCATTGCATTACTGGTATTATTTGATCCGAAGAGTCCGGTACTGTTTTGTTGGTTTTGTTGGTTTTGTTGGTTTTGTCCAAATAATCCACTCTGTTGTTGATTGTTTTGAGATCCAAATAATCCGGTGTTTTGAGATCCAAACTGATTAGTTGGGTTGGAATTTTGACCAAATACACCACCAGTAGTAGTGCTGTTATTATTTCCAAAAGAATTCGAAGCATTTTGTCCAAATAATCCACCAGTCGAAGACGTCCCTGTGCTACCGAACAGGCCACCAGTAGAATTATTGCCGAAAGCGTTATTCATAGTATTTGGTTGTCCAAACGCGTTGGCAGGCTTGTTTTGCGTGAAATTATTAGCGTTATTGTTTTGAGGACCTCCAAAAGCATTAGTTTGATTTTGGTTATTACCAAACAATCCACCACCTGAAGTGTTCTGTTGGCCAAAGAGACCTGTATTGGTGTTACTTGTATTATTTCCAAAAGAATTTGTACCAAATGGAGAATTGTTTTGCATATTATTGGTTGATCCAAAGGCGTTATTGGTAGAATTTGCATTACCAAAGGCATTATTAGTATTTGCTGGTTGGCTTCCAAATAAACCGGTAGAACCCACTGGTTTGCTATTGCCGAAGGGCGAACTCTGGGCACCAAAAACATTTTGAGGTTGGTTTGAGTTAATTCCGAATCCTGGTGTATTATTTGAGCCACCCGCTGCACCAAATGGGCTATTTTGAGCGGTGTTTCCCTGGTTGAATGCATTTCCGGTGTTACCTTGCGTATTCTGAGAGCCAAATAACCCTCCACCGGCGTTGAGACCCGTATTTGCACCAGTATTGAAAGCATTTGATGTGTTATTACCAAAACCAGTTTGTGTAGAAGTACCAAACGCATTGCTATTTGCGCCAAATGCATTAGTATTACTATTCATTCCAGTATTTGCAGCACCAAACGTTTGCGAGTTGTTCCCAAACATAGAATTGGTGTTTCCGAACATGTTTGCTAAATTTTGTTTAGAGGATTAGCAAACAATGCCTTATACTTTTTCAAATAAAGTGCAATAGTTCTTTTTCTGTCACTGTTCTTAATTCCTAAGAAATTGTTGTTCTATGATTTCGAATCAAGGAGCACAAATTCAAAGAATCTTTCAAATAAGATAAACTCTGAAATTGTCTATATGCTTAGTATTTGGTCATCTAAGGGTTCTTAATAGAACAAATATGGCAACATCAATAGTTAGGATCAAAAATTATACATTATGAAAAAAATTTCAAAGCTTTTGAGAATTTGTTGTTTTTCTTTCCGATGCGATGCGATGCCCTGTGAAAAAAATCGGGTTGGGACATCATGACCTGGCACTGCATTAAAAATGAAATAGTTTTAAGTATACAGTTTTCTATTTTGATGGGCTGTACATAATTTGAATATGTATAGACTTGTTTCTTATGCAGAGTATATATATGCAGAATTTAAAAGTTCCTTTTCCGTCTCTATCTTCTCAGGTAGTCCACATTCTGGCTGTGTTATCAGCACCAGCGGAGAATAACCAAGCTTCCTTAGGATGCCAAATAGTATCAAGAACACCCAGATGGCCTTGCACTTTATGACCTGTTAGTTTCTTTAACGGCACAATCATTGGGTTTTTCATCATGTCATCATAGACTGTAGCATGGAAGATATGGATGAAACCATCATCTGCAGCAGAGCAGAATAGTGGTAGTTTTTTGTGGAAAGTCGTACTTCTAACGGCTTTATCGTGGTATCTCAGAGTCTTATATGGGGTAGCAGCCAAGTCCAGATCATGCCATAGAACTCTCTTATCATATGAGGATGCTATCAAGTTGTCACCTCTTGGATGGATATCTATATTAGATAACCAACGAGCGCCTGGCAAAAGTTTCTTGACCAATACTTGTTGTGATAAGTCATAGATTCTAACATATCTTTGTGAACAAACAAATAGCTGCGGCTTGAAAGGATGGAACTTGGCATCCATTATAATACCCTTTGATTTTCTGAAAGGGGATTGTGTTAAATGCTTCGATAGTTGATGGATCAATACGGATGTATTACCAGAGTCTGGTTGAACTGTGACGAAGTAGTCACCCTTTCTATGCCATGATAGCTTCTTGACAGGCTTCTTACATACAATGACAATACAGATATCTTGTTCCATTTGTCTCTGGGTAGGTTTATGCCATTGCGCAACTTGTTTCTTTACGGCTGTATTTGCATTTGCTGCTTCATCATCGGATTCTAAATCAGATCCATTAACCTCTAGATTAGCTTTCTTTGTTGAGCCGAAAGTATCGTAACCAAAACCATGCTCAATTCTAACTTTACCGGCATTCTCAATGTCATAACCAAAAATTGGTGGGACGATTAAGAAAATATTGTTACCGACTGCAACAGCTAATATACCAACAGACCCATCTGGATTCCACTCTACACTGTGTATGTTATCTTCAGGATTATCTTCTTTATTCACTAATTGAACCCTATAAACCTCTCTGCCTGTTAAAATTTCCCAAATTCTTACTGAACCATCATCTGACCCAGTCGCAAGCCAAATACCAGTAGGATCGATGGATAATGTACGAATTTTACCTTCATGACCAGAATAGATGGTGGAACAGCGAATTGGGAATGGTCTCAAGTCCTTTGGAGATGGTAACTCAGGAATTAATGATTCAGGATCAATGTTAAGCTTGTTTTTACGCATTCTTGGTGCTAAGTAAAGATCTAGAGATCTCTCGAATCTCTCTCTCACAGATTCTGTATAACCTGGGACCTTTCTTAAAGAATCATACTTCTTAGGAACAAAGTTCCTCTCTCTTTCACTATATTCAGTATTTTCCCATTCCTTTATTTCTTCTTCTGTTGGTAGATATTCAGCGGGTGGGTTGTAACTTTCTTCATTTGTTGGAGGAGGCAACTTTGGTGCTCTTAAGTTCATTATGTGATCATTTGTTTCTGTTGAGTCACCCCATAGATCGTAATTGAAGTCTTCACTCTTTTCCTTCTCTCTTAATTCCTTCATTTTCTTAGGTGGGATGATACGGCCTTCTCTGATAGCCTTAACAATCTTCATGATTCTCTTAGCTTCATTCTTGGATGGAACAAATCTTCTCTTTGGTTCTGGAGCAGCAGATAGAGGCATCACTTCTTCATGTCTAGTAAACCAATCAATCAATGGTTCGTATGGATTTGTGCTTTCGTCAGTTTGCTCATTTCTTTGTATTTTGGAGATCAATTCAAGTTCTTCTTTACTGATATTCAGACTGGCACCTGATTCCTTGTCCAACAGACCAGTCCATCCTTCAGGAAGCTCAATGGTGTCTAACAGTTGATCCAAAGCGGAGGCTCTGGCTGGTCTCATGATTCTTTTACCATTGACGTCGTAACCAATATGTGGCATTTCATCGTAGACTGATAGTGGGATATTACCAATAGTGTTCTTCGATTCGATGTCACTGTCATCGCTATCGTAAACTGGATTGATTTCTGGTTTTATTACTCTTGGTGTCCCATCAGAAAATTTAGTTTTAATAATTGGCTCTGCAATTGTAGTCAACTTAACGCCTGATAGCTTATCGGTCATTGATTTAGTGTCGTCCTCAGAGAAGTCAGATGTATTGTACTCACTTTCAGAATCATCGCCTTCTTCCTCAGCCAATAGCTTGTTCAATTCCGCATCGGAGTCCTCTTCATCCTCCTCATCCTCCTCGTCCTCTTCAGCGGAAGCATTTTCTTCAGCAGATTCGAAGGACTCATCATCCTCACTCTCAGCCTCAGCATCTATTAGTCCCTCGACTTGCAACTCAGGCTCTGACTCTGACTCGTCGACCTCATCAGCAACTCTCTTCTTGGCCTTCGTAACTTTATCCGCCTTCTGGCTCTTCCTGCCCTTAACCATTCTTCCAAGTAGTGTGTCACTCCTTTCAAATTAGCCTCTCAATATACTGTGAAAAACCAAAAACAAAATCAAAAACAGTGAACAACCTATGTGTTTTATAATAAATCATTCACCTTTTCACTATTATCACACAGCATATGCGATGCTCATCGCAAATTTTTCAATTTTGAATGAAATTTTCTGAAAAAAAATTCCAAGAAAATTTTCCAAAACTTACCCGGAAGTACCTTATTTCAGCAGCGGGTATGAGCACCTGGCCTCGCTACATAAAGAAAGTTGACTAGGCAATCAGGTCTTGAATATTTATGTTGTACATGTGTGTACTACATATTTTATTGTGTTTATTGATGTGTGAAAGTGTATGTTTCTGCTTTTCCATGTACTTTATTGATGACAACCATAAAACTGCATTTGGATCGATCACAATAGCATAAATACTATACGGAGAAATGTCAAGAAATACTAATATAGCTACCCACCTTATCTTATTGGTTCAAGTATCTATATACCAATTTACTTAGATTGTTTTCTTGTAATAGCCTTCTACCGTTAAGGGAACTAGAGATAAAGTGCCTCTCCATATTGGAATCAAGTTGAGTTATACAACTATGTGGTAAGATCACATGATTATTCACTGTTTGATATGATACTAACAGGATTCGTTCAAACATCAACAAATAGTAAGCTCGCGTGGCGTAATGGCAACGCGTCTGACTTCTAATCAGAAGATTATGGGTTCGACCCCCATCGTGAGTGCTTATTTTTTTTTCCTACTTAAATGTAGTAATGTTAATAAACATTACACTCACGCTGCTACAAACGATATTAATTGATGGTATGAGCTAACAATACCATTACTGCGTAACTTAAATTTATTGTTTGAAGACTGGGATTCGAAATTTTTATTTTTTTTATTTCCAAAGACAGGCAATCGTTTGTTGTATTGGAATTACCAACATTTTAATGTTTAGGTTGACTACACGGTCACCAAAATTATAGGATAGGCATTACCTATTAAATAAATCAGAGTACCCTTTTGAAATACGGCCTAAGAATATAAACAAAAATCTCAGTAATTTACCAGTTACATAATTCTACCCAATAGTCAAACAACTAGTACAGGATACCGCTACCAGAGCTGTATAACCAGAACCAATTCCACAGATGAACGAAGGAAGCTATGATAACTTCGAATACTTGAACTTGCTGGCGAAGAACCTGAGCGTTGGTTGCCGAGATAGCAGGAAAGAGACAGATAAAATAGAACTGTTATTGAAACGGTTATCTAAACAATCTGTAGTTTCATATGAAGAGTTCAGCCAAAGACCTAGTGAAGAGACCCTAGATGCGTATAAAAAATTATCAGAACCCACCACAACAGAGCAGTTGATAAGAGAGAATTACCAATTGATGTATGAAATTGAGCAACAGGAGTACATCAATAAGAGAATCATCGCTCTTGTAAATAGCATAAATGAGCATCTAATATCCATCAGAAACTTCATCATAGAGCAGAAACTGGCTAGAGATCAAAATAACGAGATATACATGCATGAGAACTTCACAGTACGAGAAAACCTACTCAAGAATAGTACAGAACTACTGAAAGCTAGGGAACAATGCTCTCGAACCAATACAGAGGTGGTGGTGGAGAAATTCAAAAAGCTATATGCTGAGATAGATTGGGATACACTACCTAGTAATCTACCTGATATCATACAGGTGAAGGAGAAAATCAAACATATCAAGGAAACGTATAAACTTGATTTATAGCTGAGGTTAGTTAAATCATATCGTCAATGTATGTGTTTAAGATTGCTTATGCATGATATACCAGAGTAATTCTTTAATATATTCTAAAACAAAATCTATAAGCATATAATTTGAATATGTATAAAATTAGCAAAACATAGGATATCATATTGATCCTAATCTATAAAAAGTAAATCATACTTCATCGAGTATGTCGACTAAAAGTCCCTAATCATTGGCATTTTTCTTTATCCCTTTGTGGAAAGAAAATTCGCCGAATAACCATTTGCACCATCCCATCAAATCATCCTTAAACTGACTAAATACCTCCATGCTAATAACCTTTAGACACAAAGCTTGATATTTAGTTTTCTCTTTATTCATCATCCCCAATATAATCTCCTGCAATTCTTTCTCATCACAAGTCGCAAATAGCGAATCTTTAATTCCACAACCACCTTCAAGTATACTATCCTGCACTGTGCTTATTTTATCTTGAAATCTATTTATGCTCCGCTCTACATCTCTTACTCTTCTTTCAAGAACCTTAACATTATAAGCCAGTTTTGAACTCAAAGAGTTAATTTCTTCCATATCGTTCTCTAGTAAAGCTTGATCATGACCGACTTTCCACTTAGCATCATCTAGCGTTTTCAGATTTGAATAGTAAGTCTTATGCTCTTGCAATATCGATTTGAATTTATCACTGAACTTGGAACACTCTCTCATTAACTCCTCATCTTCATAGCAGATATCCTCTTCAATCACATTTTCTGAAAAGCTTTCCAGCTGAGGGCCATTTGGATCTTCTAATCTTTCAGTTCTCATTATATCCCGAGCAATTTTAACCGCCGATGAATCAAATGGTAAGTCCCATACTTCTAATCCATCCTGAATACAACTTATTGAACCAGCTCTGTGTCTCACGGAAGCCAGAGGTTCGTATCCAACAGCAAATGTGTGATATTTTTGATATGTCTCAGCTTTCATGAAGGGAAAGGAATTCCTTCTGAAGTACTCATTTCTATAACTTTGATTGGTATCATTCATGCGCATAAACTTTCCAACATCATAATTGCATAACATTGACGATATAGATTCATTTGAACTTGCGATTTCCGTTACTTGTGGTATATCTGGGATTTTTTCATCATCTATCCACTCTCTTTCTTCCACAAATATTATATCAGACTCCTTTTTCTGTTTCTTCAACTCCTCTTTAAGCTCCCTTCTTTGTTTGCATAATGCTGTTTGTTTCTCTAGTTCTGTCTCTAAATCACCATTCTCATATGTGAAATTAGCAAACTCATTTCTCTTCCAGAGATAGCTATTATCTCTCTTTCCATTTTTGGTTTTCCAGAGCCAGCCAAGAGAACCACAATGTACGTTTTTGATAAGGTTGTCTAAATCGGTTGTTAACACATCATTTGAGAGCTGCCTAAAATTACCGTTACCCTTAATGTCATGAACAGCAGATTTGACCACTTTGTGGAACTTAAACAAATCTCTGTTCGTTTCTTTGTTTGTCACAGCAAATAATTTTTGTATAGTCAGCAAATCGAGATACGTACGCTCTTCTTCTCTGACAAGATTGTACTTCTTTTGAAATGTGTAAATACCAGTGAAAAATTCTTCTTCATCAAAGGGATCCTTAGAGGAAATACAATCTTCAAGCATTAGTTTGAAGAAACAACAAAGCACAAAGCTGAACAAAGACGCTACAGTAGTGGGTCCTAATATTGCCTCATTTTTAGGTTTTTCAATACCCAGATATATCTTACCATAACTATCCCACCAATTTTCTATGGCTTTCTTCGTTTCTTCACATAGTAAACCATCTTTATAAGGGCAACCTTCGAACATGTTGAAGTAGTTTAAAGATATCTGTACCAGGGTTATTAGTTCTGCGACAGGACAGTACATATGTTGGTCGTAGTGAGAAGCCATCTTCACCAAATGCAGTGCTTGTCCCAGGGTCTTCTTATCATTATGATGGCTGCTATCTGCGGCACCATTCTGTGGAGTTGTATCGCTTGAACCTGGCGCACTATCTTGTGGGAAATGGTCCATAGATATCTTAAACAGCTGGGCGAATTTACCCACTGCAGCACTGGAGGGACCGCGCAAGAGCAGGGCTGACCTTCCGCCACAGTGTAACCGTTTAAGATCGTAGTTGACTTTGAAGTTCTTCCACGCCTCCCGCTGGTCACCCGTGTCAACGTGCAGTATATTCAGGTTAGACGGGATGGTAGACAGCTCTGTAACAAAGACTATGCCTTTATCTCGCACCATGGGCTTACAGAATTTCAATAATTGGTCATGGTAAGCCTTGAATTCGGGGGGCCACAGGCTGGGCTCCCTGGGAAGCAGCACCCGCACGGCAAATATAGAGTCCTGAGAGTTACCAGTGTACGTGGTTATCAGCGTGGAAAGCTTCCGCACAGCGGCCCACTGCTCAACAATGTATATATCAAAGCCTTCCAGCTGAATCTCTGAGTAGTTCAGCTCACGGCACCGGTCGATGTGTAACTTGTAAAGAGCCCTGCAGTCAGGGAAGATGAAACTCACCAGCTCATGCTTGGCCTCCGACGTCAGCGAGTTGTGACTCTGCAAACTCTCGTAGGACTTCGCACGCACGTCCATAGGCGCTAGTGTCTGAGATTCCATTACCCGCTACCAACTCCGACTAAAATACAAACCTAAAACACGATTCAAACAGCTAGAACGCCCTCCCACCTCTCCTATATATCTAATCAAGAATAAAGAATCCTGTTTGATGCAAGATTCCGATTTACAGATTTCAAGAAATTTTACTGAGAGAAATTACGTCATTCTGTTCCCCCCATTGTATCCTCGAAGGGTCTGCACGATGCATCTGGCAAATTTTTCCTTTGATTGCACTTGCACAGAACATTCCGTACAAGATACATCAATTTTTTGAATTGCTTTTTTCTATTGTCACTTTGTTGCTGTTCTCTCGAGCGGTCCTTGGGCTGAAAACCATAATACGGCTTAGCCAAAGGCATCAAGAGAAGTATTTTGTAGGTTGGGACCCTGATAACTTGGGGCTGTTCTTTTTTTATTGAGAAACTTGCATTGCTTGAGAGTGGTAGAGGCTATGTCTGAGACGGAGAAGACGCTGGAAGATTTGCGAGCTAAGATCATTCAGTCGATGGGTGGTAAGCCCTCTGGTGCTGGAACTGGTACTGGTGCTGGTACCGGTGCTGGAACTGGTGCTGGTACTGGGAGTGGAACTGGTGAGTCGCGGATGGAGCGGGACAAGGGTGGTCGCTCTGACATGTCTCGACAGGATCATGGGAGAAGTACGCGGTATAGCAACGAGAGGAGGGGAAACTACCAGAATGCGGCACAGTATAACAATAATATGAGCCGTGATGACTACTACCAGACCCAGAGATATAGTAGGAATGCGCAAAGGAATCCTATCCATCAATACGGTGGATATAGACAAACGCAAAACCACGGTCAGAACCCAAACCATAACCAAAACTACAGGTACCAGAACCAACCACAACAATACACCAACCAAAACCAGAGAAATAGGTATAACAATGGTAATCCACAACCCAACAGTGTGCACAAACCACCCCACCATCAAACCAAAAAGGTAGCAAACCTGGATGACCCCATTTTCAGGAATATTACAAAGAACAGAGCTGCATGCCACATTGTTATTGAAATAGATGGGAAACAAGACATAGAAAAGATCATAACGTTGCAGAAGCTTTTGCTAACAAAGATTGAACAGTTATTAGAGTCTCAAGACTTCCTCAAAGATTTTTTTTTGAAACCTGTTTCTTTTCATGATATAGAAGAACTGGAGTCCAAGGCAGTTTTGCACCTAGAGACCTCAGAGCCAGAACAAGCGTCTTTAATTATAGCGTGCCACAAATTCCTCGTCAGTCAATTAAATGAACAACAGACTATAACAATTACTAGACCAGAAAACTACATTGCTACAAATGACAGAATCAACAAAATATGTAACAAAGATACCTTGTGCGTTGAGAACGTTGAAACTGGTGGAAGCACAAAGCAAGAGATACTCGCGAACTTGAAAGCACCAAAATCTGGTGACTTTGATTTCATGGAGCCAATATTTTATAAAGATAGCGATAATGATGATATTAAATTTACCAAACTTATATTGGTTTTACTCAAAAATAGTGGTTCTGAGTCCACTATTGATTGGAAACTGAACGGCCAGAGTGTTGAAACTTATAAGATCAACGACAATAGGGGATTATTTCAACCAATTGAAGAACTGCAATTTGATACCTTACCAAAATTAGCTACAAGTGAAGGCAGGAAACCGAATGAAACAATAATATTGTTAAACTGCATAGACCCTATGGAACTGAAAGAGAAAAAAAATATAGCTGAACTAAAGGAATCACTAAAAGAGATACTTAACTTTGAAAACTATGAATTGCAGGTAGCTATACCAAGTGTAGACTACCGTATTAACATTGACCATATTAAAGAATTAGCCGGAACTGTTTTTATCAAGTTTCAAAACGAAGGCGATGCCACTAGTGCTCTAAACGAACTCTCAGGCAAAAAATTTAATGGCCGAACTATTCTAGGAACCTATGCTATGCAATCAGATATTGAGACACCTGGACTACACATTGAGTAAAAGGGATCACTACTGGATTGTTATTACGACAAACGCATTTAAAGTGCAGGCACAGTTTGTTATTAAACATAACCTAAATCGAATCAATAAGATTGTTGTATACTATAATTTACATTGCAATTGCAATTACCTCTTGCTACTATATAAATGCAAAGTTGGTGTGTATGTACTATAACATTTACATTATTACTACATCTATTTGTTGAAATCTATTGCATATATCATCAACTTTTTTTGTTACTTTTTCACGCTCACACAGCGAAACTGAAATTTTGAAAAATAGCAATGAGGGCCCTATTAAAAGCAGTTTCAAGCAGTAACAAGACAGTAACTTTGTCAAGAAGGCCCATAACTTTAAGAGTCTAAGCATTGCTGAACTATTTATGATTACAGAGCATAAGATAATATAATCTGTGCAATTTAGACATTCCAATTTACTTCATAATCATAACACGGTGAATAAGTTAGTGAACATTGACAACAGATATGAGCGTTGCTACAGCAGAACATGCAAACCATAGTCCAGAACAATCAGCCCAGCCAATTTCTGATGGAAGTGCGGGCGCAAAAGGAGATAATATTGGAGAGAGGAGAAGGAGACGTAGCAGAAGAAGAAGACCACGGTTTAATTTTGTGAAAGAGATGGCTGTTTCTGGTACTGTTTATGATACCATCACCTCTATAGAATATCTTAATTTCAAATATGGACTAAGGAAGTCTCATTACATCAAGAAATTTGTTAGATGCATTCATAGGAAGATCAACGAGGATGTTAGTAGAATAAGCGATGAGATTGTCGAAATGTTAAGTCCATGGGTCAAAATCAAATTATTCCTTCTATTGGTAACATTATCAGAAAGAGGAGGACCCGAATATTGGTTTGATAAAAATGAAGCCGACAAAGATCAGAAAGATACGGAGAAGGATGGAAGTCCTGAAGCAGAAGGCAATAATGATCAGACTGAAGGTCAAAATGAGGAAAATAAATCGAAAATAGATAATGCTACGTCAGGTAAATCAAAAGATGATACAAAAAAATTAATCAATAAAAAAACTAAAATGAAACTACTACCAACTTTAACTGAACAAATCATGCAACAAAATATCAACCTTGAATTCACTGAGGAAACCTATGATGAAAATTACATATTTTCATCTATATGGGCCAATTTCATGGAAGGCTTAATAAATTATTATCTGGAGAAAGTCATTGTTCCACATTCCGAAATGAAAGTTTGTCAACAGCTTTATAAGCCAATGATGAAGATTATTTCATTATACAATGAGTATAATGAGCTGATGGAAAAAAGTGAACGTAATGGTTTCCTCCCCAAATCAAATGGATTGGAAGATCTAGAAACGGAGAATTCAGAAGACCAAGAAAAAACGAAGAAAGAAGCTGCTGATGAGATTGAAGAACTTAGTGCAAACTTGCAGAATATTAATCTCAACAACGCCGATAATGTTGTTGCACAAGAGAGATTACAAAGAGCACAAAAGCTACTATGGCAAGCTAGACAAGATATCCCTAAAACTATCAGCAAAGAGTTGACATTATTATCGGAAATGTACTCCACGTTATCAGCGGATGAACAAGATTATGAATTAGATGAATTTGTGTGTTGTGCTGAAGAGTATATCGAACTTGAATACCTACCCAATCTAGTGGATGTATTATTTGCTAATTGCGGCACGAATAATTTCTGGAAAATAATGCTTGTTCTTGAACCATTCTTTTACTATATTGAGGAAGTTAACGGCCATGAAGATACAGAAGATGATGAGTTCGAAGAGAGATACATCACTGATACTGATGGTGCTAGTGGACCCGCCAGACAGAGTTTTAAACCTGATCCTAGGGTAATCACACTCGAAAAAATTTGCGAAGTTGCTGCTCGACAAAAATGGATTTAATGAATATCAATTAATTGCACTATTTATAGTTTAAATTATTGCATATAAAATTAAATTATTGCATATAAAATTAAATTATTATATTGTTCATATATTATTCAAAGCTACTAAGCAGTAACTTTAAGCTTAGAACGATGGAGCGTAGATATTTTATCATATATTCATAAATAAACAAAGTCACTACAAATGCAATAAATTGAAAATCGTGAAGTAAGTTAGTTGGGTATTTAGTATGCAAAAAAGACCTAACTCTGTTTATCAGTCTTTTGGAAGGTTGGAAGCTCACTGTATTTATGATTCTTGAACTTTTTGAATCCCTTCATATCAGAGATTTTACCTAAAACACGGTGCTTCTTTTTCATTTCCTGCATTGTAATATCCGAGAAATCTCTGTTACCCTTATTCAGATACAAAAAGAAGTACATGAATACCAAGGCAACAACAACTAATGTTGGAATAGTTAAAGCAACATAGTACCAAGTATCATCACTGATACCTGCATCTTCCAATCTCAGTTCATCCTTGGTCTTCTTGGCCACCTTGGTTCCCTTGATGAGATAAAGTAATACACCGTGCTCGAGAGGATCAAACTCATCATCTGGAATATAGTCTGGTTGAATAGAGATAACAACACGACGTTCATATTCTTTGCCTAACCAATCGTTTTCGGGTTCAATAGCGTAAAGACCATCGACATTATGGAACCATTCAGAAGTGTAAAAAGTGGCTGGAAGAGCTCTTCTGTGATAACCTTTCTCGCGGGCCTTTTCCTTAACATATGAGATATGTAGACGAACTTTATCAGCCACTTTTCCTGTGGTAGGCTCTTCGAAGAACTTCGTAAACCAAGTGACAAAATATGTTGAACCGACTTTAAATCTGGAGTTTTCCTTAGGAGTACAGAATGGACCTTCAACAATATCTTGTTTCTTATTGACATAACGGTTTGGAGTACATCTGATAACGGGGTTCAAGGATACATAGGTATCGTCCTCATCCAACCAGACTTCTTCTTCATAAACATCGTTTGGATCCATATTATGAGCCTTCAGTTCATCATAAGTGTATTTGTGAATGGTGGCGGTCTTGAAGTAGGTGGAATAATCAGGGCGACCCTTTCTGGTATGCCCATTCTTGATTTCAGGCTTGATAGTTTTTGGTCTACCATCCTTTTGTAAAGAAACCCAAGGCAGTAAAGGATCAGGAGTAGCCAATGGCTTGGCGGAAAATGTAACACCAGCAATAACCGTAGGTGTAACAATTTCAACCTTAGTCGAGTAAACTGTACGGATCCATGGTTTTGGTTCCTCAGACGTTGTCTCCTTCTCCTTTGGATGGATTACAGGTCTGTAACCTAAAACCGGTTGCAATAGCAACAGGGACAGCAAAAAAGACACAAATTCTAACATCGTTCTTTTTGGCTTGCTAACCTAACAAATTCAATAGAGAAATAAGCGCTCACTAACAGAATACCAATCCTTATTTCTCCTATTTCTAAGTACCAAAACTAGCTTTGATAATCGACCAGATTATGAATTTCAGGATTTTATTGTTTTTCTTTTGTTTTGACTTTTTTTTCACTCTCAAATACCGAAGAAAACTCCGTAGAAGAAGGATCTTTTGAGCGAATTTCTGATCAGAAAACGTCAACATTCCAGTTCACCACTCAAATGCGATGAGCTTCGAAGCCAACAGTGCAGATTACTTATTATATTGTGTTATTTTGGACTATATTAGTTCATTATAGATTATATTGGTAGTGGAGATGGTGAAGTGAGCCGCATGGCAGGCCTACGAGCCGGCCTCAGGTTCGTTCTTTGGCTTGACTGTGTTTAGACTAAACCCTTTCTTTAACGGCTTTGGTTGAAATGAATCCTGGGAAGTAATTGTGGTCATGCTGCTAGTAGAGACTTTGCGACCTCCCCAAAAGTTGCCAGTTTTCGAGGAAGATGATACAAACCCCCACGATTTAGATTGGCCGTCAGACTCATCTATGGGCAACATTGTATTTATTGAGGAAGAACTTACCGATCCCTTCCTTGGTGAGCTCTCAGTAGAACTAATCACTACAGAGTCTCTTAGTTTGGCTTCGAGAATCTTGATCTTTTCTTGTTGTGACTTAGATATATTCGATAACGCTTCGAGTTCTTTCTTAAGAATACCATTACTCTTCAGTATATCTTGTGTAGAACTTTCTTGATTTTGTAATTGTTCGACTAATCGGGAGTTCATTGTTTCCAATGTTCGTATCTTAGCGTCTTTGATCTCGCCATCTCCTTTCAAGATAGAGTTCTCATGCAATTGACCCTCCAGTTCTAGTTGCAACTGAGCAACACTTTCACATTTCTCCATCAAAGTTTGAATGATCTTTTTGGTATCCTCAGACTCCTTGGGATCAATGTTATTGAACAACTGTGTCATCGTCTCTAATTGTTCTCTTAGTTTCTTTATCTCATCATTCTTCTCTACAATCTCGGTTTCTAGCTCCTCAGTCACCTTTGCCTTCTTAACAGTGTCCGCTAGTTTATTAAGCTCAGATTCTAATAGGGTTATCTTTTGATCATAATTATTTTCTATAACCTTCATATTATCGATCAAAAGATCAAGCGTCTTTTTGGAGTTCAAACCGGTAACGTCTGCCCTTACAAAATTTAGAATATTTTGCAACTGAACACCAAATCGTAGAGTGGCGATAGTCTCCTCATGGTGCGATTTATCATCGAAACAATTTAACACAACACGGGTGCGAGAGTTACCACCCAAAGCTTCTTGTATTAAGCCAGTTAACTGTGAGTCCTTGTATGGTACTCGCTGCAAATCTGAACTATTAACACTTGGAACCAACTTGTTTTCTATATATAGGTGGTTCTTCTGTTGGTTTTGAAGCACAGAATTGACCACACTTTCCAAGTTGGAAATCGAGAGATTCAGCTTTTTTATATTCTCTACACCTAACTTCTGGTCCACGTCCTTTTCAAATCTGTTAGAACCGCAAAGATCCGCAAACATTATATTCGATGAAGTGATCGTCCCGTGTACTCTATCTAATTGTTCAACAGAGCATCTGATAACAACATGCGAAGTCGATCTTTTACTATCCATCTTCTTTTCAGACGCTTCCTTATTATCCTGTATCAGTTTCATTACTCTATCAAACTCTTTGATACTATTTATATATTCATTATTGGCTTCCTGGTAATATAGCCCAAACTTCTTAGTTTCGTGGTGCGACTTTAACGGCTTCCTATCATCTGCAGAATGTAACATGTCATACACCTTCTCCAAAGAGATTTCTAAAGCAGAAATTTGAATATTTACTATTGTATTCTGATCTTTCTCTAATTCTCTCTTTTTTTGTATAATGTCCTGAAACGTGAGTGCAATAATACCGTCAGAATCTTCGTTCCCAAACAGTGTAAACGACTTACCACTTCCAGCTTCCCCATAACTAATTATACTCACATCATAGCCATCATATATATCCTTCAAGACAGATTCTGATAGACTTTTGTGAATGTCTACTAATGGTACTCCTACGTCGTACACCTTTTCAAAGTTGAATATGCTCTCATCTGCAAAATTGGTAATCGGGTAATGAATAATCGTATTATTTTCTTGTAAAGTGAAATGCCTTACCTGTTTCACCACATCCTGTGTATCAGCGCTACGCTGTTTTTCTAACTCTGCTAACTTCTCCTTATTTGCAGTGGCCAGTCTTACAACTGCAGTCACTGGACTTGGCTCAATAGGCTTCGCAGTCAACGAAATGAGATCCGACGGAAGCCTTTCAGTATCTTTAGAACCCAAACTCCAATGCATAACCATCGTAACTCTCTATGATCTTGTATCAATGCGGGCCCTGTAAGTACTTATTCAATGTCCCTTATTAAGTGTAAATCACTCCGCCGACTCGCCACTGGTTCACTATAAGTATCAATTACCAGCAATGGTACGGGATATTTATACTTGGAACTAAACCGATCTAAAATATAAACCTATTGAGGCTACAGTTTTGACCAAAACAATGCGATTTACTGTACTTCAACTTTCACTTATGTCTTCCCCCCGTATTTTTGACTTTTTATGGAAACCTTCGCTGGTGAACGATTTTTCCTCGCCAGCGAAGTTCAACTGTTGTCATATTTTCTTGTAAAAATGAAACATATATTGTTAAGTTGAGAGACTGTTTGAGTGTAGGAGTGCTTGATGGTAGGTAGCGATAGACTATATTAAGTTGAGTTCTTTTGCCATTTATGTATGTACTTTTAGATTATTATATGTACTATGGTAGGTAGCGTTACGAAATGTTCTCCAGAAACGCAATTAAGCTATGGGGAGGTAAATCACTACAATTTGATGTGATAGAATACAAACGGTTCATAATCTGCGTCCACCAAGTTTGCGTATTGGTGTAAGGACGTGTCGTCTTTGCTAATCTTACCCTTCTTGTCTCTAGCGAAAGCATTTCCACCTAGGAATCCAAACGCATCTACTAGCTCTTGCTTACATTTAGTTACATTCTTTGGGGGTACTGCGATGATCTTAATTATGAAATGTGGAGGAAGCCCATAACGCAACACAGACTCCACGTAGACACGCAGGGCTTTGATGTGGAACCATATCACGAATACGTCGACGAACGCTGTCTTAGCTAATCTTACCAATTGGATACGTAGAGATTGTTCCAAACTTGCTGCTGAATCATGTTCCCTTTTCAATTGATCTATCAGCTCCTCGCTATAGTTAAATTCTCTAGGTATAAACTTCTTCTCTCTGGCTGCCGTGGTAAATTCTTGTGCATTTCTCTTGAATAGGTGGACATTGTACAAGATGTAGTCATCATCCTTTGCAATTATACCAGCAGATCCCGGAACTACATTTTTACTCAAAGTCTCATAGGTCTTCTCAAAATCGGCTTTCAAGTTCTTTGGTACAGCAATTAACACAGTGGTCAAGTACTCAGAGTCTAGGATGAAATCGTCAGATTTAACAATATCGTGTAGGGATCTTACCGACAAGTCTCCTGTCTTCTTTCTCTCTGCTGCAGCCAGATTGGACTTTGCGTTTGTGTAGTTTGTGTAAGTTGCTCTAACATCAAGATCTAGCTGTGATGCTTCGTCTGACAAATTGCTCATCAATTCCTTGATTGATTTATCAAGCTTGAATTTCCTTGTTTGCCATTCAAAATGTTCTAGATACTCCGGAATCGGCATATTGTTAATAGGTATAGTCTTATAATCGTTAGTAGATGCCTCATTCATACCAGATAAAATTTCGACAATCTTGGAAACCGATGACCCGACCTGGTTATCTATCTTACTCAAGTCCTCAGACTCCACTAGCAAATTGTCCAGAGAACCAATTTTAAACTCAGGTATCTTGAAATCAGACACGAACGTCCTGCCTCCAAGTAAGTTATTCTTCAGCCATGTGTCTACATCAGCTTGACCACTAGCAGGCTTCGCATTTCCTGGCAACGACACCAGAAAGAAATCATTAGCAGTGTACAACGCAGTAGCCATTTCTTTATAGTAGTTGATTTCTAGTCCTATGCACCGGAAAAGGAGAAGTGGGAATAATGCCTGTACTAGTATCAAAAACCAATTCAGTAAAGTTCTATTGAGAACTATACGATCTAGCAATAATTGACTTGCTTAGTACGATTTATTCATCCATAATTGGCACTATCTACACTTCTTTTCAATATTTTTCCTGACCCTTTATGAGCTGAATGGGCCCTGGTTGGAATATAACGACGCACGTCATAGTTAACCGTATCCTTAAGCTATGGGCATTACAACAGTAAGTGTAATTAATATTCACATTAGTCATATAGTTTGCAGCGTATACAGTTCAATAGTAGCTACTTTTCAATAACATGTCTGCTACCTCGGATCTGTATTAATGTTGGTCGCGTAGGTTATATCATAAAATCGGTATTAGACATACATAATATATATGGGGATGGTAAAAAGATATAGAAAATTGTTCATTATACAAGGAAGGAGCCAGTGAAAATGCTCTTAAACCAAGTCAATTAGCTTATTTCAAAACCTTACCGTCAGCGATTTCCTTAGATTCACCGTTGACAACAACTGGCTTATCCCAAGCCCACATGTTGTTGACAAATTCCTTGTCTTCTTCCTTAGTTGGGTCCAACTTGGTGTATTCGTAGGATTCCCAGTCTGGGGCGACGTCGAAGGCTGGGACGTGGTCTTGACCTCTGACCATGACAGCACCGACGATACCGTTGTTGTTGTTTTCACCATAGACAACTAGACAACCGAACATGTACTTAGTGGAAGCGGACAGTCTGTTGAAGAAACCACCGACCAAGTTGTTGGACATGAAAGTCATGGTCAATTCGTCGTTGTACTTGTAACCGACCTTCCACAAGGAGTATTCTTCTGGGTTGTAGTGTTCCCAGAACCATGGCAAAGCAACTGGTCTGGTGTCTTCGTTGGAGTACTTTCTCTTCCATTCGTCTAGGACGAAAGTGGATCTACCAAGAGCTTCCAATGGGTGCTTTGGCTTCTTTTCTTGTTGTGGAGCTTCAGCAGCTGGCTTTTCTTCCTTCTTTTCAGCCTTCTTCTCAGTCTTCTTTTCTTCCTTCTTCTTAGTTTCCTTCTTTGGAGTCAATTCGATGTCCTTCTCAGCGAAAGCTGGGAAAAGAGATGGAGAGGACTTGATGATTGGGTGGTCCATCATAGTCTTGTACCATCTAGTTAGAGCTGGGTGAGCCTTTGGGAATTCAGGGCCGAAGATTAGACCGAAAGCCAAGACACACATGTAGTAAGCGTAGACGTCAGCCAAAGTAGCTCTTTCATCGACCAAGTAAGTGTAGTGGGTCAATCTTTGTTCCATGAAGTCAGCAACCTCGTTGATCAAACTGAAGTGGTAGTCAACGGATGGCTTGGTGTAAGCGAACTTCTTGATGGAGGTCAAGTACAAAGCACCAAGGTGGTTGAACAAGTCAACGGTAGTCATGGACAACCATTGTAGGACTTGAGCCTTCTCAAGCTCGTTCTTACCTAGCAAATCAGCCTTGACCTTTTCGTCATCGATTTGGTTAACCAAGTAGTTGACAATGGCAATGGACTCGGTGATTTGAGTACCGTTCTTTAGCAACAAAGATGGGATTCTGTGTCTTGGGAACTTGGCCTTCAATTCGTTTGGATCTTCAAGAACTTGGAAGTCCAACTTGAAGTGCTCAATGATAGCCTTGGAAGGAGCGGCTCTTGGAGTGTTGTAGATGAACAATTTACCTTGGGACATTTTTTTCTTGGTATGCTTGCTTAGTGTTCCGACTGAAAATGCAACTAAAAACACACAAATTAACACAAATAGTATACAAAAAAAATAATTAAAGGTAGAAATGCATGCAAATTATATACTAGGAGAACCCAAATGGTTCTAACAAACTTCTAATACCCAACTTTCTTTTTTTGATTTTTTTTACTAGGTTATTACACAATACTCATTGCACAAACTGCAAAAAATGATAGGAAAAATTTTCTCTACAGTAAGGGCATCGACTGCAAACGTTGCAACATCCACCCGAAAGAGCATCGACGTCTCTCTGATGTTTAATGGCCAGGGTAGTGATTTCAATCCATAAAAATTGATTTCACACCAATAGAAGCATATGAGTGACATAGTCACATGAGAAATGGTGATAACGTTGAACACCCCTCCCTAGTTACATTACACATCCCCAAATAAAACCCTGCCGGACCAACTACTATCTATAGGTAATACAAAATAGATGATAACATGCTGAATACTATCCCAAGTAGCGTATTTACTTCTTAGTATATATACAAGGAAGCGTATTATTTATAATCATGTGACTTTTTCGTATATATGAACTGAAAAATTTGCAGGGCATCGATTTTCTGTGAAAAAAGTGAAAAAAAGCGATGAGCCCAGTGGGGGCGGTGATGAGCTTAGAGAGCACTGGAGTGGGAGTCGCGATGAGCTATAATATATGTAAATTATTTATGTTATATAGTGCTAATATGGTGTATATTTGTAACAGAAGGGTAATACGGTGACGACCATGAGTGATTTACTAGAAGAGAGGTTGCGTGCGAACTCGTCGGCTTTTGATGGGCTGATGGCGTTGATTCCTGCGAAGTACTATTACGATGAGAAGACGCAGGACCAATGGAAGATGAAGAAGAAGGATAAGTCGCAAGTCCGCGATGACAAGTTGAAGAAGCTGGACCCCGAACAGCAGGGGGATGAGGTCTCGAGCGCTTTGGATGTGATGAAGAAGCGGGAGCAGAATGCTGTTCCTGTAGAGCTTCCTGGTGCGAAGCTGAATAAGCTGAATAAGAAACCGGTAGCGGATGTAGATGGCAAACACAAGGCCTTAGGAGGCGAGGTGGTAGAAGAAGCTGAAGACGATGATGAGGATGAAGAAGATGAGGACATAAAGGTTATATTTGATGATGAAGGTAATGAGATCAAACTGGGCGACAAGCAACGTGAACAACGTGATGAGCCAGCGGACGCTGAAGAAGGAGAAGATGATAATGACGAAGTAAATGGAGAAAAGTCAACTAAAGAAGTTACTAAGAAATCAAATGAGAAGGCTAAAAAACTGAAAAATGTTGAGGAGCTAAGATCCAAGCTTCAACAGAAGATACAAGCTTTAAAGGAGAAACGTAAAGCTCCAGGTACCAATGTTCAAGGTGCTGCTAGTTCTAGAGAAGCCATCCTTGAGCAAAGGAGGAAAAGAGAAGAAGCCAGAAAGAAGAGGAAACTTGAGCATGCAAATGGTGGTGACAGTGATGACGACGATGACGACGACGACGAAGACCACTCAAGTGAATCGGAAAACGAGGATGACTTGGAAGAAAATCCAAAGAAGAAGCAAAAGAAGAATGGTGTCTCCGCCAAGGATGTCATGTTCCAAAATATTATCTTTGATGATGGTGATAGAACGACCTCTGATTTGCAAAGGCTCAGGAAACAGCCAAACGGTAAAAAGAAGGGACCCGCAAAGAACGACATTAAAGCCCATTTAAAACTACTGGAAACTAAACAGAACAAAATTCAAAACAAAGATGAACTAGAGCAAATCAAACTAAAAGAAAAGGAAAAATGGCAAAAAGCTATGCTTCAAGCGGAAGGTATAAGACTAAAAGACGACGAGAAACTTCTTAAGAAAGCACTTAAAAGGAAGGAGGCCAAGAAAAGAAAATCTGCTCTAGAATGGCAAGAAAGAAAGAGAACGGTTGCAACTAATATAGCAGAAAAGCAAAAGAGAAGAGAGGAAAACTTGCAGATAAGGAAGCAAAACAAGGGTCAGAAGAAAAATAAGCAGCAGAAAATGAAGAGGAAATTCACAGGTTCTATTGTTCCTAAAAAGAGAGCTGGTTTTGAAGGTCGTCTAAAATCTGGCAAAAAGAAATAGAAACAATATCTTTACCAGTCGAAGGTATAATTTTCAGGTATTTTGCTGAATATTTTAATCGCATAGCAAGCAATTGCCATTTTTTTTGCTCTCACTAAATTTTGTTACTTTTGATTTTTTTCTGCATAATCTTTGAAAGGCGTGTACTTATTTGAAACTTAATCTATTTGTTATTGGCTTGATTATATTTCTCCGGAAAACCAACATCAGGCCATTGGGGTTAAATCAGATTTTTTTTATTCACCTTGGTAATGGTGGCATTATGATAATTATAATAGAATAATTCTGTAGCTATTATTCAAAATACTTAAAAAATAAACCTGCATTTTATATTAACGAAGGAGTTACATAAATGCTAAATAGAGCTTCCAAGCCAATGAGAATTATTTATCGAACTCAAAATAGAGGTCATAATGATTACTGCATCCAGGATTGAATTTAGACTCACAGTAAGGGCATCGCAGAGGCTCCTTACTTGTCTTGTACTCAGCAAACGTCATTGTAGTGTTACAATTTCCACACAGGACAACTTTCTCTTCAGTATTGGAATGATAGCGGAGTACTTCATGGCTTGTAGATTCCTTATGACACTCATAGCATGGGTAGAATGTCTCGCAGCATTTAAATTTCAATGCGATGATGTCGAGCTCCGAGTGCCAATGCTCACAACGTGTGTGATTGTCGACAAGTTTTCCTTTCAGCAAGATTTCTGTCATATTGCAATTTTATAATTCTGTTCTACATTAGTTAATGTACATTTAAGATCATGGTCTTTTATTATAAACTGTAATTTGACACATTAGTCTGGTTTTTATATATGTTGGTGAATTTTGTATGGTGTAATATTTTATGGCCTGGTTTTCTGATTTTTGCGATTTTTTCGCTCATTCAAAAATATACATCCGGTTTCGCTAGGTTGTTCTAGTCATGAAAAGGTGACTCAAGGTTGGGAGGGTAAGACATGAGCAAAAACCTACTACCATTTACACAGGATAAGCTATCAGAATATTGGCATTTACTTTATAAACTATGTAATGTAATGCTTCATTTACATACAAGAGGTTTTCTAAAATAATAAAGCAGAATAAATTTAAACAATGGGAAAAAATAGTAAAGGGAAAAATGTGTAGTCAATATTGACTATAATTACATGAATAATATCTATTAGTAACAGAAAATCGAAGAGATGAAAACCTCGATAAAATAGTAAATAATAACAAGCACAATAAACATAAGTCGTCTGAATCACTGTAACACACAAATTGGAATTCTCAAAGTCAAAAAAAAGTAATGAAATAAATGAATAGTTAAAAAAAGCATGTGATTGTAAATGGGGTTTCTTTGTGTGTAATAGCAGGCAAATAGCTAAAAGATGAACGGATAAGAAATGATTCGATCTAGTACTGCCAGCTATAAGCAAATGCAAGCAAAATGAAAGAAATAAATAGTGTCCGAAATTCTGTTTATGATCTTGTGAAGGACATAAAGACATCGAAGAGGGATTCCATTCATCCTTTAATCATTATTTATCATGTGATGATCCCGACTTAATTGCTGGACTTGACGAAGTTGATACCCTTTTCGATGTTCTTCTTCAAGGTCTCCTTACAAGTGGCCAACATCTCTTCCTCTTCAGCGGAGATGGTACCAATTGGGTGGATCTTAACAACACCTTCCTTTCCTAGAGTAACTGGGGAAGCAAAGAACTCGATACCTTCGCCCTTGTATAGAGGGGAGTCGACGAAAGATGGTTCGACGACGTTTTGTTCACCGGCGAAACCGGATAGGACAGCGTTGGCGAACAAAGCACCGGCCTGGGCCATGGATAGAGTAGCGGAACCAGCACCGTTCTTGGCCTTGACGACTTCGTCACCACCGAACTGGATTCTCTTGATCAAGGCGTCCTTTTGGTCCTTGTCCAATTTATCACCGTACTTGGTCTGAGATAGAAGTGGGATAATTGTGATACCAGAGTGACCACCAACAACGTTTACTTTCTCCTGGGTTGGGTCAGTGCCGACAACTTCGGAGATGAATCTGGAAGCTCTGATGGAGTCCAATGTGGTGACACCGAACAACTTCTTAGGGTTGTACACACCTTTCTTTTGCAAGACCTCGGCGACAATTGGCACGGTAGAGTTAACTGGGTTAGAGATCACCAGGATGGCAGCGTTTGGAGCAGACTCGGCAGCAGCGGTGGCCAAGTCACGCACGATACCGGCATTGATGGCAAACAAGTCATCACGAGTCATACCTGGCTTTCTAGGCACACCAGCAGGAATCAACACCAGGTCGGTGTCCTTCAAAGCATTCTTCAAACCATCGGCCTCCTCGGGAGTGAAACCCTTCACAGTAGAGTTCGTTGGGATGTGCGACAAGTCACTGGCAACACCAGGAGCACCTCTAAGATCGTACAACCTCAGATCAGTAACCTTCTGGTTCAACTTCAACAGCAACGACAATGGCTGCCCAATACCACCATTGGCACCGAGAACTGTAACCTTGTATGGATTGATACGTGTAGAGGAAAATGCCCTTCTGCTAATTCTAGACAACATGCTGTGTAATTATTTTTTATTTTAGACTATATTTTAGTAGAGTAATGCTATGAGTGCAGTACAAATCAGTACCATAAAGACATAAGCGCTTACGCTGAAAAGAAGAAAGAACTGCCAGCTATTTATACCAGTGAAGGACAGGTCCCCCCTGCCCGCAGAATCACCGATTTGTCGGAGTGCGCGGTTTATTGAACCGATTCCCTCCCATCTGTACAGCAGTTTCTGCGCTTTTCACAAAGTAGCTCACATCCCCCCCCCTTTGACACCAAAAGGCTCTGCGGGCTCTGCGGGCTCTCTAGTCAGCGCTGCAGTTCGAGGTCTTCGAGGCAAGGGCTTCTGACCAATGAGACCGTAAACGTTGTGCGTGATGAGTTATTGTCACTATGTACAAGGTTCTGGATCGTATGTTGGTATCTGGTTATAACACCGACGGCGGGGTTATAAATGGTAAATACGTAATATGATATGCTCATACCTGTATCGAAGTGCAATATAGCTGCAGTATGCAACACAACGCACTTGATGTGTGTTGCATAACATGGTTAACGCTGACTTAAACATTGTAATCTTATTGGTACATAACATTAGACATAAAACACATACAAAAAAAAAATGACGTAAAGATTCATAAAAACGTTTCAGGCTTCAGGCTTCAGGCTTCAGGCTTCGAGCTGTCTTTGCATGTCCGCTTTCTCGAACATGGTGTCCAGCGACTCACCCACATATAGTTTCAACTGGTGTCTTGTGGCAGGCAACACCTTGGCCCTCACTGGGATATGTGGGTCATTCTGTTCCTGAGCCAGGCGGTCGTAGGCTTGGAACCTGTGGCACCCACCGAACGCAAAGTAATAGCTCTCGCCATTCTCACGCACGCACATCACATCGATGGGTGGGAGCTGCCCGTTGAGCTCAGTGGCACCTTCCAAGGAACACGTCTTGCTGGCCATGGGCTTACCCTTCATAGTCGACACCATCGCATCGATCTTCTGGTAGTCCAGCACTGGGACAATAGGCCTGTGGATCTGGGACAATGGGATCTCGGAGACTTTGTGTAGGTTTCCACTCTGTAGCGACATATTCAACTGGTGTAAATTGTATTTATATTTGTAACTTGTATTTGCAACTTGTACTTATAGTTTGTTGTTGATTTTGTTTTCTGTCAAGGTAGCCTATACACAAGAGAGCTACATACGCGATGCCGATGGGCCCTTATATACTTTTCTAATAAACACATTCCCTTGATAAGAGTGTTTACAATTTACTGGTTAGCACTTAACTAATTGAGATATAGTAACCGGGCTCAAGTAATGAATTACACCCTCTGGACCTTCTCACTTGAACTTCTGCAAGACCCCCCTCCCCCATTGTCTCTTGCACACTGTAGTTGGGATATTGCACCACCATGCACCCTCCACCCATTGCTGGCCACTTTCCTCATGGCCCATTCCATTACCAAAGATAACATTAATAATAAAATGTCAAAAAGCCTAATCATCAACCCCATGACAATCGAGACCCACCAGGCGATCCGGGTTCCCTTAGTAAGTGATAATTGATTCTAGAATGATTTCCAGATTGCGATCTGAATGGGTACTAATCCCTACTAATGGTTACTTCTAAAAGGCTTCAACGGTGCACCAGGAACAATAGTTTGTTGGAAATCGCATAAAGGCAAAACTCTGGTAAATCGGGGATTGCATAATCATACCAGTGCCAAAAACCGGCAAGGTCAAGAGTTAAAAGCGGCGCGGAGTTATACGTAATTACAGGTAGCCTGTGATAAGTTATAAGACAAAGAAGCAATGACAGACGGAGATGAGTCCAAGTGTCCAGTTCCACATGATCAAAGAGATGTATGGCTGAAGCATAGCCAGCAAGCGCAGCAAGCTCAACAAGAGCAGAAACTAGCACAGCAGAAACTAGCACAGCAGAAACTAGCACAGCAACAGGATCAGCCTAAATGTCCAGTCGATGACCATTCTAAGGATGTATGGCTGAAATCAGGCAAGAAGCATGGGGAAGCGGCAAATGACGTCGGTCTGGCTTCCGAGCGTGATGTCAGCAGTATACCCAGAACAGGTTCTGAGGGGAACTGGGTATATCCATCGGAAAAGCAGTTTTTTGACGCCATGAAAAGGAAGAACTGGGACCCCCAACCTGAAGATATGAAGACCATCGTGCCATTACATAATTATGTTAACGAAAGAGTGTGGAGATATATTAATATGTGGGAGAATGGTCTAGGAGGGGACAGCTGCGGTGGAATCAAATTGACTAACTTTAAAGGCCAGTCAAAAAAACTTACCCCAAGGGCATGGTTCAGGTCCACAATATTGGGTATGGCTAAACCTTTTGACAGACACGATTGGACAATAGATAGATGTGGGAAGACAGTTGACTACGTAATTGACTTTTACTCTGAGGAGGTCAAGACTAGCAAGGACAATATTGCAACTGAACCGCAGATATATCTTGACGTCAGACCAAAGCTAAACTCTTTTGAAGGTATCAAAATGAGAATACTCAAAAGTGTAGGTCTCTTATAAGCTGACCCCCCCTGATCTTTCTAACTCTTTGCTGCAACTTGTATATACATATTGATGTTTATAATTTATTCCTGACGTATAGAAAAATGTAAATATTTATTCTCTGAGAAAAATACACACCTCTAGTATTTTAGAAATCCTCTATCTTGAGGCAAAATATGCTTCTTCTCCAACTATACTACAATATTCTAAATAGTAGAAAGTGTATAAGCTTGCAAAAATTTACTATTAATTTTGATCGGTGAATCCTCTAGATAAATGATGTCAATTATTAGAGTAGCTCATTAAATGCATGTAGTTTTGAAAAAAATATTACAAACAAGCTAGAATTCACCCGAATATTACAATTGAATGGTATTATCTGTATGCATAGACGCCATAACTGGCAATTAAATTCAAGTCATTCCAGAACAAAATATATTCATATAGGTTTGGATTCAGATTCTTCTTTTAATATCATTCTATCTTTGTCAACATTATGCCCATCTTCATCATCTTCGTCGTCATCATCATCATCTTCTTCTTCTTCGTCATCGTCATCATCATCCTCTGAATCAGTCTCATTCTTTCTAAAGCTATCATCCTCATCCTCATCCTCATCTTCATCTTCATCTTCATCTTCATCCTCCTCCTCGTCTTCATCTTCATCTTTTTCTGGTGTTGTAGTATCCTCATCCCTAGCTTTTTTGATTTCATTAATCTTCTTCCTTACAATTTCAACTATATCGGACCATTCTCTCATACCACCCATACCAATATCGCCGCAAATTAGGACTTTCTCGACAGGCTTCAAGACTGTGATATATGGCATATCAGATGCTAGTATATTGAGATGTTTTTTGGTCATGGGATTGATATACATGAAAGTATTCATTGCAGGTGCTGCGTATATTGGTGTATTAGGAGACCAATCTCTCAGTACTGCTGTTAGTAAGTTATTGCTGATACCGTTTGCAATTTTTGCTAGACTGTTAGCTGACAATGGGACTATCAGAAATATATCAGCCCATTTCCTAAGTTCATGATGCAGTATCATATCTCCCATCTTTTTGCAATCCGACCACACATCCTCTTCTCTCCAGATCTTGACATGGGTAGAAATCTTTAAACCATTCAAGAAATGTTCAGCTGGCTTGGTTACAATTAGTTGTATCGAAATTTTATCTGGTGTGTATAATTTGAGCAGCTTATCTATAATCAAGGGCACCTTTATAGTTGCAACAGATCCAGTAGCACCTATAAGGATATGAAATTTCTTATCATCTTGTCTTAGGAAATACTCAGAAAAGGGAATTTGAGGGCCAGAAGTGGATCCAATAACCTCTTTTGAACCGCTAGCACCTGAAATGCCACTTTTCTTACTTTTCAAGCTCTTTTCTTTGCCATCTGTCTCGTTAGAATTATGTTCATGCTTCCTAGACTCAAAGAATATGAAGTCACCAGGCATATTCACTATAGAGTTTTTCTGTTCGGGCACGGCCTCAACTTCATCCTTTGTATTACCTTTTACCGAATCCTTTGCATCTATACTGTTGTTCTTACCCTCAATAGCTAAACTGTCTATGGATGTCGTGGACTTCCCGGGCTTGCTAGAGATGGAATACCTATGATGGGATGTCTTTTCATTTTCATCAACTGTGAATGATATAGTAGATTTTGGTGAAGTAATCGAAGCTTTCCGCTCCACTGTGATCCCGTTAGCATCCGAAATGATCGATGCGCCGTCATCGTTACCGTTGGGAAACTGTATTATCCCCGAAGAGAAAGATATATTCCGAGAACCGATCACTCTCCCGTCACCAGACGACATAGACACCAGCCCGTTCCCATCCACACTCTTGTTCTGACTGAGAAACTCGTTGTCCATCGGCACCGAGCTGTTCTCCTTCGCGCTTGTATTCAGTATTCCGCCACCAACTTTCTTCTCTGAAGACCGCAGGTCACGCACGGGCACAGGCCCAGTACCAGATATATGTAACTTGTTGGTCAGTATCGACACAGGCACTTGCTCCATCTGCACATCCTTTCGCATATCCCTATCATCATCGGACCCCATGGTACTAATCCCTTTTACTATGACCTTATAAACACCCTTTCCTTTCTGCTTATTCTAAATGTAACTCACAAGTAGTAGACTGCCAAACACTCAAATACACAGTTTCTTTGGGCAGCAATACCAATATAGCGGGGCCAACAACTTACTCATCGATGCCCATTTTATTACCTTATTTTTTATTGTTTGTATAGCTTCACGCCCATTAGAAGCTTGCCTGCCGTGTGGATTCGGTTGTCTCGGCAAGAAACGTTGTGCAGTTGGCACCGAACGAGGTGCTTCTCTGCGGCATTGCTCTGCGGAAGTGCCGGAAACTGACGGAATTTCCGAGATTTTTTCGGCTTTTTTTTGTCTTTCACAGATAGTATGTATTCGTGTTATGGGATGTCTGTGATCACGTGGCTTCATATATTTGTGAACGATAATTAGGGTTTGACCGCGTCAGTTAGCCCTAAACCCTAATTCCTCTCTTTCTTTTTTTCCATTTTTCTTTCTTTTTTTGGCGAATTTCGTATGTTTTAGGGTTCTTCTCTGATTTCACGTTTCCTTTGTTTACATTTTTCTGTTAGGGCAAATAGCCCTGCTGCTCATCGCCTGCTGCTCATCGCCATTATAGTGTGTCATAGGACATTGCTGCAGTGATCTTATTATAAATACAACTGGTGAAATCTTGTCAGGTTATATTGGTGTGCAGAGGCAGATATGTATGATGAACGCTGAAGTGGCGGAGCGGGTATTGAGACCACTGAAGAGCACAACCTTGAAGCATGTATCGGTGCTGCTGGGAGCTAGGATAGAAGCCACCAAGAGTGCGCGGATCAGCAGTATTATTAGTCAGTGTGCCGTGCTGGACAGGTTGCGGTGCCGACGAGATGCCGGGGATCTAGTGGTTACTGCAATCGATGCGGGAGTCTCTAATTTCGCGTATTGCAGTCTGCAGTTAAGAAAGGATCGTAAGCCACTGCTGGTGGGGTGGGAGAAGTTTCAACTCGAGAGTAAGTTTGTGGATGGCCACATGGATGGGGATAAGCTGGCACTAAACCCTGAGAATTTCTCGAGATTGGCCACAAAGTTGTCACAGTACCTGCTGGCGCTGCCGTATGCCACTCAACTCTATGCCATTGAAAGACAAAGAGCACGGTCAATGTCCTCCAAGTTTGTTCTAGAGCCGGTCCTTAGATCAAATATTTTGGAGTACCTTCTTTTCTCCACTTTGGCAAACGCTAAGGAAACTGGACGTGGAACTAAAGACTATGAGATCATCTCTTCTGACCCTCAGAGAATGGTTAATTATTGGGTTACAGTTGGAAGCTCAAATACTAAGTACCAGGAACTCATTCTTGATAAAAATAGTAAGAAATACAGGATAGCACTAGTTAGTGATATTCTGTGTAATTCAGTGCATGATGATTGGGATTTTGGCGTGGAATTGACAAGCATATGGAGAAGAAGGATAGCAAAGGCTCAAAATAAAAAAACTAGCGACTTGAAATTATATACGCTGATTGAAAATAGCGATACAAACTTGGGCACAAAGAAAGATGATGATCTAGCTGATTCATTCTTACACGCTTTGATGTGGTCAAAATGGCTGAATAATTATGAGACCTTAGTTTACGAGATAGATAATAAGCCATTCAATGACTTCGAAACGGGTGTGCTGGAGTTGATTAAAAATATACAAATTCCTAAAATACTGTAAATTTTTTTATTGATATGCGTTTAGGATATGGTAAATCAGTAATCCATCTGAACTAAAGCAGTGGCCTTTCTTTTTCGGCTTAAGTTTTGAGTATTAGCTTGCGGCTGTTTACTGGGCACAAACGAACTGAATAATTCCTTGATTATATCAGGCTCATTTTCTAATGCTTTATATTCTGGTTTATTCTGAATAATGGCAACAGCGTCTTCAAATCTACCGGGTTTGGTAACAAAAGTTCGATGAAAAAGTGCTACCAAGTTATTTTTTTTAATTCTTGTCATGTTCAAATTCCTCTGCTCTATTTCTTTCACCGTATCGTATTTTACAGCAATTGCCTGTTTGACAACTAGCTGTGTGTCCTTCTCATCTAAAAGAGCTAGTTTGCCATCCTCGTGTATGATACCAGAAATGTTTTGAAAGTTCGCCTTTTCAAATTCAGTTATATTTTTTGATATCCTTGTAGAGTCTTCAATACCTGCCCAAACATAACTATTATCAATTAAAATCTGTTGTGCAACAGAAGCATAGCCATTAATAGCAGCTTTTTTCTCATTAGTATAATCATAAAATAGATCTAATGGTGATGATCCATTCCTACCAACTAGTTGCAGAAAGGCTTTCTCGGATTTTATCTTGGGATAGAGTTCGGACCACTTCGAGTCAGCTCGTATATCCAGCTTTGGTTGCTTCAGCATCACCTTAAATTGATCTCTTGCCATTCTATTTCTACTATAGTTCTTCTTCTCGATATCACTCACCTTCGATGCAAGGTTACCCTGAATTATTTTTACTAATTCGATGTATTGGTTCAAAATATCATGCTGTGACAATAATCGAAAATGTTTATTAGCAGCAAATCTTTTGTTTCCTGTGATGTATTCACGTTGCAGTTGTGACCAAGTCATTTTAACTTCGATTGTACTTTCAATGGTATTTGGTGGGGCTATCAATATGCTCCTCAGATATTCATTTACCTCCCTTAAAGCTAATTCTTTAATACTTTCATCTTTCTTATCCTTTTCTTCTCTTAGTCTTCTTATGTAATCGTTAAACTTTCTTTTCATCTCTTTCTCAGGTACTACAGCATGTTTAAATATCGATTCATTGGCGAGCATTTTTTTTACCGTTGTCCACCTAGTGTAATAATGTATGTTTTTATTGCTCTTTAGTAAGTTACCAAATGCCTCCAAAAACTTACTTGCCTGAGCATGGTCTTTAATTAACTGCTCTTCTGATCTATTCGATAGATATTTGTCCAAAATGTTTTGTTTCCAAAGCGGATCATCATCTACTATCCAAAACCTTTCATCTTTTAAGCCCAAATCGACAACCATTTTATGAAAAGACCAAGAGGAATCCACCTGGTGTTCTGATAGCATATCCATGAAGGCCTTTTCAGCTTCATCTTTCGTTAGACTTTTCACGTTTAAGATTTTGGAAGTGTTTGCGTATTTTTCTGTGTTATTAGTAGTGGCTAAAGCAACTGTATTTCCTTTGCTATGCTCGTTAGTGTTAGCTGTGTTCTTGACTTGATCTATCGTAGTCTTCTTGATTTGACCTGTTTTAGTTTTCTTTTCAGTAGCCTTTTCCGCAAGTGGATTATCCCATCTTGATTCTTTTGTCTTCACATTGTAGTAATAGACTTTACCTTCTTTGGTCTTGGCAACATTCCAGCCAGCATCTCTTAGTTTCTGTTTCAAGTCTGTTGTATCCTCAACAGGTTTGTCCCATCGAGACTCCTTGGTAACGGTATTGTAATAGTACACCTTCCCATTACTATCCGTGGCTTTTTTCCATTGGCCCGCCATCTATAACTGCCAACTATACCGGATGCTCTAATATAGGATTGCCTGCTATAAAAGATCAATAAAACGCATAAACTGTAACAGTACTGGCTCAGATATATGCTTCAATGCTGAAATCAAGTATCCGATGAGGTCTAAACCTTCTTGCTGACTTAGAATAGCTATGTGATATTTTTCAATTTTCACGTTGTCTGAAGGGACTTCTCTTGAAATGTTGGAATTTTAAAGGAGTTTCCGAAAGGGAGATCATAGAATAGTAGCAACTCTTGTAGATTAAATCCACACAATTGTTTAAGCAGTTATTCAATAGCATCAGTGTTCATAATTTGCCAATCCATCATATCATAAAGCCATGTCCCAGTCATTACGTCCTTACTTGAACGCTGTCCGTTACTCGTTGCAAGCAGCATTAACATTATCGGATTTCTCATCCTTGGAAGTTGAAAGACATAACAGACCTGAGGTTGAGGTACCTAACACCAGTGCTGAATTGTTGTTACAGCCAATGCATATTTCTCGTAATGAGCACGAGCAAGTTTTGATCGAGCCTAGTGTGAATAGTGTACGTGTGAGTTTGAAAGTAAAGCAGGCAGATGAGATAGAACAAATCCTGGTGCACAAGTTCACTAGATTCTTGGAACAGCGTGCAGAGGCTTTCTACATTCTGAGAAGAGTGCCAATTCCAGGATATAGTATATCATTTTTGATTACAAACAAGCACACAGAATCTATGAAGACCAACAAGCTGGTTGATTTCATTGTTGAGTTCATGGAAGAAGTTGACAAGGAGATCAGTGAGATGAAGCTGTTCTTGAACGCTAGAGCAAGATTTGTTGCTGAAGCATACTTGAGTGAATTTGTATATTGAAAGTGGGCAGCCGTTTCTGACATGCTCAGTGTTGTGTTATATCACACCTATGTGGTATGACTTGTATAATGATATAAAAGATTGTTTTTACCAAATAACTACGAATAAATATAACTATAGTTATTTATTTACCGGAGGCAGAACTAGACGATGAATCCAACTCAATTGGAAACGATGTCAGTTCAGGGACGGTGTGTACTGCTCTCTAAACTAAAAGTGCTCTACGAAACTGTTCGAATTATATGGCATCTCGTGAGCCTGCGATGACAAGATAGGCGTAGTGTTAAGAAGATTTGTCTATATCGTTCCTATGCAAAATTACATCTGTGGGTTATACAGTAGTTATAACCTAATTGGTAGAGTCCTGTGGTGTTGGAGCAGTGTCCGGCTCTTTTGCTGTATCGTTCTCAGTTTTCAGCTTCTTTGAAGAATCAGCTTTTTCGTCTTCATCTCTATCATGCAATCGTACTTCCTTTTCGGTGTCTGTAGTTTTATCATTTGGGGCGGCAGTTTCCGTCTGGGCGTCACCTTCTTCGTCGTCCTCATCATCCTCGTCCTCTTCATCGCCGATCTCTTCGCCATCATCGTCATCTTCTGCCTCTTCGCCATCTATTATTTTGTCGGTCTTGTCATCTTCGTTTTCCAGATCGACTTCTCCGTCTACATCGACTTCGACTTCTTCTTCTTCGTCTTCAGCCTCTTCTTCTTCTTCTTCTTCTTCTTCCTCTTCTTCTTCTTCCTCGGCCTCGTCTTCTTCATCTACGCCTGGTTGCTCAGGTGGGTATATGTCAGCTTCATTTTCATTATCCCATACAATGTTGAATCTCGTCACCCTTGGCTTCTCTGCCAATATGTTTCTCACGATGTGGTCCACTTGCACCTTCTGTGGAGGGTTCTCCCTCAGCTCTTCGCTGTCATACTCGTTATTCACATAGTAGCCTACTCTCACAAACTCCCTGCCGTCGTAAGAGCAGCTCAGCAGGATCACAGTAACGCTGACCAGCTCGCTGGCCGGGATCAGCTCAGCGGAAGGCGGGTCCGCCGTGAACACGAACTTATTCACACCGACAGGGACGGGGCCCACCAGGATAGAGTCCAGCTCCTGGTCGTGCTCGAGCGACCGCGAGGACCCGACGTAGGTCAGTTTCCACTCCAGATCATTCTTCAATGGCTCCAAACACTCGAAAGTGATCTCAAACTCGTAAGGATCAGTGAACTTAGCCGGGTTGTTCAGCACTTTTATACCCAATAGCGATACAATTGACATTTTTTTCTTAGTCCTTACTTCCTTGCTAGATCCGGTATATTAAGCAACTTGCTGTCTTATAGCTAAAAACCTATTTATGGCAAATACCTATGTGCAATAACAGTTAATATAACTTAATGCCCTTTACGCGATGCAAGTCTCAATAGTAAAACAATTTTCATTTGTAAGACGCGTCTAAGTTTGGCTTCCCAAACGACATTTTCGTACTTTAAGTTCATCACATCACCACTGTGTGAATGGTGCCAAGTTAAAAATGGGAATTACCCGGCTACATATACACACAGACATATCCAAGACTACGGGAACACATGATAGTTTTGTACCAAGTGATTTTTGAAAGTGTTCAACACTTTATACGTGTATCAGGTGAATTGTCTTTTCCCAGACGGGCTTTCCCCCCGGCTTTAACGTTTTAAGTCTACATCTTTAGTTGAGACCCGGGGTGTAGGTGTGTCTGTGTATGGATTATATTAGATGCAACACATAATTGACAGGTGTGTGTGTGGTGTGCAGGTTTTGGCTGTTTTTTCTGGGCTGTATGTCGCATCTACCAGCCCCCTTTCATGTGTGTAGCACAGGTAGATGTTTTACCCAATCAGGGCATATTTGTAGCGAACCCTATCACAAGTGCTGACGTGGCTCAACTTCATCTCATTGTTTAGCGTTGTTAGCGCTATAATTAGTTAGAAGTGAAGAGCCAAGATTCCCGCTTTAGGAAGTCTTAGTGGGGTTCTAGAATCAGAGAAAGAGAATCCAAAAAAAAAAGAAAAAACCCGTCTCTCATGACTTGGGCAGCACATCCTCTTAATTTCCCAAAAGAAGAAAGATATGATGAGTGGTGGGGTGGCGAGAACAAGGTGGGGGAGGCTGCTTACATTCCTCTTAGGGAAGGGCGAGAGAGATCCCGTTGCGCATGAAAAAAGGAATCTTGTGTGAATCACTGATGATTCGATGCACGTCAAAAGCGTTTTGCAGCGTTTCGCAGTGAAGAGACACAGTCTCTCACTGTCTCACAAAGAATTCAGCTTCATGGTGTCGACAGAGAGTGGCGTTGGTGGAAGCCTATATAGATGTCCGCCCCGATCGCCCGGATCAAAGATCTTGCTGCTCAGCCTTCTATGCTTTTGTTCGACTTATTCCCATCCGGGTAACAAGATGCAAGAGTCTGGAACTTCCTTGCTCTGGGTTGTAGCGCTTTCCTTTCTTTTTGCCTATATGAAGCAAAGCAAATCAGCACCTTAACACAAATAATCTTTCTTTTTAGTCTATCGCAAGTCATAGGAAATGAACATATATATTTTTTTTGCAGTCGAATAAACTGAATACTTAGCTATATATTTTTTTATATAAGAAGCCAATTCCAAATGAAACAATTCTTGCTAGATATATTCATTATATAGAAAATACCAAAGATATAATTAAATCAATTCACTCCTTTTATTGTTATAAACAAGACCAAAACCTAACATATTTTTGGATCAAAAATAAAAAAAAATAAATCAATAGTCATTCATTTCTATCCTGTTTTTTTTTAACTTAAACTAATACGCTCCTTTATTCGCTACAATACTTTTAACTATGAAATTTAACTGTGTTCTATTAGCCGCTTTCATGGTCGCTGCCGCTCCTTCCCCTAAACATGACCATGAGGACAGACACGCCATCAAGAGAGACGTCGATGTGGTCACCGTCGTTGAGTATGTCGGTGCCGATGACGGTAACGGTTTCGATGTCAAGACATCCACTAAGGCCCAACCATCCAGCGTCGCCACTTCTACCAGAAAGACTCTGCAGCCTTCCTCCTCCTCCTCCTCTTCCTCTTCCTCTAGCAACGGTGGTAGCGGTTCTTTCAAAGACGGTACCATCCCATGCTCCCAGTTCCCAAACGTGGACAACGTTGTCGCTGTCGACTGGGTCGGCCTGGGTGGCTGGGCCTCCGTCATGAACTTCGACGGCTCCTACGGCCAGTCCTGTTCCGACGGCTTATACTGCTCTTATGCTTGTAAGCCCGGTTACTCCAAGACCCAGTGGCCTTCCGAACAACCTTCCGACGGTAAAGCCATCGGTGGTCTGCTGTGTAAGAACGGTTACTTGTACCGTACCAACACCAACGCTGACTCCCTATGTCAGCAGGACATCCAATCCGCTAACGCCAAGAACACCCTAGGTAAGTCTGTCGCGCTATGTAGAACCGACTACCCGGGCTCTGAGAACATGGTCGTCCCAACTGTCGTGGACGCCGGCTCTAGCCAGCCTATGTCAGTGATCGACAGTGACTCTTACTACCAATGGCAAGGCAAGAAGACCTCCGCTCAGTACTACGTCAACAACGCCGGTGTCTCCAAGGAGCAAGGTTGTGTCTGGGGTGATGCTGCCAGCGGCAACGGTAACTACGCTCCATTGATCTTCGGCTCCGGTAAGAGCAACGGTGTCACTTACTTGTCCATCACCAAGAATCCAAACAGCAACAGCGCTGCTAACTTCAACGTCAAGATCGAAGGTGCCGACGGCGCCGATGTCGGCGGTACGTGTGTCTACGAAAATGGCCAGTTCTCCTCAGGCTCCGACGGGTGCACCGTCGCTGTCAAGTCAGGTGTCGCTAACTTCATCTTCTACTAGACATGCTGGCCATGACAGTCCCATCTTTCCTTTTGTCTTATACATTATAGATCACGGAGATAAACTTCATTTTTTCCCACTTTTTTCAGGTTAATACCTGCTGGCTTAACGATACCACCATAACATTTGATAACAAGACATTAATATCAATAGCAATGGTTTTACTTTTAGTTTTTATTCTACTATATGCTAGAGCGCCCTTAAGTGAGGAGGCTCGTAATTCTTTATGCACTTCAAACTCCCAGTGCTGACGGTAGTACAAAGTTTCAACTATGCAAAAAGAAAATTAAAGTTCGTAAATACCCTTTTATATATAAACAAGTTTTGAAATAAAAATAGTTGTTTATTGTGATGAATCACTTTTGAGATCATGTAGCCCTACATCTAACGCCATGAATGCCAGGTCCGCTGTACGAAATGTTCATGCTTTTATTATACAATTCTATATTCGTGCTCTGTATATTGAGGGTTTAACTCTTAAAATGCAACTTTATATATAAAGAAATACAAACGGCGTCAATGGCTAAAACGCACACAGTGATAGACAGCTTTTGAAAATTTTGATGGTGTCTCTCAGGTTTGTCGAATCATTCATCCTTCTTCTCGTAGTGGAACTGGACCCCCCACAGCTCTTTCTTAATCCCGAACAGTCCACCTAGCAAACGATTCTCCTTGATCCTGGCGCTTTGTACTTTGACGAAACCTTTCGACTTAAGGATCTTCTTCATGTCTTGGTCGAACGAGTAAATCTCACAAATGATTTTCATGGACTTACCGTAGTTTCCAGCAGCACCGATTTTCCTGGTGCGGATCATGGCCCAGTCCAGCAAATCTTCAATGATACCACTTCTGATGTAGACACGACGACTACCGATGGTGGAAATACTCATCACCAAGGAGTCCTTTGTGCTTAGCACGTTGTTCTTTGCGATAGACACTAAAGCAATCGGAGTTTCACGGTAGATAATGATGTGTGTGTTTTCCAAGTTCTCACGGAACTCCTTTGGTTTCTGCTCTACTTCTTTCTTCGTGAGCACACTGATGTCATTCAAGTTAACACCGTATAGTTGCTCACCCTTGGATTCGACAACGTTGTCGATCACAGCACGGAAGTACAAATCGGAGACTCTGGATAACAGTGTGAACACGAAAGATGCTGCAATCAAAGTGAACAATAATGCTGTGATGACTTCCTTCTTGTTCATCAGAAATATCTGGTACAAGTAGCCTGCGATGGAACTGGAAGTGTTCTTGGGAACATTGATCTGGATGGCCAAGTACGTGGACAGAAAGAGCCCTATTGCCGATATAACCACGGGGTGGCAGATCAATGTCTTGTTAGCCAAACCTTGCTTCTGCTTCAAGAAATCAGCTGGCAAGTTTAGCGCAGCAGTGGCCATCGACGGAGTCAACGAACTAGCGTATATCGTAGGTGGAGCATCCTTGTCCAATGGTGCGTTCAAAGTGGCATCTATCTGAGGAACAGCTCTGCGCAAATCACCAACCATTCTGCCTTTGTCGTAATTGTAGGTATTTGTTAATGTTTCTGATTTCCTCCCAGATAGTTCTTGAAGTACAGTTCATATATATATGTATATATAATTGCGATGGGTTTCGCAGGTTCGTTTAACAGATAAATTTGAGAGACCTTACACCCAACACGTGTTGGATGAGGTCATGGCAATTCTCGACTCTTTGTTATTATATAATACCACCAATTCAGGTACAGTTCGATATTTACATCCATTCCACAAGAAATAGCAAGTACAGTCTGCTTATAGCTCAAGGATCAAACCGTATTACCCACCGGCTCAGGCAGTAATCTCACCTGCAGCTAAGTTTTCAAGAGTGCTTTCAATAATGATGTAACAACAGTACTTTGTGTAGGTGACTGCCCCCATTGTCTCTATGTAATACTCCTTTTATAGCATACCAACTGGACCCAATCTGCTTATACCTCTCGAGAAATATCGAGTTTTGAAAAATTTCCAAAAAAAAAGGAGAAACCGCTTCAAGCTGTAAATCACCTCGAAAACTTTCAGCTCTGCCCTATAAAAAGGATCTGGGTCTTGGAAGGTTAGTGTACTCCTGGCAAAATGGCTTGTTCCAGGACACAAACGTAAGTGTGTGTTGAAAGATGGTTAAGCCTATTATTGCCCCAAGTATTTTAGCGTCTGATTTTGCCAATCTAGGTTGTGAGTGTCACCGAGTTATCAACTCCGGTGCTGAATGGTTGCACATCGATGTTATGGATGGTCATTTCGTTCCTAATATTACGCTGGGACAGCCTATCGTTACCTCGCTAAGACGTGCCGTGCCAAGATCACAGGAGGAAGAGAAAGCTTCTGGAGAAGTCGCTAGACCCACTGCCTTTTTCGACTGTCATATGATGGTTGAGGAGCCAGAGAAATGGGTTGCTGATTTCGCCAAGGCTGGTGCTGATCAATTCACATTCCACTACGAGGCCACTAAAGATCCACTATCGTTGGTGAAGTTGATTAAGGAGAACGGTATCAAGGCCGCCTGTGCCATCAAGCCAGGCACCCCAGTGGACGTTCTATTTGAATTGGCCCCATACCTGGATATGGCCTTAGTTATGACCGTTGAGCCAGGTTTCGGTGGCCAGAAGTTCATGCCAGACATGATGCCAAAGGTTGAAGCCCTAAGAACTAAATTCCCACACATGAACATTCAAGTCGATGGTGGTTTAGGTAAAGAGACTATCGGTGTGGCCGCCAAGGCCGGTGCCAATGTCATCGTTGCTGGTACAAGTGTATTTACGGCTTCTGACCCACACGAGGTTATTTCTTTCATGAAGGAAGAAGTGAGAAAGGAGTTGAAGGCAAAGCATATTTTAGGTGATGAGACCAAGCACTAGATGCTACAAATTCAAAAATAAACTATAACCATTTGTGTGGAAGTATTCTCATGACATCAAATTAATCCGCCATAAATAAGAGCTACTCTTCTAGACAGTGTTTCTAGCCAGTTCACATTTTAAATAAAGATTATTTCCAGAATGACCCTTTATAAATCTATTTATGCCAATTTAATAGTAAGACACAGAGTCGAACAATATTATAAAGAAGGCCTGTTTTTTTCTAAATGTAGCTGAATAATTTATTTGCTTGGGTTACTAATGTACAGATGTCTATTTTTATATTTCCTATAAGATTCACAACAAAAAAAATGGTAATATCCTAGAGTAACAGAAACAGAATTATAATAAAAATGTTGGCAGATTGTCAAATGCAAAATAAAAGAGATTGATTCAATAAGAAATGAATGTTATGTGGGGGTTGAATATCGTTTTTGTAATTTGTAGTCGTGACTATCAAAAGAAAAAATGGGTAGTTCACAAATGTGATTTTGTAACTTTAAAGATTAACTTCATGGGAAGTAAGGTCCACCAAGTACGGTACCTTGACCGTTCTCGATTATTAGGCCACTGTTTGAAGTATCCTCGACGGCGTTCCACAAGGCTTCCTTAACTTGCTCCAGAGCGGTCTTTGGCTTGGCATCCTTAGTCTTTTTTTGGTCAATATCAATCTCCATGTCGGCTTCCAACTTCGCAGTGGCATCTGTCAGAAGTCTCCTCTGCTGGGCGTACTTGATGTTTCTCTCGATCTTCTTGGCACGCTTCTTGGACAGAGTCTTGTTGGTAATACCCTTCGCACTGGCGTGATCGTCCTTCTGGCCTTCAAAGTACAGGTCCAGTGGCACAGACTTCACTTTACCAGACTTGGAGTCAGCAGATGATCTAGCTGGTTGCAATAGACCAGCTCTCTCTCTTTGATCTCTCTTCTTGCTGATCGAGCTGTTTTTGCGGTTCAAGTTAACCGTAAGCTTAGGCCTGTTGATAGAGTTTCTGGATGGCATTGTCGTTGAGTTGTTTGTAGTAGTTTGTTGCTGTGAATATGAACAAGTTACACCGGGCTTTCTATAACTACCACAGCTCATCGCAAGCTCATCGCAAGAAAATTTTTGTAATTTCGAACAATTTTTTTTGTTGGCAGTCAGGTGCCACGAACGAAGCAACCAGGAAGGAATTGGGCGCGACGTTCAAGGGATAACTGGGACTCATAGTCTTACTTCAATAGAGTCAATTGGTGTAGGTCAGCGGTATACTGGTACTGGAATACGCGGTACGACGACAGAATATTAGTCACGTTGGATTCATACGTTATGGTTGAGAGTCGCAAGTCCACTGAGGCAGACGAGGTGTTTGAGTTTCTGGACTCGTTGCCTGAGGACAAGAAAGGTGCTGAGGGTAAGAGCAAGGCCAAGGGTGCCGGGAAGAAAGATGAGGAGGATGTGTTTGAGTTTCTAGAAGAGTTGGAGAAGAGTAAGATGGATCTTGGTGCGAAGAAGGGGAAGAAAGTGGCCGAGACCAAGAAGCTGGATCCACAAGAGTCGAATGATGGCAAAGCCAAATCGGAAACGAAACAAGAGGCGCCAGCGGTGAAGAAAGATACTGAGGAGAAAAGTGAAGAGGCTAGTAATGCTAAGGTTGAGGCTAATGAGGAAACGAGCAAACAAGGCACTAATCCAGATCCTATCGCGTCTATATCCAGTTGGTGGTCCTCTGCTGGGTCTGCAACGGTGTCGAGTTTGTGGTCTAAGACCACTGAGCATGCCTCTCAGATAAAAAATAGGATACAGCAAGAGCAATTGGACATTACTTCCAAGCTTAACACACAGACCATCACTGACCTGGCCAGAAATATTCAAAAGATAGTTGTTGGTGAAACTGATGAAGTACTAAGGATTCACCTGGTGCACGATCTTGTGAAGTTTCCTTCCTTACAATACCATATTGAGAATAGATTTGACCAGGTTATGAGCTCCCAAGTGGAAGGTGGAATAAGAATATTTGTCGATGAATGGGGGCGTCCAAACAGATCCAACTCCATTAGCACAGTGGTTGACCCTGAAAAGAGGGAACATGAAGAGAAGGATGCTATTGAGCCAAAAATAAAGCTGAATCTATTTAGCGGTAAAGTTAGCGATGGTGAGAAGCTGGCATTTGCGAACATTGACAACTCAATCAAGCTTTTCAACAAGGCACACGATGAATACATAAGACAACAGAAGGAAGCTGAGGGTGAAAGCGAAGAAGGCTCCTCTGCTGAAAAGAGTGAAAACAGAATTAGTGACATATTTGTGTCGATTCTACCTGTTGCTATCCCAGACAAAAACGACAGCACGAAGGAGGATATGATCGTAACAGATCCACATCATGCCGGAAACTTCAGCTTCACCGTTGTATTAAAGGATATATCAAATGATATAACCGCAATTACAAGATCCCAAGCTTTCCCAACAAGCTGGGTTGAGTGGTTAGAAGGCGAGACTAAGAAGAACAAAGAATCTAAGAAGGGCGATGACAACGAGGACGAGGAGGATGACATCGTTGACCCAGGTGAATGGGTCAAGGACTGGATTGAGGATGGTTTGAGTCTATCTCTGGGTATTCTAGCTCAAACATATGTGATCAAGAGAATGGGCTTATAAACTAATACTACCTACCAAAACTTAGTCAAACGAGTAGTCAGCTACTGGCAATAAAATATTATAATACCTGCTCTTTTCTTCTAATAAATTTGCAAATTAAAAGCTGTATGTAATGTATTTAGCAATATATGATAATAGTCTCAGATAAAATTCTAATGTCATTGTGAAATTAGCTACTGCCAGTGGAAAGATGAGTCTTGAAAAGAGAAGTATCCATTACAATTTACCATCTTCGTATACTTGTCATAAGCTACGACTCTTGTATTCTAATTTTCTGTCAGTTTCCGATTGAACTGCGGCTTTCTTCGAAAATCATAGACGGGTAGTAATCTGTTGCTGGGAATAGCAATGGACTGTAAAATAAACCAATTGGGAAGTAGTAGACTTGACTTAAGCTATATCGGTTATTGTATTTAAATTCAAGTTCATTACTTAAAGCAGAGGAGGAGCGAGTTTATGCAATAAGAGACGCTACGTGATTAGAAATGGCTGAGAAAAAGGAAGACTCTAAGACTAAGATTACAGAAGGTGAAGCTGACTTGTACCTAGATCAGTATAACTTCACTACCACAGCTGCTATCGTGAGCTCAGTTGACCGCAAGATATTTGTGCTTCTTCGTGACGGTAAGCTGTTCTTCGGTGTGCTAAGGACCTTTGACCAATATGCGAACTTAATTCTACAGGATTGTGTGGAGAGAATATATGTGCAAGAGAACGGTGAATATGCTGAGGAGGATCGCGGTATTTTCATGATTCGTGGTGAGAATGTTGTGATGTTGGGAGAGGTCGATATTGACAAGGAAGACGAACCCTTGAAGAGCTTGAAACGTATACCATTTGAAGAGGCCAAGAAGCTAAAGCAACTGAAGGAAGAGAAAAGATGTAAGGAAGAATTTGCTACAGGCAAGGAGCTGGCTCGTTATGGTCTGAGCCATGACTTCCACAAGCAGGATTTGTATTAATAGTGGCATGATGTTGGGAAAACACAGTTCAAGAAAAGATCATTTATAAAAAACTTTAAGTTTGTCATCATTTTTTTTTCTACAACCTCGTTATCTTTTTTTTGTATCATAAGTATTATCGTTCGCATTTAATTCAATATAACGATTACAATATACCCCAAAGCATTAATGTACCATATTAGCTTCTTTCCAATAGCTAACTAGTTCGAGATTTAACAGAGTTAAGCTTATTATTCTTCTTACTCTTACGTTTTTCGTGATTTGAAAAATTTTGGAAATGTCGATGAACCTGCAAGCTCATCGCATCGCATCTCATCGCCTTATGACTAGCATGAAGCAATTGATATATACACCCAGTGTTTAACTTTGAGAACTTCTCTAATATACTACTTTTGAATCGATACCGGAGTTTGTATAAGATAATTATACCGTCAAGCTGCCACTATACATTAAGATATACCATGGTTGAAGTTTTTGACAAGTATAAGGACTTGATTCAAGAAGGTGATTTAGCTTTGATATGGATCTCTAGGGATAATATCAAACCTGTCACCATTAATGCCAATGAGACATTCAATACCAGATATGGTTCTTTTCCTCACAAGGACATGATAGGTAAGCCATATGGTTCACAAATAGCCATTAGAACAAAAGTTGCTAAGAAGTTTGCCTTTGTCCATGTGATGCAACCTTCTCCAGAGCTTTGGACTTTGTCTCTACCTCATAGAACGCAGATTGTATACACTCCGGACTCATCATATATTATGCAAAGGTTGAATTGTTCGCCAAACTCTAGGGTTATTGAGGCGGGAACAGGTTCCGGTTCTTTCTCACATGCATTTGCAAGAAGCGTGGGTCAACTGTACTCCTACGAATTTCATCCTGTTAGATACGAGCAAGCTACAGAAGAATTTAAAGAGCATGGATTGCTAGACAAGAACACTATTATTACCCATAGAGATGTGTGTAAAGACGGTTTCACCATTAAAAAAACGGATGAAACATCTTATCAATTTAAAGCAGATGAGGAACAGTTACAAATTAAGGCAGATGTGATCTTCTTAGATTTACCTGCTCCTTGGGAAGCTATACCGCATATTGACTCTGTCATTGATAATGATGAAAAGGTCGGGCTATGTTGCTTCTCGCCATGTATAGAACAAGTTGATAAAACTCTAGAAGTCTTGGAGAAGCATGGGTGGTTTAATGTAGAAATGGTCGAAATACAAGGCCGTCAATATGAGAGCCGTAGACAGATGGTTAGAAGTCTTGATGATGCTCTTGAAAGACTGTCAGATATAAAAAAGAGAAAACTGGCAATGGTAGAGAGACGTCAAAAAGCTGAGGAAGAGCTGGAAAAGAAAATTGAAGCTAATGAGAAGAACTTGCCTGAGCTACCACCTAAGTCAATTGAGAAATCGAAATTCAATCCATTTGGTAAGGGTTATAGAGTGAAAGAAGGTGATGCCAACTTCCAATGGAAAGAAGTCACGAAAGTAGAATCCGAAATAAAGTCCCACACCTCTTACTTAACATTTGCATACAAAATCAAGAGAAATGAGGATGAAAACTTGGACAAGAATTAAATGCATATAGATTTAGATTAGCATCGTTTAAAAAAATAATACTTGGATTTAAAATATATTTGTCATTTAAAAATCGAATCTCCTTAGGGCGATGTTATGTGATTGAGTAATTATTGTCGAATAAATCCAACCTTCTCTGTTGCCAGAGCGGCATATTTACCCTTACTCTCTCCATTGATTTTAGATCAATATCGGACACGACTAGCTGAGGTTCATTGTTTGTTTCATCGCTTCTTGCAATCACGTCACCCCATGGATTGATGATCATTGAGTGGCCCCAGGACATTCTAGTTACACTATTGGGGTTTGTTTTGGAATCAGCAGTTTTACTCCAGGTATCTTCAGTTACATTATGGGTACCAGATTGCCCTGGCATTACTACATAGCACTGTGTATCTATAGCTCGAGCCCTACCCAACAGTTCCCAGTGGGCCTGACCAGTTTTCATTGTAAAGGCACTAGGATAACATAATATTTGGGCCCCCATACTCCTCAATCTTAGAGCAAGTTCGGGAAATCTAATGTCATAGCAAATGGAGCACCCTAATTTCCCTGCAGGGGTATCTATTATTGAAGGAATTTGGTCTCCTGGTTGAACAGATTGTGATTCTTTTAAGATTGGGCCGTTTGGCACATCAACATCAAATAAGTGTAGCTTTGTGTAGCTAGATCTGATAACCCCAGAGCTGTCTATATAGAGTAGAACATTCTTAACTCTGTCGTCACCTTTCAATATATCCTGCTCGGAAGGTGGAAGATGTACCCCTATGGAAACATCTATAGCCCTCTTCTCCGATTTATATCTCTCATTAATGTCCTTGATCTTTAGCTGTAGATCATCTACAAATGTAGGACTTGATTTAGCCAGAACTCTTGAGTGCGTGGCGTTTTGAGATAGGTAATCAGTGGCTTCAGGGAAGAATATTACTCTAGCATCCAGTTTGATGGCTCGTTCTATTAAGGACGCTACTATAGACAAATTCTGCGCATGCTGAGAAGAGGAGCACAGTTGTCCTATAGCAATCTTGACTGACATACCTAATGGTTAACCTCTGAATTTTATATGGAAATTGATCTCCTCATATATGGAGAGTTTTGCATTGTTGCTGTCTTCAGTGTTTTCCGGAGCTCGATTGTTTTGCGATGAGCTCTTATACGCGTGAAATATAAAAAAATCATTATTAGAAAGGTGTGTTACAGTAGAATGAAATGATAAGTTCTAGATAGTTAAAAATATAAAGAATTGCAAGTTGTAAAGAACTCGAAGATACTTATCTTACTTGAGTATAGCAGGCCAAATAAGAGTTGCAAGTTGCTAGCATACAAGTTGACTTACGGTTACTGCTGGATCAACGTCTGAATTTGAAGATCGACGTCTGAATTTGAAGTAATAGTGTGAAGTTTTTTTATATTTCAAGGAAAGGGAACTATAAAACTTAATTAAGACAGGATTATTAAGAGATTTCGTTTCGAACTTCGAAAATGGCTCGAGGGGAAAGTTTTGATGCTCACGAGAGCCCGTTGCAACCGAAGACTATATTGTTGAAGGATGGAGAGACTATTGCTACGATGTATCCTATACCAAGTGTACCGAAGCTTATTCCTGACGGCCTTATGTCTTTTTTAGTTGAAGAGTTTAACATGGAAATAGAGAAAGGTGACAGTCTGCCATTTTATAACACGCTCACAGTCGATGAATTTGAGAAACTGATGTTTGTTGCAGAAGGACATATATGTGTCATGGTTCTGGGAGAAATACCAGAACTTGACTACAGTGCTGAGGATGGTATGCAGTCAAGAACGAATGGTAAGGCAGGCGGCAAAAATAGACCAGGTGACTCGGAATTAATGAGATTTACACCGCAATACAAGAGGCGAAAAGAGCGTAAGAACTTAAATTTGCATATACAATGGGAGAAACAATGTTTAGGTATATTCTCATTACAATCAGCGTTTCCAGGTAGGTCGGCGCACGTAGCTACGGGTACGTTTTTGGTGAACGCTGGTATTCGTGGTAAAGGTATTGGGAGAACGCTGGTAGAGACCTTTATAGACTGGTCAAAACTACTTGGTTATACTTCATCGTTTTTTCCACTCATATATGGCACCAATGTTGGAATGAGAAGGATATTGGAGGATCTAAATTTTAGAAAAATTGGGAAATTGCCTGAATCCGGTATATTGAAGGGGTTTGATGTTCCTGTCGACTCATTCATGTATGGGAAAGAATTTACACATATCACCAAAAGTATTGACATGTTAAGAGATACTCAAAAATCAGATGATATCGGGAAGTATGAAAGGTTAAAATACTATCTAGAGTCAGGCACATATCCAGCAAACTGCGATCGGAATGAGAAAGCCCGATTAAGAGTTAGTGCTCGATCTCACTCAGTAATGAATAACAAGTTGATGAATGGTAGTGGTAAAGAAGTTGTATATGAGCCTGACAGACAACATCAGATTGCGTATGAGACGCATCAAGTAGAGCACCAAGGTATAAATAAAGTTACCACAAAAATAGCAGAGAAGTATCATTGGAAAGGTATTAAAAATACAGTGACAGAAGTAATAGCTAAATGTCCCAAATGTAAGATACGATACCCTGATGGTATGGGAGTTGTCGTTACGCAGGATGAAAATGTGCCACAAGCGCACATGCTGCCAACACATAGGATACAGGTAGTAGATAAGACCTCCAAGCCTGAAATTGAAGAAGAACCTCTGCCGAAGAAACAGAAACTCCATGTTCAAAAACTCGAGAATAAGCACTTGCCGGACCCTACACCACCGGACAACAATGTATTCAACTTAACGGCAAATACATGGGCGGAGAAATTGGCTGCAAATATAGGTCTTGACAGCTCTACAGCGGTGCCAAATATCGACATGCATGATGATCATGATCACAAGGGCAGAGAAATGTCTCTACATAGGCAAGACATAGACATGGCTGCCCATAAAGACGACGACAGCAACATAATGGATGCGGCAATGCTCAGTCTGGAAGACAATGTAATCGCCGCTCTAGAGATAGTACGAAAGGAACAACGCGACGAAGACCATTACTATCACTAGGACCCCATTTATAAAGATGTACTACAATATATACTTTTCATGAATGTCACGACACGACACAAGAGAATTTTCAAATTCCCGGAGTGCAATGTGCTACTGAGTGTTAGACATCGAGAGGAATAATAAAGGGAAATCAGTTCATAGAGTACAAGTTTTTATAAGGTTGTTATGTGATAATTTGGCTGAGTTATTATATAGTAAGTTGTACGAGTTGTAACCGATTGGAATAGAAAGGGCAATGATTTTTTTCTACCAGCAGATACGGGCCATTTTCACACACTCCCACTCGACCAAAAGACAAATACAGTTGTCAAGACGGGCATTCTTTCAGCTTTTGGGATTCCTAGGCAGTTGTGTGGTGATCTCGTTAGCAGCCCAGTCTAACTATCTGCAGTGAAAGATGAAAGGTGGCACAGCGATAAATGTATAGTATGTAAAGGATTTTAATACACAGTTCTGTTTGATTTCTATTTCCCAGCTAACTCTTATCCATTGGAGCAGTGCCTCCCAAGGTATATAACTACATAGCAATCGGTTTCATGGTTCAACAAACCTTTTATATTGTTATACATTTATCAAACGACATACTCTATACTCATCTTCTTAATCAAAATCACGTAATTGCAATCACTGGGGGGTGGGCCGGGCAAAACAGAGGAAATTAGAAAGCCAAAAAAAAAATTGTTTTTAGAGCAATTTCTAGAATCTTGAAGCCCAAAAAGGATATAGGAAGGATATAAACTTGGGAAAGGCAAATCAGTTACAAGCAGTAGGTTTTTTATTTGATCTTTAGTCTCAGCTGTCACTGATAATCAACCTAGGCAAGTGCCAAGAATAATAGTAAACGCAGGAGACGAGAAGGGGTTGGAAAAGCGTTTTTTGTTAATCAACTTTTGGAATTTATTTTGATTTGAGGATTTGCAATAGTTAACTGATTCCTGCCAAACTAATATATTGATATTGTCTATCGAATTCCTATTGTTATTGTTTTAGTGTTTGACACATTTTTTTTTGCCCATTTGAAGTGGAGATAAAGAGGCGCAGGTTTTTGTATTTTTTGACAGGTACCTGCAATATTGCATTTGATAGAGTACAAGTAGAAATATACAGGTCTTTTCAAGTGGTGAGATACATTTTATTGCCGTTGTTAAGTCTTCTGATATTTGCTTTTGGTATATAAAAGGGGCTGACTTTCATTCACGGAGGGACTCCTATTAAGAAGATGGATAGAGTCAACAGGCATAGTGTAGCGAGTGTTAATGAGGCAATGGAGAGGGTGCGATTGGACAGAAAGAGCAGTAATGACAGCAATCATAGTCTGGGAGGAGAATCTACTAGCAGAAGTGGAGGATCAGGTATTGGTGTTGCCCCCACTAGTGGCAATAATGGTACTGTGAAAAGAGCTAGTTCAATGTCATCAAACTACAGTAACATAAATGCCTCTTTACATGCGCGTGTGAAAGCATTCCAAGAACAAAGAGGTCTACATAGGTCTAGCAGTTTGGGGAAAGGAGATTCGGAAGAGAACATTGGAAACGTAGGTACAAGTATAAATCCTTCTCCTAGCCTCGGATCTATGAAAGACGAGCCAGTACCAGCGATTCAAAAAATTGTAAATAAACCACTACCGCCATTGCCGGGTCAGAATAGTTCCTCGCTTACACCTTCCCAGGAAACAATCAATATGATTAGCAATGCTTCTCAACAGGCACCAGATGGTCCACTCAATAATATTTCACCTGTTCCAGGATTTAAGGAAGCTATGGGGGGCAATGTAAGAAGAAATGACGGGCAAAATCTTTATGGTTCTACAAGTCCCGCAGTAACAGCCTCGGCTCCTAATATGCCTGCTTTTAATCCAAATAGAAAGGCACCAAGACCTCCCCAAATTCCTCATAATACTGTGATACCAGCAAAACCTATGCAAAGTCTGAGTTCAAGAAGAGGTCTGAAATTACCGCCCGGTGGAATGAAACTGAAACTACCTTCAAAAGGTGACGCGCCAGCATCTATGCCAAGTACAGTTCCTGCAGCTTCATCAGTGAAACCGGTTGTTCATCAAGAATTTGCCGCCACTCCATCAAATAAGAATCACATAAAGAATAATAACGGAAGCACTGAGGGTAAGAGGTCAAATCCAGGTTCCTTAGTGAACGCAGTTCAAACTACATCTATTTCATCAGCTAATGATCAGCAGGATACGGAAGGAACTGAACCAAAAAGCAACTCTAATGGTACTGGTCTGTTTGCAAACTTTTCGCGATATGTGGATATTAAGTCGGGCTCTTTAAATTTTGCTGGTAAGCTTTCACTTTCCTCAAGAGGTATTGATTTTAGCAATGGTTCTAGTTCAAGGATAACACTTGATGAGCTTCAATTTATAGAGGAACTGGGACATGGTAATTATGGTACTGTGTCAAAAGTTTTACATAAGCCAAATAATGTTTTGATGGCAATGAAAGAAGTTAGACTTGAATTAGATGAGTCTAAATTTAGGCAAATTTTAATGGAATTAGAAGTGCTTCATAAATGTAACTCACCATTTATCGTGGACTTCTATGGTGCATTTTTTATAGAGGGTGCTGTTTATATGTGCATGGAATATATGGATGGTGGATCATTAGATAAAATATACGATGAAAACCCCGAAATGGGTGGTATTGATGAGCCACAACTTGCATTTATCACTAACGCTGTCATTCAAGGTTTGAGGGAGCTAAAAGAGGTTCATAACGTGATACATCGAGACGTAAAGCCAACCAACATTCTGTGTTCTGCCAAGCAAGGAACTGTGAAATTGTGTGATTTTGGTGTTTCTGGTAATCTGGTAGCTTCCTTAGCGAAGACAAATATAGGTTGTCAATCATATATGGCTCCTGAGAGAATAAAATCTCTGAACCCTGATAGAGGAACATATACAGTGCAGTCAGACATATGGTCATTGGGTCTAAGTATACTAGAGATGGCATTAGGTAGATATCCTTATCCTCCAGAAACATTCGATAATATATTCTCGCAACTAAGTGCAATCGTAGATGGACCACCCCCTAAACTGCCAGCAGATAAGTTCAGTGATGAGGCCCAAGACTTCGTGTCGTTGTGTCTGCAAAAGATCCCTGATAGAAGACCCAATTATTCTAATCTGTATGAGCATCCATGGCTAGCAAAATATCGTAGCATCGACGTCCAAATGGGGCCATACATTACTAAAAGATTAGAAATCCGGAAAAGAATACTAGCTGAAAAGGGTGAGGACGGTCTTCACAGGACAGTACCTGCATTGCATAAAGGTGGTTTGTAATAAACTGTAAGTTATCGAACGACAGACAAATTTACAAAAGGGTCAATTCTAGGTGATAGAACAGGGGACAAGTCATGGACATCAGCAACTAGCTTGTATGCTGACCAACTCCAATTAAATTGTTCTATCAAGTTCGAAATACATGTGGTTTTATGGATTATACTTCAAACTAAAGATGTTTGTATCTCGATAATCATGTCATTTATCTTTTGTGCATACTATTGATTATGATCAAAGCATTGTTTAGCACAGAGAAATTATTTAATTTATGTATGCCTTGTTCAATTTTTTTTTATAATTTTTTATACTTATACATGCAATCTATTCATATTTCCAACTGTTTTTTTAATTCGGTTGTACTAGAAGGGCAATCTTACCTCATAGTAAGAATTTAGCTATCCTTAAATTATAGGTCTTGTGTAAGCATTTTACAGCAATTTTTGGGCAGTCTGATAATTGATATTCAGCAATAATTGATTTCCACTGATGGAAGTTGATCAGCAATAAGGAGTTAGAGAAATGCATTGACGATGGCACACAAGGCATGAATAGCAACAGGTATACAGACGTCATAACGAGGCTTGGTCCACTGATAGTATCGCATCACTTCCATACGAGTTGTTGTTATTTTAATGTTTTGGTGTGGAACACGATGCGCATCAGTTAGCAACTAGTGCTGTGATAAACAACATTTTTCGGTCCATTGATACAAACAATTTATCGCACTGCAAAAAAACTGACGAAGTGAAAACCAGTGATGGCATACCGGGGTAATTTACTATTTATCAAATTTAATGAACATGACATTTTAATATATTAATGCCATACCATTTTCTTGATCGGAAGTCTTAGTATAACAATTAAATAGGTTATTCTTTTGAGTTAAAGAGTCGTTGAGGGAGTGAATATCTAGCAGAGGACACCCACTGCTCTCCATCCTCTTGTCTACATTTGCAGTTGATCTCTGTGGAAACGGATTCCATACACAAGAGTCAAAAAGTCGTGGATACCTTTTTGTTTTCAAACTCACTTCTTTATTGTTCAGATACAAGAACGATTAGTTGAGATCTCAGCCAATTTCCTCCGGGTACAAAACAATTAGGATTTACTAAGCGATAGATATTATCCCTAAGGTTTTGCTCTTTGACTAATCTCAACTAAGACTTTCCATATCAAAAACAGATAGAATCTGGGAAGAAACTTTTTCTAATTATTATATTTGCAATATCTAAGGCAGGCATAAAAAGAATCATATGGAACTGAGGCGAAGACTGAGTAGAGTGCAAACTCTTACTCAATTCAACTTCTCATACAACAAGAGTTTTGGTCATAAATTCAGAGATTTCATAGCAAAAAGTGGCCACCATGTAAAGCCAATTCAAAAGTATATCTTTCCCAATTTTATTGCTGTCCATTATTTTTACATAATATTCATGACAATTCTGGCGTCTATTTTACTTTATCCTGTTAAAAATTTCAGTTATATCGATATTTTGTTTTTGGCAGCTGGGGCTACCACTCAAGGTGGTTTGAATACGGTTAATATCAATGAACTTACTTTATATCAACAGATGATAATATACATTATATGCTGTCTTTGCACTCCCATTGCAATTCACGGCACACTCGCATTTGTGAGATTATATTGGTTCGAGCGATACTTTGACAATATTAGAGATACATCCAAGAGGAATTATAAAATGAGAAGGACAAAAACAATCTTAGAGAGAGAAAAAACTGCGAGAACTCTTTCTAGGCTACGAACGAATACAACTATACCTATACATAAATCAAATCAAGAAAATTCCCAAAGATCAAATTTCCAAGAGAAGTTGTTTAGTGGTGAGTTTGTTAATAGAGATGAACAAAACTCAATCGAGAGCCAACAGGACGCCATGGATTCCCAAAGTACACAAAACAGTTTACCAACATTCAAAGGCCTTGGTCCAAGTAAAATTCAAAAAACAGCTAGTCCAAGATCACTAAATTCAACTCTACCATCTGGGTCTGTTCTTGAAGATGGTGAAAGTAGAACGCCATATGAGCAGCCAATTGACTACACTATACCTAACTCAAACCCAAACCTTACTGTTCCCGTAGAACGGTTTAAAAGGAGAAGGTCGAGAGATATATCTCCTCAGGATATGTACCGTTCAATTATGATGCTACAGGATAAACATTCTAATATAGATGATAACGAGGAAGGTCCAGCATTGGTAATAGGTTCACCACAAGATAGACAGAACATAAAACCAACTGTACAATCACAGTCAATGGGTCACAATGCACTTACACCTGTGCATTCAATTTCAGACAAAGAAGTAAGTCCAAAACATGTAGACGCAAATGAAATAAATATGGGAATGAAAGTAAAGGATAAACATGGTAATCAAGGCCCAAGTCGCAGAAGTGGAAGTCAATCGCCCTCTAGCGAGAATGCATTTCCGAATGAGAATGATGAAGAGGAAAATTTTTCTCCTTACACTAATTCTCGAAAAATCAAACTAAATAAGCATCCTACAGGTAGGAATTATGATAACTCTTCTGATGACTTGAATAGTGCTGGTAATTACAATTCTGAAGAAGGATTAGAGGGTGAGAATGCAACCCAATCAACAGAGGAAGTAAGTCCCTTAGATTCAGATGATGCTTATTCTGACGGTGATTCCCATGAATATGAGAATACAGAAGTGAATGAAGATTCAGATTCAATTCAGGATATACAAAGTGGAAATAATCGTTTATATAGAAGAAGAACTGATCAGGAACGGAACCTAAATTATGAGTCGGAAGCATCTATCACACAGGATAATATCGAACGCCATAATAACGATTCAATTAATAGTGAGAACGCTGCAAGCGATGATTCCGAAAGTAATGGTGAAAATACAAATGATAGAAATGCTAGAACTCCCAACAAAGGAGGTGAGCCGAAAATTCAATTCAACATTACAGAACCTCCTAGGAAGAGAAGAACACAAAATTTTCATATTATGGAAGCCACAAGACCCAACATACCACATAATGCACATAAAAGAACATCAAGTAATTTATTTCTCAAGCAATTGTCCAAAGGTAAGCGGATACGGCATAATCTTAAAAGGAGACTTTCTAGTGGACCATTTGAGAAAAATGAATCGCCATTTAATCCTTCAATAAAAAATGTGAACAAGCAGAAAGGTTCTCAGAAAGAGACTAATCAAGACAACGGTGAAGATTACTTTGCAGACAATGAGAGTGATGACGATGATAATAATCCAGCCAGTTCTGACTACAATGGGCTATCCAAAACTGTATCATATAACAACACTGAGGATAGAAAGCCTGACCCGGTAAGACTTACTATGGAGAGAGCGATGACTATGGATAATATAACACCTGAGGATCTCAATAAGTTAGCTCAAAAACCTGACTTCCAAAAAATGGTATACAAAAATTGGAAAAGAAAACACAGGAAAAACAAGAAGAATAGAAAATTAGGATGGAATAAAAAATTTGATTTTGAGGACACACTACCCACCGTTTTTGACAGTCATAATGAGGGCCATCAAAGGACGATGTCTAATGATGAAGATAACGAAGACATTAGAAATGGTAATATTGACAGGTATAACACGATTGACTACAACGATGGTTACCAAATTGATCCCGACATGAATGAGGAGGGCTATTTTGGCGTTTCTTTTAATAATGACTACAATTTTAGTCGTCATCCTTTTTCTCGGACAATGAGTGCCAACTATCTGTCTTGGGAGCCTACAGTTGGACGTAATTCTTTATTTGTCGATCTAAGTAGAGCACAGAAGGAAGAATTAGGTGGTGTTGAATATAGATCGATTAAATTATTATGCAAAATTCTTGTTATCTATTACCTGGGCTTTCATATCATGTCATTCACAATGCTACTTCCTTGGATTACTCATAAGACAAAATATAAACATATTGTAAGGGATGATGGTGTATCTCCAGGTTGGTGGGGTTTTTTTACAGCTATGAGTGCTTTTAATGACTTGGGTTTGACACTAACTCCTGATTCAATGAGCTCTTTCAATCGGGCAGCCTATCCACTTATTGTAATGATTTGGTTCATAATTATAGGTAACACTGGATTTCCTGTATTATTGAGATTCATAATATGGGTGATGTATCACTTATCGTCAGATTTGTCACAACTGAGGGAGAGTCTGGCCTTCTTGCTGGACCATCCTCGTCGTTGTTTCACGCTATTATTTCCTAGCACCGCTACATGGTGGTTATTTGGAATTTTGGTAGGTCTAAACATTACAGATTGGATTTTGTTTATCATTCTGGACTTTAATAATGTCGTTGTGAAGCCGAATCCCAAAGGTTATAGAGTTTTAATGGGATTGTTTCAAGCAGTTAGCACAAGAACCGCTGGGTTTTCTGTTGTCGATCTAAGCCAACTTAATTCTGCAGTGCAAGTGTCATATATGATTATGATGTACGTGTCTGTTTTGCCTTTGGCTATTTCTATTCGTAGAACTAATGTTTACGAAGAGCAATCTTTGGGTTTGTACGGGAATGTAGAAGATGATGACTCAAGTGATTCAGATTATGAAGACCATTTAAGTTCGGAGGAAGAACTATTAGCTAAAAATGGAGATAACGACGATGACGAAGAAACGCTAGACTCACAATATTATTCGAAATCCATACGCGGTAGAAATGATAGCGATGAAAGCTCTTCTAATGAAGGAGGTAGTAACTCTTCAGCAAAGAAGAGAAAAAGGACAGCCAAAAAAGAATCCTCCAAAGGTAAAAAGAAGAAAAGAAGAGTGTCTGAAAAGAAATCTAAATCGTTTATTGGTGCACATTTACGGCGCCAATTATCCTTTGATTTATGGTTTTTATTTTTAGGTCTTTTTGTTATCTGTATTTGTGAAAACGGGAAGATTAAAGACGTTGCGAGACCTGCATTTAATGTGTTTCCTATTCTCTTTGAGATCGTGAGTGCCTATGGTACTGTCGGCCTATCTCTCGGATATCCAAATACTTCGCAGTCACTGTCAGGACAATTTACTACTCTCTCTAAGCTTGTGATCATTGCTATGCTAATTAGAGGAAGAAACAGAGGTCTGCCATACACTCTTGACAGAGCCATTATATTACCAAGTGACAGACTTGAACGTATTGATCATATTGAAGATTTGAAGTTAAAACGGACTGCAGGCCTACATGCAAGGCATCAACCAAGGCCCGAAGACGAGAGGAAGAAATCAATAGCAAAGAAAAGTTTCAAATATATCAAAAAAGGTGGCAAAGGTTTATTATACCCAAGCAAATTGTTATAAATTTCCCGAATATTTGGTTTTTTGAGCCGCTTTCTAGTTTACACAGCATTTGTTAAATTTTTTCGTTTCTACTATATACCAACATGCATACACTAATAAAAAAATAGCATATTCTTTAACTTTACTCTCAAATTATAAAAATTTGGTTCCGACTACTCAAGTGTGTACGATATTATAATAGAGTAACCGAAATAGTAGCCATACTACAGCGCAATTGCTTTCAGGAAATCTACTATGTAACTATGCGGCTATTAGATGAAGACATCATTACAATGAGATGGATGACTATACAGGAACAAGAACAGAAGTCATCAGTACGACTACAACTAATGGAATGATGTCACCGATACTCAATAGTCTTAACAAACACTGACAATGTCTTACTTAGGGTTCCAACGAAAAGGACAAATTTCTATATATGGTAGTTTGTCCCTCTTCGCATGAAAATTTTTCACTTTTCTAAAGAAATTGTCCGCCGGAAAATTTTTCATTCGCCGTTGGAAAAAGAAAACAGACTGAGCTCATCGATTTTTTCAAATGTATAAATACTAGTCAAATAATCAGGATGTTTAGACCTTGTTTCCAAACTTTTTAGTATTCTCTTTTAGTCAATGGTAGAAAAGAAACTATTTTTTACCTGTTCTAATTCTTTATCATATTGTTATTTCACTCTATTGTATTTCCTATTCAAAAATTAAAAAGAAGTATCGTTTACTTGTTTTATTCGTTGTTACTGGAAGGTATACTATTATTTTATTTTCTATCACTTATTCTATGTATTTTTCTTGTTTCCTATTCTTGCATAATAACACCAAAGCAAACCTCATCCATTTTGACTCTGTTTCATAAGGAAGTTTTTGAAAGTATCTACAGCTATACATATAGACAACTAGGATAGAAGAAACATTGGCGACATCAAGTTTTTTCTTACTTTGAATTCAATTACAATTACTTTACTCGGATACAACTCCTCAGCAGATATCTTTTTTTAAATCCTTCCTTGTCAGGTCAAACACTTGTAAGCTATCGCATTATTACACAATAGCTCACAAGAAAAAAAAGTATGTTTCTATTTTTCACTATATTTCTAACTCTATTGCATTTCCTTCCAGTTTAAGTTTTACCAAAGGTCAATTTCTAGCTACCCACCACCCCCACGGTTGAATGCAAGTACACACGAACCACTATACCGTCCTGAAAACGATTACAACGTTAAACTACAATGACCTTAATGAGGGACTCTTTCGTTGGTCCTAATCAAGCAAATCGAAATTACCGTCTATGTGAGTGGATAGTCATCTCCGTTGTACGGGGGTTTCTGAAGATAATCATCAAAGGGTCCCTAATTTCTTTTTTCTCTCGCTAGTAGCTTCTTTTTCATTGTCTCGAGGAAGAGTCTACCTTATAATTGAAAAAAAAAGCAATAATCAGCAGCATTATTGGCAATCGAGTAACCTCTGGATTTGGAATATATATTCTGAGACTATATCTGCAACTATAAGAGAATATTGTCAGGTATACTGGGTCGAGATTGGTATTGTAAATAGTAGGAACTTGGGAAGTGTGGTTGATAGTTGGAAACACTAGAAGGAAAAACTGATACTTTCTCTCTTTTTCGGCCAGCTTTTTACTAACATTCTTTTCATACAGACATTATTAAAGACTGATTATATTCAAAATAAGAAGCCTTTCAATTATCAATAGACTTTATCGATCAAGATAAACTACTCTTTCTATTAAAAACAAAATCTTATTGCACAAACTTCTTTTCTGGTGGTAGAGAAAAGTAGTAAAAAACAATAAGTTAATCAAAATCCAACAATCTATTAGGACCTAGTTTTCTGATAGTTATTGCAAGTATACAAAAAGAATAAAAAAAAAGGAAAACATACAAGAATATAATAATTATGACTACTCCTGTTGCACCAATTACTCCTCCTATGGAGACCACTGGTGATCGTCTAGTAACGTTGGAATTAAAGGATGGTACCACCTTACAAGGTTACTCCTTTGGTGCCGAGAAACCAGTTGCCGGTGAATTGGTTTTCCAAACTGGTATGGTCGGTTACCCAGAGTCCATCACTGATCCTTCTTATGAAGGTCAAATCTTAGTCATTACTTACCCTTTAGTCGGTAATTATGGTGTCCCAGATTTCAACTTGAGGGACGAATTTATTGAATCTCTTCCAAGATACTTTGAAAGTAACAGAATTCATGTTGCAGGTTTGGTGATTTCTCATTATACTGAAGACTACTCTCATTACCTTGCAGAATCTTCTCTAGGACAGTGGTTGAAGAGAGAAGGTGTCCCAGCCGTCTATGGTATTGACACCAGAGCTTTGACCAAACACTTGAGAAACTGTGGTTCCATGCTTGGTAGACTAGCTTTGCAGGAAGCTTCTGCCAAGCTAGAGGTTGCTACTTCTGAATCATGGAAATCCGTATTTGATGTCCCTGAATGGGTCAACCCTAACGTGGAAAACTTGGTTGCTAAGGTTTCTTTGAAGGAACCAAAACTTTTCACACCACCATCTGACAACAAATACGTTGAAGTTAAAAAAGGTGCGGATGGTAAGACTATTAGAATTCTTGCTATTGATGTTGGTATGAAATATAACCAAATCAGGTGTTTCGTCAAGAGAGGTGTGGAATTATTAGTTGTTCCTTGGGATTACGATTTCACAAAAGAAGACTACGATGGTTTATTCATTTCTAATGGTCCAGGTGATCCATCTGTGTTGAATGATTTAGCAAACAGACTGTCCAAGGCATTGGAGAAGAAGAAAACTCCAATTTTTGGTATTTGTTTAGGTCATCAACTTTTGGCTAGAGCTTCTGGTGCTTCAACATTGAAATTGAAATTCGGTAACCGTGGCCACAATATTCCATGTACTTCTACAATCAGTGGTCGTTGTTATATTACTTCACAAAACCATGGTTATGCTGTTGATGTTGATACACTAACGCCAGGTTGGAAACCATTATTTGTTAACGCAAATGATGATTCTAATGAAGGTATTTATCACACTGAGTTACCATATTTTTCGGTGCAATTCCACCCTGAATCTACTCCAGGTCCAAGAGATACCGAATTTTTATTCGACGTCTTCATTAATGCCGTTTTAGAACACAAGAATTCCGGTGTTTTGAAGCCAGTTGAATTTCCAGGCGGAAAAATTGAGAACAATAGAAAAGAAAACCCTAGGGTCGAAGCCAAGAAAGTTTTGGTTTTGGGTTCTGGTGGTCTGTCTATTGGTCAAGCAGGTGAATTTGACTACTCTGGTTCTCAAGCCATCAAAGCCTTGAAGGAAGAAGGTATCTACACTATATTGATTAACCCAAATATTGCTACCATTCAAACCTCTAAGGGTCTTGCCGACAAAGTTTACTTCTTGCCTGTCACTGCCGAGTTTGTCAGAAAAGTTATTCTTCATGAAAGGCCGGACGCTATTTACGTTACTTTCGGTGGTCAAACAGCTTTATCTGTCGGTATCGAAATGAAGGATGAATTTGAAAGCTTAGGTGTTAAAGTTTTAGGTACCCCAATTGATACCATCATCACTACTGAAGATCGTGAATTGTTTGCTAATGCAATCGATGAAATCGATGAAAAGTGTGCCAAATCTCAGGCTGCAAACTCTGTAGAAGAAGCTTTGGCTGCTGTCAAAGATATTGGATTCCCAGTTATTGTGCGTGCCGCTTATGCACTTGGTGGTTTAGGTTCTGGTTTTGCCAACAACGAACAAGAATTGATTGACCTATGTAATGTTGCTTTTGCTTCTTCTCCTCAAGTTCTTGTCGAAAGATCGATGAAGGGTTGGAAAGAAGTTGAATATGAAGTTGTTCGTGATGCATTTGATAACTGTATCACTGTCTGTAACATGGAAAACTTCGATCCTCTGGGTATTCACACTGGTGATTCTATCGTTGTTGCACCATCCCAGACTCTTTCTGATGAAGATTACAATATGCTAAGAACCACTGCTGTTAATGTTATTAGACACTTGGGTGTTGTTGGTGAATGTAACATTCAATATGCCCTAAATCCGTTCTCTAAAGAGTACTGTATTATTGAAGTTAATGCACGTTTATCTCGTTCTTCTGCTCTTGCCTCTAAGGCAACTGGTTACCCATTAGCTTACACAGCTGCCAAGTTAGGTTTGAATATTCCTTTGAATGAGGTAAAAAACTCCGTCACAAAGTCTACTTGTGCTTGTTTTGAACCTTCCTTAGATTACTGTGTTGTTAAAATGCCAAGATGGGATTTGAAGAAATTTACAAGAGTATCCACCGAGTTGTCTTCTTCTATGAAATCTGTTGGTGAGGTTATGAGTATTGGTAGAACCTTTGAAGAAGCCATCCAAAAAGCTATCAGATCAACTGAGTATTCTAATTTGGGTTTCAATGCTACCGACCTAGAAATAGACATCGACTACGAATTACAAAATCCATCCGATTTACGTATTTTTGCTATTGCGAACGCATTCGATAAGTTGGGTTACTCAGTTGAAAAGGTATGGGAAATGACCAACATTGACAAATGGTTCTTGAACAAGCTATACGATCTGGTTAAATTTGCCTCTAAGGTCAGCTCATGTGGCGGAATTGAGGGTTTAAGCCCAACTGTTTTGAGACAGGCTAAGCAACTTGGTTTTGATGATAGACAAATTGCCTCTTTCACTAGTTCTAACGAAGTTGCTATCCGTCGTCTAAGAAAGGACTATGGTATAATTCCATTTGTAAAGCAAATCGACACAGTTGCTGCTGAGTTCCCAGCTTACACAAATTATTTGTACATGACTTACAATGCTGCTGAGCACGATGTCGAATTTAACGACCATGGTGTTATGGTTCTAGGTTCTGGTGTATACCGTATTGGTTCTTCAGTTGAATTTGATTGGTGTGCTGTTACCGCGGTAAGAACACTACGCGCAAACAACATTAAGACTATTATGATCAACTACAACCCAGAAACTGTTTCAACTGATTATGACGAGGCTGACAGGCTTTACTTTGAAACAATCAACCTTGAAAGGGTTTTGGATATCTACGAAGCTGAAGCATCAAACGGTGTTGTTGTTTCAATGGGTGGTCAAACCTCCAATAACATTGCCATGTCATTGCACCGTGAAAATGTAAAGATTCTAGGTACTTCTCCAGATATGATTGATTCTGCAGAAAACCGTTACAAATTCTCACGTATGTTGGATCAGATTGGTGTTGATCAACCAGCTTGGAAAGAACTAACCTCAATGGATGAAGCTGAAGATTTTGCCGAGAAAGTGGGTTACCCAGTTTTAGTCCGTCCTTCATACGTGCTATCTGGTGCTGCCATGAACACTGTCTACTCAAAGAACGATTTGGAATCTTACTTGAACCAAGCTGTAGAAGTTTCTCGTGATTATCCTGTTGTCATTACGAAGTATATTGAAAATGCTAAGGAAATCGAAATGGATGCGGTTGCCCGTAATGGTGAACTGGTTATGCATGTTGTTTCCGAACACGTTGAGAACGCTGGTGTTCATTCAGGTGATGCTACCTTGATTGTTCCACCTCAAGATCTGGCACCCGAAACAGTCGACAGAATTGTTGTTGCTACCGCAAAGATTGGTAAAGCTCTGAAGATCACAGGTCCATACAACATTCAATTTATTGCTAAGGACAATGAAATTAAGGTCATCGAATGTAATGTGCGTGCTTCACGTTCTTTCCCATTTATCTCTAAGGTTGTAGGCGTAAACTTGATCGAACTTGCAACAAAAGCCATCATGGGCTTGCCTTTTGCTCCATACCCAGTTGAAAAGCTACCTGATGACTATGTTGCTGTTAAGGTACCACAATTCTCTTTCCCAAGATTGGCTGGTGCTGATCCAGTTTTGGGTGTTGAAATGGCATCCACTGGTGAAGTTGCTACTTTTGGTCATTCAAAGCACGAAGCTTACCTAAAATCTTTACTAGCAACAGGATTTAAACTACCAAAGAAGAATATCTTGTTATCAGTCGGGTCCTACAAGGAAAAGATTGAATTATTGCCCTCTGTTCAAAAGCTGTATAATATGGGTTACAAACTATTCGCCACTGCTGGTACAGCTGATTTCTTGACAGAACATGGTTTGTCAGTACAGTATTTAGAAGTCTTGAATGAAGATGAACCTGAAAAGAAAGAATACTCCTTAACTCAACATTTGGCTAATAATGAAATCGATCTATATATCAACCTCCCATCTGCAAACAGATTCCGTCGTCCTGCGTCTTATGTTTCTAAAGGTTACAGAACCCGTCGTATGGCTGTTGATTACTCTGTTCCTTTGGTTACTAACGTTAAGTGTGCAAAGCTGCTAGTCGAAGCTTTAGCACAAAACATTTCCTTAAATGTTTCTGAACGTGATGCCCAAACTTCTCATAGAACTGTAACAATCCCTGGTTTGATCAATATTACCACATATGTACCAAACATTACCAATGTTGTGGAAGGACCTGCAGAACTAAAGGAAACTACTCGTTTATTCTTGGAATCTGGTTTCTCATATTGTCAAATTATGCCAAGAGCGTCAAGGGGCCCTGTTATCAATGACGCAGCATCTATCAAAGTAGCTACCTCTGTCTCAAATAATAGCTGTCACACTGACTTTGCATTTACTATAGCTGGGACTGCGCATAACGCCCAACAAATAGCACAATCTGCTGATAAAGCAAATGCCTTATACCTACCTCTGCATGAATTGAAGAACAAGGTTTCAACTATATCTGAGCTTCTAAGTAACTGGCCTTCTAACAAGCAAGTCATTACTGAGGCCAAGACCTCAGATCTAGCTTCTGTTCTTTTGTTAGCATCATTGCAGAACCGTTCAATTCATATAACCGGTGTCTCCAAAAAGGAAGACTTGTCTTTGATTATGACTGTCAAAGAAAAAGATCCTAAGGTCACTTGTGACATTAATGTGTACTCTCTATTTGTTACACAGGAGCAATGGCCAGAAGCTATGTTCTTACCAACTGAGGAAGACCAAGAATTTTTCTGGAAGAATTTGAGTGCTATTGATGCATTTAGTATTGGCTCTGTTCCTACTCAATTGGCTGAAATAACTGGCAACAAGGTTGAGGTTGGTTTAGGTATCAAAGATGCTCTACCATTATTACTATCTGCTGTTGAAGAAGGTAAGCTAACTGTTGATGATATTGTTGAAAAATTACATGATAATCCAGCCAAAATATTCAACATTCCAACTCAAAACTCTCTTGTGGAATTAGATCTTGATTTCTCCTTTGCAAGTAAGAAGAGATGGACTCCTCATTCTAACACTTCCTTAAGAGGTGGTATTGAAAGAGTTGTTGTGAATGATGAAACACTAGTTTTAAGTGGTGAACTTGTTGCCACAGAGCCCAAGGGTACCCTAAAAATGAAGAGTGAATTGGTTCAAGCTTCAGTTGAGAATGCCCCAGCCATTCAATCTACCGGTAGAAGAATGACAATTCATGACGACAAACTAATGGATGTAGACTCTGCTGAAAACTCCATCCCTGATGCTCCTATCCAGCAGAAACTAATGTCTTCTAAACCTCCAAGAGAATTAACTGCCCCAAGTGCACTACAAAACCTAATCAGAGGAAATAATCCTTTCCAGGGTAGACATATCTTATCTATCAAACAATTCTCTCGTGCTGATTTCCATGCTTTGTTTGCTGTTGCCCAGGAATTAAGAGCTGCTGTTGCACGTGAAGGTGTTTTGGACTTGATGAAGGGTCACATTATCACAACCATCTTCTATGAACCATCCACTCGTACATGCTCTTCTTTTATTGCCGCCATGGAACGTTTGGGTGGTAGAGTTGTGAACATCAATCCAAATGTATCATCGGTAAAGAAGGGTGAAACCTTACAAGACACTATTAGAACATTAGCGTGCTATACTGATGCTATTGTGATGCGTCATTCTGAAGAGATGTCAGTTCACATAGCCGCTAAATACTCGCCAGTACCAATTATCAATGGTGGTAATGGTTCTCGTGAACATCCTACTCAGGCATTCCTTGACCTGTTTACTATTCGTGAAGAAATTGGTACAGTTAATGGTATCACAGTAACATTTATGGGTGACTTGAAACATGGTAGAACTGTTCATTCTCTATGTCGTCTACTAATGCATTACCAAATCAGAATCAATCTTGTCTCTCCTCCCGAGTTAAGACTTCCTGAATCTTTAAGAGAAGAATTGAACAGTAAGGGCCAACTAGGTGTCGAGAGTGTTGCTTTGACTCCAGAAATAATTTCCAAGTCTGATGTCTTGTATTGTACTCGTGTGCAAGAAGAAAGATTCAAGAGTACTGAAGAATACGAACGTCTAAAGGACTTCTATATTGTCGACAACAAGATCTTATCCCATGCCAAACAAAACATGGCCGTTATGCACCCTCTACCTCGTGTAAACGAAATTAAGGAAGAAGTTGACTATGACCATCGTGCTGCATACTTTAGAGAAATGAAATATGGTCTGTACGTCAGAATGGCCTTGTTAGCTATGGTTCTTGGTGTCAATAACTAATTTAGATTTACCAAGAGATAAGTTAGTTAGTGCCTCTCAATGATTGACATACACAATGACTAATACTACTTAGTTGCATGCGCTAAATCTCAATTAACTAGTAAGACATTCTAAAGACATACTACCACACTCCGTCTTTTCCTTGTCTTCCTTGAAATGAAATTATGTCGTCATGGCTAAGATAATGTAGTCTCACAGAAGCAATCATTACATTTGCTTTTTATTTATCTACCACCATCATTATTATCATATAATATCATTTAGTATTTCTTTTCATTATATAATATCAAGCTTATGTCGCAAGCTATTACACAATTTACAGTATTTCGCATTTTATTTTAATATATTCATTTTAATTAATATTTCTTACAATTCATTCTTATTTGTTTTAATTATATCAAATATCTAAAAGTTTTTTCGAATCTCGGAACTGACATATTCTTTCCGTCTGCCTTGCGCCTTAAACATGAAAAATTTCCTTAAATTGTAGCAAAAGTACAAAAAAATAAAGTCATGTACAGTTGTAATTTCGGTTATACAATGCTGCAACGCGAGTGGAATTACTACAAACAGCCACAAATTTTCTACTTCTATTGCTATGATAAGATCAATATTGTGCTGCAGGCCAGTGCGACAGTTCCATAGCAGTTTCCTAAGCCTCAATAGCGCATCACCGGCATTAAATGCAGGTATAGCAATTGATGCCTGGCTCAAGAGAGGCACTGCGAAATCAAATATCAAGAACAGAAAGAAATATGATCATCACCACAACGGTGAAAATCGGAGGCGAAAGAAACCGATGGCTGTTAGATGGAGTTCAGGTACTGAAAGGGCAAAAGAAGCTGCTAACCACATGCTATCAAAGGTTTTTGAGACAAACTCTAAAGGTAACATAAGGTTTTTTAATCAAATTTCTGGTAAAGTTGAGGACTCTAATATCAGGGAATTTGCTAAAGGAATTGATTTAAGTCAACATGGGATAAACATTGTTAATATCATTAATACTGAAACTGAACAACTACCATTTGTTAAACTTGTAGATACTAAGACAGCTCTAAAGAAATACTCTGACTATTTGGCAGAAAAGAAGGAAGAAGAGCTGAAATCGATGGGTCTGTTACCAAGAAAGTTCTTCGAAAATTCTAAAACAAACGAGGACAACCTTAAACACATCAAGATCTCGTGGAGTATAAAAGAGGATGACCTAGCAAAACAAAAGGCTCATGATATTACGTCGATGCTGAAAAAGGGAAACAAAGTTAATTTATATATAGCAGATAAAGAAGACCTTGGTGGTTCTAAGTGGATGGAAAACTTTGAAAATGTAGAAGAAGAAAAACCTCCTTCTAAGAAACGATTAAGACCATCCGAGATTGAGAGGAGAGAATCAATAATTGAGCAATTAAAACTCTTGGTTTCTGATATATCTACCGATCCTATTATTGAAGGTAGAGCAAACGGTAAAATGATTATAAGACTCACTCCAAAAGTAAATAAAGATGACAGTATTGATAAGAGATCTTTGAAAGAACTAAAAAAGCAGCAACGAATAGAAAAGCTAAATAAAAAATTACAAAGAAAAAAAGAGAGGGAGCTGCAAGATGATTAACTTGTAAATAGAAAAGTTACTGGAACTCTGTATATACTAAAAAATATTCTAGCCGATTACAAGGGCAAATTTCAATTGCTTCCATAGATAAGATTACATGAATTAATATGGCATTGAAACCCGATGAATTATAGATTAAATAAATATAGGCTCTCCTGTATAAAATGCATTAATAAATTAAAATAGCTCCTGCAACTTCTTCCAACCCTATGCTATTATATCCAAATTCTGGGACCCCCACTGCTAACTGACCTTCATCACACCAAGCTAAAGAAAAACCAAAGCTACGAGCATGGATAGATGAAAGCGGATTGGTATATTTTACATGATTATTGGGATTAAGCTCTATGGTATTTCTATGAGCTGCCTCTACAATCTCCGAAAAAGAAACAGTCCAAATAGCTCCTTTACCGCCATTTATACCAGGTGAGGCAATATGTAAAACACCTTCAACTTTGTCAAAAACCATTGATGTTCCAAACCCAACAAGTTGCGGTATCTCATCTAACCTGATTGGAACTGTAAGTTTTGTTAGATACCGTAAATTTCCAAAAATTTCTTTGTAAACATGGACAAAATTGTGTAGAGGCTGAGAAATCAGAATGTAGATTTCATCTTGATGAAAAATTGACAACAATGTCTTTCCAAAATCCCCATGTATTCTTGAAGGTAAAGGCACAATTTCACTAATATCGGAGTTTTCAGGATTATTTGGGATATTGACAATTGAACAAGATTCTTCAGATAAAGGAACAGCGCTTACGTGACATCTCATGACCACACCAGCCCCCGCTGCAGCAATATACATAGACTTCCCGGAAATAAGAACAGATGATGCAGTATGGACATAGTTTCCTAACTTAAAAGTGGATGGATCCATCACTGTTTGCAGTAGTACTTTACCAGTACCAGTATTCTTTATTGGTCTACCTGAACCATCAATCTCAAAAGAAATAACCTTCCCTTTTTCATTTTTGCCATAGAGCTTGTCCGCTAAAAATATTGTATTCATATCTGTAGATCTATCATAAATAATTGAAACAATTTTCAGGTTATTCATATCACAATCATCAATTTGATAAGAATAATGTTCACTAGCGGAGTGGTAAATTTTAATAACACGGGAAAATGAATCTATTACAATTAATGCGTGAGAGTCATTATATGAAATTTCAATTTTTCCTATAGAACTACCCTTAATTTTTAGCACTGGTGAAATTGTTGAGTCATAGATTAGCTGCTTATTATCCTTGCAGATAGGTATTATATATACCTGACCATAACGATCTGTAAATGAGGAACATGATATCAAGTAAAATTTGGTATCGTTTAGTTTAACAAATAACATATTCTCACCCAAATGGGAGTCTTTCCTACCAATCCAATACTTTTTGAAACTGCCAAAACTTTTACTATGAAGAGGCACAACTCTGTTGGGCATACTTCTCTCTATTATATCAATAGAATCGTATCCTGTATCTCCATCTCCAAGATATGAAACCATCTCATTGTTTTTAAACTTCCTTAAAAAACCTTTGACCTTGCGCTTTAATGTCAATATTAAGTCAAATTCCCCGCCAACTTTATTATACTTTATAAGCTCTCTTGCTTTCGGAGAGGAATTATAAGCCAGCAGGAGATATGGCAATTTATCTGTAGCTATCAATCTGACCTCGCTATTCAAGGCTGTCATACCACGAGTTACACATTTCTCTATATCCCTGTAGTTAATGTCTACTTCAGAAAACCCAGATAATGAGACCAGGGCGCTTATATCCCTAGGTGATGGAAGCGCCCAATCTAAGGAGTTGAAAAACTTCCATATTAAATTGTCGGCTTCATTATCAACACCTTCCAACATATCTGCCATAATAAGAAAATCACCTATAATATCTAAATATGAATGTGCTTTGTTCAGATCGCTATTAAACTCCAGTTCAGCTAGCACTTTCAATAGTCCATGATCTCTATACCCTTCACCTAATGCATGCCATGGAACATCCACCACTTGATGAGTGAATATACCTAACAAAAAAGCGGCCAGCTTCTGTGATTCCTCAGACATAATGTCATTTTTCTTATCACCATATGTATCCCTCCAATAATTTATTGCGAGTTCGAGAAATGGTGACCAATGGGTATATTCTGCGAAATCATGCCATTTCTTGTTATTCAAAGAACAAGAATACAAGGCATCTGGGAAAAAGGCACCGGACTTCAGCCACGGAAAATAATACTGAGAATTAATATTCAATTGTGTTTCTTCGAAAACTGATGGATCACTTATAACTCTCAAAAGAAATGTAAGATGACTACCAACTCCAGCAGCATAACTAAAGGTACAATAAGTAACAAGAATGAGAGTGTTAATGTATACTACTCTCATTTTGTGCTACTGCCTGTACAGCTTTCTTTAAGTGGTCTGTTTAACAATAACCCAATGCCTTTTAATATCGATATTAGAGCTCATCTCCCATATTAAGTACCCAAGCCTTAATTTTCTATGCCTAAAATGAAATGACGTCATCCCAGATGATTCAAAATTGCGCTCTCTCAAGTAATATTGTCAATGTAAAAGATAATGCCAAATTGATCAGAGACAACTTGTATTTTACCAATTAATGTACATAAAGAATTAATTAAATAACAGGAATTAATAATATAAAATAAATTAAAGCGAACGCATTAAACTAGTTTTCGGGGGCCCCCTATTGTCGAGAACCTATGCTTAGTATAATAGAAAAAAATTAATGAAGAGCAGGTATTTCACATGCAAACGATTGTGTGATCAATTATAATAAAAGATTAAGTTAAGAATGTCTATCATGGGACGCTTTCAAAGTCCAACTTAATAAACCAATATGCCTAATAATGGAACAAGAAGTGCTTTGCGAACTCATATGCAGTCCAGGAAATGGCAGTCGCAGGCATGTTAGCCAAAATTCTTGGTTTGACACCACTCCAAAAACCCCTCCAGCCATAAACTTGATATATAGCTCTTGTGGCCTTCTTGAAAGTATCAGCTTGCTTAAACACCTCCATAGACACCTTTTCGCTGCCTCGTACTTGTAAGGCCGTCTTTATACAGTCCAATGGGGTAGTCAACCCCGCACATGCCGCACCACTGATACCACCACATAAACAATGTATGAAGGGATTGTAAACACCACTTGGATTGAAATACCTTGTAGCTGTGTCATATATACCGAAGTTGAATGCAGCAAACGGTATATTTATAGCTAGAGTTGTAGGATATGATGAGTAGAAAGCCTGGAAACCTTCTTTGGAATATATTCTCTTGGCTGTGTCCCACACCGATATATTTGTGTTTAACTGAATTCTCTGTTTAATAACATCAAATGGGTTCATTAAAGCATCTGCTGCGATAGTTGCTGTTGCACCGGAGAATGCGGTCTTGAAGAAGTGGTATTTTGAAGTACTAGTAGCTTCATCTATAAGGAATGATTTGACCATCTCATAAGTTGCGAAATACACAGCATGCGCAGGACCAGCACCCAGCAATACAGATTGGACACCTTTCCACAGGACCATGGAACCCTCTTGTGCTGATATGCTAGACAATTGTCTTAGCATTGTAGATGGGATAGGCTGGCCACCGGTTGTGCTTATAGCGTGCATTGCTTGAAGTCTTGTCTTCAGAGCATCGAGAGGGAATATAACCGAGTGCTCAGCTATACCGGCAAAAGCACCGGCCATAAGTTGATGTGCCAATGGTGCATGATCAGGCAAAGCCTCATAATCTATAACGTCTGATGATTCCATTTAATGTGTTTTGTGTAGTAATCCCTGTGTTTCTATAGGATTTTCGCTCTCTAAGTAAGTTAAGCTTTTGCAAAGAATATTATACCCAGGTGACTGTTAACAATACAAACCCTGGCTTATAGTTTGTTTAAAAAAGTGAATATTATCCTATCTTTAACAATTAAAAAATTTAGTCTTCTTACAAGTAATGACTAATTTCTAGGTGCACTCTATAAGCTCACGATATAAAAGAAGAGACTAATTGTAACGATGTAGTTAATCCTTGATGAATATATAAAACTTGAAACGGACATGCTCTATATCGATATATATATATATATATATACTTTAACAAGTATGGGGTAGTAGGGGTGGCTCACTTCACTTCCTATATCCGAGAACTAGTATTACTAATTCAATATGGAGATGGGAGAGGATATCCAAATCATCACCGATTATAAGAAAAAGATAACTGTGAGTACTACGAGGATACAATAGTGTGTGTGGGGATGGAGGATCGAGAAGTGTGTCCATTGCATAGCGTTGGAAGTATATTTCACATCGACAGCAAGAGGTGTCTGCCTTTTCAACATGTAAGATGAATTTGATCGTTTGGTAGCTGAAAAGCTGAAAGACATAGTACAATTAATAATCAGATCAGGTGTCTAGAAGTCAAAATCTGGGATTCCAGTGGGATTCGAGGCCTTTAGTAGGAAAACAGCAAAAACCCAAAATAAAAAGTCGCTACGAAATTTTACTGTCGCTACTTTTGCAGTGGAAGAGAATCCTGCACAGACATGTATTCCGCAAGTAGATGGAAAAACGGAAAAACGGAAAAACGGAACAATTACCGCGAAAACTATGAAAACCAGAAAGTTTTAAGATCTTTCACAGAAAAGTCTGTACTAGACTTAGGAAAAACTACTACCATGAAATATGTATGACGACATATTCGCAGAGAAATGACTGTAGTGGATGTCCCTTGATCTCGGAAATTATCCCGTTTTCCCTCTCAGAGTAGAGATGCAGATAAAATGTGGACCCCTTGAAATCTTTGTAATCCGAGCAGAACAAGGCTGGCAGTCGGCCCGTAGATGTGTGAAAACCCAGTTCTCTCTGGCTAAAATCCTCTACACACTTGTCGTCCACCTGAGAAATCTGGCAGATGTTTTAAAGGAAAATGCGCAAGGATCTTGAAGAGACGGGGGGGGGGGTGTCTCCCATCTGGCGTCTTTACTGTGTAGGAGCATTGTAGGAGATAAGAAATGACTCGTTAGTAGTATAAGGATATGAATATGGGGTGTGTGGTGGAAGTCGTACAGGTGTCTGAATAAGCCCTCGAAACTAAACTAACTGTGTGTTGGGTGTGTGTGACTTTAATCAGGAAGATTCTCTTATTTGAGGGTACCGTGATCAATTCGTATTGTAGTACAGTAATGTGTAGTTGGCCTGTATACCTAATTCAACGGTCAAGACAGGATAGCGCCAATGTCACATTTGTAAAGCATACTGAGCAATCAACAAAACTGTCAACTTAAATGCAAAACTTGTTGTGACTACTGTATATCGATGTCGTCACACAGCTAAGGAGGAGGTCTGTGACGTATTGTGAATCATACGTTTTTCAATTTTTTCCTTCCGCTGCATTACGTAAATCTCTTTACTTGATATATGCAGGTACCTAGAACTACTATGATAACAGTTACATAATACAGATACTGTCTAAATGTATATAGAACTATTTTGGGAATATCTTGGTGTTGCAGTAACCAGTAAGGTTAAAGTATGCCAAAGGAACTCGTTATAATACCATCTTTTTCTTTTGTTAGGAATGACAAAGAAAACAAATGTATTGGGAAAAGTTTTGAAAATAAAATGCATTCTAATCAAATAAAAATATGGTAGCATCCAGATATTCTGCGTAAGATAATAAATTTTCAAAAAACTTTTATACAGTCAATAAGGTCTCAAGTTATATTTTACATCACAACGCAATTAATAAGCCTTGTTGGCGCAATCGGTAGCGCGTATGACTCTTAATCATAAGGTTAGGGGTTCGAGCCCCCTACAGGGCTTATTTATTTTTTTTGCCTTGATTGAAGTAATGATTCGTGCAAAGTTGTTGCTACTCGCATTGAGTGAAACATTACTCTGTCTCATAATACACACTACTGAACAAGTATACCAGCAACACAGTTCTCTTAATATTTATGTTCAACCATCTCATAAGATTTTTACTTTGATAATAGTTCTTTCAGACTTTGAATGATACCAAAGATCTTATGGACCCACTCTTCAGCTCTTAGATAGGAGCTTCATCTGTGTATACCTTATAGATAACTAGTTCAAATATGACCCAATCTCTATTCTGTATACTCGGCTATGACTCAAATAGAACATGTATCGACTATATAGGAGTTGTATCATCAAATGAGTTTAAAAAAGTGCCAGTTGTAACTTATAATTCAGTCTGATCAATGTACTTGCAAAATAGGTTTGCATCCATTGTGTTAATTAATACCTCCACCTCCTATTCGATACAATCCAGTGTCCGCCGGCATTTGATATCATCCAACTACATTCTAAAAGGGCTTTTTATGTTGTACAAAGCATAATACAGGTCTTTCGACCTGTACAAATTTTTATAAGTTACTTGAATATTGTAATCGATAATACCAGCCCATCATTCTTTAGAATTATATGCTATAATCTCAATGTTGTCAAGCCGTATCATAATTAGTGGTTGGGGACGTCAGTGGAGAATAATGATGATAGGTGATAACAATTAGATTAAACAATATTGTCCATCATGTGAAGAAAGTAGACCTGCTATCTTATTTTAAGATAAGGATGTCCTAAACTTAGTTAGTATTTGGGTTATATCGGCTCAACACACAACAACACAAAACTCAAAGCTTAAAACTTACCGAACTCTACGTCACTGATTTACTATCACCGATAAGTTTAAAATGTCCACCAGTCGATTAACATTTTTTCCCTTTGTCTTTTGGTGAGGCAACTGTTTCCTTCCGCAGCTTCCCTGCCCGCGCAACGTTCTGTTGGGAAGGTAAACTTGCTAACAAAAATGTTTTTCGGGCGTAACAGCTTTAAACAAAAGAAATTTGTAATGCAAAAGGAGAAAAATTCTTCAGGTTTCTCAGTAGAATGAGGTGAAGATCCTACTGTCTAATGAGCTTGGCAGGACATATTGCTAAGAAAGTAAAGGAGATGATGAACGGCATAAAGGATAAACATCATTACAGAAAGAGCCAAGAGTTGCCATTCCTTTTTGCTCTGTACATGCGTTGACTAAGTAACATGCTCTTTCGACGCTGTAATGATTATGTAACCATTAGGCCCGATAAAGATACTGATTAATTTATAAAACCAGGCGTTCTTCCATGTGATAACTTTAAGAGCGATAAAAGTTATAGTTTGATTGCAGCCAGAGTTATTTTTAGCTCAAGATATGTGATTACACTATATAGCTCAGCTTCGATTTCAAATATTCATGGGAGTTCAATCAACCAAATTTCACAAATCGATGAAATTGTTTTTTGTTTGAATAGCAAATTTTTCTTCATTTAAGTGAGATTGAGTACTTACCATTAATAAGAAATAGATCATAAAGACACAGTCACAGTTCGTCACATAACCATCATTATACAGTCAGGTATAATCTATTGACTGCTATTGTAGAATATATCTTGAGAAGAAATATTATAATACTATGAAGAATTACAGAAGTATAATAGCATGTGTTTAAATACAATTAATTGGGAGCGACGTAAAATTCGAAGTGTTTCCGCTATATACGCTGGAAACCACCTCTTAACGTAACCGTATAACAAATATTGGGGTCATTTATCTATAAGTATTGGCAAAATAGGAGTAAAAAATATAAAATATTATAGTTTTTAGTGCCTTAGAAGATGCTCTTATCTTCAAGCAATAACAAAGAGTGTACAAGTTCGTAAGTTTTTATAGTACTGGAGCTGTAATAAATAGCCGTTTTAAATCTTGGTGGATAGCCAGTAGCGTCAGCATAATAATGAAGCAGAAAATTCAATGAATATAACAAAACAGCAAAGAAATGAACAGTAATGAATATGATAGTGATAGTAAATATACTAATAATATTGGTTTAAGCAGCGTTCCTAAACATTTCCGATTTTGTAGTACCTAGTGCGTTTCCTTAAATATATTTCCATCCGAAGTTCCATTACCTAAACATTAAGGAAATTGAAGAAAACTGCTGGCAGAGATACCACATACAAACAGTAGAAAGGGAAAAGCAACTTAAAAGCATCGTAAGGTTTAGTCTAGTTTGTGAGTAGTTTGATTTTGATCTTTTAAAAAAAAATGGTCAACATTAATTGAGAAAATAATATGAAAATAAAAATAATGTTCGTAACAATTTGGAGTCTGATGTAAATCAGGCTGCCTGAGCTTTTGCTTGTTTCTTCCTCTCATGACACTTCAAATGTCTCAGCATATTACTCTTGACATTGAATGCCTTCTTACAATCCTTCCATGGACACTTGAATGGAGTGTCACCAGTATGGATCAAGTAGTGTGTCTTTAGTGTTGATGGTCGTGAACAAACTTTGCCACAGACAGGACATTGTTTTCTCAGTTTCGAGAGCTCATCAATGGCGCTAACAGTAATGCTTGTTGGTGTAACCTTCGACTTTGTCTTTGGTGATTGGCTCTTGCTCTTGCTCTTCTTAATACCTTCTGTGCTCTTCCTTATACTCTTTGAGGAGTCCGGTAGCGATGGTGTCTTTGGAGATGTAGAGGCAGTTCTACTGATGTCAGTTGTACGCCCTTCAAATACAGTTGGCATAGGCATGCCGGATGCCGATGCTGATCTAGATGAGAATGCGGAAGGTGGTGTAGACATTGGTGTTGTCATACCTGGAGATTCTGCATTCTGGGAGTTGTAAGACACCAGTGAGCTGTTGGAGTAATTTGATGGTGTACGATCCATTACCACTGTACCGTTGGCGTTTAGGTAGCTAGTTTGCTTATCCAGCTTTGGTACCATGACTAGGTTTGAATGTGAGAAGCTTGGACTTCCCTGAGAAGACAAACATGGTGTGATCGCCCTTGGTGGAGGAACGTAGTAGTGATATTGCTGACCACCTTTGATCATACCATTGTTATGCGTAATGCTCTGGTATTGTGGGTATGGTTCGGCGACGTGAGCCTGGACGCACACATCCTGTTGTTGTGCTTGCGGTGGGACACAGTTTCCTACAATCGACGAGATAGGTGGTAAGGTTATGTTTCCCCTCTCTTGGCTGTTTACTACATTTGTGTTGTGGTACCCAGCATTAGCGTTAGAAGTAAGTGGTAATATATGGTTTGCCGGCTGAGCTGCGCCAGCTTGTTGGTGTTGATGATTTGGCATGGGAACTGGTGTCTGAACCTGCACTGGGTATTGATAATTGTTCTGGTGCATTAACATGTAGTTGTTCATTACCAATATATTTTTTTTTTATTAAAGTTCCTCTGTTTATTGAATAATTAAATGCTAATCCTTTCCTCAAAAGGTACTTGATAAAATATAAAGGACTAGTGTATAACTTTTTTGTTCTTGATTGGTGTTATTACCCTTTATTATTATTATTATTATTATTTTTTTTTTTAGTTATGTATATTGTTATAGTGCCAGTGAATGGTTCTTAACGTGTATATTATAACAGCAGCGTATGGTCGTTGATAGCTTGAAACAATAAGTAATAAAAAATAAGACGCTAAAACAAGATCCAAAAGAAAATAGAAATAACTACAGCAACAAGATCTTTTTTTTTTCTATCTTTCACAATCTACACAATACAAGTATTCCTCTTTTTTTTTTTAAAGAAACCATGACTTATTCTATCTAATATATACTAATTTTTTTTTCCCTTTTCTTGGACCATAAGTAATCAAATCAATTTACTTGTCCAAAATAAAATAAGTTTCCTTCAAGGAATTGGATGAATATCGATTTAAAAAAAAGCGTAATCCAGGAATTTTCTCTGTTCCCAGTCTCTACGCCACTATGCAACGGTGGAATAGAGAAGAGAGAGTTCATTTAGGAAAAAAAGAAAAATTATTGTGTCTTTTGTCTTTGTTCTTGTTCTTGTTCTTGTTAATGTTCATGTTCATGTTCATGTTCTTATTCGTTTCTTTTCTTTTAATAATTTTAAAATAGTTGTGATTCTGTTTTAATTACAATTATACCTAAAAGGATCTCATTACAGTGAGATCGGGTTTTATCTTTTATCCCCCATTTTGGATGGTCCGTCTAATTATTGACCCAACTCCCTTCCCAAGTGAGAGCTCATTAAGTTGTCTCTGCTGTGTAATGGGGAGGGATGTTTTTGAGTTAGCACAGGAGGACAGGGAAGGGAAGCCTTCACAACTTTTGTACGGCTTTCTGTGAGGATGCTGGTCCGATGTGTGTAATGGAGGATGCCGAAGCGATCTATTTTGAGTGAAGTCGTTAGGGCAGGAATCCAATAGAGGGAGAGCAAGGGAAATTTGTTATGTGCATGCTTCTCTGCTGAGGACGGGGATAAATCTTTTTGAGGCAAGGGTAGATTATGACTAAGACAGAACCACAATAAATTGAGGAAGGACGACAGCTAAGAGAGGCCAGTGCAGGGAACTACAATAGGAGATAACCTCCCCCTACCTTTTGACACAGAAACTGCAAGGGAGATTGGCCCAAAGATAATAAAGTAGAAGAGCGAAAAACAAACAAAAAAAAAGAGAGATCAAGGATTATCACGCAAGATTTAGAAAGTGGTGGAGAAAGAACCTACGGGCATCGATCATCTCTTCGCTTTGGGTAAGAGTGCGAGGGATACAAAAAAATTAAAGGGAGATGAACTATGTAAGACATAGCCACTCGCCATCTTCTCTGCACACTTGACTTTGCCACTCTAATAAAAAAGAGTAACGAAAATACAAAAAAAAAAGATATTCACCACCTGTTGCTTTTTTCTTTTGACTTAGAGAAACAGAATCTAAAAAAAAAAGGCTGATCCTCTAGAAACTGCTGTGGAGGAATAGTGTTGTAAGCATGGGGTCATAAACATACGTAGAGGTCTAATGGGTCTCTTCCTCGATTTTCCATTCCTTTTCTGCGGTTGTGCGTCTCTTGGAATTTTGATTGTTTCTCTCTCAAATATAACGTGTTTCTCCGTCGTTTTCTTAGGATGGGGGGTGGCTAAAGGGGAAACGTAGAGGCAGGAAGAGAGCAAACACTAGAGGAAAAGCATCGAGGTTCAGTTAAGATAGGAAAATGTAGGATGACCAACAAAAATAAAGCTTAGAGAGGCTAATACGAGTAGTTAGGCAATAAATAGAAACAATTCAACAACTTTTCTTTTCTAATCATATCCCTCAAATACTTGCAAATGCAAAGCGAGCGACGGAGAAAAACAAAAGTCACTGATGAAAGGAAGACAAGATAGTAGAAAAACCAAAAAAAAAATAAATAAAATAAAATTGACATCTTGGTACTGGGAATAATAGGGAAGACCATATTTCAGGATAGAGAAGAAAATTAAGGAAGAAAAAAAAAAGCAATGGTAGATGGTAGTAGCGATACTGCTACGTGTGATGAACAAAATACCGCAGCTTTCAGTAGAAATCCTCTGGAGAGTTAGGATATGCATATTAAGAAAGTAAAAAGTAACAAAAAAGCAAGAAAGAACTAGAGATGGAAAGTGACAATAATACCGACATTGACCACCAAGGAGTTATAGGAAGATAAGTATATTCCTAAACCTATACTCCCCCATCGATAGCACAATCTGTGAATTTTTTTATGTCTATATTCGATACTAAAACATCTTGTATAGTAAGAACTATTAATTCTGAATTCAATATTCATTTGTTGTAGTTAGTAAAAACTAAACAAGGTGAGGAAGAGATCCATGAATTCTACTAGAAACTTGAAGAACAAAAAGAAAAAGAAAAAGAAAGCTGATCATAGAAAATAGATAGTATTTCGAGTGGAGAGACCAATCTTTTCATCTGTGTGTTTTGAAATGCAGGTAATCGTTTGTCATCTACCGGATTCCTCTTATCTTGGCCTTGATCTCTGATTGCTGATTTGCTTTGTTTCCTGCTAATCTTTGCGCTCATTTCACTGGGAGGGTGCAGTTTAAACAATGAACAGAGGTTGTAAGGAGGCGACGTACAAATAAAACCGCCACACAAAAATCATTGTAGATGTAAGAAAGGAGATTGATACTTTGTGTTGTCTTTCTATCTTAGGAAACCATGATGTGACGTATAGAAAATACCAAATATCGTATATCACTTTTTGCTTTTTTGCAAACGTCATATTACTAACAAAGTATAGTGGACAACTACTTGAGGAAAAAAAAGGTAGCACAACCCTCTCTACTGGCTGTTATTGTGGGATGAAATTGAGAATATCCTCGGAACGGATGTAGGGAAGAAAAGAAAAAGTAAAAACTGAAGATCACTTACGCAAAGAAAAGCAAAAAATAAAAGCACTCGTCTTTTAAGAAACTATTTCCGCACAGTGATATACAATAAAAAGTCTAAGAACTGACGTGACCCTGGACATTGTAACACTTTGCTTCCTCAGGAACTAGCTTACACATTTTAGGGAGACTACGTCTGTTTCTAAGAGTAATATAATTGAAATGATTTTGGGGATTACCGAACGATACTTGAACACAGAGAAAGCAACTGGTAAAAAAAATTAGCACAATAAAGATAACCAAACTTAAGGATATCCCCTTAACAGCCTGCAGTAACATTAGAAGGAGTTAAGTAGTTTAAAGCACGGAAATTATCTGAAGGATATTAGATAAGTACGAAAGACAAAGAGAAAGTATTGTGGCTACCAATCTGTTGAAGAGCGGGCAGGACCAAAATGGCAACAGTATCGCCGGAGAAAGCAACTTCAATTGCACTAACGAGATATGTCTTTTTTTTATCTTAGAAATGCAACAATTGTACAATTTCAAATCCATATCCTCTGTTTATGAGAATTGTCACCGAAATGAAGAAGTGGTGAGATGTTTTTTTTTTTTTTTTGCAACTAGCATCTCTCAACATCTCCAGAACGTTATGCAGCATGCTTCTTTACCCTACGTTTCTATCTGAGCTAGAAAGGAGATAATCAAATGGATGTAAAGTGCGTAAGGCAAAATGGAAAAAGAAAGGAACTAATGAACCTCTAAAAGTGGGATAGATAATCAAAACTGATCAACTAAAACATACTAATATATTTACCCTTTAAAATTACTACGGGGGAGGAGAAAGAGAAGGATAATAACATAAAATAAATGACCAACGATCAGATAAATCCTCTTTATTGCCCTTTCAAGTAGCATAGTGTTTATTGACATTTCTGGGAGAGAAAGATCTTAAACCATGTAACTAATGAGGAAGAACGATAGTAACTAATACATATTCTCCCTCAACCTCTTTAAAAAGACCACGGATCGAATTCAAACATAAAACGTTGGATTGCAGATTTGTAGACTATCTGAATTTCTTGTTGTCTATCCCTATTTCATATCACCGTGATCAAAAAAAAAATGGATCGCCAAAATACATCCGACTCCCGTTCTTCAAATGCTCATACATACTTTGATGATCCTTTTTTCATTTTTTGTGGTCATTTTCAATGGGGGGGGGATGAAAGGGAGACAGATTTAAAAGTGGAGAGGGGTAATGGATACCAGTACTCCCGCGGCCAAAAAAATTGACATTCAAAACGATTTTATTGATAATTGTGCCACTCTGTTCTCCATTTGGCCGTCCTGCTTAGTCTTCAGAGCTCAAAATGTAAGTTATAATAAGAGAAAGTAATCCGCGACTCTCTGGTACACTAAACTTACCCAGTAACTTCATAAGAGTTTTTTTTTACGTCTCCTTACTGCATAGTCCATTAACTAATGATATAGAGCTATTTTAATGGGTGGCAAGTAGAAGTTCTAGGGGACCCCGGTGGATCATCTCTGCTCAAAACCTTGCAAAAAGATCAGTGAGCTTTGTGCAGTTCACTAAAAAGAAAAGTGGACATAAATTTGTGCTAAATACTATACAAGTTCAAAAATCGCTTGTTAAGAAAGAGCTGATGCCAATTTGCTAAGAAAAGAGTGCTGACTACGTAGCAAAAACAAATTTTCACTGTAAAACCATCGAATAATAAAAACCTGTGAAACGAAATAAATCACAAAAATTTAAATACCAAAATCACAATGAAAACTTTGCATAACCAAAATGGCATCCTTTTGGTTCTTTGTATTTTTTATTTTTTTTATGGCACGATTGAAAGCAGAGAGATAGGTCACCGATCCTTTGAAATAGAGATGTTCTAGGAAAAGCTCTGAACAACAATTATTCTTAGTATTCTCACAATAGATTACATCGTTTTCACCCACCAAATCATGAGGAGAAACTGCAGTACCAATGGGTAGCATCTGCAAACCCAATGTA